GGCTAACCATAAGCTTGCTTATCAATCGATTCCCGAAGGTAGAAGCTGGTACACAAGAGTGCTACACAAACTTACATCTTAACAACAAAATGAGGGTCTATACAATAATATCAAGTCATCTATATGATAAAGTGGAAGTGTAGCAAACCTTGCTTTGTATGTCTCCTCGCTTCTGCAGTTGTGGCATCAATCTGGTGAGTGGGTGGTGCTTGGTTTCAAATACCCAAATGTCTACTCAATGTGTTGGGTAGTCCTCATTGAACCAACAAAACTGTATTGAAATTACAACCCAACAGCTAATAACTCTGTTCCCAACATGAATAACATTGCGAAATGGGCACTCAGAATACCCAACTTCATGAAAATAACTCAAATAAATTGACCAGCAGGCTCAACCTAGTGGATGGGTTGAAAAAACAACCCAGCATTTTTTTGTGTGTATTGTGGTACAGCTTCAGATTTTTTTGTCATATCCAGGGTGCTCTTGGTGGTACAGGAGTGGAATTTCCTCAGCATCTTAGGGTACCATAAACACAGACAAATGACTCAAAAACATGAAGTCAAACTAGCCAAAGCTTTCCCTGCTGACTGGTTGCAGTGTACAGTGTTGTGAAAAAGTATTTGCCCCCTTACAGATTTCTTCTTTTTTTTGTATTTTTGTCACACTTACATGTTTCAGATCATCAAACAAATTTGAATATCAGACAAGGATAATCTGAGTAAATACAAAATGCAGTTTTTAAATGATGACTTTATTTATTTTGGAAAAAAAAAGTTATCCAAACCAACCTGGCCCTATGTAAAAAAGTAATTCCCCCTAAACCTGATACTGGTTGTTCCACTCTTGGCAGCAATGACTGCAATCAAGCTTCTGCAATAACTGGCAAAGAGTCTTTCACATCACTTTGGGGCTATTTTTAGTCTGTAATTTGACTAGGTCACTCCAAAACCTTATTTTTTTAGGTGCACTTGATGGTGCACTCCAGATCATTGTCCAGCTGCATAACTCACGTACGTTTGAGCTCAAGCTGTCACTCCCTTTTGATGTTTTCTGCTCAAGAGCAGAATTCGTGGTTCTATTAATTATTACAAGTCGTCTAGGTCCTGAAGCAGCAAAGCAGCCCATTCCCAGATTACCACACTACCACCGCCATGTTGACTGTCAGTATGACATTCTTTTTCTGAAATGCTGTGTTGGTTTTATGCCAGACATGACAGGATGCACACTGTCCAAAGAGCTCCACTTTTGTCTTGTCTGTCTACAGAATATTTTCCCAAAAGTCACTGAGTTCATCAAGATGTTTTTGGTAAGGATGAGACGGGCCTTGGTGTTGTCATTGGTCAGCAGTGGTTTTTGCCTCCCGTTTTAGTCCAGTCTCTTTCTTGTTGTTGAATTATGGACATTGACCTTAACTGAAGCAAGTGAGGCCTGCAGTGCTTCAGAAGTTGGTCTGGGTTTTTTGTGACCACCTGGATGAGTCGTTGATGTGCTTAATTACTTTTTCACAGGTTGGCCAGGTTGGTTTGGATATTTTCTTTTCTCTTAATAAATGAAACTATGATATTCAAATTTGTTTGATGATCTGACATATGTACTGTAGGTGTGACAAAAATGCAAAAACAGAAGAAATCTGTCACAAGAAAATATTTTTTCACAGCACTGTACACTGCAGCGAGTCAGCAAGGAAACCTTTGGCTATTTTGACTTCCTGTTTTTGAGCTAACATTTGGGTACTTTTTCACAGCACTGTAGGTCAAAGGTCAGCCTTCCTCCTTCATTTTAATGGATGGGACACAAGCCATACTACAAAATCAAAATCCAAACAGGGTGAACAAGACAGGTTCACCCTGCTCACTGTACATTATCCTGCTTATTACCCAACAAAGGACGAGTATTGTTATGAAGCGATCAATATCCTCAACATCAAAACAGAAACTCTAATGATTATGTTGATGGGTTGTTCAACAGACTAATAATCCTGCTCCCAAGCGTCATTTAGTTGATCAAACATGCACACCTCTATATAGATACAAATAATCTGACACTTGATATTGATTCGGAGATTAAATTAAAAAGTTATCTATTTATTTCCATGGCAATGGTATATTCTCAGTCGCCTTGGCTGAATTAAAATTGCAACAATGGTTAAGATAAAACACTGGTATTTTCTCATTGCATCAAGAGATGAACAGACAGCAGCACCTGATCAAAGTCTTTTTCTCTGTAACTTTCTATCCACGATTCTGTTTTCTTCAATTAGGACAACATCCTGTATCTGTGCTGTTATCCTCTCCTCTCTCCTTTTCTTTGCTGATCAGCCAGTGACCACAAAACTTTGGCTTAGTCCGTTTTTAATCAAAGTAATATCAATAATATTATCCATGTTGTTAACCAATTTAAAATGCGAACTGTTTTTGCTGCAAATGCACTGCAGACATGGATCGCAATCATAGACTGTATATAGAATGGACACCGTCTGCCTCCCTGTTGGGTGAAGTCACCCCTAGAACAGCATCCTCAGGTGAGGGGATGCAGTATAGGTCATAAATCCTGCCTCCTCCAGCCATCCCTATGGAGTTGTGGACAAACTTTACAAATTTATGACACAGAATATAATTTTTTCTCCCTCCTGGTTGCGATGTTGACATGTATTTACTGTAAGAGTAGTTTGTGCTCAAGTCTTTCTTCTGTACAGCTCCATTTTTACAATGTATTAGGGGGTTCTTTTTTTCTATGATTTACACTTAATAAAGCTTATGGGCTGCGAAGATTACGTAGCTCACCTGGGGGATACTCTGTTTGAGCCGAGAGCCATCACAGCGACTCTCCCACTGAATGCTTACAATGCTATGGCGCCAGTGGTGGAGTGCGTACAACGCTACTGCGCTATGTTGATTTCAGGAAGTGGAGAAAAAACACAGAAATACCGAGAGCTTTTCGGCTTCAAATCCGTATACTGGTGGAAAGCGGAACTAAGTTGTCCATAGTATATTCAGTATATTCAGGAACCAGGCCATTAACTTTGATTAGATTTTTTAAATTGTTGTTATGAGGCTTCAACCTATCAAAATCAGATACTGAACACAGTCGGATACTAAGATGCAGCAACTTACGTCGTGCAGTAGAAAGGGTTATAAAACTATGACTGACAGCATTGTTGACAGCAATTATGCAATGATATATATCAGACTGGTCACGGACAGTCCATACCTGTGAGTGTGTACCACAAACCAACACAAGTAGTTGTTCTTCTTTTGCAAGTCAAATGAGGTCAATGGTGCAAAATCTCTGCATTATGTCGAGTACTATAGTTTCCCTTTTGCTGCATGGGAAGAAGGTAGAAACATCTTTGTCATCTTTATATAATCAATAAAGGGTAAAGAATTATATTTTAGATGAAGCTGTTGTCTGGACACAATACCAGGAGTTGTCATACAATAGCATTTAGAGAAACATGAGGCCCAGAATTGAGCTCTGAGGTACTCCCAAGCCAAAGATCCTATCTGCATGGGGTGTGCTCATCAGTATTCTGTGTAGCAAGTAGACACTGTAAGGAGAGAGCTCTCAAAACATTTCATTGTTACAGAGGTGTCCATTCAGCAGTCAATGGTAATGGGATACTTCTTGAAAGATGTCAAAACATACTGAACACTGCTAGGAGGTGATCATTATTACTAACTGCATTTCTCTTTTTCGAGGTGACAAGGCACGAATCACCTGTGTAGATATGGAGCACCTGGGCCCACAGATCCACAAGCCTGAGTCTCTCACTCTCTCTCTCTCTCTCTCTCTCTCTCTCTCGACTGTTGCTGCACAGACTTGTTTGTCTTGTTTGATTCATTCATACCCATACATTATATTTAAACAGACACACCCACACTTACATTAACCATGCTACAAATACAGGTCTGTTCTTGCTGTTCATTTAAAAATATTACCTTTTGTAATTATATATATGTAAATCTATCTATCTATCTATCTATCGATATGTAAATACATATGTGTGTGTGTGTGTGTGTGTGTGTGTGTGTGTGTGTGTATAAACATACTGAACCAGGCTTGTTTAACGCAGGGTCTAAGGGCCCACACACTGCTACCATTGGATTTTCTGACATCCTTAATTTTTATCTGCAGAGAGCCATATTTGGGCGATTTCATTTAAGTGCAAAAAACATTTTAAATAGGTAGTGGGAACATATAATTGCTATTCAACATGAAGTTGCCGTAAGTAATAAAGAAGCATCACCTAAACTATCAATATTCCTCCGTGATTTCATTTTGTAAGCTACTGGTTCATAGCCACAAGTGGGACATTCAGCAGACATTTCTCCTCTGTTGTCCTCAAATGGTGGAATGAATAACCCAACTTCATTTGATCTGCAGAGTCCTTCTACTTTTAAAAGACAGCTAAAGACTCAGCACTTTAGAGAACACTGAGCACTTAGGCCATTCTCCACCGTTGTCCCCAGTGGTTGAATGAGTCTTTTAGGTACAGCTGATTTGCACTGTCCTGCTCTACTTTGGGAATTTCATATTCAGCACTTAAGTGACCCTGCACTTGGTACCTTAGTAGTTTTTGTGGTAATGATGACAGGTCTTAAAACGATTTCTCCATATTGGTGTCCATCGACTGTATAGCCTATTATGAGTAGCCTCCGTTTAGATAAAAGCGTGTGCTTTTAACATAGTAACATTTAAATGCTGCAACTGTAAACGAGGATGAAGCTTATGTTGGAAGTTCATTTCGCTCGAAATGTTTCATTGAAGTAGGCTACCGTGTAAAGGTGCAAGAACAACCGGTGTACCAACAAACAAGCCCAGGCTGGCCATTTTCCGGCTGTGCCTGGATCTCGTTGCCATGGGGATGACGTCATGCTGCAGCACAGGGATGAACAGCGCAGCTGCGGATGAAGGGAAGGGCGAGAGAGAGAGAGAGAGAGAGAGAGAGAGAGAGAGAGAGAGAGAGAGAGAGAGAGAGAGAGAGAGAGAGAGAGAGAGAGAGAGAGAGAGAGAGAGCTCTCCTGCTGCCATTCAACCAGACTGTCGACTGAACCAACTGGTTAAAGACCGACTCGACACCGAACCGGAGTCCGTCGCTACAGCCTTCCCTGTTACTCTCTGTTTGATCCTCCACACCGCAGCGACAACATGCGTGAGATTGTGCACCTGCAGGCTGGCCAGTGCGGGAACCAGATTGGAGCAAAGGTATGAAATCTTGACACAGACGCTCGCCTGCATTTTCGAGTAGGCAACCTGTTAGTTTTCATGGGAGTGAATCCGATCCATGTTTGAGCGTATTTTGCTAATATGTCAGCTGTGAGGCCTCGCTGAGCACAGGAAACTGTAAATAGGTCAACATTGTGGAATGAAGACTGTTGTGTAAGAGGGTACAATAGCATCGCTTAGGATGGGCGGTGGCAAGCCGAGACATCCCTGCTGCTGTCGCTGATGCCAAATTCACGCACAGATTAACGCACACTCATGTGTGTGTTTGTGCGTGTACGTGTATGTGACAGAGGGAGGGGTGTGGCTCAGACACCGAATGCCCTGGAACGCCGGCAGGCGGACATGCTACATCAACTCATACATACGGACACACACTGATACACAAATATCTGGTCATATTTTACAGATTTCATGATTAAAAAAAACCCTGAAAGTTGGTGTCTGTCATCGTCTCTGATCACTGCTTCAGTCAATGGGCGTTGGTTAAGATGCACTCACCACAACTGATAGGCTTGAAAAAAATAGATTATTAGTCAAGAGAGGCAATCTTCTAATCGTTTTTTATTATTATTGTATTAAGATACAATAAGATTAGACAATTAAAAAACTTAAACAGGAGACATCTGCAGACCGCACAAAAAATGAACAGAGCATTTTTGCATTGAACTCATAAACTGATTACTGATATTATCAACTGTCTATCAACATCACACTGGATTGAGATATGTAAATGTCAGATAAATTCAGATGCAATCTTATCTACATGTAATTTGACTAAATGTACCCATTGACCTGTCCCTGTAGTTCTGGGAGGTGATCAGTGACGAGCACGGCATTGACCCTACAGGAACTTACCATGGAGACAGCGACCTGCAGCTCGACAGAATCAATGTCTACTACAATGAGGCTTCAGGTCTGTAGCAGCATCACTGTACATATAAATGCAATAGTCCTGTGTGGTTCGATTGTTTAATTTATGGACTTGTGCTTAGGTGGGAAGTATGTGCCGAGGGCCATCCTTGTGGATCTGGAGCCAGGCACCATGGACTCTGTGCGCTCTGGCCCCTTTGGACAGATCTTCAGACCTGACAACTTTGTCTTTGGTGTGTGATCAGTTGATTCAAAAGTTGATAAATTAGTAAGACTCAGAACTATCAACCCTGTTTAGCTTTTTTTTTACTGATTCAATGCTAATATTCAAAGTTTAATGAACCTTTTCCTTCCAGGCCAGAGTGGAGCTGGTAACAACTGGGCAAAGGGTCATTACACAGAAGGGGCTGAGCTGGTGGACTCAGTCCTGGATGTAGTGAGGAAGGAGGCTGAGAGCTGCGACTGCCTCCAGGGTTTCCAGCTGACACACTCACTGGGCGGGGGTACTGGCTCTGGCATGGGAACACTGCTCATCAGCAAGATCCGTGAGGAGTACCCTGATCGTATCATGAACACGTTCAGTGTGGTGCCATCCCCTAAGGTATTGCAGTCATGTTGTGCTGATCTGTTCTTCTTCCTCGGTTTCTTTTTCTTCCCTTTACGTTTTTATGTTGTGCCTACAGGTATCAGACACAGTGGTGGAGCCATACAACGCCACCCTGTCTGTCCACCAGCTGGTCGAGAACACAGATGAGACTTACTGCATCGATAATGAAGCTTTGTACGACATCTGCTTCCGCACCCTCAAACTCACCACGCCTACTTACGGAGACCTCAACCACCTGGTGTCCGCTACCATGAGTGGGGTGACAACCTGCCTGCGTTTCCCCGGTCAGCTCAATGCTGACCTCCGCAAACTGGCCGTTAACATGGTGCCCTTCCCCCGTCTGCACTTCTTCATGCCCGGCTTTGCCCCTCTCACCAGCAGAGGCAGCCAGCAGTACAGGGCTCTCTCCGTGCCTGAACTCACCCAGCAGATGTTTGATGCCAAAAATATGATGGCTGCCTGTGACCCACGCCACGGCCGTTACCTGACTGTCGCTGCCGTGTTCCGTGGCCGCATGTCGATGAAGGAGGTGGACGAGCAGATGCTGAATGTGCAGAACAAGAACAGCAGCTACTTCGTGGAATGGATCCCAAACAATGTGAAGACAGCCGTGTGCGACATTCCTCCACGCGGGCTCAAGATGGCCGCCACCTTCATCGGAAACAGCACAGCCATCCAGGAGCTATTCAAGCGCATCTCTGAGCAATTCACTGCCATGTTCCGCCGTAAAGCCTTCCTTCACTGGTATACAGGCGAGGGTATGGATGAGATGGAGTTCACTGAGGCCGAGAGCAACATGAACGACTTGGTGTCCGAATACCAGCAGTACCAGGACGCCACTGCTGAAGAGGGAGAGTTTGAGGAGGAGGGGGAGGAAGAGGTTGCCTAAGGCTAAAATCATCATCACTCTTTATCTCCACTTGTCATAAGTACATCCAACCAACCACCACCTTATTTAACCCCTACTCTGGTTTCTTTCTTTTTCGTGCTGCACCGCCCTCACTTCCCTCCTCTTCTGTTTCGGTTTGTCTGACTCTCTTTCCCCTATCCCTTCAGTCAGAGTGGAACCCACAACACTAAATTCTCTCTCTCATTTTACTCCACATGTCAAGGTAGCTAACAAAGGTGTGCTTGTGGTTTTGGTCAGTAGTTCTCTGTTTATGTTATACATTCTGTTTCATACTTGGACCAAGTATTCAATAAAAACTCATGTGGATGTCATCACTTGTCTTATTTGGCATTAATCCGAATAAATTTATTGTAACAATATACTTTTGTCTCTGTCATGTTAGAAATATTCAGATATTTACAAGGAGTTTTAATTTATTTGTATCTTAAACTAATAACGATGAAAAGAACAAGATACTTGATTATTGCTGGAATACAGTATACTTCCTATGAGCAACCAAAAACAAACTCAAATAACAAAAACATTCTACAAAGCCAAATTTAAATTCATCGGTCGCACAGATGGTGTCACTGTATGAGGGCAAACCAAAATGGAGACCAGCAAGATGTACACTGAGCAATTCCACTCATACACCACAAGGGGGCAGTATACCATGCAAGTCTTGAGCCCCTCACAGACAGCAGTAAAAAAAAAACCTGTGTGCCTCTTTTCCAAAATGACACCTGTAACGCTAACTGCTCTGTAATAAGTCAAAATACTTATTTTTAAGAAAATTAATTTATAGGGGAAAAAACTGAATGAATCTTCTCAGCGGGTTGTAGATTTTTATAGCTTGATAGTTCAAGACCTTTTCATAGAGATTTGTGATAAATCATTAAAAGCTGCCTCTGGACCTTAAGGCTGTAACTGCAGATTAATCCTGATCAAATTTAGGTTTCAGTCTTGAGGTAGTCGTATGACGTAAGTTATGCAGGTTTTTTCTGTGCACACCGACAGATTACATAGACTGAGAGATCAGGAAGTGTTCTGTCACTCTGAAGCTGATTGTGCAGACTGTGGCTGCTGCTGCCACTGTCTGCCTTCCTCAACATCACTGGGAGGAGTGGCTTTAATTCCGCACAGCCCCTGAAAACCTGGACTCTCCTGGACCAACACATGGACACACACCCATCCAGACAGCATGGGTTCCAGACTGAAGTAAGTAAAATGTTTTTTTTTTCTCGTCTTCCATCTTCATCACTGTAGACGTCACCCTGTTCTTGTGGTTTTATTACTTCCTCTCACAAGTGCACAGGAAGCTTCCTGCTGCGTTTCTATTGCCTTTTATATGTTGTCATACACTTCATAGTAAACCTATTCTGTTAAGCAACAAAACAGATACATTTCTGAATATTTTAGTGAATTACAGCCACTCATCCACTTAATCTCAGTAAATCTCTGTTAAATATTGTCCCTAAAGTGTATCTGTTCTTCGATGATCTGGAACATCTTCCTTCAGTTTTAATTAAATACACAATCATAACTGTTTGTCAGGCTCCTTGTGTATTTGCACAGAAAATTTTAGGTTGCTAACACTCTCGAAGTGTTATCTCACACCAGTGCTGTGACTCTTTTTCCTGTCAGACAAAACCCTGAGCAAACCTTCTACTGGTTCTTTGAGGCAACTTGCCCTGTAGCCAGAGACAAAGGTGAGTCCTCAGTCTTCACTCACAGCTGCTCATGTCTTCTCTAAATATAAGCATTCAAATGCGCAGAGTAATTTATCAGCAACAGAGAACTTGACTGAATTTGTTCCTCAGTTTCTTCCTGTTAGTCATTTCTGTTTTGGTTATTGTTCTCCGTAACACCCTGCTCAGCAGACTGTTTACTACCATCTAGAAAAAAGCTCACACTCAGTCATGAGTGTTTGAATAAATAAGAAAAAGTCATAAGTGAAGATGTATCTGCCAAGCTGAGAGTTGCTCACACTTCCTGTCATGTGACCAGAAAACCACACAGCTTGTGTAGCCTCATTTTAAAATAGATGGAAGCATGTTGAAGTAATCTACTAGACTGAGCAGCAGAGCTTGACCTGGAGGTGTTAAAAGCACTGAAAGCACTTCACTGGATTTTAATTTGGATTTAATTCACCCATATTTTAATCATCTGCTGTTAAACTATCAGTATCTTCTTTGTCTCTCCTTAATATTTCAGGTTTTCAGTTGCAGTAGTGTTGGTCTAAATATTTAGGGCTGCTAAAAGAGTTTTAGGGAGTATTCGTTGTGATTTTCGGTCACTGGTTTGTTCTTTCTTTATTGCTACAGACCCCGGTGTGCTTTTCCAGTTTCCAGAGGACTTCAGTGATGAGGTACACATGCTACCTGCTTCTAGAAATAATAAAGCTTATAATACTGATAACTTACAATAATAAACATTTTTGCTGACAAGCTGAAACATTCTGACCCTGAAAAACTCTGATTATCCTTTTACTGTGAGACCTGTCAGTGAGTGGGCTATGATAGGCAGTTGTAGTTTATTGGGCTCTTAATTGAAGGAATTTTATTTTGAATTTGGTGTTTAAGTTCCACCTTGCTTTTGTAGTCTTCCCTAAATGTCCGTTCTTGAAGACAGGCTGGTACATTTCAAACAAAGACTTTATGAATAATAGATGTAACCCCATTACAACACTACTTGTTTGCCAGCTTCATTTAAAAGCTTTGGATTTTGCATTATGGCCATTACGATGTTGTAAATGTAAATGAAATAGACTTTTAAAGGGATATTTCGGCGTAAATTTAAGTGAGGGTCAAACACATTGTAACAGAGTTAAACACCCCCTCGTGAGATGAATGTTGATGAAAGCTGACTGCTTGCTTCTCTAGTTATACCGTGACAATCGCACAATAGCAATACACAGTGGTCTACGTCTCCACACACAAACTTCAACCACAAAGTCACTCTATAGCCACAAATAATGCTCAGAGCAGCACTAACTTCATCAACAGTAAATATAGGGTCCTAGCCATAGTATTAGCCATCAAACATCTTTTTAGCTTTGCCTGATTTCTTTAGCAAAGAGACTTAACACAACTCACCCACTCTCCTCCAGCAGCCGCTTGTTTGTCGGGGAGCCCTGATGAGTCGATCACAGAGTGCAGTGGAAAATTTATGATTATTACTTCATGGAAATGCAATCAGACCGAGACACTAAGGCAGAAGAACTATCATGCCTTCAGTGCAAAATCATTATTATGATGATTATTACTTCATGGAAATGATCCACTGCACTCAGTGATCGACTCATCAGGGCTCCCTCACAAACAAGCAGCTGCTGGAGAAGAGTGGATGAGTTGTGTTTGATCCCTTTGCTGAAGAAACCAGGCAAAGCTGACAAGATATTTGGTGGCTAGTACTATGGCTGGGACCCTACATGTACTGTTGATGCAGTTAGGTGCTGTTCTGAGAATAATTTTATGGCTATAGAGTGGCTTTTTGGTTGAAGTTTGCACATGGCGAGGTAGACCGCTGTGTATTGCTATCGTTTGGTTGTTACTAAATTTGCTATAACTAGTGAGGCAAACAGTCGGCAACATTCATCTCTCGAGGGGGTGTCTAACTTGGTGTTACGGTGTGTTTGACCCTAATTTAATTTTGCCCTGGAATATCCCTTTAATCTTCAATATTGAGTACTAACCTGCCATCTAAACTGCACTATCCTTGAAACTTGTTTTCATTTTATTTTATGCATTTCCTCTTTGCATACTCCCAAAAAGCATTTTGAGTTGCAGAACTAAACTTCACGTTGATTTTATTTGCTATTTGAACAGAGATGAAATATTTTCAGTGTAAACTTTGAGATCTGTATGGACTAATATTACATTGCATGAACATATTTCTGTCTCACTCCAGGAGTCTTGCCAAACTTTACCCAGGTTCTGCTTCCCCTATGACATACAAAGGTGAGTTCAGACCTTTGAAGAATTGTGGCTGCTGATACCAGATGACTGGGCATCATTTGTCCCTACGACCTGCCCTGTCTTGAGGTCAAGTTCAGAGTGTGTGTTGTGGTTATGATATTAAAGCATTTGTCCCAGATCAGTATAGTTTTCTTTTGTTTTGCACCTGATTGGAGGGAAGAGGAATCATCATCTGCATTCTCTGCTAGGCAGAGCCTGTACTGTGTACTCTCATCTTGTCCTCAGGCAGATAAAGTTCAAGGTAGAGGCATCATAACTGTAGGTGATGAGCTTGAGAGGCCCCCTGCTTCCTAACTGGAGCAAGCCAGCTTAAGTAGCCAAAACATGTTTACAGAACGGGGCCAATTTTGCCCCAAATTATTACATGGCTCACGTAAATTAAAGTAAGGAACACTAGAGTTGCTATTTGATTTTTGGGGGGACAGTTAGTGGTGCAACACTGCCTTGCACTTGCTTTGTTAATTGGACAGTGTCTTATAAATGCAGGTTTAGTGGACACAAAAGCTGCAGTAGTCTTTTGTGGATCACTGATTAGCCTGTTTACTTAAATGTAAATCACATAATATTTTCCTCTGCACAGAGTAAGGGATGGAGTGGCTGTGCAGCACTTTACTTTTGTCTTGACTGACCTGGAAGGATGCCAACGATTTGGCTTCTGTCGTCTCACCAACAGCACTCACACCTGCCTCTGCATACTCAGGTACACCTGTCAGAGGCCGCGTGAATGTTTGACTGGTTCAGCTTCATTTTCAAGGAAATGTTAAACCATGTCTTTTAAATTGTGATGGACACCTGTGTAAATTCATTTGATTACAGTTATCTGCCCTGGTTTGAAGTGTTTTACAAACTTCTCAACAACTTGGCTGATTATCTCATTAAAGGACAGGTGAGTTTACACCTCTGACAGTACTCTCTGCTTCTTTGTTATTTCTGTGTCACCCACTGTTGGATGTGTACAACTTGTCTGGTATCTGTCTTCTTAACAGACCAGTGAGATGAAAGCACTCCTTGCTGCCCTCTACAAGCAGCCCATACCGCTGGCAGCGGGATCCGTTGTTTTGCAGATGGTAAATCTTCAATAAGCTGATAAGAACAAAGGCTCACTCTTGACTTTATAGCTTTTTTGTGGTTATTTTTTTCTGAGGGAGAGCAGCTTATGGTCAGCACAGAGGTGTCCCATCCTGTTGGACACGAAGAGGGACAAGAGGGGGTGAGTCCTGCAGGAGTTTATGTAGTCTGGAGCAACAGCTGAGCACATACAGACTAACTCCTGCTGGAAAATAATGCTTTGTCTGCTTGAAGGCTAGACTTGGTGTGGGGACTAAAACTGTGCCATGCATTCCTCTAATAAAATATTCAAATAAATGTATAATACTATTTTCACTAACATAAATCTGTTAACTCTTTAATACACAAATAATCCATTAACACTCTGACCACATAAGAAATGCTTGTTTTATATGAAATATCTTTGTGGCTCTAACCTGCTGTTGGTTTTGCTGTCTGGAAGTTTGTATTTGTAGAGCTTTATTTCAAAATAGAAAGGGATTAAAAACAGATTTTTTTTTTTCATTTTTGTTGGATTGACTGCAGTTGCAAACTGATGTTATCACAGGTTCAAAAATTTATGTTTGTATTATTTTGGACTTACCACAGAACACTTAACACAATGACAGATCATATGGGCCATGAGTAAAAATAGATACAGTAAGTACGATGTGATGGATCAGATGCTTTAGTTTAAAGTGACCTACATTTGAAAGTAAGTACAACACAAGTAAAGATCCAGACAGAATGACTGAGCATGGTGAAGTGACACAAACTGCTTCATGTCTAATTGGACAAAGTGCTGCCATGCAGTATTAAAGGGCAATCTCCAATTTTGGGAGTTAGGGTTAAAAGAGAAGAGGGACTGTTATAGAAAAATTATACATAATAAAGTTTAAATTTGTAAGAAAAAGCTTAGACAATCTTCAAAAAACAGTCGAGCAAAAATTAGACATCAATTACTGTATGTTATTTTCAATATAAGATTTTAAAGCTACTTAGTGCTCTGTCAGTCAAAAAAATACGAAAAACACACAGAATCTGGGAGGATAGTAAAAGACTACAGTTAAATTCTCTGATAGTTAGACCAACATTTAGAAGCTGAAGAGTTAGCATGATAGCACCTTACAGCTTAATAAGTAGGGGTTGGGTGTTAAATAATGGGAAAGTATCAGTCAAGATAGAAATAAAGATGAGGACAGTGTCTGTAATATGTAGTCTTGTTGAGTGTTTTTCCTGTGGTTGTTTTTAAAAAGCAAGCAGCCACCTTTTGTGCTGATATGTGTGTTTTAGTTTACCCCGTTTCACATCTTCACGAAGCAATCTTTGTTGGAATAGATTTATTTTCTATTAAAACAGCAACTATAATCGAAGGAAGGAGAAAATTCCAAGTTTTATTCTGGTGAATTTGTCGGCTGTCTTATCAACTGATAATTCTTTTACAGCCTTATTGGTTTCTGCAACAAAAAGCTTACTGAATTTTGGAGTGAAAATCTCACAACTGGACTTTTTTTTGTATGTCTGAGCACAGTATAAATCATCTGTAAGAGTAAATACTTCTAATACCCCAAGTGTAGTCTTAAATGTTTTGTTTGCTTTGTTTTGACCAGATTCCTTACTTCATCGCTCCAGACCCAAGAAGCCTTCCTTCCATCCCTGAAAATGTGAGTATGGAAGATGTGGAATGACAGGGATTTGAGCGCTCTTTTTTGTCTGTTCTGCCTGATATCTGTGTGTGTGTGTGTGTGTGTGTGTGTGTGTGTGTGTGTGTGTGTGTGTGTGTGTGTGTGTGTGTGTGTGTGTGTGTGTGTGTGTGTGTTTGCAGAGGAACCTGACTGAGCTGATTGTAGCTGTCGATGTCGGGAACCTGCTCCAGCTCTATGCCAGTATGCTGTTTGAGAGACGTATTCTCATCTTTGCCAGCAAACTCAGCACTGTAAGACATTTGATATTCAGTTTTCTCTTTTTTTACTTCTTAGCACAGTGGCACATAATCCTTAGAAGCTCCTACACACCAGCTTTCACTGAACCCATAATGGCAGTCACCACTTCAGCTTCTGCTGAATGCAAATGTTTAGAAACAGAGCTCAGTGCAGCCACAAGTAGCCTCAGGGTACTGTCTCAAAGTCACACAGAGGCTGCAGTCTGGTGGACCACAGAGCAGGCTTGTGTGTCCTGTGTTCTGTATCTGAAACAGTCTTCCTCCATTGTGTGTTTTTGTGTAGTTGACGTCTTGTGTGCATGCTCTGAATGCTGTACTGTACCCCATGTACTGGCAACACATCTTCATCCCCGTCCTACCCCCTCACCTCCTGGAATACTGCTGGTGAGAACTCACTCTACCCATCCACCCACCCACCCACCCACCTACTTATCTGGCCACCTTACCTCCTACTTACCTGAATAACTTTCCAAAAACCTACCCACCTGGCTTCCTGACTGGACACTTCCTTATTCATTAACCTCACCTTTCATTAGACCTGCTCGCCTACTTTACAGCCTACCTTGTCACCTAAACACTGAACTAACTATCTTCCTATCTATAAATAGTACATGCGCTAGTCACACCACATTCACACTCTCATGGCAGCTTTGTAAATCACCTATCAGTTTTAAACTCATCATATACATACACCCTACTCACCTTTTTGTGTTGTAACATAAAACAATGACTTTTTTTCCCCCAGTGCACCCATGCCTTATCTAATAGGGGTCCACACCAGTCTTTCTGAGGTAAAGAATTCTTAAACACAAGTGCTTTTTTAAATAATGATCCATACTTAACTACCAAAGCTTGAGCTTTTTGTAACGGTACAATTTTGCTTTATTTGGATTTCTGCATTAACTTTGTCTCTGCGTGCATGTCAGAGGGTGAGACGTAATGGGTTGGAGGAAGTTGTCATCCTGAACGTGGACACAAACACTCTGGAAACCCCCTTTGACGACCTAAAAAAGATACCGTCTGATGTGGTAATTGGCACTCTGAATGTAGTTTTGAGTTTAAAATGTGTTTGTGTTGAAGTCCCCAAGCAGTTTTACATTTGAGTTGTAGAAAAATACCTAAGAAATCTAAGGCATTGACGAGGTATAGCACTTAAACCCTGGTACTGTACTTTTATTTTATCAGCCGACAGTGCTGTTCTTCGAGAAGGGATGTAGTGGGGTCTGAAAATTTTGGCAGGGTGACTAAAACTACAAAGTTGCACATGATTCTTGCAGGCCTGAAATGGTTCATCCACACTTGAAAACAATCTTGATAATGAAATTATAAACAAAGGATTGTTATGACCCCAGTCAGGGTAGCATTTTTGAGTAGCTACAGCAGCAGTTGCTCTGTATGTGTGTACTGCAGTGTGTCACAGCATACTGTATGTGGATATATGTTTCCAGATGTCAGGGCTGAAGGTGTGTTTGAAGCGCCAAGCGGTGGCTCCTGGCTGTGGTGTCTCAAAGGCCTTCCTCAAAGCTCAGGCTCTGCTGTTTGGAGGCTACAGAGACGCCCTGCAGGGTAACCAGGTAAACCACCCTTTAAAAAAACAAAACAAAAAAAAACACTTCCCTCTCTCCACTTGCCTGTTCAATCCACTGTCTTGTCGCTAAAAAAAGTTTGTTCACAGGAGCCTTTATGTACTTTTCTTTCTTTGAGAGGAACCAGAAAAGGAGAAAAGATGTGTTTGTATCTCTTTTCTGACTCTCTTTGCAGGAGGGTGAAATGTGTTTCAGTGAAGAGCTGTTTCTAGACCACAAGTCACCCAGCATGAGGCAGTTCCTTCAGAGTGCAGTTCACTTGCAGTTCTTCAAACAGGTACAGGTCATATACCGCACCCTACTGGACAAACACTGTACCTACCACATTGGAAGACCTTTTCAAAAGAGAATACAGTTATTGTAATCGTGCAATATTGCTAAATCGAATGAAATGAACAGTTAAACTGTTACAAAGTCATGAAAATACACTAAGTTTTCTTTTGCTTGGGATTTCTTTTTGTTTCTATTTTCTGGGATAAAAACAAATGACCAAATATGTTTTTCAGTTTATTGATGGCCGCCTTGATATTCTGAACAAAGGAAAGGAACCAGAGGATCTATTTGAGGAGGAGATCTTGAAGTGTGAAACAGCTGCAGGTGTGTACGCCTCTGTGTTAGTGCCAACATTTTTAGTCTTATTTATTTTCTGTTTAACTATTTGTATCTCTACTTGTTTATAGGACTGGGCAAGTCTTATCAACATCTGGTTGGTAATTTAAAGGTAAGCTTACTCAGTCAGTGAAATGTTTCTCAAAATCGTTTTCATCTTGTTGAAAAAATAGAAACATAGATAGTTTGTGCTTTCTGCAGAAGGGTGGAGGAGCACTGATCCTGAACATGAGGTCCAAAGCAAACACAAGGGTAGGCATAGTTGCCGAGTTTTTGTTTCTGTAGGAGGTAAATGAATCAAGTTCGTAATATCAAATCATTCCTCTTTATGATCATGTGCATCTTTCTCAGGCTAAAGGTCTTGCCAAGTCTGGTTTGAAAAACTTGCTGATGCCCAAGGTGGGTCAGTGTTTTTGTTTGTGCAAGCTTAGACTGACAAAAATCCTACCTGAGTTTTATTAATATACAAAACTTGTGTTGTACATGTGTAATGCAGACCCACAAAGAAGATCACTCTCTTCAGAGAGGAGGATCAGTGACACACCGTCGTGCTCAATCAGACTGTTTGCAGAGCCGACTGCCAATCACACCGCACTTTGGGATGGTGAGATGAACATTATCTCTTTCTTTTTTTGCAGGTGTTGCTGTTTTGCAAATCAGTTGAACCCTTCATTCAACTGAAATGGTGCAAAGACAACAAATCTGATTCTAAGTACTGAAAGTGAAAAATATAATCTTGTGTACTTTTGAATAGATGATCATTTTAAATTCGTTTCCAGTGGCATGTCTTTAAAAAGCTGGGGCATGCTTTCTTTTGTTTGAGACCTTTTCTTTGATAAAGTTGAGACATTTGGAGACTGAGGAGACCATTCTCTGGAGTTTTAAAGGGAAATCTGGTCCCGTTTATGTCAGATTCAGAATTCGAGCTTCTCAACAGTTTAGGGTCTCCTTTGCAGTATTTTTTTAGGACTGCAAGAAGGTTAGTATAGCACCTGGACTCCTCTTCTACAGAGCCATACTGGCGTGATACGTGCAAAATGTGGTTTGGCATCTTCATGGTTTTACTTGAAAAGGCAATGTTTGTATGGCAGCATTTGTTGCTCCAAAACCTGTATATATTGTCAAGCATTATGGTGCCTTTTTGGATGTGTACAATAGTTACTTGTGCATCCCAATACCATTCAGGACTGATAGGACACTGGGTCCTCTATTTCCTCTTTAGATCAGAGGATCAGAGCATCTGTGATTTAAAAAAAAAAAAGTAGGACAAATGTTGTTTTGTTAGAGCACAAGACAGTTCTTCGCTTCGCTTCAGATAATTTTAAATCAACTTGGGCATGGAGAAATTAATGACTTTTCTGGATCATGTATATAGTTTCCTCTTGATGTCAGTTGAATATAGGGTCTAAATGATTTGCAAACCATCCAATTCTGCTTCATCAATGTTTTACACAGTGTTCTTTCCCTAATGATAAATGATAAAAATTTGAAATAAACTCCATCTCCAAAAATCCTCATCTGAACTCATTCTGCCTGTACTGCTCTTTGTGCCCCGATATTGCTCCACGTCTTTTGCTTTCTGTTACACATCCCAACACATTTGACTTCTGTTGGGGTATGTTGTGTTGCTTTTGTGTTGCTGTTGTTTTGCCTTGTTGCTCCATGTTGCTTCGTGTCAGTCACGTCCCCGTCGGCCTGTTCATCAATACAGGCCTTCTGGAGCTGAGGAGGGCACGAAGGATCCTGGAGAAACATGGGATGGGTGAGAGAAAAATGGACAGACAGGAAAACAGATAACAATCCACAGTTTGTTTTTGTCCTTTTTGTGTGATTTGGTTTTCAATCTCTGCTCATCAGAGCTGTGCCTGGGACTGTGCTTGAGTCTGACTCTGATCTCCAGAAGGATGTAGACGAGGAGCAAGAATCCCCACTGTGTGACTCAGAGGAGATGGATCTGCTGGGGGAGATCTTTGACACGCTCAGTTCCCGCAGCCTTCATGAACGCGGCCTACTGTACGGCACACGCAGCCTGGACCTGTTTGGATCAGACAGCCATGACTATATCACAAAGGTAAGAAGATGAAGACCTAATACACACACACACACACACACACACACACACACACACACACACACACACATGAATGTGATTTCTGGTCTTACAACAGTTGGTCTTGTCCTCAAGCTTGGTTTTCCAGCCAACCCCAGCCAAGAAAGCCTGGCCTTGTCTGCAAGCGGCAGCGGCAGCTTGCTCAGCTGGAATCACGAAGAGGAGCCATCTGAGCTGACAGAGGACCTTGATTGGCCGAGCCTGGGTGCCAGTGAGCCACAAGTGGAAGAGACGGAGAATCTACTGGCAGCGTGTGAGATAACGGAGAAAGAAAGTGGACAAGAACAGGAAGAATTTAATGCAGCAACAAATAGGAAGCAAGAAGATGAAACAGAAGACAGAACTGACTTTAAGGAGGTGCAGTCAGAGGAAGAGAGAGAGACAGATTGTCAAGAAAAGAAAGAGAGTTTGGGCGAAGAAAGAGCAAAAGAAACAGCAGAGATTGAAGAGGCAGAAAGATTGAAAGAAGATGAGCAAAATCAGACTGACGGGGTAGATGAGAGTAAGGAGCTGGAAAATGGAACCAATGAAATGGAGAAAGATGTAGCAAGAGGAGAGGAGGAGAAAGAGAACCAGGAGAACAAACTGACCAATCTGACTCCCCATCATCCTGAGCCTGAACCTCCAGCAGCTCAGGACAAAAGAAAAGAAGAAGCAGTGAAGAAAGTGCTTTCTGCTGTAGCACGCTTCCAGTCTAAGGGGCCCAGCCAGAGCTTTCAGCTAAAGTCCAGGGCCAAAGACCTGAATGAACCTGAGAGAGTGTGGAACAAGTTTGAGAGCAGGGACAGAATGCAAACTCTCAGTACATGTGACTCAAATGTGTCCGAGAACAACAGCTCAGAGGGGCATAAGGAGGAGGAGCAAGAGCCCCCGCCAATCAAAGTGTCTGAGCTGAAGAAGAGATTTGAAGGTTAGAAGACTGAGCTAGGGCATGCTGATCTAGTATGGATGTTATTTTATAGAAAGAACTAAAAACTAATAATAAAAAAAATGATAATAGTGTTAATGTCAGAAAATGCTTCCTGATTTCTGTGGTCTTTCAACCACACCCTTTTCACTCACTCTCTGTCAGGAAGTGAACTGTACCTAAGAGGTCACACCCACAATAAAGACGAATGAAGACTCCCCTCACTTTTAAGAAAACAAGAATTTTATTTAACTATGGTTTCATGCTAAACCCTTTATAAGTTATTTACTCAAAATTCTCATACTGATTTAATCAGTTACTCCATCATGGCAGAAAAACCCTCCCAAAATTTAGGCTGCCTTTTTTGTTTTCCTCCAAAATTATTATTTCTTTTTAAGGCCCCTGCAAAACACCTCATGATCTAAAACTGTTCTTAAGACGAGAAATGTCTAATTTGGTACAGAGAGGCCTTGCTTTTTCCAAAGGGATTCTTACATGCATGCACCTGTTCACAATACATGACCTGTTATTACCAGGCTATACCGATTAAAGCTATCAACAAGGTGACTTAAAAAATTGATTCAAAGGTAATTTATTATCTCTTGATTTATTTCTTACAGCTAAAAATGTTCCCCCTCTTATTCTTTGATTGGTGGTGTTTCCATGGCAACAGATTCTTACAGCCTCCTTTGGAGCTCTCAGTTTTCAAGCCGTGCAGTGGCAAACCTCTGGACTTTTAAAATTGTTGCTATGGTAATATTACCACTAATGATAGCTTATTGCTCAGTCACTAACTTAGAAATTCCGTCAGCAGTCTTGATTTGCAGGACAGGGCCCAGTGTTAAAAAATAAGTTCCCCGTTGTAAGCGTTAGGGGTTTTCCACAATATTTACCAATTTGACACCCATGGAAATGCAGAGGTAAATGTGCCAGACTCCTTTATCTGTATTAAATTGATGTTAAGCATGCATGATCATATTGTACCCAGCTTTTTTTTGCTATGAAGAATTAGTTACTTTTGTTCTGGGCGTTTTGACCAAACAAAATCAAGAACTTTACACTGCTGATGCCAGGTAAGAAATGGTGTTAGATGTAGTCAGTAAGCAAGCATTGACCATTGCTAAAGTAACAGCCCACTCCCATTTCACACAGGGGTTTTGGAACAGTTTAAGAAAAACCATACAACCCTTAGACCCTTAAACATTGTTAATGTTGTTTCAAAGAGCTCTGTACAGGGATATTCTGGTGTAAAATTAAGTTAGGGTCAAACACATTGTACGACCGCTTTAGACCCTATGTTTATGTTTGTGGGGGGATCTCTGGACGAGTCAATCATCAAGTGCAGCGGAGTTTTGCAGCTCAAGAAAGAACATTTATGATCATTTCTTTATAGAAATGCAATCAGACCGAGATGCTAAGGCAGAAGAACTATCGCGTCTGCAGTGCAAAATGATGATTATTACTTCATGGAAATAATCCGTCGCACTCAGTGATCGTCTCATCAGGGCTTGCCCCACAACAAGTGACTGCTCAAGGAGAGTGAGTAAGTTGTGTTTGATGGATAGTACTATGGCTGAGACCCTATATGTACTGTTGATGAAGTTGAGTGCTGTTCTGAGCATAATTTGTGGCTAAAGAGCGGCTTTTTGGTTGATGTTTGCACATGGCGAGGTAGAGCGTTGTGTATTGCTGAAATTGGCATGACTAGAGAAGCAAGCAGGCAATATTCATCTCTTAACGGGGTGTCTAACTCAGTGTTATGGTGTGTTAGACCCTAACTTAATTTTACGCTGGAATATCCCTGTAAATCAGATGTATGACGCTCAAAGCAGACATTATGGAAGCTGGAGGAGTAATGTATTTCCTGCAGTAGAAATATGTCCTGAAGTATGTGTTTATCAAAATGAAGGAAAGGCGTTACCCTGTGTACCACACCTTTGTGTTTGCATGTTTTTGTACACCTTTTCAGTGGTTAAGAATGGGACTTTTTTGATAGTAATAAACGAATAACATCTCCAGAGGGGTACAAACAGTTTGTCAGTTCACTTCCCAGAGACTGATCAGATAGATAAAAGGGTGATTATGACTAAAAATAGGGCAAGTACAGTGCATGGCTAAAACAGAGACATTAAGGAGATGTGCATTCTATCACCTGTTCCCTCCAAAATACTGACACGTTTTTCAGGTGATCTATCCATTTTGGGAAAGTCTAAATAATTAAAAAACCCAGATAAACATAACTCTTTGAACACTGTTCCTCCATGCTGTTACTCAGACAAGGGGCAGAAAAAGGGCAGATACAGTATGTGCACATTTCATTTTAACTTAGAACTACTCTGGTGGCGTACATGCTATTTTCTATGTTTTATTTCATAACAAGCCACTCAGTTCATGACATAAAGTGCATCATAATCATTTGTGTGGTTTCATTTAAATCCTTCATCATTGGTGTAGTGAAAAAGATAGGTGACGCATAAATACACAACCAACATAATACAGCAGTAGAAAGACTAACCTCCTAGACTAACCGTACAAACACAACATTAAGTTTACTTTGGACCAGAGACAGAAAATTAAATAATGTACATCCTCGATCTGTGCAGTGAGACAGCTGATCCAACTGGCAGTCTGATCATGGTCCTTGATGTCACCCAGAGTAAACTGTGCAGCACTGACAGAGTGTTGTGTGTCTGAAGATTTCAGGTGCAATAGTCAAACATATATCCATGTAACATTTTACAGGAGTGGTATTGATCCACCAGTTTTGTCTCTTGGTGTCAAGGGGGTGAAAGTGTGGTTGACCATTTTGTCAGGTCCATCATATGAGGCGCTCTTCTTTGGGCAGAGGCAGAGGGAGGCCAGGTTTCTCTGATCCAGCTCCAGTAGTCTGTTTCTTTTCCTCTGCACTGGGCCTATATGTTCCCTCCATCTGTCTCTTCTTCTTGATCAAACACAGCAGCAGCAGCAGAGTCAGGCTGAGCAGGGACAGCACAGTGGACACAAAGACTGACACCGTATGTGGGATAAACATCTGCGTTGCCATGGTGATGGACAGCTAGGAAAAAAAAAACAACTTAGATACTCACCAAAAATGTTAAACTGTCACTAATGGTTTCGTTACCTTCCAGTTAGACTACTGTAATAATCTTAGCTGATCTACCCTGGCTTGCTGTGACATCAACATTTGACTTGAACGTGACAAATGTTGTTGATCACTTAAAATGCACTATTTCCGGGTTCAAGAGAAAGCTATTCATCAGACCTTCTTTTACCATGTGTCTTTTTCTGCACCTAAAATCCTCAGAAAGGATCCCTTCTTGTTGTCCCAAGGTCTACACTGTCAAACAAAAGGTGATAAAGCCTCTGCTATCAGAGGGGTATACCAGGAAGTGAGATTAATGGGTAAACCAGGTATATTGGGCCTGAAGCTGTTTAACAAAGCTGGGGCGTTTTTTAACCAAGAGATGGCTCGATTGAGACACTAACTCCCCTTCTAGTGGGGTTTGAAAGAGGCTGTTTTCAAAGTTAAAGGTTTTATTCAGCTTTAAGTGCCACTTCTTTTTTGGCTGCATCCTGCGGGTTGATCCAAATTCTAAATCTTAAGTAATTTTTTAACTATAATGTTACATGAGTAAGAAATGATGCAGTGCAGCTATCGTGAATCAAACTACCTTCAGTGTTTGTGTTTTTTTTCAGTTGCTTTTGAAATTGAACATTCCAGAGTCTGAAACTTCTCTACTTCTCTATGTGTGCAAACAAAATATGGGGGATTATGCTCCAAATTAAACTGAATAATACATAAGTTTAAATCTAAACTGACAGAACTTAAGCCTCTCTGGAGGAAATAACTATTTTCTTTGTCATAATCAGCACCAACACACACATCTTTTTTTTCTGAAATTAATAGGAAAGGTACACATGTTAACAGATCAGATTTGCCAGTTAGCTACACAAGGAAGAAATCATTAGTTATGATGTTAGACATGAACTCACCCTCATGAGGGGGTTTTAAGTCCTAATCAGGGATGTGGTCTTACATCTGTACAGTGAGGCATCTGAAAAGATAAAACAAATACAGCCAAATCAGAGTTTGATCAATTAGATTAATCTCTAAAAATAAATTCATTCATTTGTATATATTGACAACAGACAGACCAAAAAAGTGGTACAGGAAAGAGACAGCCATTTCAGATATTTGCACAGAAACTCCAAGTGTGTTTACACAAATAGAGAAACACTTAAACTAGGACAACTTTAGTGACATGAGAGCAGTTTCACTGACATGTAAACCTGTCCCTTCTAGACCTTTGAGAGCTTCATATACCAGGAGAAAGATCCTATCAGCTCTTTATGCTGACTGTAAGGGAGCTGAAATGTTCAGGAGGAGCCCTTCTGTTACTGTAGTGAGTTCGTCAAGACAAACCCTGAAGTGTTTTAGATAACTCATGGACAAGTCATACTTTTCCTCTCTTTTATAAGATTTTTTCTGACTTTTTTTGTTGTTTAACCACAAAAAACATAAAGATGTCAAGTACAACCTCCAGTAACATCACTTATATGTGTTTCTCATGGGTGGCATTTACAGAAACTGCACAGTTGTATATCTACTCACCAAGTGTGTTACTTCAAACAGGCCAACAAAAAACTGTTTCTAAAATGAAATGTTGACATATATAATATCAAGGGAGTGTAGAAATTAATGCTGAAAATGCTTACTCCTTGATTGATGGTCACGTTATTCTGAAATACTACTAGCATATTTGTATTAAATTGAATTTCCATTATTTCTTACTGAAGCTTGAAATTAATCAAACATTTTTGGTTTATGGTCCTTCCAGATTTTACAAGCAGGCCTGCCAAGGATTTATAAGAACACACCTTCACAGTACCCATTGCTTCACGTCACAACTGTTCCACTGAGGAACAAAAATTCAACAAGACAATATTCAAGCACTAACATGCAGTACAAAAGCCGAGGAATAACTGGTGGTATGGACCACTTTGTTTAAAACTTACATGTTCCGTGTTGCAGAATAAAAGTGAAACTACACTTCCATCGCCATAAATGTTCTGAAAAGGCCTGTTTGTTTCATAATCCTCCATACACCAATCACTCGGCCACACCTGCCAAAGTTTAACATTGCAACGGACGGATGTGCAGGTCTGCATGGTGGAATGCTGCAGGTCTTGCTCTACCTGTTAAACCGGTGAACTACCTTTCCGCTCAGGTGAGCCCGAGCTGCCGCTGCCTGTGGGCTAACAGCTGACGCCACGGAGACGTAAAGAAACTGAGCAACGCCTGTTTTCTCGATAAACGACATTCACTGTTTCCTGATAATATACACTTACAGAACAATGCAGCATTTACAATTAACAGAAAGCTTGAGATTTATCTAGATACCTACAGACCGAAACGACTCCAGCGGGGACTTCAGTTCATCAGGACGAGCTCCAACAAATAAACGCCACTTCGAACCCTGCAATGAGACGTTCGTGTGCACGCGGCATGACTGAACTACACTATCCCACGCTCACCTGCCTGTCCGTATGCAAATGAGCCTGATCACGTGCCCAACTAGCGCCAATCAGATCCAGTAGCTCATCTTGGCGTTGCATTTTTGTTTTGTTTTTTCGCTCTTTCATCAAATAAAGTGTTATGTATTACGGTTCACATAAAGATTTGCACATATTCAGATTTTGATCACAACTAAGTATGCTGCAACAATTGGAGCAAAAATGTGAGCGTGTTAGATTTTGAATCTGTGAATTGTAAAATAGAATTCGTGCACCTGTAATTGAGATTTGTGGATGTGTAAATGTTGTGTTGTACTTGTGTAAATAATAAAATAAAAAAATCTACAAGTATAACACAAAAAATCTACAAGTACACAACTCAAAGAGTGCGGATTTCACATTTATTAATACACATACACATTTACTGTACACAACTACAAATTACATGTTACAGATGCACAAACTTTTTGCACCAAAAATACCTTCATAGTTATAGTCTTTTCCACACTGCACATTTAAGATATAAAAAAAAAAAACAACGAAACAGAGAGGCTCAGTACTGACTGTTTCTTTACTGTTTAGCCAACAACTCATCAATCACTGAGGTTATGAAACATTAGGTTTAATCATTACGGTTAAAGGCCTTGAGCGAGTTAAGAAGACACTTAGCTCTCTGGGGTGTCCTACTTTCATTATTGCTAACTAAACTAACGTTGCTCCTGCCCCATTCAGCAGGGACAAAAACTGTCTGTGCCTGCTTCTGGTTGAATCAGCAGGAGACAAAGTGTGAATCATCCAAGGGCTTAAACACAAAAACAGTGTTGCCATAGATATTAGCTTCAATGGGGGAGAGAGTCATACATGGGTTGAAATATAAAACAATTTGCCTGTTGAAGTCCACCAGTCTAACCATACATACATTTTCTATACAGCGTATCCCATCAGGGGATACAGTGGGGCTGGAGCTCTAAACTATTGCTCAGTAACTTTGTTTTTAATATGTGGCAAATTGATGCAATCTGTTTATGGTTAGCACCATGAATTCCGTATTCTATGCTGCTTTAAAGTTATATTTAACAGGGGAAAAGGTAAACAACAGGCTTGAAAATAAGCTTGAATTAAACATTATAAAGTGAAAACTCTATTCATTTACTTTTGCACATATTGTCCTTTTTCATATAGCTTTACTTGTCCGATACAGTTGAATTTATAACTAAACTGGATTTTCTTCTTTGAAATTTTCAACAACTATTGTCACAAAAACTATACATATTGAAGTTTTATTTTGTGCTATATGCAGTCACTTCTAAGACTTTTGCCTTCCCAGTGAGGCTGGCAGGCAGAACCGTGCAACACTTTTCAGGCAGAGATAACTCTCCAACCTCAGTTTATTCCAGATATATCCAAGGGTCAAGGAAACATGCCTAATGACTCCGTCTTGATTCAAATGGTTTTGAGGATGTAAATCAATCAGGGAAATAAGAATTCCTGGGTGGCTAAGTTCAAACACTTGACACCACCACTTGTTAATATCTTATATATCTAGCAAATTTATTACAAGTCCAAGCATGGTAAAGCAGTGAAACTCATAATTGACTCCATTGCTTTTAATGGTTTCCTACAGTCAAATTATTTAAAGGTATAGATAATGCCATTTGATTTTCCTGAAAAAAAGGCAAATGTTTGACTTGATAATGGCTCTAAAATGTGAATTAAAATGTCAAATGTACCTCCTAAAAGAAAATGACTAAATTAGTTCGCCCGATTCACAGAGTCAGAGTAGAGTCATTTTGAGTTTCAACATGTTAATTGTGACATAGGAGGAAAACATTTTAGGTGAAAAAATATTCAAACACTAAAACTTTTCCAGCTGTTGCTGCAGGGGAATGTAAACTGTTATTTATCAGTCAAAAATAAATATTTAAGTTGATATGGCTCAGGATGGGAGTGTCTACAAAGTGCACTTCAACTAATCAAAACAAAATCCATTAAAATTGCAAAAGAAAGTATTAATCTGCTAGTCGATGTGGAAAATTCCCATCTGTTGAAACACAAAAAACCCTGCCAAAATGCTTTGCTGGGAAATTACTCAACATGCCTTTTTTCGACCTGACCAGTTGTTTGTGTTTGTTCAGTATGCTTCATCTTGCAAAAGCAAATTGATTTTGCAGGAGAATTTCACAGAAAAATTATGTCAACCTCAAGAAACTCCTATACAATGACAGAATTGTCATTAAAAATATAAATGGCATTTATTTGGTAGTTGGTAATACAACAGGATTTTCTGGTGAAGCGCTTCAAAGTCCATCAGTCAGTGAGATGTGTACACCCTCATTGATTTTCTAGTGTTTATCTTTTTCCTCAGAGCTTTGATAACCTCTCTCCACCGCTGCCGGGAAATTGTGTGTGTTTGTGTACAGGGAGAAACTTTGGATGAATACTGATGAGACACTGCTGAGGTGACGTCAGGGTTCAGGAGGAGGGAGGATAGTGGATAAAAAGAGAGTGCTGCAAGTGACCCTCTACTTTTTGGGGGAATCAGGATCCAGTGGGAAGATGAGGAGGACTCTGCTGTTACTGCTGGCCTCTCTGGCTGTTGGATCTCTCTTTTCTTTAGCTGATGGAGCTCCAATGTGAGTAGCATCCCTTCCCTAACTTATTCTACCTGAGCTTAATACTCATTAGTGAAAAACAAAGCTATAAACTGTTCATTAGTCAGTTCAGCTCATGAAATGTAAGTTGTTCATGAATGTATTTTCAGAGCAGCAACAGCTATCAAGGACTCTGATGCATGTGATCGTTATAAAATATATTGAAACCATTCTTGGTTGACTTAGTCTCATTTCATGTCTTACATAACAAGAGGCTGTGCTCCAATTTGCAGCTTGTCTAACTTTAGCCAAGGTACCATAGTCTGAGTTTGCACAGAGACACTGAGCAGAGTCTACAGCCATTATGAAATGTGTTGATTTAGAACTGGATCTAAATCAAGATAATCAATAGATTACTCATTGTTGGCAAAGTGCAGGAACTATTGAATTGTTTTGTTGATTTGGGGAATTGAAACTTAAATTCGCAGGCTTCAGAGAATCAATACTCAACCTCAAAGATTGGGTCACACCACTAAAAGGTCAAGGGCCACAAAGAGGAATCAAACATTTAAGAAGATTTTTTCAGATTTTCTACCATTATCCTTTTTTTGCATGAGAAATATTAAAACTTCTCATTTGTTTAGGTAAATAAGAAATCTTCCAAATGCACAACATTCTGAACATACTCAATACAGCCAACACCTCTTTTGTAAAACGGGCTCCCACCTCCTATGGAACAAAAACACAAAAAAAGCACTGACAGAAATGTTATTCACAAATATTACATCTTTATATTGTTACTTATAAGGATTCCAGTGCCTATATGTTCTTGAGAAAATGAAAATAAGCTGAGGTCATGCCCAACATAAACTGAAAAAGTCTATCTCTCTCTTTTCATTGTAGGCAGGTGCTGTCCGCCCCTAACTTGTTGCGTGTAGGAACAACAGAGAACATCTTTGTGGAGTGTCAGGACTGCACAGGAGGTGACATTGGGGTGACAATCAACGTGATGAACCATCCAACAAAAACAACAAGGCTGGCATCAAAAGCTGTCTCCCTCAACCTTGCAAATAACTTCCAGGCCCTCGGACAAATTACGGTAGATGAAATATTGTTATGTATATTACAAGGATCTTCAGATACCGATTTGCACTTAAAACATGCCACCCTGCTTCTTCTAATTAGTTTGTGTATCTTCATCCTGGTTTCAGGTCCCCCCTGAGCACTTTAGCAGGGATCCAAACATGAAGCAGTACGTGTACCTGCAAGCTCAGTTCCCTGATCGCCTGCTGGAGAAGGTCGTCTTAGTGTCCTTCCAGTCTGGGTACATCTTCATCCAGACTGACAAGACCCTCTACACCCCCAACAGTAAAGGTACAGCCAAAAAAATATAACACTGAATGAATGCCATGTTTGCTTGTGGAAGATTTTTACAGAACACATGGAAAACTGTGAGTTTAAAATTCAAAGTACGATTAGAATGATTAACCTTTTTCCTGATTTTTTTTCAGTTCATTACAGGATGTTTGCACTGACACCAAAAATGGAGCCTGTGGAGAGGGGTGAAGACGGCGCAGCTGATGCTTCTATTGCCATTGAAATTGTGGTATGATGTCTTATCAGCAGAAAGCACAGAACTGAGTGCAAATACATCTATCAGTAAACACCTCCTGGAGAGCATATTTCATACACTATACAGAAAGTGTTTTTTTTTACTCTGAGTATTTAAGTAACCACAACCCTGCAGTTTTAGATTACAATAAATACATGTCTCCCTCTGGTGGTTGAAACACATCTTAATGGCAGTGGAAGAGCAGCAAATCTAAATAATAATTCAATAATGTCAATTTCTTCAGCATATGTATCATAGACTAATGAATGACAGTGAGATGTAGCATGAATTTACTGAATCAATGTTTTAACTTCAATCGCTCATGGTTGGTTAAAGGTGAATACTATTCCTTTTTAGACACCTGAGGGCATCATTTTACCACTTGATCCAGTCTCTCTAAAGTCCGGGATCCACTCTGGAGATTTCCAGTTAGCTGAGATTGTCAGGTGAGTTTTTTTTTTGTTAGTTTTTTTGATTGGATATAGTTTTTTCTAAGTGTAATATTTTGCTCATCTTGTCCTGCATTTTTCATACTTTTGTGTTTTTTTCTCAAGAAATTTCTGCCTGCTATCTATCGACTGTGTTACACTTTGCCGAAGAGAAAGTCTGTTTCTGACTTTCTTAAAAAAATATACTCGCCCCTGCTCTACTGTGGTGGTTACAAGCGGTGACTTTACTGTTGAGACAACTTTAATCCTGTTGCTGATGTTTTTTTTTGCAATAGATCATAAAGAGATGTACAGGAAGTACTGATTGCAGACTTTTTCATACAAAAAAAAAAATACCAATAGGAGCTTCAGAGGCCAGCCCGCACCCATCTACAGATAGGCAACCAACTGATGACTATAGCTACTCAAGAAAACTACTGGTTTTATGCAATGTTAAGGCAGCATGGATCCATAAACTCCCCTCACAGATTCAACCCAATAAAGGAGCATTTTGATAAGTTAGCAGTGTATATTCACAGAAGTTTGTTTAGTGGACAAAGGAGGCTAACTAGTTTAGCCCTGTTACCAGTCTTTGTGCAAAGCTAGATGGTTTCTTCCTGTAACTTACATGAAGCAAACATAAGGGAAAAGAAAACTAAAGAAGACACTGTCTTGCTCTTACAACCTTTGCTCTTTGCATGCAATGGATAAATATTTTTATTTCTGCATGTTTGTTTTAAAAATGCGTTCTTGTGTTGATTTGTTCGCAGTCCTGGAGTGTGGAAGGTGGTGGCAAAGTTTCACAGCAACCCACAGCAGAGCTACTCAGCCGAGTTTGAGGTCAAAGAATATGGTGAGTTTTAAAGGACCTTATTTAAAACAAAGATAGGTACTTACCAAAAATTGGTTGGAGGTTAAATACTACAATGTTTTCCTTTTATTTCAGTGCTGCCCAGCTTTGAGATAAAACTGACACCTGTGAGCCCCTTCTTTTATGTGGACAGTCAAGATTTCACGGTCAACATCAAAGCCACGTATGTAAAGAGTTTGTTTTGCAGGTTAAACTACTCGGTTTGTTTGGTAGTATCACCTGAGGAAAAAATAAAATGTGTTTGGAGGTTGCAATTGGTTTGCTGATTTAGTTATTTCTTTTTTCACATTTTACATTTATACATCTGACAGGTATCTGTTTGGTCAAGATGTGGATGGGACGGCCTATGTGGTGTTTGGTGTTATTACACCTAAAGAGGAAAAGAGGAGCTTCTCAGCTTCTCTTCAGCGAGTACCGGTAAGAACACAATTTCAACAACAGTATTTGTGCCTATTGGTTAACCAGTTGATCAGTTCTGTGTTTTGTACTGTGAATTTAACAGCTTGGTTAAACCAGAGCTAAAAAAAAGAAAACCTGCAGGGCCTGCATTCATAAAAAGGCTTAGAACTGTCTGTTGGTCAGTGACTGCAGGAAAGTATTAAACTGCATATAAGACATTTGGAACAAAACCAAATTACATTTCAAGGGAAAACTGTTCATAAATCTGTTACAGCACCTTTATCCTATTTTTTAAGATGTGCATCTATATGTTATTAGATCCAAAGAGGTGCTGGAGTGGTCACTCTGAAGAGGGAGCACATCACACAGTCCATCAACAACATCCATGAGCTTGTAGGGTCCTCCTTGTTCGTATCTGTCAGTGTGCTGACAGAGAGCGGTAAGGAAATCTTTTGGTGCCCCTGCCTTGTGTTTGATCATTAATAATGTTAATCACTCAGTCAGTCAGAAGTTCTATTTAAAAGCTCCCAAAAGAGAGCAAAACAAACAATAAAGATATCAGTTCAATCATTTTATCATGCTGTATTTTCTGTCATTGCTTTGTGTCACCGTGATTCCCTCTACTTTAAATCACATCACAGGCAGTGAAATGGTGGAGGCAGAGCTGAGAAATATCCAGATTGTCACATCACCTTACACCATCACCTTCAAGAAAACACCAAAATATTACAAACCAGGAATGTCCTTCGATGTTTCGGTAAAGTGCTTTTTTGGATTTTTGTATATAATAGCCAAAACTTGGGGCAAGACTACTTCAGTGGGACCCCCTCTTTAATGCCACTAGCTATTCTCTCAGAATGCTATGCTGGCATGCCCAGGGGGGGCACAGGTAACTTTCTAGGATGTTAAGTGTAGCTAACAATTAGCAAGTGAGGGTTTGAGATCAAGATTTCTGTCTCTGTGCTTCTATTGTTAAAAGCCTGACTTGAACCTCAAAAAGAGAGAAAGAAGCTGAGGGGCAACGTCCAAGAGTGGATGTTTGCTGTGCCATTGAAACTATGTCAATGTCTGAGTCAATTATCATTTGATGTCTGCAATTGAGTTTAGAAATTGCAAAAAAGTTTCACTAAACATTTCAAGGAAATGTTGCAGCCACATTTGTCTCTGGATATCGGATGTTGTCTGAGAGATGGTTGTTTGTGTTTCTGATGGCAGGTTGAAGTTACGAATCCTGATGGCACTCCGGCTGTGGGTGTTCCAGTGATGGTCAATCCAGGCGAAGTGCAGGGTAACACTGTAGCTAATGGCATGGCAAGACTGACCGTCAATACTGATGCTGGGACCAACAGGTTGGATATTACTGTGAGTCTTTTTATTTACATTCTTTACCTTGGGATCAGTTTGGATCACAGAAACTTAAAACTACATTAATTAGAAATTTTTATCCGTACTGATGGATGACATGATCAACAACTGCTTATGACTGTGTTAAGTTTTCTGCCCCCTGGTGGTGAAATACTTAACATTGCAGCTTAAAGTAGAATACATGTGGCTCGAAGCAGATGATGGAATTGGTGCCATTTGTAATTTTTGTTTAAGTGAAAGTAAATTCTTACTGGGCATGAAAAAAAAAAAAAAAAACAGACATTTACTTTCCGTTTTACTCAATTAAACAACAACATGTACTGCACTGATACCAGACTGTGTATTGTGCCAACAGCATCAAAAACTTTGTGATTGCCAGTTATTCTTGTTTTTGTCATTAATCTTTTAATGCACTTATAGGCATTGCTAGGCTAAACTGTATCAGTGACAGCACAGTAAAGAGGTTTATTCAATTATATGAGTAAACCTGCCTGTCCATATCTTTAAATACAGGCAAGGACCAACCACCAGAGAATCTCACGTGAGAGACAGGCATCAGCCACGATGCAAGCTGTTGCATACAACACTGGAAGCAACAACTTTATCCACATAGGTATGGAACCTCCTGAGCTAACCTCAGATGTAAAGAAAATGTGGTAATAAAAGAAATGCATAGTTGGTAGGAAGGACTAATTCTGTGTTGTTGCTGATGACATTTTTGCAGGTGTGGATGCAGCTGAGCTGGAACTGGGAGAAAACCTGAAAGTTAACCTTAACCTCAAGAGGCCAGATAATGCACATAGTGATATCACTTATTTGGTAAGTGACAGTTCACACTCATACATGTAATTTTATTTTTCTGTGTCCCACACCCTTTATTGTATTTATAGCAATGGTCAGTCGTTACAGTGCTGGTGTTCTACTGTGCATCCTTACAGGTCCTAAGCAGAGGTCAGCTGGTGAAAAGTGGACGGCACCAGTCAAGAGGCCAGGTGCTGATTGCTCTGATCATTCCCATCACTAAAGAAATGCTGCCATCCTTCCGTATCATAGCCTACTATCACACAGGCAACAATGAGGTGGTGTCAGACTCTGTTTGGGTAGATGTCAAGGATTCCTGCATGGGCACGGTAAGACAAATAACTCTCATGCAGCGATGTTTTTCAAGTGTTTCAACAATAAATAACACCTATGAACAAACATCTAAAATTAAGAGCACTGTACTTGGACAGATTTTTCTTTGTATGAAATTTCTTTATCTGATAAGAAAAAGTCCATTCCTTATGAAATAATATCTCCTTCACATTCAGCTGCGGCTGGAATCAACACGACCCGCTCCATCGTATGAGCCTCGCAGGATGTTTGGTCTTAAGGTAACAGGGGACCCAGAAGCCACTGTGGGACTTGTGGCAGTTGACAAAGGCGTCTACGTTCTTAACAACAAACATCGCCTCACCCAGAAGAAGGTTATTTCCTAATTTTACTTGATTTTACAAGGTTTGTTAAGCAGTGAATCATGTAAGATTGCACTTAATAAATGTTGTGAGCTGTTGAGCTGAGTTGTCAGTTGTGAGCTTCAAGATACATATTTACAAACCCTAACATAAAACTACCATTGTTTGTACTTTATGTAAAAAAATAAAAAATATAAAAAACAACGATTTTCTTTTTAGGTGTGGGACATTGTAGAGAAGTATGACACAGGCTGCACACCAGGTGGAGGCAAAGATGGTATGGGTGTGTTCTACGATGCTGGGCTGTTGTTCGAATCAAGCACTGCTAAGGGGACCCCATACAGACAAGGTAATACTACCTCACTCCACAAAAAGTGCAACAACTTTAACCAGCTTAACAACCTTATTTTGAGATAAGAAAAGTCACGTTCAAAATAGTTGGTCCATCTTTGTTGTGCTTTAAAGATGTTGTCTGTTGTTGTGTTTCCAGAACTGAAATGTCCAGTCCCCAGCAGGAGGAAAAGAGCCACAACTATAATGGAAGTCACAAACACTTTAAGTAAGGGTTACAGCTGAAAGGTGACAAATAAATAAATCTTAAGCCTACTGCTCAACACAATGCATATATAATATCTGTTTGAGGTTTGAAAGGACGGGGTCATTTAATTGTACAGTATATACCACGATTCTTAACTCTACCTCTCCTTGACTTCCCTCTCTCTATGCAGTGAGCAAATATTCAGACAAACTAGAACGTGAATGTTGTCGGGCAGCCTTAAAGGGCACCCCCCTTTCATACAGCTGTGAGAGGCGGAGTGAGTACATTGAGGATGGTCAAACATGTGTGGACGCCTTCCTGTACTGCTGCAGGGAGATGGAAAGCCATCATGCAGACCGGAGGGATGACAATCTCCAGCTGGCTCGCAGTAAGAGACATTGATCACTTGGGATAAAGATTTGAGATCTGTGGTTTGTTACATACTGATCAAAGAACTCACAGAACTTATTTCAATCACTCCTTAAGGTGAGGATGATGACAACAGTTACATGGACAGCAATGAAATTGTTACCCGCACCAAGTTCCCTGAGAGTTGGCTTTGGTCAGACATCCAACTTCCGGCTTGTCCTCGACAAAACCCTAACTGGTGAGTCAAAGATGACTATTTACACAAAAATCACACTGATGATTTCATTCATAACATCATAATCTTTTATCCTGTATCCATCAGAGCACTAATATTTTGTGTTTCTTTCAGTGAAACCTCATCATTTGTGAAGAATGTCCCCTTGCAAGACTCGATCACAACCTGGCAGTTCAGTGGCATTAGTCTGTCAAGAACTCACGGTAAGGAGGCAGCGATTGGTCTCCAGTTTGATTAGAGCCTTCCCTGCTATCAAAACGGTCCCTTCTTTTCTCTTGCTCATCAAGTTTTTTTTCCCCCTCATAACTAAGGAATCTGTGTTGGTGAGCCATTAGAAGTGATTGTGCGGAAGGAGTTCTTTATTGATCTCCGTCTACCTTATTCTGCTGTCCGTGGAGAGCAGCTTGAGGTCAAAGCAATCCTCCACAACTACAGCCCAGATCGTGTCACAGTGAGTCCATGTTTCTGAGCTCCTATTATGTCTCTGTTCATTAGATGTTGACCCTTAATGTAGACAAGGTTTCAAACTGATGAGGTAAACATGTGTTGGAGTAATCCCAGGATGAGACTGCAGACCAGGATTAGGCTGCTCTGAACAGTCAGTTCAAAAAGTCACATGAGAAAAAAAATGTTTCTCAATTCATGACATAGCATCGCAACAATGGATGAGGTTTCCAGAGTGTTAAACAATTAAAACAAAGTAGGCTCATAGACCCTTAACTTAGCATTTTGGAGTTTTGGACAGCAGGTTGGATACTAGGGGGTTATGAATGGTGAGTCATAGGGCCTGATCCACTAAAGGTTTGTGTGTAAAGCACTCTAAGTAAGGGTCACAGCTTCCCCAAAACAATAGATGCAACTCCATGGCTTCAAACTTCACAAACTCTTCATGGTGACAGACAATAACGCAAAATCCTGGTTTAAAGAGGGCGGTCCGTACCACGTTTGCACCTGTTATCAATTGCACACACAATGATAGTAGATCACCTGCAACACCCCCACTAATAGCAGGTGCAATTTTTTAGTTTGCACACTCAATTTAACGTTCTCTAATTGGGATCTTAGTAGATCAGGTCCAAAGTAAATCGGAACCTGACAGAGTGAGCAGAACCCCAACTAGGAGTGAAAGGGTCTTTAGTGACTTTGTGACAAAGTTTCAGTCTCACCGGATGGATTAAGATTATAATTAAGATATCCTTTGTTTATAAGTTTAGAAGGGGGATGGAAACTAATGTTTTAGGCACAGTATCAACAGACAGTGGTGAAACTCGCTTAACACCTTTCCACCAATTGATTTGATTCTTTTTTGTGGGGAATAGGCTTGACCCTAAGAATGGCTTGTTCTCCGTAGCAGTGGCATGTTTTGTGACGTATCAAACACTTGCTATAGAGTGCTGGCCAATCAAAACCATGTGTGTAACACAGCAATGTTAGGTCTTTATTCTGCTTTAAAAACCATCATGGCAGGGAGATGTTATTCACAAGTTGTGCTACCCTAAAGCATGACTGTGCCAGACTTTATAATGTTGTTTTTAAAACACTTTTTTCAGAGGGGATCACAGTCTGCTACTGAAAATAAAACAAGTTGGAATAAATCAAAGTGTACTCTGGCAAGAGCATTGTTTTGAATAGGATGTATTTTAGACATATTTTCAACAGGGAAAAAAAGATGTTAAATAGGACATATTTTTACTTTGAAATCCTTTAAATTTCACTGTTGAGTACTTTCTCTTAAATTATTAACTTCTCAGACAAATGGCTTAAACAACTTACTGTAGCTGACAAGAACAGGAGAAAAGAAAGGCATTCCATGTCAGTATTGGCTGAAGTGTAGCCATAGGACCATTAGCTTTTTTCTCTCCAAGCAATAGTTATTAAGGGTCTAATTTAAATAAAAATACAAGTTATGAGACTAAAAACTGAAAACTAAACAATGATGTTGTCCTTCTTAACCACTCTATTGGTTAACTGCACTTTCTTCAGTGTCTTTTATCATTTGGTCTGTTTTGAAGGTGCGTGTGGATCTGAAGGGAGAGGAGCATGTGTGCAGTGCAGCCTCTAAAAATGGAAGGTATCGTCAGGAGGTCACAGTTTGGCCTCAATCAACACGATCTGTACCCTTCATCATTATTCCCATGAGGGAAGGACAGTACCGCATCGAGGTCAAAGCTGCTGTGAAGGACTCATCGCTCAATGATGGAATCATGAAGATGCTGCGTGTGGTGGTACGAGACTCACACTGCATGTTTCTGTTAAGAGATGCTTTCACTAAATTAGTGCTGTTCTCTTACAGCAGTACATTGCAAAAATAATGATATTTTTCTTAGAATACTAATGAATCTCTATTATCTCTATTAAGTGCTGCAGTTAAATAAGGCTTTTTTAGGCAACTTCATTTACACAGAATCATGATTTGTGTTTACTATTTGTTTTATGATATATTTAGCGAGTAAATGAGAGGGGACACATTGCATACTTAACTTAATACCAAACTTAAGCCAAAGGAGGAGACATGCACAAGCAGTGCTGCGTGTGGCTGCTTTGTTTATCATAAAAAAAGCATGAATACAAATATTCCACTTCACTAATATCATAAAAACTCATCATAGGAACTTTAAATAGCATTCAATACTGTATCTCAGCAGGTGGTTTATAATGTTTGTCCTCTGATTGACTTTTCAGCCTGAAGGAGTACTGGTAAAGTCTCAGGAGACTATAATTCTTGACCCCACTAAAAATGGTGTTGGTAAGTTTGCCCTGAAATACCCGCATCCCGTCATGATTAACTGTTGTGCATTGATGGCATGCTCCTTGTTTTTTCCTGCATTCACACTGTTTCTCTTCTCAGATGGTACACAAGAAGAAATTCTGAACAGCAGGATTCCTAAAAAGGACTTGATTCCAAACTCGCCCACTAGCACACAGATCTCTGTGACAGGTTAGCTAATTTTCTTTTTGTTTGGGCATGTTGTTTCATACAAAGCTTGTTTCTTAACAAGTGAAAAATCTTGTTTTAACTGCTTATTTTTTGTTTCCATGCAGGGAGAGAACAGGTTTCTGTACTGGTGGAGAATGCTATCACTGGGAATTCCATGGGAACTCTGATCCGCCAGCCGTCAGGCTGTGGAGAGCAGAACATGATTGGCATGACCCTGCCTGTTATTGCCACCACATACCTGGACAAAACCAACCAGTGGGAAGCTGTGGGCTTGGGGAAACGTGATGAAGCCCTTCAACACATCAAGACTGGTAGGCAAAAACCGAAGTATTCATAAGATGAAGAAACCAGATACTGTTTTGATGCTCTAAACTGATCCTTTACACAGGATTATAAAGCCCCTGACTTGGCAAAGGTGGTTTCAGTAAATAATCTTGTTTCAAGGATCCAAGTTGGGGACATTGATCTTAAAAGTGATGCAGTATCTGAATGCTGTTTGTGCTTACATTTTTTTGTTTCTTTACAACAACAACTTGTGCCACCAGAATGAAATGAAAGATGCTACAGAAAAAAAAAAACATTCAATGGCTCCTGGATTCAATTTCCCCACGGGGATGAATAAAGTTCTTCTTATCTTATCTTATCTTATCTTATCCAAGTGACTGCAAATGTATGAGATTCAGTTAAGTGTTGCTTGGCTGTAATATCCAAAAATCTGTCATTCCCTAGGCTACCAGAAACAGCTTACCTATCGTAAAGATGATGGATCCTTTGCTGTCTGGGCAAATCACAAGAGCAGCTCATGGTGAGGCACTAAAACATTCATGAACTTGTAGATCCTCTAACTCCAATTTGGGTTAATGTAAGGATGAGTCAATGTCCTGGGACAATTAACGTTTAAAGCACATATCTTCCAACTCTTTCTTCTCCTCTCTAAGGTTGACAGCCTATGTGGTCAAAGTGTTCTCCATGGCCAGCAATGTTGTGGCAATGCAAAAAAATGTGATCTGTGATGCTGTCAAGTTTCTGATTCTCAACGCACAGCAACCTGATGGCCTGTTTATAGAAGTTGGAAAAGTTTACCATGGAGAGATGATAGTGGGTTTATGTATTTATTACTTATTATATAATTTTATCTATTATTTTTATTATTATTATCCCATTCTTCACCTCACTGACAAATATTTGAAATGTGTATTTGAATCTATAGGGCGATGTGAGAGGTACAGATTCAGATGCCTCCATGACGGCCTTCTGCCTTATTGCCATGCAGGAGTCACGAGAGCAGTGCTCTAACTCTGTAAATGTGAGTCCAACACCTCCAGAAATTGCCCTCCCGTCTTCTTTCAATGATTTTATTTGTTTGTGTAGACAAGTGACCATTGAAATGCGCAGAGCAAAGCTTTCTTGAACACCAAAACACCTCATTTGATGGCTTAGCCTTCTTATCAGTTAAGAGTTTCTGTCAGGCCAGGTTCACAACACTTCTGTATTTCTTTTTTTGTATTTTTTTCTCTTTTGGCTTTTTTCTGCATAGAAGAAAAAGAAGATAACTAACTGAAGCAATAAACTGGTGTGGGTAGTGACATAGAAAGTTTAACAGTTAAGTGTTGTTAAAGCACACAAATTTAGTGTTCAGTGCTTTTTCGCATTATCTTTATTCTATCATCAGAAGATGAAATAAAACTGTTAAGAGTCTCCCGAAATTAAACTGTATGTGTATATAAGCACAGCCTCACATACACATGATGGGTGCGAATGGAAACACTGTGATTATTTATAACAGTTTCTTTTTTTTACTGTCTACATTTCTTTTATGTTGCATCAATTCCCCTTTCTGTCATTTCTTCCTTTATTATATATCATCTCATTTTTTATTTCTTTAATCTATATCTAGAGTCTGCTGGGCAGCATAGACAAAGCAGTGGGTTACCTTGAGAAACGTCTGCCTAACCTTAAAAACCCCTATGCTGTTGCTATGACATCTTATGCCCTGGCTAACGAACAGAGAATGGATCGGGAGATTCTATACTCAGTGGTTTCCCCAGGTATTGTTATATTCCTTCATATGTTTACTGACACATTTGTTTGGTTGCTGCAAGGGGCTGACTTTTGCTCTGTGCTGAAATGCTGCTAATCTGTGATAATACAAGTAATATATGACTTATTAAACTTTGGTAGGATCAAATCTTGAGTCTAGGGATAAATAGAAATGTAAGATAAAGCTTGTTTTACATGACACAATTGTGGATTGTTTTTTTCTTCCCCAGCGTTGTCACACTGGCCATCGCCTCAGGGACACATTTACACGCTAGAGGCCACAGCTTATGCCCTTCTTGCTCTGGTCAGGACCCAGGTGAGAACTTATTTATGTTCTAACAGGAGGTTTTGCTACAGGTAACACACAATACACAGATAACAACACAGCTCATACTGGGCACCTTGAATCCACAAATTCAACTCTAAAAAAGATAATTACATAAATGTTAATCTAATGAAACAATCAAAGTACGTAGTCGAGTACAGAGATCTCAATACATTCATGAACTGAGTTACTTATTATTATTCATAGAAATACACTAATTAGCTCTGCTGCCATTCCATTGATCAGAGAGCATGATCCAATATTGTCCATGTTGTAAGTTTAGCAGTTCAGGACACAAATAAAAACCAATGTTTTGCCACAGTGTCAACAGGCAGAGGGGAAATCTGTCTGACTTCTTTACCTGGCTTCTCTCGATGACCTCATCCCAGACATTACCTATTCTAATTAAAATTAATAAAGTGTTTTGAACAATCAGAAAAAGTACTTAACACAGCTGGGTAATAAGAATAAAACCTGTATATAATAGTTTTAAACAAATGCATTGTTGAGTGTCTCTGCTGCTTGGAGCCTCATACTCATCGTTTTCCAGAGCACTAATTATCTTTTAAACAGATGGTGGACATCATTACTTTGCATCATTAAAGCTGCTAACTGGACGTATTAAAAAATTGTAACTGACCACAAATTCAACAATAAATCAAGTTTATCAAGTTTGACCCTTTTTTCTTGTCTTCTCTTTTCAAAGGATTTTGAAAGTGCCAGACCTATTGTCAAGTGGTTCAAACAACAGAACAAGGTGGGCGGAGGTTATGGATCAACTCAGGTAATGAGGACCCCTTTCTCCATTTTGATACAGTAAATACCTCACAGCATTTTTGATGTTAATGCCTTTTCTCCTCCTATGTCTTCTCCTCAGGCAACCATAATGGTGTACCAAGCTGTGGCTGAGTACTGGGCCAATGCCAAAGAACCAGAGTATGATCTGAATGTGGACATCTTGGTGCCGGGCAGATCAAGACCTGACAAATTCAACTTTAATGATCAAAACCACTATGCCACACGAACATCTAAAGTGAGAGAACCATTATATACAGACTCACAGTAGCTTATGTATATCACCACTACTGCTGTTCTCATGATTTTTGTCACCTTTGCTCATCGAACGTGGTTGTATCTGTGTGCACATTTACATTCTTGCAGATCAATGATATAAATCAGGACGTGAAAGTCACTGCAACTGGCACAGGAGAAGCAACAGTAACAGTATGTTCAATGAAATTTACTCACCAGTCCAAAATCTGATATTTACTGAATCCTTAAGGACTCTTTCTTACGTTGAATGGTGTTTTTAAAATTTGTGCCAGGATGCTCCTCACATTCTTGCTCTTTTCTATTTTCCTGACAGATGGTGTCTCTGTATTATGCTCTGCCGAAAGAAGAGGAGAGTGACTGTCAGAAGTTTAACGTGTCATTGCAGCTCATCCCAGGTGATTTGTCTCAATTTGTTATGTTTTACGTCGTGTCACATATTTATTTTTATTTTTTTTATGCTATTAAGTAACTGTATACAATTAACAAATCACTGAATGTTTTGCAGATAAAGTGGATGAAAATGAGAAGACTTACAGGCTGAGAATAGATGTCTTGTAAGTGCAAACATAAAATCCTACTGTTAAGTGTTTACCTTTGTTTCACTTACCCCTCTCGCTGTATCTAGTGTTAACTATGATAACGTGCATTTTTCCAACCTGATAATTATTATATTAGAGCTTCTAACTTCACTGTGAACATTGGCTCGGTGCTTATGCATTTTATTAAATCAGTTGTCTTGATGTGTTGTAAGTTTCTTTTCCAAACGTTGAGCTTTTTTTTTTTTTCAAGTTTATGATTATCATGAAAATCAGAAACCCAGTGACTCAAACTCTTTAAGTGTTCCTGAAATTAACAAAAAAGGTTGATTAAAATTCTCCCCTCTCACCTGAAGTCAACTTGAAACACCTGAAAAAGGACATTTCCTCTGACACTGAATAAGAGTCTTTGCTGACCCAATCTTTGTCTTCTTTTGGTAAATGTTTGATGCTTTAACACTGTCCCTTTTCTATGCAGGTTCAAAGACACAGAGCGTGATGCAACCATGTCAGTCCTAGATATTGGCTTGTTAACTGGCTTCACTGCAAACACACAAGACCTGGATAGAGTAAGGACTTTTTCTCACACACACACACACACACACACACACACACACACACACACACACACACACACACACACACACACACACACACACACACACACACATACCAAGGCCACATACAGGAAATCAGCATCTGCATATCAGAGGAGAGAAATGGCATTCATTGGCTAAAACAGCTGACTAACCGTGTATGTGTGTCTAATTATGTAGTTGTCTAAAGGACCTGCTCGCACCATTTCCAAATACGAGATGAACACAGCCCTGTCTGAAAGAGGCTCACTCATCATCTACTTAGACAAGGTAAGAGCTTATTGAGCCATCCAGTCCTCTTTTCTTTATTTTATTTTTATTTTTTAACCTATGTGACATTTATCGTACATCATTCCCCAGGTTTCTCACACACTGCCAGAGGAGATCACATTCAGAGTCCATCAGACCATGAAAGTGGGTGTCATGCAACCAGCTGCTGTGTCTGTCTATGAATACTATGACCGTGAGTTGTACAGAAAATGAAACAAATAGCCTCTTTTTACATATTTTCAGAATATATTCAGAGGTACAAATTTTTTTAGACATGTTTTGAATGTTTATATCTGTTTTGCTGCAGAAACACACTGTGTGAAGTTCTACCACCCGGAAAGGAAAGCTGGACAGCTGCTGCAGCTTTGCACAGATGATGAATGCACATGTGCTGAAGGTACACAGGATAGTTTTTTTTAAAAAAGCATTTCATTGATCTGTATAGTATCTGTAAACAGGCTTTTTTTCTTCAGAAATTTTTAAACACACCAAGTACGTTCAAGAAGATGTCAGATTTACCTGATTTAATTTAAGTTTTTTGATAGGTGTTGACAAATACAGATGTAATACAGATATACAGTATATTGTATGTGTTTCAGCCAAAGCATGAGTCAACACGCGTCTCTTGAATGGCATGGATGTTTAAGACAGTCACAATGATAAAAAAACATTTTACCTGGACAGTAACTGAGTAATGTTGTCGCCATTTTAGTTGCCACCATCATATTTCCATCACCATGTTAGCACAACCATTTTTAAAGATGATGACTCTGTGAATTCAGAGTTTGACCAGCGTGATGATGGAGAACATGAATGTTAAAATCAAAGTTTATTTTAATCCCCATGGGATCACCAAATAAAATAGACTAATCCTCTGCTTAGCCAGGATATCTTTAACTTCAACATGGTGTCAAAGTTTTGCTCACCCTAAGGGATCCTGATTTACCATTTCCCTTTAAATCATCAATCAAACGACCACGGCATCAGTTGTGTATTTACTTGTGTGTTCATTGTGGTATTTACAGAGAGCTGCAGCATGCAGAAGAAGGGTCATATTAGCAATGACCTACGGACTGCTAAAGCCTGTGAAACTACGCTCACCAGCAAAATAGATTTTGGTAAGACACAAACAATGTTGAGTACATGCTGTGTAAAAAACTTTAAACCTGAAGAAATCTGTGTGCTTGTGCTTGAGACTGAGAGAGAAAGCAACAAACTGTGAATATCTTGTCTTTCCTCAGTGTACAAAGTGAGAGTGGAACAATTCGCAGATGGTTTATCCACTGATATTTACACAATGCGAGTACTTAACGCTATCAAAGAAGGTGAGTATTTTTCTTTCATTTGTCTAGAATTTACTGCCTTCTATTGGTTTGATTCTTTAGAGTGACTGCAACTTTCCTTTCTTGTTATAATTTAATGGGTGTTTTGCTTTTAGTTACAATTTGTTATAAAATTTCACTGGTTTAAAGAAACATAATTTCTAATAATGGTGGGCTGTTGAATGAAAAAAAAAAAACAGTCAAGCAGCTGACATTTACAGTAGAACTTGGTTCTTGCTTAAAAGTAATTTAGAGCTTGATGGATTAAGATCTATGTTTTTAAATAAACAAAGACGACAAGGCATGATTCCAGTGGGAGTGGGAGTCATGACAGTTATGTTTTTGTTTAGGGTTTGGTATATCTAATCCTGGAAAATAACCTTTCTCTTCTCCTATATTCTTGAATATTTGAACAACAGGAAGTTATGATGTGGGTCCTATGGGTAAACTCCGCACATTCCTCAGTTATCAACACTGCAGGGAATCTTTGGGCCTGAATGTAGGTAAAACCTACCTGATCATGGGCACATCTAAAGATATTCACCGAGATGAACAAAACCAATCGTAAGTTTGCCTTTTGTATAAACATGAACAAGTGTACTGCATGTGTCTCCCTAATAAGATGAGGGAGGGTGACAAAAAGCGTTAAAATGAAATACATGCTGGGATACAGGGGCATGACCAGGCTTGTGGCGCCACTTTCTAAAAGCTTCTCTTAACCTTTTCGGTCATAATCAAGAATTTGAAGAAACAGTGGTTCACTGCCTTTTAGACAATTTTATGGAGTGGTTAGAAAAGACTCCCCAATTTAGAACCACAAATGACCAGTGGAGGTTTGCCGTGTAACTCCAGACTTATTGGTTGCAGGAGGTGGGTGACCTTATAACCTTTCAAGTTAGCATAGGCTGAGCTCAACACAGTTGTAAATTCCTCATCACAAAAGTGAATGGTACTAAGAAGAGCAGCAAAGAAACTACATGTGATAGATTTTTGCTGAACCAAGAGGTGAATGTAAAGCTCTCGTCCTAGGTCTGATTTTTTTTTTTTTACAGTGTTTTTTCCCCACAGTGAACAGATCACGCTTGTCTACTTCTGCAGCCATTACCAAGGCTTCATTCTTTACCTCCTGAACCTTTTCTCTAGAAGTGTTTTTTTTTTTTTTTTTTTCCACATGAAATCAGGTGATTTCACCGGTGTGACGTAAATAAAGGGAGCCTTTCTAGGTCTTATCCTTTTTTTTTGACTAGTGCATGCTTTTATCATATTCCTTGTGCTGTCTTTGTTTAATGCTCAACCATTCCTTAAGCTCTTTATCTGTCACATAAAGAGCAGATCATGTTTCATTTGAAAATTCAGCCACAATGTAGCAATTTATACAACATTAGTACACATTAAATTTAAGAAAGTTACATACTGTTATACTTTTACCAAACACATCACATATAAGTGTGTTGGCTTTTGGTTAAAGTCCAGCCCAGTATGATTAAAATACCCTTAAAAAAAAACTTTTGCAATGTTGTCATAAACTAAGTCATGATTCTTCTCTTTTCTTTTAAAAAAAAAATAAAGTATTTCCGTTTTTTGTGGAAAGCTGATGCTACTTTGTGCTAATGTTGCTGTTGGTTAAATTTTTTTACTTTGCACAAAGGAGGGAGCTTTGTATCTTTAGATATGTGAAGACTTAATGTGCCTTTTACTTTGTCTTCATCAGGTATCAGTATGTGCTTGGCGAGAGAACCTGGATCGAGTACTGGCCCACAGATGCTGAGTGTCAAGTTGGCGAGTTCAGACCAACCTGTTTGGGCATGGAGGAGCTGGTCCAGCAGTATGAACTTTTTGGATGTCAGCAGTGAAAAAACAATTTAAGAATCCAAAATGTTCTTTTAAAAACTCTTTTTTATTGTGCTGATTTTGTACAACATCCACTGCGAAGTAAGCTGTAAAAGTCATCTTGTTGCTTTGTATTGATTAAAATATGATGGTCTTGATCTGATTGTCTGTATTGAACTTTTTTTTATGAAAAGGAGGAATGTAGTTCTTATGGCCTGAAATTTAAGGAATATCTGCAGTATTGAAAAAAAAAGCTTTGCCAGACATTTAATAGATTTCCATAAACTAACAAACACATAATCTGCAGGAAGAAAAATCTTTAGCTTAAGAAGCAACCTCCAGTCTTGAGACATGCAGCCATTGTGAAAGCACAGTTATGAACAAGGCAGCTTCTTTGTAACCTTAAAAACAAAATATAAGAAATGAAACTGGCCACAGATAATTTGACATGAAAGAAGGAAAGGAATACAAAAAAGCTAGAGAGTGCAGAGAGTTTCGGATATGAAACAAATGTTCTGTCAGAGGGGTGTGTGTATGGATAGTCTGTGGTGGTGATGTGTACATCTGATTTCCTATGCAGTTGTTGGCTTTATATGATTTCATTTTCAGTAACACAACAATCAAAAATCAGTGCTACATGTCCTAAACTGGTGCCATGTGAAATATTCAAAAACACTGATGGTGTGGACAACAATTTCTTCTTTTGAAAACAAACAGAAACAATCTGGTTTTGAAAATATCTCAATACATATGGACATGACATGGCCTATAGTATGGAGTAAAAAAAAGGCAAACACAAGTGAACATAAGTGACGTATTCTAAACAAATGGAAAAAAAAATTGTAAATGGAAGTGAAGTAATGTAAACATGAAAATATATAAACATAAAATATATAAAAGCTTTTTTTGCTTTCACAAAACTTGCTCTGCATTTACAAAACACTCGGCCTCTGTTTGACATGGGAGCGGGGTTAGATCAGTGGGGTGTCCTGGGAGGAAAATGTAAATAAAACAAAAGGTGAAGTCAAAAGTTTTCCAAAACTCTATGCACTTTCACAAGGATGGCAGACCATCTATCAATTTTTAACACAATGAGATATCATTATGATCACTATAAACAAGAATCTAAAAATGTCAGCTGTTCCAGATATCAACAGGCAGATTATAAACCCCTCCCATGACTTGTGAAATTTAAAGGGAAAAAAAGGTTCAAGAGGAGGGAACTAAGCGGGTAAAAGGAAGGTGTTGCAGTGAGCGAAGCTGCATTCATAGCAGACATGGGGTCGCGTAGGGTTGTGTGGTGGGCCTCATCGGGGCTCCTGGCCTTTTTGGTCTTTTCCCCTTTGATGAGTCAGGCTTCTCAATCTCCAATGTAAGTAGAGACTTTCACAAACTCTTAACCCTTGATGCTTATCTAGAGTCTCCTACAAAGTGCAGGTGTTTGATTAGTGCTATGGTCACTTAGAGGCGATCTAGAAGGACAAATGAGTTTATTTTTTAAGGAGAACTTCTTACTTTAGCATGAGTTTGTATCTGTGTAAAACTGTGTCACTGCTGGGTAATTTTAGTCAAGTCAACGGAATAATCAGGATTGCAAGTTATCGCCAACAAAACTCAAGCCGCTTATCTAAGGCATGACTTGCACACTGTGAGAAACAGAAATGCACTTTTTTTAAAAAAATAGCATTGGGATAGATTTAGTGAAAGAGTATACTGAGAGACCACAGTTCTTAACCAGAAGGAGGAAAGTTTCAGAGGGTACTATTAATCTGACTAAAGTCATTCAGCTGAGTTTGGCTAAACCAAGAGAGTTTAAGGCAGAAAGGTACTTGTAGTAGAGTTTATTTGATTTATAACACAGAGTAATTGAGTTTTCTAGTATTTAGCTGCTCAGTGTAAATTTTTTGTCTCCCTCTCTTTATTCTAGGGAGGTGCTGTTAGCCCCAAACCTGTTGCGTGTCGGAACAACTGAAAAGATCTTTGTGGAAATCCAAGATTGCCATGTCGACCATGATATAAGTGTGACAATCATGGTGATGAACCATCCATCCAAAACCACAATGCTGGAGTCCACGAGGGTGACCCTGACTAAGACAAACAAACACCAGAACTTTGCTGGACTTACGGTAATGTGGAAGAACAAACAGCATGAAATGTAATGAAAAACTCTAAATCAACTATTTAAACTGGACGTGGTAAATATTGAGTTTGGGTAGAGCAAATAGTGGATGGGGGGGGGGGGGGGGGGTAGTTCAATTAAAAAAGGCACGCAACATAATTCATTTAAAATTACACAAGTTGGAAAATAAGAATAAAGAAAACCACAAAAGGCAATGAAAATACATTATTTAAAATTTCAGAAAACATAAAAAATCCAAATGATTGATAATATAGATAATTAATAAACATATATATAAATATATATGATAAATAAACAAATATATTAATATGGAAATAAAAACAGAAAAGATAAACATTTAATTATTTATTTATTTATGCATTTATTTATTTATCCCAGTATTTATTTAATTATTCATTCATTTATTTCTGAGTTTATTTTTTTATTTCTAATTATGTTATTTTTGGTACCCTATAGGGGAAAATGCATACATGTAAACCAACTGGTTTATTCAACCAAGTGACTTTTTTATCCGCTGGAAGATGTATCAAGATGCATCAATTTTATTCCTAAGGGTGGGCGCATATCTAAATGAAACACCAGGTGGTTGAGGCAAAAATGCACTAAAGAGGGGATCACTCTCTATGATGGCACAATATGTTGAATCTGCTATGCATGTGTACTATAAATAATAACAAAGAATAACACTGAGAAATTGGGTTGGATCTTGTATTTTTCCTGAGAGAAGTGTTTGTTGCTCCAGAGACTGTGCCTGTTGTTTCACCCTGTGTGAGTAAGTCGACTATTTATGTTTAAAGAGCTGTAAAAGTATTTCAGACCATTTATATATATGTTGTGAGAACATACTGAAAGAGAGCAGAAACTAATCCAGGGCTTGTCCCCATTTATAATCATACGTTGTTGGTTATTCTGCAGTGAGGGGGTGTCTGTATTGCTAACTCCACTTCACCCATGTTTGTGTAGCTGTTTTGTTATCTTTTCAACAGTGCCAGTAAATGACCTAAATTTCTCACATATTGTACCAGGCACAGCAAACAGGCCACAAAAAAAGATTGAACATCTGACCGGTCTATCACTGTCTGTTCGCCAAAATCATCAATAGTTTACCAGCAATGGGTAAAGTCTATGCTGAAACATTTAATCTTCAGCCCATTTCTAAGAGTTAGCCTTGTGTTCAAAATTAACCCCTCCACAACCTTGAATGGTTTTAGATAAGACAGTGGCAGGGCTTTAGGAGAAATGACAGCTACTGTATGGGCTGCTTCTATTTGAGGTGCCTTGTTAAGTCTTTTAGTACTGATTTAGTTTGGGTAGTTTACATCTATAAATTTGTTAAATACTCTGTCCATACATGCAGTTTTGCTAATGAAACTGTGTTTTATTTTTGTGTTTGAGGCTTTGAAAAAGTTTTCTTTTGAAGTTCAATATTCGGTTTTAAAAGCACTTGGCATTTGTAATCAGTCAGCAATCCTGCTTACTGGGGCAAAAAAACATTTTCTGCAGGGGAATCAGTTATGAGGTAACTTCAGAATTTAGGTCCGATGGATAATAACTTTGAAGATACCAGTAAGTGATCCTTCAGACTGAATCCAAATAAAAGGCTAAAATAGTCATGACAGATTAGGGAATTAAAGGAACAGTTATGACTCCTAACAGCTCAGATCACCAGGTTAGGGATGCATGATATTTGACTTTTGCAGATATCCTTCATACCAACATTTTCAAACTCATTGATATCAATACTGATAAACACCTTGTTTTTATTGGAAATAATGAACTGCAATTAAATATTTAACTTAAGTGAAACAGTTAATTCTTTTTTTTTTTTTTTTGAAGGATCAAACATAAAATATTTGATTCTACCATTGGTGATTCTTGGATTATTTTTCTAATATATGGCAGGTATTCAGAATTAAGTCTGCTGTGTTTTTCACTTTTAAACCACTTGTGTACGAATATTATATTTTTGGCCATTAACTATTTTCGTATCATCTGATATGAGAATCACGCAGATGATATTGTGCATTCCTACATTACAGCTAGGCCAGATTAACAGTATAGAGAGCATCCCAAGGAACAATGTTAATTTTTTATGGTAACTAAAAATTTACACGTTTTTATTTTTTTTTTTTTTTTTATTTAATTGTCAAAAGGGGTTAGGGTCCCTACTTAAGTTTACACTTTTGTCCAAGAACTTTTCTGACTCAAGCCTATGTATTATTTGTGCTTTAACAGGAACTTCAATTGTTGACAGTTTTTTTTTTGTTTTCTTTTAATGGTTGAGTTTGTGGGTATCCAGGCAACCTTTTCTGTCTTATAATAACTGAATGTGCTGAATAGTTTCTGATTTGATAAAGTTCTGCATTTTTTGTACAGTGACTGTTTTCCAAATCTTTTTGACTGCCTCCGCTGGACAACTCTGCAGGAGATCAGAAGTTATAGATTTTTTTAACTTAGAAGAGGTTATGACCTTTACCAATCTTGGCCCTTACACTTGTTTCTCCTCTCAGATCCCTGCAAGCAGCTTCAGTAGGGATCCCAACATGACGCAGTATGTATACCTGCAAGCTCAATTTCCCGACCGACTGCTGGAAAAAATTGTCTTAGTCTCCTTCCAATCCGGTTACATCTTTATCCAGACAGACAAAACCATTTATACTCCGAAAAGCAGCGGTGAGTCTGTAACATAATGTGGAAGGATTATGTTCAAAAGTAACTATGTAGTTTTGAGTAAACTTTACAGGGATTGAAACATAATGAGAGTTTCATTATGAAAAATGCATGATTTCTTTTTTTCCCCTTCCTTCCCCTTTTATTTTATTATTGTTTTTGTATGCTTATTTGTTTACAATTTCTTTAAACTGTAAAAACTGGATGGCTGAGAACAATGTCTGTCTTAATATTTCCAACATGTACAGCCATCCCTGGATAAAAAAAAAAAATGCATGAATTTAAAAAAGTCACTGAAAATTTGCTCTCAGCTGCAGTGTTTTCACCTGTATAGTTCTTTAGCTTGGTATAAGAGAGAGCTTGACATTGTTCCTCTGTCTTCCTTTGGCAGTCTTATACAGGGTGTTTGGAGTGACACCTGAAATGGAGCCTGTGGAGAAAAGGAACGCAAATCAAATGGATGTTACAGTCATCATTGACACTGTGGTATTTTACTATTTCTTCAGTAAATACTGAACCAAATGTAACACAACCGGATGTCACTTGGAATGGATTATAGAAAGCGTAGCTAAAAAAATCCCATTTAGACTAACGGTGCATTTCCTCCGACAGTCTTAAAAACCTCTTAAAATAAAAAAAAGAACGAGATAATCATAAAATCTATCCCCAAAAATCAGACCAAGATATTTTACAAGGATTGTTATCATATGGCATGATATGGAGAGATACATTACATGTCCTAAACTAGAAACATGTTTCAATCCATTTTGTTTGTATCTCTAGACCCCTGATGGCATTGTTGCAAAAACCTCGCAAGTCTCTCTACAATCAGGAATATACTCTGGAGTATACAAATTAGGTCATATAGTCAGGTAAGTCCTGGCCCAATATCGATGCTGAGCATATGAAGTGCTTTTGTTTCTATCAAATTAATTTGTGTACTTCTTTGTGTGTTTGGTGTGAAGCCCAGGACTGTGGAAGTTAGTGGTGAAGTTTCAGGAAAACCCCCAACAGAGCTTTTCTGCAGAGTTTGAAGTCAAAGAGTATGGTAAGTCCTTCGTTTGGCATAGACAGTTATTAAAATATTAAATTTATATATTTTTTTTGTGTGTTGTTTTGTTTTTTGAAGCAGGACTCAAACTCCTGTGTCCTAAGTAAACAGCATGTCAGCAGTTTTAGAAATGTTCCTTTTTTATCATCGCACTGCAGGCAAAGGCATGCATCTGTGTTGTGTCTGTGAAATGGCAGCTAACAAAGTGGCTCCAATATTGCCAACATAGCAATTTTGTTCCTATACTAAGCAACTTTTCAGAGTCCAAAGTTGTCTAAAATACCAGATGTTTGGGTCACGCTTTCTGAAAATATGTTAAATTCAGCAGTACAGATGGCCTTCTCTGCACCTTTTTTATACTCTTGCTTCACCCAGTTTCTGTGTATATACAGGATCCAAACCTTGACATGGCTAATTAAATGTTTCAATTTTTTAGTGCTGCCCAGTTTTGAGGTTGCACTGACACCTTTGAGTCCCTTTTTCTATGTGGATGACTCCGAGTTCACTGTCAGCATTAAAGCTACGTATGTCTTTGCTTCATAAATTAAGACCAAGTTTGACTTTTTGTTTGACTAGATGAGAATGAGATAAAGGATAATTGTTGATTTCTCATGCTGTTGCTAGTCTTTGACCACCTTAATTTCTTGTTTCGATCTGTATTTTAGGTATCTGTTTGGTGAAAAAGTGAATGGGATGGCATTTGGGGTTTTTGGAGTAATACGAGACGGTAAACAAAATAGCTTTCCAAACTCCATCCAGAAAGTGCCGGTGAGAACATGGTTTCACACTATGAATCTCTGTCAGTGTACCCGTTGATTGTTTGTTTTGCATACTTGTGTTTTGGATTTACATTTACAGAACATAACAGTGATAACAGTGTCTTGAAGTCTTTTTTTGAATCCTCAGTGTTTAAATCAGATTCAAGACTCAGAACAGCGTTGTACAAGTTCACACCAAAAACCTGTTTACCCTCATTGGTTTTAGCTGCAGTTATCACACAACTTTGTATGCTTCAATCTTAAGCTCTCAGTCATCCTAAACCTATTTAACTACCTTTTATCTAAAGAATCATAAACAGATATTGTGTTTGAATGACAAGAAAAACCTATTTGAGAATGTTTTACCAATTAAACATAGAAAACATTTCTCCCCTCCAAAGTGTACTTTCACTAATTACTTTTGATCTCTTTAAGACTTGTCAAAGTCCAGTTACAAATGACTTGACAGGAGGGATCATATGTCAATGACTTCACTCAAGTCAGTCTTTTAATCTATAGCTCAACATCTCATAATGAAATGACATGGGCATAGTTTACACGCCCTGAAACCTAATATCCTAGAGTCTGTTTATATTTGTGTCCCTTAGATGACCAAATACAGAACTGTAGAATACCAATAAATATCCTGACCATGAGTCTAAATAAGGATATCCACCAGTGTCTGAGGTGCAGTTTTCATCAGGGTTTTAATTTTAGTAATTTAAGTCAAAATAAGAGAATATTTCTGGAGTCTGAGTGCGATATTTGAGTACTATGTGTAGTTAAAAATAGAGTTTTTATTATTATTATTATTATTATTATTATTATTATTATTATTATTATTATTATTATTATTATTATCCAGAGACATTTTGATCTGTTATTTCTTTAGATTGTGGGAGGTGCTGGAGAGATCACTCTGAGGAGAGAGCACATCATAAGCGCCTTCCCAAATATCAATGACCTGGTGAAGAACCACATTTATGTAGCAGTCACCGTGCTGACAGAGAGTGGTAACAGAGAAATTTATAATATGCATTGTCTATTTATTTCATTTATTTTTATCTACTTCAAAATAACCTTTGAATGTTACTGTGATATAGAGCAAGGTTATGATTTAACTGAAGACAGAGTTAAATGGATGTTTAAGTGAATGATTAGGGGATTTGGTATTTATTGAAATCAAGACTCTGAAATTGAGGTTTAACTCCTAGTCCCTTTTAAAGGCAAAGTTTGTCAAGCTTTATCTTACAGGACAGCAAATTGGAAGACAAATGTAACTGTTGTGTGTCTTCAACAGGTGACGAGATGGTGGAGACAGAGATCAGAAGTACCCAGATCGTAACATCACCATATACTATTCGTTTCAAAAGAACACCCAAATTTTACAAGCCAAGACTGTCCTTTGACATTACGGTATTGTGCTTATTTATGGTTTAAAAAGACTGCCTGAGCAAACATAGACGCACTTCCTGGATCATTAATAACTCAACTAAAAGTCAGGCATCATTTAAGTGTTAAGCTGTTTTCATCTCTGATGGCAGGTTGAGGTATTAAATCCTGATGAATCTCCAGCAAACAGAGTCCAAGTGGTTGTGGATCCAGGCCAGGTGAGGGCCTTTACTGATGCCAGTGGCAAGGCGAGGCTGACCGTCTCTACAGTGGAAGCCAGTAACCAACTTGAAATAACAGTAGGTCTTTAGCATCATTTAATATCAATCTGTCCTTTGCAGCTTATGATACATAATTCTGTCCCTGAACTAAACCTACTATTTTTTATTTTTAGGCAAAGACTGATGATTCTCGTATTACAAGGGAAGGACAGGCATCAGTCACCATGGTGGCTCTTCCACATAAGACTAACAGCAACGAATTCATTCACATAGGTGAGATACGTCCTGAAAAACTGTACCAGCAGATGGTAAAATCAATTGTACAAACAGTGGCAGTGCTGTCAGGATACCTATTAGCTGCAGTAGCATCCCTCATTAAAAATGCTCTTTTCACAGAGTTGAGTAAATCTGAAGTAGATGTGAAAGAAGACTTAAAAGTCAACTTCATCTTCAATAGGCAGGATAATACACAAAAAGACACAACATACCTGGTGAGAGATTTTATGCATCTGCTTTTGTCTATAAATTTGCATATCCACAATTCCAAGTGGTCTGCATCATATCATCTTGTGCTGGACATGAGCTCATGTTTTCTTTTTAATCTGCATTTCCAGATCTCCAGCAGAGGTCAGCTTATTACACATGGCAGTTTTGTTACAAAAGGTCAACTGCTTATTTCCATCAGAATCCCCATAACCAAAGAAATGATGCCATCCTTTCGAATTGTGGCCTACTATCACACATTAAATGATGAAGTGATATCAGACTCTGTCTGGGTGGATGTCAAGCACTCCTGCATGGGCTCGGTGAGACATGAAATGAACTTTGAATGGGATGAGCCAAACTACCACATGTAAAGTGAAAGTGTGTGTCAAGAAGTCTGAATCCTTCCCAAATGAAAACATCCTGTCCCTCCTGCTTGCTCTAGCTTAAGTTGGAGGAAGTCAATCGTGAGCCATACCATGCGCCTCGACAACCCTTCTCTCTGACAATAACAGGGGATCCAGGTGCCAAAGTGGGGCTGGTAGCAGTTGACAAAGGCGTCTATGTCCTCAATAATAAGCATCGGCTCACCCAGAAGAAGGCAAATACTTGAATGTCTTTCCCATAACAAATATTAAAGTTGAGGTTTAATTTGTGACAAAAGCACAATCGAAATGCACATTATTATGATTTATTTAGCTGTATTTATATCTGTGAATAACTTTCTCACTCTTTAGGTGTGGGACAATGTAGAAAAGTACGACACAGGCTGCACTGCAGGTGGAGGGGAGAACGGTATGGGTGTGTTCTTCGATGCTGGGCTGTTATTTAGGTCCAGTTCTTCAGAGACTGACTACAGACAAGGTGATACTATTTCAGCCTCTATGTGTGTCTTTCTATTCTTATTTACTAGAACCAAATCAGCCATTGATGGTGGCAAAATATATTATTACAGAGTATTCATAAATTATTCACATTTGCATTTACTGTTGAGCAACTCCAGTAGTTAAAAACATGAACACACGATCATGAAAATGATCTATTAGGTTAAACATTTTAGAAACAACAGAAAATCATGTCATACTTCACAAACCTGACAGTTATCACCAATCACCCTAAAACTTTTCAACCCCATTATACATATACATAGAATTTCTTATTGATGAACTAACCCTTTATTCCTTCAACTGTTATTCACAGCAATACTAGACAAGAGAAATATCTAATGTTCAAAAGAAAATACCTCTAAATAACTAATAATCTGTGCATTATATAGACATAAACTTGGGAGTAATACGTGTATTGATCTTATTAAAGCTTTGCTTCATCTTACACTCATATCAAATACTTGTTCTACATTCTACCTCATTACATACTGACTGTTTTCAAACCAACATATTTATATGATCTGTATTATGACACCTCATAGTGATTGTTTTGAAGTATCACATCACAGATGCCATGCATTTTGCCTTAAATATCATGTCTGAGATGTTTTGTATTTTCAGAATTAAAATGTCCAACCACCAGCAGGAGGAAACGAGCCAACACTATTATGGAAGTCAGAGCCAGCCTGTGTAAGAATCATTGCCCTAATCACCCTAGTTATAGGCTACCATAGACTGTATATAGAATGGACGCTGTCTGCCGTCTACTGAGAACAGCACCCTCTGGTGATGGGCTGCAGTATAGGTCATTAATCCCGCCTACTCCAGCCATCCCTATGAAGCTGTGGACAAACTCTAGAAACGTATTACACAGAATTACATTTTTTCTCCCCCCTGTTTACAATGTTGACATGTTGCTAATGTAAGACTGGTTTGTGCTCAAGTCCTCTTTTTTTCTGTGCAGCTCCATTTTTAAGTTACTAGAGGGTTCATGTTTTCTATGATTGACACTTGATACAGCCTGAGTGTACGAAAATTGCGTAGCTCACCAGGAGCTACGTTTGAGCAAAGCGTCATTACAGCGACTCTCATGCTGAATGCTTACAATGCTACAATGGAAGGCGGAACCAAGTTGTCTATAGTATATACAGTCTATGAGTTACACCCACTCCCACTGAACACACACATGATTGATTTGTAATCTTAGTAATGTTGTCTCACTGTTGAAATATTACTGAAACCCCTGAAAATTTCCTGTATCATCGGGTTGGGCTTCATAATCAACTGCTCACCTCAACTTCTCAACCTGAACTGTTTCCTTAAACATCCTTAAACATGTTGTAGTGATATTAACCCACAAAATGTCACCATGGTGGAAGACCACTCATCTGACACCGAGTCTTCTGCTATCAAGTTCACGTAAAAACCCTTATATTCTGATATGGTATAAAAAATTCTTGAAAATCAAAATCACCTCTGTTGTTGAACAGTTCAGGAGTGCGGCCAGAAGGCAGACCACTGGGGGGAAACAGTTGAGGGGATGGCCTAGAGGCTGACCACTTGGGGAAAATGATCCAGAAGGGTGACCCTCCATTCCAGAAGTAGGCATAGGCTGGGATACAGACACAGAGACCAGGGTGGCCATCCTAAGTACCATCCCAGTGTCAGGCTGGGAGCCAGTACCCAGACATGGCACTGGGACCCGGGTGGCTGGCCTGGAAGCCAATCTGGGAGCAGGCACTGGGAGCCAACCTTGGAGCAGGGCCTCTGACGAGGAAACAGGAATTGGCAGGGCCTCTGATGAGGACACAAAATTCACACAAGGACATGCATGGGAAAATAAAGATGTCCAAAAAAGTCCCAAAGTAACTCTAAGAAGGATAGGTGGAGGGGGCCTGTAAGGAGGGCATGTAGCTTCTGTCGGCAAATGGTTCAGGGGACTGCCTGAAGTCAGACCAGAGCCTCTAAAATCAGATTGGCCCTTCTGAAAAAACTCTGCAAATCACTCACTTTGGTAAAAGAAATATTAAACTGTCTAAATTAACTTTGTCTGCTGGGTCCATTGCTGGCTGGTGTATCTTGTTCTGATAAAACAAAAGCAAAAGTAAGGACCAACATGCAGAACACAGAGATTTATTACAGAGAAAACAAGAGGAAAAATTTCACCAAAAACTTTAAAAATGTCCAACAAATCCAAATAACCAAAACGCCTGGAGCAAACAGTCCAAAGAAACACAAAGGCTGTGGGTAGACACGAGAACATGAATGAGAAACTAAAAGGAACAGAAAATACGAAAGAAGGAAAAAAAAAAAAAACACAAGAATAAACCATGACATTTTTAGGTTCATTTAGCAAGAGTAACGTCTGTCTCACCTTCTCATCCTTTATCCTATCTAGTGGGTCAATATGAAGACAAAGTGCAACGTGAGTGTTGCTATGATGGTTTGAAAGAAACCCCTGTCTCATACAGCTGTGAAAGGCGGAGCGAGTACATTGCAGAAGGTCAGGCCTGTGTTGAGGCCTTCCTTCGCTGCTGCAGAGAGATGGAAAGTCAGCAAGCAGAGAGGAGGGTGGCATATCTCCAGCTGGCTCGCAGTAAGAGATGAGGGTAAAAAATTGGGGTCCTAGATTTCGATAACATGTTTCTTTTAATCAAGAGCTAATAAAACTCTTTCACTGACACTTAAGGTGATGAAGATGATGGTTATGAAGACATCAAGAAAATTACTTCTCGAACCAGTTTTCCCGAAAGTTGGCTGTGGATGGATATTCTGCTGCCCTCATGCTCTCTGGAAGATCCTCACTGGTAATACAATAAACCTAATGTATACAGATATTCCCACCACTTTGGATATTTGTCCCATTAAAGTGATTTTTTTCCCTTTTCTCAGTGAAACCACATCTATGACGAAAAAAGTCTATCTGCAGGAGTCCATCACAACCTGGCAGTTTACTGGCATCAGTCTGTCCAAAACTCACGGTGAGAAGATGATGTTTCACTGCAAAATCTGACATCTTTTCATCACTTTAATTTTTTCGGCAGACAATTAAAATAGCTTAAATGTGTTAGGTCCGTCTGTAGAGACTGCCTCTCTCTTCGTCACTTTTTACTTTGCTCCTACAACAAGCTGATAGTTATCATTAAAACAATCCGTTTTTTTTTCAAATGCAGCAATAATTCCTTGAACATGCACATCTCAAATTTACTAATTAAGCATGTATGTTTTTTTGTTTTGTTTTAATTTTCAGAATACTCTCAACAACTCACAGTAAATTTTAACATAAATAATTTTAAAAAAGGGGTAAAAACATGGTAGTACTGGGAATAAAATTTGGCTCTGATCATTGTCTTGGCTGGCTCATTACTAGCAGATGAGATACACCTACCATCATCCACATTTGCAATTCTGAAATTAACTGTGACTCAATTAAACATAATTCAGACCAACACCATATTAAAGGGATATTCCAGCGTAAAATTAAGTTAGGGTCAAACACACCGTAACACTGAGTTAGACAACCCCTCCAGAGATGAATGTTGCCGACCGCTTTCTTCTCCAGTTATACCAACTTTAGTAACAACCGCACAATAGCAATACAGAGAGCCACCCACTCAACCAAAAAGCCACTCTATGGCCACAAATAACCCTCAGAACAGCACCTAACCTTATCAACAGTACATATAGGGCCCCAGCCACAGAACAAGCCATCAAACATCTTTTTAGCTTTGCCTGATTTCTTCAGCAAAGAGACCAAACACAACTCATATTCTCTCTTCCAGCAGCCGCTTGTTTGTACGGAGACCTCCAGACAAGTCCATCGACTGCAGTGGGGTGACGCAGCTCAAGAAAGAAAAATTATGATAATTTCTTTATCATTTCCTTGAAGTATCATGATAATCATTTTGCACTGCAGACGCAGTAGTTCCTCTGCCTTAGTGTCTCAGTCTGATTGCATTTCCATGAAGAAATGATCATAAATGTTCTTCCTTGAGCTGCATCCTCCCGCTGCAGTCAATGGACTCACCCGGAGGTCTTGCTACAAACAAGCGGCTGCTGGAAGACAGTAGGAGTTGTGTTTAGTCTCTTTGCTAAAGAAATCAGGCAATTACACAAGTTTTTTTTTTTTTTTTTTTTTTTTTTTTTTAATGAGTGGGAGTGTTGCTGTGCTTTAAAGGTGTCTGACAAGCAGAGGAATGTGCACTGTGAAATGTTTCATGTCTAATTGGGTATATCAATTACATGCCCTTCAAATCAGGATATATGACTCTAAGATTGAACGAGGTTTTCCTTGGTCTAATGGCTACAGCCTTTTCCTGCATCCCCAGGATAACAACATGCTACCTTTGCACCTGACCACACTGAACTTTAAAGCCAACATGACCACAGGCAAGATCATTAGCTATTTACATAACACAGGCACTAAGGGCAAGAAAAGAAATTATAACTTTGTTTGGTGAAAAAAAATGACCACGACACTTAAACTGCACTCCAGGACACCAGTATTGGTTGTAAAATTTGGCCAAGAATCTCTCTGGTTGTAAAAATAACTTGAATGATGTATTTCACCAAGCTTCTCTAACCAGACAAGCATTCTTCTCATCTTTCAAGGGATCTGTGTGGATGACACATTTGAGGTCACCGTCAAGAAGAAATTCTTCATTGACCTCAAACTGCCATACTCTGCAGTCCGAGGGGAGCAATTGGAAATCAAGGCTATCCTACATAACTACAGCCCAAATACTGCAACTGTAAGTCACTCCTCAGCTCTTGAGTTCAGAACAGATGGCCCAGTTTGTAAAAGCCCCAATTCTAAAATAGCGAGGAACTGTGGCAAATCATTAAAACCATTTATGTTATCCATTATTTAATTTTGGTTGACTTGGTGACTGCAAGGGCATCATCAGTCTCTTTTTTACTGAGCTATTTTTGGACTTGTATGCCCTGGATCCATTTTCTGTCTATTTTATTAATGTGATTACATATTTATTCATTGATCCTTACTTGTCTGAGTCAAGCTGTTGAACTCTCTCCCTTTCTAACTTTTACCATATTTTTGTAAGGTACGTGTGGATCTGATTGAGCACGCAGACCTGTGCAGTGCAGCTTCTAAGCGTCGTAAATATCGTCAGGAGGTTACAGTTGGATCACAAGCTACACGAGCTATATCCTACATTGTTATTCCTATGAAAGAAGGAGAAGTCCCCATTGAAGTCAAAGCAGTTGTAAAAGACTCCTATCAACTTAGTGATGCTATAAAGAAGCAGCTGCGAGTAGTGGTAAGCGATACAGACATTTGTCTTTCTATGATGTCATATTTGTCATTTTGTTGGAAACAATCTAAGCTGTGGAGACCTTACACAGAGTTCAGTTTTGACTTTTTTAACCCTGACCTTGAAGTACTTGAAGTACCAGCTGCAGCCACATAATAACCAGTGTTGGGGTAGTTACTCATAAAAAGTAATTTGTTACTAGTAACTAGTTACTTCTGTAAACTGTAATGAGATTACTTAACTAGTTACTGTATTTGAAAAATATTTTCACTACTTATTACTTGACTTTCCTGTTTCTTATTATACCGTGCAGAGGTAGGGGAGAGTGAGGAAAGATGAGCCATTTTTCATATTTCAGATCACTACATCAAGGCAATCACAGATTTGTCTCTAACTTGTGTATCTACATATATTTCAAGATGTTTCGCAGCCCTCCAAACCAACAGAATGAGTGTAAACAGAACTGTCTTGTTAATATAGCATGCCAAAAAAGTGGTCCTCTATGGTCAACTTACCCTGTGTATGGGGTTACTTGAGCACAGGAGCGGGGTGAGTTGAGCCGTATCCCTACTGCGCCCCCTCAATCTCTTCAAAGGACTTTCAAAGGACACATGATTGTGTAATGCATGTTAAGTCGGAAAGCAGCATCTTCACAGGCAAGTTTTTGTTTACATTCAACAGTGAGGCTGCGAGATAGCGACACAGTGAGAAAAAAACACCCAAGAAAAATGAATCCTGCGAAAGAAAAGACTGTCAGGGTGTACGGAGATAAGCTGGACAATGGTCTAAAAGCTTGATATCAAGAAAATTCCTAATTCCTATTCCTATTACACTAAATTCCTATTGCGCGTTCCTATTGTTTAGTAAAGTAATTAAGTTGCCGATTTTTTTTAGTGTAGTACGTTACTTTACTCCGTTACCCCTCAAAAAGTAATATTGTTACTGTAATTCGTTACTTTGTAGTGTGCTACCCCCAACACTGGTAATAACAATATTCATCTCAGTAGTTGTATGTGAGTAGTACCTTGGGGATAATAGCTGTTGCTGCTTGTCATAATTTGTTAAACCGCAACTAAGGGATTAAACTATATGTGAAGTACTAAAAGCATTTAATAATGTAAACATGATGTGTTCCCATTGTTTTCTAGTCTGAAGGTGTCCTGACAAAAACAACAAAAGTCATAACATTACACCCAGATAAAATGGGTGTAGGTAAGTTGACCACTAAATTAGCTAAAATCAACAACAAAAAACATCTCATTTTGTTTCTTTAGTTTTCTTACCCCCTTACTCACCAACTGTTTCTCTCTCTGCAGGCGGCAGACAAGAACTGACTATTAACTCAGATGTTAATTTAGATGATATGGTCCCAAACACAGATACCAGCACACTCATCTTCGTGACAGGTAATATTGAATGTTCATCTCCTTAGCTGCAATGTCAAACCTCACCATTTTATTGAATGAAGCAGTAGCTAAAGAAAAAGGATTTGTCAGAGAGGACCAATTCAGTGATCAGTTTTTGGTATTTTTCTTTGACATGACGTATTGTTCCAAAGGAAGTATTTTCTTCTGAACATGAGTATGCAAAGACGGGGGCTTGAGTTCAAGACTTGCACTTGAGTCACACACTAAGGTGACTCCAGATTTAACCTGTGCTCGACCCTCAGAGACTGTGGGACTTGTGCACAATATAATCAATAACATCACAAGCTCCATTTAGTTACCCCTTTATCAAGCCTTTTCTGGTGCATGAGTGCAATACCGCATCACTGACTGCCAAAATGACACAGCACTAAAGACACAGACCATAACTCAGTCGCTCCAGCACACCAGAACAGCTTGGACAATAAATAAACCACCACTGTTTACTCCTTGCCTCTGTTCATGCTGCTGGTGATCTAAGAGAGAGAAAAACACAGACGCAGTTGGTCCCTGCTTGTAATGCAGGCTGATGACTGAGATCAATGTCCCATATTAAATATATATATATCACTGTTTTAAAAGTTTTGTACAGCTGCTCTCAGTTTCGGATCATTATTACAGCAGGTGATTGCCCTTTCTCACACCTCAACTGTCCTGTTGATGAAACATTCGAAGCATGAGCATGTTGTTTCGGGTCTTGCCGATAAGTTTTTCCAAAAGAACAGACACAGAAAAGCATGAAGAAAATGTAAGAAGGAGGAAGATCATGGCACTGCTAAAAGTGAAGAGATGAGGTTGTTAGGTGCAGATTCAGATTCAACTTTCAACTGTTAGTTCTTTTTGAGTTCATATAGATTAGAGCTGGGGGAATATATCTAGTATAGGGCCACTGTGTTGTGTTGCTTTGTAGCTCACAGATATTAGTACTTCATATGGTATATGTAGAGTTAACTGAATATTAGTTTGACATGATGGAAAATAAATTAAGTCATATTTTTCGATAAATGGAGCCCTCCATTATGACCATTCAGTTTAGTTTTGTTATTATTGATTCTATGAAAGACTTGACTGGGACTAGTATTAACCCTCTGGGGTCCTTAAAAAAAGTTACACTTAGGTCCTTAGGTGGACAAAAATGTCCATCTACTAAAAGTGCTATAAAAATATTATACATTAATACTTTTTTCCACATTTTTGCTTAAATGGGAAAAAAAGGAATTTGGAGTTTTTTTCCATATATTCAATGCTGGGCAGGAATTTCTTTATGTTTTTTTATCAAGGTCTATGATGTGCCAATAATTAATAACAACATTAATTTTGATGCATTATTATGTTTGATGTATTGTCCGATTTCTAAAAAGTTATGCTTAGGTCCTTAGATGGGCAATAATGTTCATCTCCTAAAAGTGCTATAAAGTATTACACATGAATATTTCTTCTCACATTTTTTTTGCTTAAATCTTTTAATCAACTTCAGTCCTAATCATGACTACCAAATATTTATTCATTTTCAGAATTTCAACACAAAAAATAAGAATGCATCAAACTAATGTTGTTGCTAATTATTGACATACCATAGGCTGCCATATAAAAAAAGGAAATTCCTGCCCAGCATTTAATATCTAGAAAATAACTTCCTAAATAATATACTCACTATATAATACTTCCTATAAATTCCTTAATATATATATATATATATATATATATATATATATATATATATATATATATACATATATATACATACATATATATATATATATATATAACAGTGAGTAGTTATGATTGGAAGTTATGATTAGGACTGAAGTTGATTAAAAGATTTAAGAAAAAAAAATGTGAGAAGAATCATTAATGTATAATACTTATAGAAGATGGACATTTTTGTCCATCTAAGGACCTGAACATATAGTGTTTTTGTCACACTGTGAATATTGACCTGGTGTAATAATGGATGGCCATGTTCTAAAATTTAGAAAGAAGAAAAAAAAAAACTCTGAAAAAAAATCATGCCATTTGCATTAACACAGCCAAAATGATCAACAAACAAAAGGTAAAAAGTCACCAAAAATGGGCAAAAATGTCCTAAGAGCCCCTGGGGGTTAAAATAATAACAATGCATCAGGTTCATATGGCGCTTTATCAGCGACCCTCAAAGCACTTTACATAGGAAACATCAATCATTCACTCACACAGTCACACCCTGGTTGTGGTAAACTACCTTAGTAGACACAGCTGCCCTGGGGCAGACTGACAGAAATGTGGCTGCCAGTTTGCACCTACCCCTACTGGGCTAAGTGTCTTGTCTAAGGACACAACAGACATATTAGGGATAGGGGGGAATCAAACCACCAACCTTTCAGTTATTGGAAGACCTCTCTACCTCCTAAGCTACTGCTGCCCCTGTCACTGCACTCAGAGACTTAAGACTCGACTTTGACTCATGACCAAAAACCTGATACTTGACTTGGACCTGCGAAAAATGACTTGTGCCCTGTGCCCATCTCTGTGAGCATGACATTGAGAACCACCTTTGTGTCCACTCAGGAGGGCAGCAGATGAGTCAACTAGTAGAGAAGGCCATTAGTGGGCACGCTTTGACTTCCCTGATTGAGATGCCCTATGGCTGCGGAGAGCAGAACGCTGCCTCCATGACTCTACCTGTCATTGCAACTACATACCTGGACAAAACCAACCAATGGGAAGCTGTGGGCTTAGGGAAACGTGAAGAAGCCCTGCAGTACATTGCTTCTGGTAGGCTATATTTGTCATACATGCAGTAGATGTACCGTTTAATGTACTAGATGTTCTATTTGAGGGGACTCTTCATTTCAACACTTTTGGGTAAGATCTCGTAGGGACTTGAATTGCAGACAGTTAAAATAATTTTGTGTTCTGTTATTTTATAGGCTACCAGAATGAGCTGGCATACCGTAAAAGTGATGGGTCTTTTGCTGTGTTTAAACACAGTAAGGGCAGTTCCTGGTGAGGTATATTTTTGAATTTGAAGATTGATTTTTTTAACTTCTTGAATCATAAGCAAAACTATTCTGCACAGTTATCAATTAAATAAGGATTATGACACAACATCTCTCCTCTCTTCTGAAAGGCTGACAGCCTATGTGGTCAAAGTGTTTGCCATGGCCAGTAATCTGCAGGTGACAGTGCAAAGACACGTGATCTGTGATGCTGTCAGATTTCTCATCCTCTATGCACAGCACCCAGATGGCATGTTCACAGAAGTTGGACGCGTGTATAGTGAAGCGATGCGTGTACGTTTACTAATTCAAGAATCAAACTCAGACAAACAAGCAAGCCGCAGTGAGTTTTAAAAATGCCTGTACTGTGTGTGTGTGTGTGTGTGTGTGTGTGTGTGTGTGTGTGTGTGTGTGTGTGTGTGTGTGTGTGTGTGTGTGTGTGTGTGTGTTTGCATATTTAGGGTGGTGTGCTTACTGCAAATACTGACGTCTCCATGACAGCCTTCTGCCTGATTGCCATGCAGGAGTCACAAACAATATGTGCTGATTCTGTCAGTGTAAGTACAAATCTAAAATGACAAATTTTAAACCCTTTTTTGTTTTTTTTAATTTTGATGATTATATGGGTTGTGAAAATCAGAAATCTCTAACCATTATGATCTAACCATTATTCCATGGACATCAGAACTATTTTCTGAGGGGGGCTAGATTTTTGCTGGGAGGGGTGGCAGAGAGATACACACTTGTCTAAGGATTTAATTTGAAGTTATTTTATTATAGCACAAGAGAACTGTTCAAGCAATTCATATATTTCAAGCAGGGTCGAAACATCGCATTCCTCATCAAAGGGATATTCTGGTGTAAAATTAATTTAGGGTCAAACACACCATAACACCAACTTAGACATCGAGATGAATGTTGCCGACCGCTTGCTTCTCTAGTCATACCAACTTCATCAACAACTAAATGAAAGCAATACACAGTTGTCTACTTCTCTGCACACAAACCTCAAACAAAACGCCACTCTATAGCCACAAATAATACTCAGAACAGCACCTAACTTCATCAACAGAGCATAAGGTGTCCCAGCATATAGTACTAGCCATCAAACATCTTTTTAGCTTTGCCTGATTTCTTTAGCAAAGAGACCAAACACAACTCACCAACTCTCTTCCAGCAGCCGCTTGTTTGTAGCAAGACCTCTAGGTGAGTCCATTGACTGCAGCGGGAGGATGCAGCTCAAGGAAGAACATTTATGATCATTTCTTCATGGAAATGCAATCAGACTGAGACGCTAAGGCAGAGGAACTACTGCGTCTGCAGTGCAAAAAGATTAATATGATGATTATTACTTCAAGGAAATGATAAAGAAATTATTATAAATTTTCTTTCTTGAGCTGCATCACCCCATTCCAGTCGATGGACTTGTCTGGAGGTCTCCATACAAACAAGCGGCTGCTGGAAGAAAGAATGTGAGTTGTGTTTAGTCTCTTTGCTAAAGAAATCAGGCAAAGCTGAAAAGATGTTTGATGGCTTGTTCTGTGGCTGGGGCCCTATATGTACTGTTGATAAGGTTAGGTGCTGTTCTGAGCATTATTCGTGGCTATAGACTGACTTTTTGGTTGAGTGGGTGGCTCTCTGTATTGCTGTTGTGTGATTGTTACTAAAGTTGGTATAACTAGAAAAGTAAGAGGTCGGCAAGATTCATCTCTCGACAGGATGTCTAACTCTAACGGTGTTATGGTTTGTTTGACCCTAAATTAATTTTATGCTGGAATATCCCTTTAAGGTCATTATGAGTGTTCATAGTGGCCAAATGTGTCATCTCTCCTGCCTCATGCTGTTGCGCAGCCAGGTTTTCAATCTGTGTGGTGCTGAGAAATAGCTTTCAGATGCCGTGACAGGCAGGGGCTGGGCCAGACAGAACTATATGAGCTTCTCCACCTCGGACAGCATGGAGCGAGTTTGGGGCTGCAAGGTTTGTTGGATGGACACAACATCCTGGATGGCGCTAATTTCTCGTTCCCTACACACATCCCTCAGTATGTCCAGCTCAAGGCTTAGCTGCTCTCATGGAAAAGGGAGTCAGCCCCGGGGAACCCATATCAACTACTTTCCCCTGAGCCGCCTCAAGAACTGCCTTGTTAGAGCCTGATATGTAACAGTGACCTGAAATGTTATTTTAAAAAATGCAATAAAACCCCAAATGTAGTAACTGGTCGATAATGTAACAAGATACTGAGCCCAAAACATATAAACATTTTGCCCAAAATGTTGCAACTTATTATATTTTGTGTCAGTTATTACATTTTAGGTTTTATTGCAATTTTATTTTATTTTTTTTACATTTTGGGTCATTGTTACACATCGGGACTCTGCAACTCTGCTGAGTCCCTCCTGATCCAAAAGCACCACGTCCATGGCCTCAAACACTTCTCTCTTCCATGAACTCACATTGCTTGTGACATTAGGTTAACAGATCAAAACAACAATACTCGCAAAAACAAGTCTTATTATTATTATTTTTTTTGTTAAGCTTGTACACACTGAACTGTCGGATGCAGCCTGACTCCATACAGTAGCCTATGCCAGATACCAAGGCTACTGTATCATACTGTAGCACATACTATATCTATGCCTCTGATATTATTTGAAAGAGATACATGTCAGGCTGTATGGGGTAAATGTACAGGCTGACGGGGTAAATGACTTTTATAAATGACTTTATTACGACTTTATTCTTGTTAGTAATGACTTTATTACGTCTTGTAAATTAACTACTTTAATCTCAAAGTCTTAATATTCTTTTTTTCTTAATGTGGCCCTAATACGCCATCGTAGTGGATCAACCAAGATTAAGTTGAAATTTAAGAGACAGAAACAAATTGGAGTTATCAATGATGAAAACAACCATCTTCATTATTTATTCGAAACACATTAGGGTTAGTGGTATTATTGCATAAATCAAATTCTTAATTGTTTCATTTACATATGCAATTGGGCCTAAATGTTTCTGTGGGTGCAAAAAATGAGGTCCAAAAGGGAAAAGTCAAGAAAATATATTTTACTAACAGTTTTCAAAGGAAACTTAAAAGAAATAATTGTTGTAAAGCCCTGACAACACAAGACAGAAAGAACTTATACACCGATACACCAGAGAAATAGGCTAATAAATACTATGTGCAACTCACTGACATAAAGGGTGATGACAGTGTCATTTTTTATTCGTGACACTCTGCTTTTTTACAGTTAAAATAAATGATATGCTGTTAATTTATCATGCTTGTTAATTTAAAAATGACATAGCCAAAACAAAAAATCCATTTGAGAAGTTGCTGATTATGGGTGTTATTGCTCATTTAATGTCTTTTCTTCTCATCTAGAGTCTAACCAGCAGTATGAACAAGGCAACAACCTACATCCAATCACGTCTGTCTGGTCTCACCAATCCATATGCTGTTGCAATTGCATCATATGCTCTGGCCAATAGAAACATGCTGAACCTGGAGATTCTCAACAAGTTTGTGTCTGAAGGTATCCCCAAACCCGTTTAAGACCTTTACACATACCTGAGTCACATATGAACATAAAAACTCAAAGCAGCAGATTTAATCTATACAGCAGTGATGACGTTTGTTGGTAAACCAGTACAGCATTGATAGTGTGTGTTTGTATGTCCTTGTGTCTTCTCCAGACTCCCACTGGCCTGTGCCTGGTTCACAGCAGTACACGCTGGAAGCTACAGCTTATGCTCTTCTTGCTCTGGTGAAGGCTGGGGTGAGCTTATGCCTCTAAATGTTTTGGATATGTTGACATGGAGCAGGTAGGATGTTAAGCATGTTTATAAACCTTATATATTACCATATTGACAGGGGCGTGTTCAAAGGGATGGCCAGGGGTGGTACCTCTCCAAATTGGTTTGGCCACCCTAAAATCCTAAGCTCTCAGACTGATGATTCACTTTGCAAGAGGGAGGGCTTCTGTTAAAGGCGGTTTTCCCTATGGGTGATGTGGGAGACCGCCCAGGGCGTAATTTAAGGGCGCATTAGCGCCCTCCAAAAGAAAGAAAAAAATAACAACCTCGCTAGTTTTCTAGATTACCGCTTATTTCCACAACAAGTTAGTGGAGTGGGTGCTCGGGCACCCCACTTATCACATCAACTTGCTGCTGAGTCATGTATATAGGGTTAGATGTCACTCAATATCAGAAGAAAAGGGGGGTCAGGCCGGTGGGGAATCAATTTATGACTGCAGAGGTTGTGTATAAGTGAATGAGTCTCGTGTTGCATTCACATCAAGTATGAATAAAACCCTCAACTCATTTAATCATTCGTATCCGGACATGCAAATGTGCATTTAGTTGCTTATTTCACAAGAATAACTTGCTTGATTTGCGTGCTTGTATCAGATCTGCAGAGAGCCAAAACACACGTAAGGTTATGAAAGAGGAGAGAAAGAGAGGAGGGGTTCCTGCAGCTCAGGTCAGTCTGTTTGTATCGAGCACAGCAGAGGTTGACCACACTGTGAGGATCTGTTGTGTTAAAACAACTTACCAGATAATTAGAACTCCTTACTCTCTCTCCTCCAGCTTGGCATGTTTTTAGGTATGAAAAAAGTATTAAAAATACACAAATCTGTGCATGTACTTTCGTGTTTTCAAGCACTACCTAATAGCAATCCAATCACCCAGAACACGTTAGTGCCAGGTGTAAACAGGGTAAAAGATCATGAACAATACCTTTTTTTTTTTGTTTGAGCTGGGGGGTCTCATGGTATAGGTCTATGATATGTTTTAGGTAAAGGTTTGTGTTTTAAGGACGACTGATTGAATACATCTACATCTAGTCAAATGAAAAACCTAAAAGGCAAACAAACTGAAATCTGCATTGATTCAATTCCTTTTCTTGTCCCTGATTATGAAGGAGTTTGACAAAGCCAAACCTGTTGTCAGATGGTTCAGAAACCAGCAGACCACGAGTGGAGGCTTTGGATCAACTCAGGTAACTTTTCTTTCTACATTTATCGCTTCTCAAAATGTATCTGGTTTAGTTGCGTTGTGTGTACCCAAACAATTGATTGTGCCCCTTTTTCCAGCCAACTATAATGGTATACCAGGCTGTAGCCGAGTACTGGGCCAATGCCAGGGAACCAGACTATGATCTGAATGTGGACATCTTGTTACCTGGCAGATCACGGGCTGAAAAGTTCAAATTCAACAAGAATACCCAATTTACCACAAGAACAAGTAAAGTAAGAGCACAAACAGAAAAAAAAACATTTTTTAACAAATGCTTTAAAGTTTCTGTTTAATTATACCACAGCAACATTGCAACTTATTCACTGATTCCTGACGGTACAGATCCACCAGAGGCAGATAGAACAGACAAGCCACCTACTTCATTCATGTCACGTTATCTTGAATTTTAGGCTGCTTCATATAAAACTAACACAAATGTTTATGTACCTTTTGTTTATCATTATTTGCTGTAAATGCAGAGGTTTGACAAAATGAGGGGGGGGGGAAGTGTTTGTAAAGTGTGCTGTCAGCCATAGCTGGGATGCCAGTAATCCCAGCCTGCTTTGCACAGAGAGGCAAGTGTTTCCAATGCACAATGAACAGTGGCAAGTTTTCAGAAACACAGTGCCACCTCTGGTGGGTCTGTGCAGTCAGACAGAATGGGGGGCTTTCGATATTTGTTTCCCCAATGTTTACATTTTGTTGAAGTGGTTTTTTTTAAGACCTGATCCAGTTGATGCTTTCCTAAGACTGCTTTACCTTTACATTTGCAAGTGTGTTGATTTGTTCTTGTATATTTTACATTCTAACAGTTCAACACTATCAACCGTGATGTTGAAGTGACGGCCGCAGGAGCTGGAGAAGCAACATTAAAAGTAAGTTAGCTCTAGTGGTGGAAGCTGCCATCTTGGTTGTTTATTATTATGCTGAAGAAGCACTCCTGTGTTGTCATTTTATTTTCAAATAGGGGACTGTAGTGGGTCAGTATACCAAACACTGAGGGGAAATGGTTTAGAGCTGCAGCAGTTCCAGACTCACAGGCTAGCAAACATGAGCTATGCTGACTGATGGTTTTGGCATTGCCAAGATATTTGTTTGGTACAATCTGGTTTTGGCCAAAACCATCAGGAATGACACTACAGAACAGTGTAAGCCCCTGACTCGTCCATGCAGTTTGACTCAATTAGCTGGAGGTATCTTCCACTTTTCACTAAATTTAGTTAGTTTTTGACTAACAAAGCCACATCCACTACTCACATTTAATCCCATGAGTCTATACATGTTCAGCCTGTTTGTGTCTTACTCTGGAAATAATTGTTCCATATGCACTTGATTTAAGTCGCCTTTAAACAGTTTTTTTTTTTAATTTTGTTTAATTCATGTCTTCAAATGAGTGTTTTGTACTAAATGATGCATTACCACTCTTCTTAGAATAATGGAAAGACCCTCTGGGGGCTAATGTAGTGTTGTTTTTGGCTCTGACACCATCTTTTAAAGACTTGGTTGTGTTCATTTTACAGATGGTGTCGCTGTATTATGCATTGCCTAAAGAAAAGGAGAGTGACTGCAAGAAGTTTTCCTTGGCAGTAAATGTGACCCAAGGTAATTTTGTGTTATGGTATCTGCTTTTGGTTTTAATTGTAGCAGTTTCTAAATAATATTATTCTGTTGTTTTGGGTTGTTGGTCCCCCTGGATTTGCTACCAGGAATGTGTAAGAAAAAGAACAAATATGAACAAAGTGTTCGTGATTTTTTTTTATTTTTTTCTGTAGAAACCCCACAGGGGAATGAGAAGATATACAAGCTGAGAATAGAGGTTTTGTAAGTGGCATTCAAATTCTCCTGTCAAGGGTTACACAATCATGGTGGCCCTGAGGTGCAAAACACAACGACAAATCAGAAAACACGACACAAAAAAGAAAACACAATGGCAAATCAGAAAACACAACACAAAAAGAGGAAACACAACACAAGAGAAAACACAGCAGCAAAAAAGAAAACACAACACAAAAAAAAGAAAACACAACAACAAATCAGAAAACACAATGGCAAATTAGAAAACAGAACATTAACCATTGTGTTTTTTCTTCTTGTGTTATGTTTTCTGTTTTGCCGTTTTGTTTTCTGTTTCATTTCTGTGTTTTCTGATTTGCTGTTGTGTTTTCTCTTTTTGTGTTGTGTTTTCTGATTAACTGTTGTATTTTGCACCTCAGGGCCACCGTTCACTATGGCTTTACTGCCAATATTTATCTGTTCTGTATGTCCCTGATTCCTTTTAAGCCTAAAATTTGATTTTTTTGTCTCCCTCATGTAATTGTTTTTATTTCTCTACATTGTTCCATGGACAGGTTTAAGAACCCTGAGCACAGTTCAACCATGGCAATCCTGGACATCAGTTTGCCGACTGGTTTTATCGCCAACAAAGAACACCTTAAAACAGTAAAGAAAAAAAAAGTGAAAACTTGATAAGTAAAAGCAAAGAAACATACAGCAGAAACAAGGATTTTGACGCTCTGTCTGTCTGTCTGTCTGTCTGTCTGTCTGTATGTGCATGCGTGTGTGTGTGTTTTAGATGTCTGAAGGACATGCCCGTACTATTTCAAAGTATGAGATGGACACTGTCTTGTCTGAAAAAGGCTCACTTATCATTTACTTGGACAAGGTAAGATTATCTTTACTCAATCCCATTTCATGTATTTCATGTGAGTGCACACCATCTATTGGCACAATGGACAGTCACATCACGTCCCGTGTTTTTATGAATCTGATTCTCCGGATCCGTCCGGTGACCGCTGTGAAAGGACAGCTGACAACAGAGGAAAGTCTCTGTGACAGCTTGGAGAGACCGCTGACAGGAGGGAATAGACCCCACTGGGGCTGTCATGGGCTAGCTACCCATGTTGGCAGTCTCCGCTGCTTCAGTATGTTGGAGACACCCGCAAAACCTGCTACAGAAAGTCAACTAAGGAACATACCCCTAGAGCCTGCGAGAGCTGGGGCGCAAGATGGCTCACCGATTGATCACACGGCTACAGACCCAGGAACGAAAACGACTATGAGTAAGAAGAACACAGCACATGAGAAAACCACAACAGCAGCAGGACACACACTTCAGGTGTGCAGCTGTGGTTGGGAGAAAGTAACATCGGCAAGGGGATTAAAGATCCATCAAGGGAGGAAAAGGTGCTTGGGAGAGCAGAGACAGGAACCTCGCATTGACCAGTACTTCTTGCGAAGCAACCGATCAAGTCAGTCGAATGAAGCACAGCGACAGGACACAAACCAAAGTTCGCAGAGCATCAGCACCCCTGTCATTGAGGAGAATAACACAAGCACGGATATGCCGGTGGACGATTTCACCCAACCACAGAGACCTCCAAAGGAGGAAAAGATCAAAGGGCACAGACTGAGTGTTAAGTGGCCCAAAGCTGTTGAGAAGAAAGAGTGGGAAATGATCAACAACGACCTGATAAAAATCCTGGAACAACAGACAGGCACAGCAGAGAGAAAGCTTGAAACGATGGGAGACATTATCTACCACTATGGAGAAGAGCGCTTTGGTGTAAACATCAGGAGAAGTGGAAAGACACAACCAGCACCAACCAAATCTAGGAGACAGCAAGAGATCGAGAGACTCGTCAGAGAGCGAAGGCAGCTGAGAAAGCAGTGGAAGAAGGCCTCTGATGCAGAGAGAGAAGGTCTCATGCTACTCCAAGCAGACATCAAAGGTCGGCTGACAACCTTGAGAAGAGCAGAGAACTTCAGGAAACTTCGTAAGAAGAAGGAACACTCAAGAACACGGTTCTACAAAAACCCTTTTAAGTTCGTCAAAGACCTCTTTGCTAAGGACAAGAGTGGAATCCTGAAAACACCAAAGAAGGAATTGGAAGAACATCTGGAGAAGGCCCATCAGGACACGAAAAGGCATGAGCAGATAATCATCCCCCATGACATCCCACCTATTCATCCTCCAGAATTCAAACTGGACACTGAACCTCCAAAGTGGAAGGAAGTTGAGAATGTAGTCCGGCGAGCTAGAGCGGCATCAGCTCCGGGGCCTAATGGAGTACCGTACAAGCTCTACAAGAACACGCCGGACGTTCTACGCTTTCTTTGGAGACTCATGAGGATAGTGTGGCAGAAGGAAATAATACCCAAGGCATGGCGAAGGGCTGGCGGTGTGTTGATTCCAAAAGAAAAGGATGCCACTGACATCAGTCAATTCCGACCAATCAGTCTTCTCAACGTCGAGGGGAAAATCTTTTTCAGCATAATGGCACAGAGGCTGTCAACGTACCTGGAAAGGAACAAGTACATTGATACAGCTGTACAGAAAGCAGGCATTCCAGGATTCTCTGGTTGCCTAGAGCATACCAGTATGATTTGGCACCAGATCCAAGCAGCTAAGAAGGACAAAAGAGACCTCTATGTCATCTTCCTTGATCTGGCCAATGCCTTTGGTTCAGTTCCCCATGAACTGCTCTGGGAATCTTTCAACTTTTTCCATGTACCAGAACCCATCACTAAGCTGGTAAAGGCCTACTTCCAAGACCTTCAACTGTGTTTCACAACACCTGACTTCATTACAACATGGCAACGCCTGGAAATAGGCATAATGGCAGGCTGTACAATCTCACCTCTGGCCTTCACTATGGCCATGGAAGTCATCATCAGGGCCTCGAAATGGGTGGTGGGTGGTGAGCGAACTAAGAACGGGCTCCGTCTGCCACCGATCCGAGTGTACATGGATGACATGACTATGCTGACCACAACTCCAGCTTGCACCAAGCGGCTGCTGGCGAAACTGGAGGAGAACATCAAGTGGGCACGAATGAAAATCAAGCCAAGCAAATCTCGAAGTGTTGCCATAGTCAAGGGGCAGCTGAAAGATGTGAAGTTCTGCATTGGCGATGACCCGATACCAACGGTGTCTGAGCAACCTGTGAAAAGCCTGGGTAGATGGTACAGTGCAAGCCTCAAGGATACAGATCAAGTGCAGCAGTTACGGCAGGACATTGTCAACGGTCTGGAGAGGATCGACAAGACCCTACTGCCTGGGAAGCTCAAGCTTTGGTGTCTCCAGTTTGGACTTCTCCCCAGGGTAATGTGGCCACTCACCATGTATGAGGTCCCAATAACATCGGTGGAGAAGATGGAGCGTACCATTACAACATGCGCAAAGAAATGGCTCGGTGTCCCACGATGTCTAAGCAACATCAGCCTCTACGGCAAAGGGGTCCTTGAACTACCTCTCACAAGTTTAACAGAGGAGTACAAGTGCTCTAAAGTTAGGCTTCAAATGACATTGCAGGATTCCAGAGACCATACCATCAGCAGTGCTGCACCTCCTGTACTAACTGGACGGAAATGGACACCATCGGATGCGGTGCAGCAAGCAACATCTGCCCTGAGACACCAAGACATCCTGGGGCATATCCAGTATGGAAGAGGAGGTTTTGGCCTGGCAGCGAGCAAACCGTCTTGGCGCAAGGCAACAACATCTGAGCGTAGAAAACTGGTGGTTGAAGAGGTGCGCAGGCAGGAGGAGACTGCGAGAGGTACAAAGGCTGTCTCTCTTGCTAAACAGGGGCAATGGATGCGGTGGGAAGGCCTGGAGAGGAGAAAAATCACCTGGAGTGAGCTATGGCAAATGGACGCAAGCAACATCAGTTTCATCATAAGAGCCGTATATGATGTGCTTCCATCACCAAAGAACCTACATCAGTGGTATGGCGAGGATCCAACCTGCCCTCTTTGCCCAGCTCCAGCGACTCTCAGGCATATCTTGACAAGTTGCAAGACCAGCCTCACACAAGGCCGCTACACCTGGAGGCACAATCAAGTCCTCAAGAGCCTGGCTGCAGCAATCGAGATCAAGAGGAATGCAACCAACCCCTTACCCCCAAGACCAAGCAACCCCATGAAATCAACAACATTCATCCGGGAGGGACAGGAAAAGCCAAAGCATACTGCTACGAAGCCAGAAACTGGACACCTAGCCATGGCCCGGGACTGGAAAATGCTTGTTGATGTCGGCCAGCAACTAATTTTTCCTTCTGAGATCACGACCACCAACCTTAGGCCAGACATGGTACTCTGGTCTCCTTCACGAAGATCTGTCTTCATCATAGAACTCACAGTCCCATGGGAGAACTCTGTTGAGGAGGCCTATGAGCGAAAAAAGCTGCGATACACAGAGCTAGCAGCAGACGCAATTCAACATGGCTGGAATGCAAAAGTCTGTCCGGTTGAAGTCGGATGTAGAGGATTCGTGGCCTCTTCCACCATCAGGCTGCTGAAGGAACTTGGAATCCAGGGACAGGCTCTGCGGCAGACCATCAGATCAGTCTCTGAAGCAGCTGAAAGGGGCAGCCAGTGGCCCTTGGGCTAAACGGAAGGACCCTTGCTGGGCCCTAAGAACATGACCCCCCCCCCCCCCCCCCCGACCCGAGAGCCCGAATCCCAACCCTCCAACCTGAGGAGGGCCCATGAGGTATGCGGTCAGCTGTAGGCTTGGCTCAGGGAAGAGGACGCCCCTGCCTTGCATAGTCCCTTGGGATTTTAGCCATCTTACAGCTAGGCTAATCCTAATGATTGGGCATGGGACACAAGCTAAGGCTTGATCACCCTGTAGCTGGCCGTCTTTGATGAGGGTGTATAGTGTTTAAAGGCCGAAACACCCCCTGATTCAAAGGAACACTACTGAGGATGTGTCCTGAAATTTTACATCTAACCCCACTCTTAGGAACATATCTCTCCCATGCCACTCTTAACATCACGGCAAATCTCATGTGAGTGCACACCATCTATTGGCACAATGGACAGTCACATCACGTCCCGTGTTTTTATGAATCTTATTCAATACAAGTGTTGCTATATTTCACTATTAGCAATAAAGTTGGCTAACAGCAGGAGTAGTTGGATAGTTCCTGGAAGACTGTTAACACCAGTGCTAGGGGGGCATGATTTGAGGTTTATCTCCACTGATTATTCACATTTGATTATGCAAGATTTTGTACGATCTGGTGTCTGCAGTACACCCACTGTGAAGTTGTAACCACAAATGTTAAACACATGGTCTTAAAAAATCAACCAGAACTGTACTAAAGGGTGTGATTTTCTGAGGTTTTAAAATCACCTAAGATCTAGTGTCATGCTAACACCACACTCGGATAAATTTATGAAACTGGCACATATTTAAAGACCTGAACATTTTATGTTTACATACTTAGTTTGTGCATAAACTCACTCCCTTTGCATGCTGCATTGCATCTACATGACAAATTAATATTGATTTGATAGGGGGAAAACATTTGCAGGATAAAAGTTGCATTTTAACACCTCTTAAGAATGACTTTACATGTAATCTACTCACTCTCAATCTCACTCTAAATCTACTCAGGAATGAATTTATTTGCACCTGCTGTGAACACGATATTAAAGTCATCTATTGTAAAGTGCCAGTCGGCCTGAGAGGGACATGCACAGATATTCAGGAATTTCAGAGCTGTCTAAAACTTAGTCACTTTCTTTTTTACTACATCTGCCCATAAAAAAGCTCCATGCAGTACAATCTGCCTGTGTTAGTATAGACAAAAGCGTGTGTTTTCTACCTACATACACACACACACACACACAATGACACATGCAGTACTCCTGTTGTAAATCTTTTTACAGGTGTCTAACATGAGACCAGAAGAGATCACTTTTAACATCCACCAGAAGTGGAAAGTGGGTGTTTTACAACCAGCTGCTGTGTCTGTTTATGAATACAATGAAAGTAAGTCAAAGAAACACTTGAAAGTGTCTCAAAACTAAAAGATGATCTGCACAGAGTAGAGCTGTTTCTAACTACCTATCTGAACAACTTTATTACAACAGCAGTTTATACATGCGTTTCCTGCTGCATTAAGGTTTTTTAAGGAATATCTTATCACCCAAGTTTAAGCTTGCACGCATCCTCTAACATAGTTTTAGGTGAAAATTGGTGAAAAAAGGTAGTTGTTCAACAAGAGAGCAACAGTGAATGTTGTGATATTATTAAGTTGAGTTAATGCACCTCAACAGTTAGGCTACAGCTGCTAATAGTTTTCAGGGTGCATGATAAGATGCATTTGGTGTCATGGCAGATTATAACCCTGCTTTCTTATGGATTACATAGCTGTGTTAAATACTTGTCTCTGATACATTTACAGCGACTCTACAGGCAACTGTGTGAAGCCTGATCCATAGCAACAGTGTGCTGTTGAGAAATGTGACATATAACATTTATGCAGAATAGAGAACATATCCTAATGTTATGTGACCTGTGATCAGTCATTACTGAATACTCAATACATTTTTTTGCATGCTGCAGAGGAACGATGTGTGAAGTTTTACCACCCAGAGAGAAGTGGGGAGCTTCAGAGACTCTGCACAGAAAATGAATGTGCATGTGCTGAAGGTAAACAAAAACATATCTACCTATGAATTTGTCTGACACTTGAAACTAACCCTTAAACAAAACCAAAATGTGCGCCTATCCATTTTAATTGAATAATCAATACCTATTAGTGTTATTAGTAGTAACATTAGATCATTAAGGCGAGACATCAAGCAGTCTTTCAGGAAGCCAAAAGAAGCACAGGTGATTGTAAAACAAGGGATGAGCGAAGTTCAAGTCAGAATATTACTGTAGGCTACTTGAAAACAATCATCTGTAAAGCACAACAATAGCATCATAACTCATTTAAACTGTGGTCAGACCAATATAAAAGCACAAAACTGGTTAACCTAATGCAGCCAGAAAGAGTAGCTGTGCAAAATCAGATATAGTTCATTAAAAGTGAAGACAGAAGTGAAACAAACAGCGTTCTCTGTTAATGTGAAGTCAGTAAGTTAACACGGACAAATCATAATAGACTGGTTTACCCATACTGTCTCACCTGTGAGTGGATGATTTAAAGACTTCCAAAGGTAGAATCCTCAGTTGTTTACACTTACTCACTGACATGATTACAATTAGTCAAATTATTAAGGTTTAAACAACCTAATACCTGGAACACAGAAAAAAATACATGAAAATAGATGGGTAAGACATCAAGAAACAGCCTGTCTATTGGGTGAGACTCTTCTGTGATTAATGCGAGAATAAGATTTCTCTGGTGTCCCAGTATTGCGTCAGAAATAGTAATTTTATATTGTACTGAGATTATCTTTTGGGTAGTCTCATGATTACTAATTGAGCCATCCCTTTTCTGTTGGCATTTTTTTGTTGTCATCTGTGTACCTGCAGAAAACTGTAGCATGCAGAAAAAGGGTCAAATCAGCAATCATGATCGCACAAACAAAGTTTGTGAAACCACACAGACCAACAAAATAGATTTTGGTAAGTATATTCTGTTTCCCACACTAAGATATTACCTGGGTAAGTTGCCTAAGGATAATTCCATACATTTTTACTTTTTTCTTTTTTGTCTTTCGAATAAGATTGTCACCCATGATTATGAATGTGGCGATCTCTTATTTCCCTCTGTCCCTTGGGGTTCATCAAGATGGTTATGGTGCATGTGACACAGGCCTTTCAGCTCACAGCAATCAAAAATCTAAAAACCTTAGAATGAAATTAAAATACCTATTAAAAAAGGATTTATAGTACAGAAATATCAAACTCCTGAAGAAATTTTTGTTCATTTATGCACTTGGTACTTTGTCAGGACTCCTTTTAGCTAGATAACTGCATCAATGTGATGTGGCATGGAGGCAATCAGCCTGTGGTATTGCGGGGGTGATATGAAGCCCAGGTTGCTTTGATAGCTCCCTCAGTTTATCAGTGTTGTTGGCTATCCCCAAGGTTCTGAGTTAGGTCAGGCGAGTTAACTGGCCAGTCAATCGCCATGTTCACCAGTCTGGGTTTCTGGTAGTTTTGGCAGTGCTGGCAGGTGCCAGGTCCTGCTGGAAAAGAAAATATGTGAACTTTTATCTATGAACTTTTTTTTTTTTTTCTTTTTTACTGTTTTTCACAAGGCGAGGTGCATTATTTGGGCTTCTTCATTAATCATGCTGGTTACATACTGTAATGTTGCCTCCCTCATCGAAGATACAGTGTGATTTTATGGTAAATACTGGTTTGTCTTTTTCTGTAAGACTGCGAGTGAGTGGGCTAACACTATGCAACTTTTTTCTTCTTAGTGTACAAAATCACAGTTGAAGATTTTTCAGATGGTTTGTCAACAGACATTTATACAGCAAGAATAACGGACGTCCTTAAAGAAGGTGTGTATTAACTTCATGTCCATTTTTTCAATAATTTCTTGATAAGCCTTTATAAGACTGACATAAAATTTGCTGGCAACACGTGGTTGGGTAAGGAGTATTTCATGCTGAATATACTGTATGTTAGTCACAGTGTTTTAGTTGCACAGAGTTGTGATTTACATCAAATGGAGTTTTAGAGATCAGTCAGGATGCTGAGTGATGATGAAACTGTACATAGCACTGTACATAGCCTTTTGTACTTTTATACTTTATATATGTCCTGCATGCTCTTATTATTTTCTGTTCTAGTATTTTATATAGTATTCTCCATTTAATGTTGCACCATCACGCTGTAAAAAAATTCCTAGTCTATGAATCCTGTTCATTGACAATGGCAATAAAACCCCTTCTGATTCTGAAATGGTCACCAGATAGAAAATGTACAAAAGAGTGGAATAAGAACAACTTTATTAATAAGAATAAGAACAACTTTATTAATAAGAATAAGAACAACTTTATTAATAAGAATAAGAATAACTTTATTAATCTCCGAAGGGAAATTCAATTGTCTGTTGTCTCACATAATATGTCTCCAAAGACATATAATGTGAGACACATGGTGCTGAATGTAAATTAATGATCTTATTTTTTCATTCCATGTTTTCCTCCACTGAACTTTGATATCAGGAAATACTGACAGTGCTCCCCTTCGGCAACTGCGAACATTCCTCAGTTTTCCAAACTGCAGAGCAGCTCTGGGTTTGACACCGGGAAAAACCTACTTAATTATGGGATCATCCGATGATATTCGACGACTTCATGAAACTCAGTCGTATGTTTGTTTTGAAATTACTTTGTGTGTTTGTGTGAGCTGTGTTTATGGCTGCCACCATGAAAAATACTCCTACTCTTTGCCTGCCTTCTGTGACTCCCCACCAGTAAAATGAGCTTTATTTATCATCTAAGTTTGGACCCTTTAGAATTTGGCCATGACATTGTTTCTGAGTCATGCATACTTAGAAACAATCAAATAGTTTAATTTAACCTTTTTTTCACTGTACTCCCTTTAGATACCAGTACATACTTGGAGAAAACACCTGGGTTGAGTACTGGCCAACAATTGAAGAGTGTCAGACTGATGACTTCAGACGTACCTGCCTGGGCATGGAGGAGCTGGTTCAGATATATGAAGACTTTGGATGCCCTCAGTAATTTAATGGATGTCAATAAAAAGCTCTGCTGGAGTGCTTTTGCTTTGTATCACTCTCCTACGGTAAAACTGCACAATGAAATCAGCCAGCCCTGTGGAAATGGCAATAACATTGTCAATTAAATTTCCCTCCAGGCATAAATAAAGTCATTCTTATTCTTAATCTGGATTTTATTGATATGAATTGTCTTTCACCACCAGTATTCAAAGGTTGCCAGCCACCGCCAGCTTTTTGAACAAAACTGGTGAACTTTTAAGATCACAAAATATTTTTTTCCAAAGTATGTTGTACCAATAACGGCATCAAAAGAAAGTAGGGGAGACCAGGTATGTTTGTAACACTTTTTGCTACAGCATTTTTAACTCACTGAATGTTTGAGTTGGAGTCCTCAAACTTGAATACAAAGTACCCACATTTGTTAACTACAATTAGCACCTAACGCACCACCTACCGTAAGTTGTAACACATGCTGGGGTAAGTTGTAACAATAAGTCAAAAAGCAAAAACATGGGCAACACCATGTGATATGCTTCAAAAAGAGGTTTGACTCAGGTGTGTGCGTACGTACGTACGTACATACGTGTGTGTGTGAACTAGTTTAGAACAAACTGTCTTTACAGTATGAATGCTTAATGAACACTGTGATGTAGCTATGTAAAGAACATGCAAGTCTAACAAAAAAACAATGTGTGTATTTGTATTTTAAATCAGAGTCACAATGGTGACACATGGATGTTTCTAACCCAGGCTTGGTGGACCCAAAAACTGAATAGGGCACATTTTACCCACAATCCCCTTGGCTTTGAGATAGTAGTAACCTACACTGGGAAGATCACTGGACCCCTGGTCTCTTGGTTTCTGCAGTGGTTTGTTGTATCTTCTCTGTGTTACATGGCAGATATCATGTGCATTTGCAACTGATCTGACCGACTTGCTCTTCTTTGTGACCTCATCCATCTTTGTTTTCAACTGCATTGGCATTCTGAAATATTAAAGGTGTTCCTAGTTGTCTTTAAGGGGATGGTTGTAACACTTTTTAAACAGAAGTTACAACCCACCCCACCCCTGTCAACCAATGTTTAGGTGGCTGTATTAGCATAGTGATTTCAAATTTGCATGGTGAAAAAAGCATCACATTTTGCCTGAGAAACTGCAATTTATCAGAATAAAAGTCACAAAGTTTTAGGTGCAATAGTATAGGTACCAAACAAAATATAGTCTTGGTCAAAAAATGTACTTTCTCTACAGAATCTGCATGCAGCTGTTTCCAGCCTTGACAATCACCATGGATAATCAGGAAGTTGTTTCAGGTTGTCATATAAGATTAAAATGCTAACAAAAGAAGTGTAAATCCAGCACACACACACACACACACACAGAATCAGACTCTTTTCACTGTGACTTTGGTCTGCAATTGCAGAGGGTAGCAGATTAGCCACATAGCGGTTGACTGATATGAGCACTATGCTCGCTGCTGAGGTACAGATAATGATTAAGGGTAATAGATAATACAAAGCACACAAGAGGTCACCCAAGAACCAGCAGGTCTCAGTTTGGAATATTTCACCCGGCATCACCAGGAAGCCCAGGAGGAAGTCTAAGACAACCAGAGAGAGCAGGTTGGTGGTGGTATGGAGCTGCCTGGAGGGAGAAAACATCATCACAATGAGTCTTAAATATTAATGTCAACAGCTACTAGAACAAGCAGAAATTAGCATTAAAATAATAGATTAGGATCACAGTGGTTGGTGGATTCACACACTGATCAAAGGGTTCAATATGAAGCATCTATCTATCTATCTTCCTCTGGCTGCACAGTCTTTCTATTCATGCAATTTGAACAGAAGTTTCAAACATTTCTGTAGTGCATATCTCTGCCTGAAGGGGGAGATGGAGATGATGACCAGCAGGTTAAGAGTTGCAGTGAGCAGTGAGCTGAAGATTGGGAAGTACCAGAGCATAACTCCAGAGTGATGACGGGAAGGCATCTTGCAGGAGGTGTTGAAGAGTGGGGGAAAACAGAATTCAGCAGCTTGTTGGGCCTCCATCATTAGAGAGGAGGAGGAGGAAAAGGAGAGGAGGTGCTGCTGAGCTCAGGCCACCTCTCTGTCCAGAACTCTGTTACACATCTGATTAATCTCCTCACCTCTCATCACCCTCTTCTGCAGCCTTTCAGTATCTCTCTTTGGACCTTTAACTTTCTACTCCAGAGTTCTTTCATTAGACCATAGACTGTATATAGAATGGACGCTGTCTGCCTCCCTGCTGGGTGAAGCCACCCTGAGAACAGCACAATCTGTTGACAGGCTGCAGTATAGGTCATAAATCCCGCCTCTTCCAGCAATCTTAATGGAACTGTGGACAAACTTAAGAAATTTATTACACAGAATATACATTTTTCTTCCCCCTGCTTGCGGTGTTGACATGTAGTGACTGTAAAACTGGTTTGAACTCAAGTCCTCTTTTTTTCTGTACAGCTCTGTTTTTAAAAGTTATTAGGGGTTCATGTTTTCTATGATTGACAGTTGATACAGCCTATTGGTTGTACGAAGATTGTGTAGCTCAACCGGGGGATACACTGAGCCGAGCGTCATCACAGTGATTCTTGGCGACTCTCCCGCCGAATGCGTACAATGCTACTGCACAAGTGGTGAAGTGCGTACAGTGCTACTGCGCAATGTTGTTTTTAGGAAATGGTGAAAATACCCAGAAATACCGAGAGCTTTTTGGCTTCAAATCTGTATAATGACCGCAGGGGAAACCAAGTTGTCCATAGTATATACAGTCTATGCATCAGACTCAGTGCAATACTCCGTCATTCTTTGAAACTTCTTTACTTTATTCAACTTTTTAGCTTCTTTGGGGTTTAGTAGTGGGATGCTGCACTGGACTTCAACCTCATTCAGCTGGCTGCTTACATTTCTCATATGAAGGCCTAAGCAGCATTGCACGCAGTGCACGTCAAGTCAAGGCATGGCAGATTGTAATCTTACATTGACGAGCCCCCATGTTAGCACTTTTACAACTCAGAGAAAGCCTTTCAATCGACTTTCATTAGATTAGGTTTGGTGAATATTTGAGCACCATCCATAGTCATGTATTCAAAGTTCACAAAACAAATGAATACATCAGCTGATGCGCACTCATCTTCAGGGTTTTGGCATGATTGTTATTGTATCAGACACACCCCTAGACTTTTTTACATCTTATCTCTCTGGCCATATCATGTTTATTTAGTTGAAAACTTTCAAATCCCAACCATCACCCTTCTCCTCTGGTGCTCCCAAAGGCCCAGTCCTCAGCCCCTTTAAGTTCATCATTTACCTTCTCCCTCTTGGTCATATAATCCGCAAGTTCAACATCAATTTTCACTGTTAAGCAGATGACACCCAGCTCTACGTCTCCACCAAACCCACCTCCACCTTTTTACCCTCCTCCCTCTGTGACTGTTTGCAGGAAATCAAACCCTGGTTCCCATCCAACTTTCTCAAACTCAACAGTGATAACAATGAGGTTCTCCTCAGTGGCACTAGATCTGCCCTCAGTAAAGCTCCCAGCTTCACCATCCCCATCAACAACTCCTCTGTTTCCGCCTCCCCTCAGTTCAAGAGTCTAGGGGCTCTATTTTCGTGTTTGCTGGTGACGGGTGGCGAACCCGGGCAGTAGTAGTAAATAAACTAGTAAATAAACACACACGATTAAGATAACAAGATATGTAATTCGTCTCCCTCCTTTTCTATCTTCCTCTTCCTCTTATTTCTCGGGGCTGTTCGACCTGGACATTTCTCTGTGTCCTCTCCCCGTCCTGCTGCAGCTGCTGCTGCGGCGGCTGAACAGATGATTTATTTTAGTGATCAGATGAGTTATTTACTTTAAGCCGACATACGGATATTATAATATTCAGTTTTGTGAGCCAAATTTATTTTATATGCCAACATCTATGAAAGAAAGAGCCAGGCCGCGGAGCGCAATGCGTCCTTTATGCACAGATGGTTCCGATTTGAATGCCATTATTGGAATTTATGTTGCACTCAACCCACCTTTGTCACGTGAGGTTTAAATATATGCAACTTTATGTGAGTGTCTTTATTTGTGGAAAAGGGGGTTTGTCTTACCTGTGGGTCCAACCTTACACACACCACATCCATCTGTGCTCATATGAGAGAGTGTGGAGGATGCCCAATGCAGCGCTTACAGTGACACTAGTTGGAAAACTGCCTTCTGTCGCCATTGTGTGGCATTACTGTCTTCAGACATCTCTTGATCTCTTTGACTAGTTCACTAAAATTGTAATACGCCTCGCCGGTGGCAGATTTAAAGGTGAGGAGAGGAGCTAATGTAATTGGCCAATACGGGTCTTGGCTGTGTTAAACCCACTCCACGCCTGGGAATACTTACGCCAGGCTGCGCCGCTCACCAAAATACCAAAGTGTGCTTGGGAACGCCTTGTCGGCGTGGCGAACCTGACTTACGCCACGCCTGCGCCATGTCCCTGGCGAAACACGAAAATAGAGCCCTAGGTGTTGTCCTTGAGAGCACTCTGTCATTCCAAACTCGCATAATCCGGTCAGCCTACTTCTATCTATGAACCATTAATTGCCTCTGTTCGTCTCTCATCCCCAAAAGTACCACTATCCTGGCCCATACTCTGGTTACATCCCGCTTGGAGTACTGCAACTCCCTTCTCATTGGTCTCTCCCACAAGTCCCTCCATAAGCTTCAGATGGTCCAAAATGCTGGCGTCCATATCATCACCAGAACACCATCTATCAGTCACATCATGCCTGTTCTCCACAAACTCCACTGGCTTCCAAAAAAACTCTCTATGGACTACAAAATTGTGCTCTACACATTTAAGGCCATCCACAATCTTCCTCCTCCATACCTCTCTAAACTCCTCCACATCAACACTCCTACCCTGGCTCTCAAGTCTGCCTCCTCCATCCAGCCCATCTGTTAAACATCTTCTGTCATTTTTTATTTTATTTCTATTTGTATTCTCATTCTTAGCTGTTTTATTTTCAATTAGCACTTTGAAGCACTTTGAATTGCGTTTTACTTGTATGAAAAGTGCCATGTAAATAAATGTTGATTGATTTATAATTTGGTGGGTAAACCAAAAAGGCGTGTACCAGCACTTGAAATAAGTGCTCAAATGTGTGTAGTTGCATTTTATTCACACAAGCTAGCCACCACCCCCCACCCCCACCCGGTGTTGTCTTTTTGTTATGAACAGGAGGGAGCAGCAGTGAGGAGAGGTGAAGGTGCAGCAGGGGGAAGATAACTGGACAAAAGCAGAGCGCTGCACAGTGAGAATCTAGAAGATAGCCATGAAGGGATTAGACAGAAGGATGTGCAGGACTCCACTCTGGCTATTGGCCTTCCTGACTTTTTCCTCACAGACTTTTATTAGTGATGGATCTCCTCTGTAAGTAGATTTACATTACCTCTTATCGCTCCTTCCTGAAAATCTGCTCAAAGATGCAGTGTATGTGAATGACAATATGTGCAACTGGCCTATCTTAAATAGATTTTTCCACAATGCAGAAATGTAGGCTACTCTGACTTTTCAGAAACTTTATATAAGTTTTGTTAAAGCTGTAATGTGAGTTTGGATGTTTACTCTATTGAACAAAAACAACAATAATGGCTGAAGTAGTGTAGTGATTGATTTCTTTTTTCTTTAGATTCAGAGGAAAGTTTACTCAAACTCCATAACAGCTTTGCTTTATTGTATATAATGTTTGTAATGGACATATTTTACCAGAGTGGTCGAATAATTCTTTAGTAGTAGAAATACTGAGACAGTGGTTAACCTGCATTTGCTATCAGTCTGAGAGTTTGGGGTTTGGGGTCGGGAAGTCAGGTTAAAACTATATAAAAATGATTTCATTTGTTTTTTCATCAGTGAAACAAAAATAATCTAGTATTTCTTTACATTTCATCAACCCATATGTTGAATAGAATATGTCCAAGTTTAAATAAAAGCATCTCCTTTTGACACATTTAATCCAAAATCACTGAGCAAGTTTGACCGATCTGGTATTGGACCCTACTCAAGGTAAATAATAAATCATCCATTATGTATAAAGTCCATCCAAGCAAACCAATGTTTTTATAAGTGACTTAGAACTTGTATATTATTTCACGTCTGTCCATTATATACCAGTATATTTATCAGCACATTTTCAGATCTCTTCCTCTCTGAGAGTTTGTCAAGTTTCTATGGTTCTTTCTGCATGATGCCTGAATTCCTCATTTCTTGCATTCTGGTGTTCTGCAGGCAGGTGCTGTCCGCCCCTAACTTGTTGCGTGTAGGAACAACAGAGAACGTTTTTGTGGAGTGTCAGGACTGCACAGGAGGTGACATTGAGGTGACAATCAATGTGATGAACCATCCAACAAAAACAACAAGGCTGGCATCAACAGCCGTCACCCTCACCAGTCAAAATAACTTTCAGCAGTTTGGACAAATAACGGTAGATGAAATATTATTACGCTGTTGTATGTTAGTGTTTCTCAGCCTCATTCCTAGCCATGACCTCAAACAGCAGATCTAGTGTTGATGAATCAAAAAGTCATATTCCATCCTGCTCTTAATAGTCGGTCTGTGGGTCTTTGTGACGGTTTCAGGTCCCCCCTGAACACTTTAACAGGGATCCAAACATGAAGCAGTACGTGTACCTGCAAGCTCAGTTCCCTGATCGCCTGCTGGAGAAAGTCGTCTTAGTGTCCTTCCAGTCTGGGTACATCTTCATCCAGACTGACAAGACCCTCTACACCCCTGGCAGTACAGGTACGTCCAAAATCTGTTCAATGACATGATCCTCAGTTTAAGGATTTAATCATGGTAAAGGTAAGATTGAAAAAAAAAATCATAAATCTTCTTAATTCTACAATAACTTAAAATGGATGACTGGACTGCAAACAAAGAAAAAGTAATGCACTAAAAACAAAGGGAATAAATAAATAAAAGGAATAAATAAATAAAATAAAAAGTTGTATATTATTTTTCTTTCATGTTAAGCACTTTCCCCTATCAACTCCAGTTCTTTACAGGATATATGCAGTGACACCACAGATGATGCCTGTTGAAAGAGACAATGCTGTTGCTATTGAGATGGTGGTATGATATTTTGGATTGAGTTGCACACACAACTGTAATTGATTGACTGTACCCCCCTTATCCCACTGAGTTGTAAATAGAAACAAGAATGCGATAATACAAAATTGGTGTTTGAAATGATAATGTAAATTTATATACTTTTCTGGTAACAATGGTTTTTTTTTTTCTCAGACTCCTGAAGGCATAATTTTACCAGACGGTGTATTTGCTCCGCATTCAGGGTTTTATAGTGGCTCATATCATATGAGACAAAATGACCGGTAAGTATGGGTAGAAAATAGAAAAATGAATGGATAAATGAATGGATGGATATATTTCATAGTTACCTTTTTTTTAAATTGCTTATATAAAAAGCTGAGTAAAGAAAATTAATTTCCTCTTGAGTCTACCAAAACAAGTACCAACAAAGACTCACTAAACTCAAGAATCTGAGTCTGTTTTTTGCAAAGCTTAAAATACATGAATCTCATTTATATTTCATAATTCAAGGTATAACTTTTCCATTTTTGACTTTGCAAGATAAAATTTAGTTATCATTTCAGTAGAATACTTTTTAGAGTGGCACACTCCACCTCTAAGGTTCCCTACATGGACTGTATATACAAAACCCAATTCCAATGAAGTTGGGAAAATGTGTAAATCGTAAATAAAAACAGAATACAATGATTTGTAAATCCTCTTCAACCCATATAAATTAGATATACCACAAAGACAAGATATTTAATGTTCAAACTGATAAACTTTATTGTTTTTTGCAAATAATCATTAACTTTAAAATTTGATGGCAGCAATACATGACAAAGAAGTTGGCAAAGGTGGCAAAAAATACTGAGCAATTTGAGGAATGCTCATGAAACACCTATTTGGAACATCCCACTGGTGAGCAGGCTAATTGAGAACAGGTGGGTGCCATGATTGGGTATAAAAGCAGCTTCCCCAAAAATTCTCAGTCATTCACAAGCAAGGATGGGGTGAGGTCCACCACTTGGTGAACAACTGCGTGAGCAAATAGTCAAACAGTTTAAGAACATTTCTCAAAGTACAATTGCAAGGAATTTAGGGATTTCAACATCTACGGTCCATAATATCATCAAAAGGTTCAGAGAATCTGGAGAAATCACTGCACGTATGCTGCACAGCCGGAAACCAACATTGAATGCCCGTGACCTTCGATCCCTCAGGCGGCACTGTATCAAAAACTAACATCAATGTGTAAAGGATATCACCACATGGGCTCAGGATCACTTCAGAAAACCACTGTCAGTAAATACAGTTCGTCACTACATCTGTAAGTGCAAATTAGAACTCTACTATGCAAAGCGAAAGCCATTTATCAACAACATCCAGAAACGGTGCCGGCTTCTCTGGGCCCAAGCTCATCTAAGATGGACTGATGCAAAGTGGGAATGTGTTCTGTGGTCTGACAAGTCCAAATTGTTTTTGGAAATAGTGGACGTCGTGTCCTCCGGGCCAAAGAGGAAAAGAACCATCAGGACTGTTATTGACACAAAGTTCAAAAGCCAGCATCTGTGATGGTATGGGGGTGCATTTGTGCCCAAGGCATGGGTAACTTACACATCTGTGAAGGCAGCATTAATGCTGAAAGGTACATACAGGTTTTGGAGCAACATGTGCTGCCACCCAAGCAACATCTTTTTCATGGACGCCCCTACTTATTTCAGCGAGACAATGCCAAGCCACATTCTGCACGTGTTACAACAGCGTGGCTTCATAGTAGAAGAGTGCAGGTACTCGACTGGCCTGCCTGCAGTCCAGACCTGTCTCCCATTGAAAATGTGTGACGCATGATTAAGTATAAAATACGACAATGTAGACCCCGGACTGTTGAACAACTAAAGGTGGACATCAAGCGAGAATGGGAAAGAATTCCACCTTCGAAGCTTCAACAATTAGTCTCCTCAGTTCCCAAACGTTTAATGAGTGTTGTAACAAGAAAAGGTGATGTAACACAGTGGTAAACATTCCCCTGTCCCAATTACTTTGTCACGTGTTGCAGCCATAAAATTCTGAGTCAATTATTATTTGCAAAAAAATAAAGTTTATGGGTTTGAACATTGAATATCTTGTCTTTGTAGTGTATTCAATTGAATATAGGTTGAAGAGGATTTGCAAATCATTGTATTCTGTTTTTATTTACGTTTATCACGATTTCCCAACTTCAATGGAATTGGGTTTTAGAATGGACGCCGTCTGCCTTCTGGGTGAAGCCACCATTAGAACAGCACACTCTGGTGATGGGCTGCAGTATAGATCATAAATCCCGCTTCCTCCAGCCATCCTTATAGAGCTGTGGACAAACTTTAGAAATGTATTACACAGAATATAATTTTTTCTTCCTCCTGCTTGCGATGTTGACATGTAGTTACTGTTAGACTGGTTTGTGTTCAAGTCCTCTTTTTTCTGTACAGCTCAATTTTTGAAAGTTATCAGGGGGTTCATGTTTTATATGATTGACACTTCATACAGTCTATGAGCGTACGAAGATTGTGTAGCTCACCCGGGGGATACGCTGTTTGAGCTGAGCGTCATCACAGCGACTATTGGTGACTCTCCTGCCAAATGCATATAATGCGTAATATCCAAATATTTAGGAGATGGGCATCTAAGCTGGGCGTGGCAGGGGGAGGGCGCAGTGACATTTTCGTGCTCGCCAGTGGCGTGTAAAATGCGCTGAAAGCTCGCCGATTCAAACCTGGTCAGCTTTCAGCGCAGGCGGAGCGCAGCTGGTCTAGTAGTATTTTGGTAGACCAGCGGCGTATCGGTATACATCACTGATGCCTCACCAGCAGGCTTCCACAGTGTCAGGCACATTTCAGTGTAATAAATAATCATCAACAACTATTAATCTGAGTCAGCACATACATTTAGATCTATATAGATATATTCTGATCTATATCTGATCTGATGAGCGCATTTGGCACTCGTTTGGACACACAACCTAACCGCGCAGCTCGACCTGGACATGTCTCCGTGTCCTCTCTCCGTCCTGCTGCAGCTGCTGCGGCTGAACAGATTATTTGTTTCAGTGCTCAGATGAGTTATTTACTTTAAGCCTACATACGGATATTATAATGTTCAGTTTTGTGAGCCAAATTTATTTTATATGCCAACATCTATGAAAGAAAGAGCCAGGCCACGGAGCACGATGCGTCATTTACGCACAGGTGGTTCCGGTTTCAATGCCATTTTTGGAGTTTATGTTGTGATCTGTGCGCTCAACCCACCTTTGTCACGTGAGGTTTGAATATGTGCAACTTTATGTGAGTGTCTTTATTTGTGGAAAAGGGTGTTTGTCTTACCAGTGGTTCCAATGTTACACACACCAAATCCATCTGTGCTCATATAAGAGAGTGTGGAGAAAGCCCAATGCAGCGCTTACAGTGACACTAGTTGGAAAACTGCCTTCTGTCGCCATTGTGTGGCATTAATGTCTTCAGACATCTCTTGATCTCTTTGACTACTTCCTCGAAAATAGTAATACGCCTCGCTGGTGGCGGATTTAAAGGCGAGGAGAGGAGCTGATGTGATTGGTGAAAACAGGTCTCGGCTGTGCTAAACCCACTTCACGCCCTCTCTCCTCCCTCGCAACAACTTACGCCACTGGGAGGAGCTGAGTTAGGGAGGGGGGATTCTTACGCCGGGCTGCACCACTCACCAAAATACCAAATTGTGCTTGGGAACGCCTTGTCGGTGCGGCAGACCTGACTTACGCCGCGCCTGCGGCACGTCTCCGGCGAGGCACGAAAATAGAGCCCATGAAGTCAAAAAACGAGCATAAAAGTCCACCATTTTAAGTTAGAGGACTAATAAAGTCATCATAGTAGTTCTGGGGTAAGTTGAGCCAGTGGCTCAGCTGAGAAAGAAAAGGAGTCTAGTGAGAGGATCAGAGTTTTAGTTCAGTTTGTTGAAATGTGTTACTTTTTCTTTTCAAAAATACAGTTGTGAATGTTCTGAATCTCTCAAAGGCATTCTCATGTTAAAATGTTTTTTTTTTTTTTTTTTTTTCACAAAACAGCTTTTTAAGCAGTTTCATGCAATTATGATAAAAAGAGTTATTGTACCAGTTGAATAGCGTATAATACATAAAAATGCACATGTATGTGAAGGAGTGGCTGTGATTTAGGGAGAGAGAAGGTGAGGGAGGGCTGGAGAGTGTGTGTGTGTGTGTGTGTGTGTGTGGGGGGGGGGGGGGGGGCTCTACTCTGCACCAGTACTGTGCTCAAACTTTCCAGCCTTTTTTCCTCCTCCTCCTCAGCATCCACTAGGGCTCCAGCAAGGGGTTCAGGATGTTATCCTGATGTCACCCTTCAAATTTTACCCTTTCATAATCACTGCATGTAAAATGAAAAGGTGTGATCAGGTTAGTTAGATACCAAATACAATATGCTGCTGATGCTGCAGTAAAAATTTCAACCAAAAACCAGGTGGGAATTGTCTCGCTGAAATATTTTCATTTGGTCTTACATTAAGTTGAAAATGTTTTTGATATACTGCTGTAAAGACCAACTAGTCATTCTTGGACCTGATTGTGTTTGTATGTGTAGTCTTGGACTGTGGAAGGTGGTGGCGAAGTTCGAGAGTAACCCACAGCAAAGTTTTTCTGCAGAGTTTGAGGTCAAAGAATATGGTGAGTCACTCATTAGTAACCCTTCACCCAAAACATTTATCTTCACTTTGGCTGGTGCGCATAAAAATATATTCAATTTTCAGTGCTGCCCAGTTTTGAGGTTAAACTCACATCTGAGACCTCCATCTTCTACCTGGATGATCATGAGCTCAACATCAACATTGAAGCTAAGTGCGTGATTGTTTTTGTTTTGTGGATTAAGAGACTTCAGAGGTGTGTAATGAAACCAGTTTAGTTGGTAAGCCAGGTATCCTTAGCCTTAACTCAGAGTTTCCAGTGTCACAAAGAAAGATAATTGCTAACATGACCAGGTGCTTTGAAATGTTGAAAATGTCTGTGCTTTGGGTTATGTGTTCTTGTATGTGCTGAGCTACTGCACTTCTAATTTTAAACATTTTTTTTCTCCTACTTTGATTCATTATTAACATGTCTGTTTAATTTTTAGCTATCGCTTTGGCGAATGGGTTGATGGGACAGCCTATGCAGTATTTGGGGTTGTGCATGATGGTCAGAAGAAAAGCTTCCGCAGTTCTATTCAGAGACTAATGGTGAGCTGACTGTGATGGAAAACAAGAAAACATTACACATGCAGAAAAAAAATAGTGCACCAGGAAACATCTCTGTTCTCTTTTGGAGACAGGAAAAACTGTAGTTGCAGGTGGTGGGATTGAATTAAGTCTTGATGTAAAGTCAGCGACAAGATTAGATGCGCTGTAAGGATCAATTAGATTTTCATCATGACAAACAAGATTGTTGTAGCCAATAAGAAATTTGTTACCAACATGATGCCAGTCATCTTGGCCATTTTGTTGGGAAACTGGGCAGAAACAAAACAGACTGTAGGCTTTACATTGCTTCAGATGGGGAAAAACCTGCCACATAATTGTCACTATATGAAAGTCTAATTAAAATATTAATGTCAATTAGATTTATGCTCTGTTGAGAAGTTTGTCAGAGCTTTAATTTGCCATTGGCTTTTTGTTTTAGAGCTATATGCAAGACACACCATATACATGTTTTAAGTATGCAGTGCACTGCATACTTACTGGCTAATACTAACTGGCTATTCAGGCATGTGATGCATAAGCCAGCTTGACTTTTATCAAACTTACTGAAATATTGTGAATTTTGATTGGTGCATTTAATGTCATTTCAGTCATAATTGTTAGCGACAAATGCTGGTTGTTATTCTGCTCACCTCAGTCTCTGCTTTCTGGTCAATACAGTACTTTGACGAGTTTCAAACATTGTATGGATCATGGGCTGAGTCATTTTGCAAAAAAGAAGGGGGGGGGGTGGGGGGGGTTATGACATGCTGGTGAGTTTGTGGAAATTTACATGATAATGTGAATTAACATGTAAATGTTAATATACATCAAGCAAGCCGCGTCCACAAACAGACACTCCTGCTCAGTGACGTGCGGTGAGGTTCATAGCTGGTGAGGCACTGACGTCATCAGAATCAGATTTGCAAATAGATGCATAGATTGACAGCAGTTTACAGGTTATGTTTCACTTCTGCATCCTTACACATACAAACTGTAGCTCACAAAACACACATTTCCTTAAAAAACAAAACAAAATAAATGTTATTACTGTCTTACCTTTACGTATAAATGAAGTCCATGCGTCGCTCCTTCTGCACAAAAACATCCGTCACTTTGCGATAGAAGTCCTCCTTATCTTCCTTCAGTTTTTAAAGTCTCTCTGTCTCAATGGAGATCACTGCCAGGGAAGAAAGCCTTCCTTGATCCGTCCTGTTCCTGCTGTATGTTTTCAGTCTCTTCAGGGCTGAGAATGACCGCTCCACTGACGCTGTAGTAGCTGGCACCGTGAGCACGAGCTGGAGCAACTTTGTCGCCTCAGGAACAGTTACAACAAGATCCTTCTCGGCCAAAAAGTTGAGAAGCTGTCCAGGAGATTTGCATTCATCCCTCACCGTTTTTGAGCTATACAGTCCAATGAGATCGGCCTTCAGTCTGACAAAGTCAAAAAACTTGGCATACTTTTGACAGTCTGAAACAAACCTTTCAGCTCCGGCGTTGGTCTTCCTTTGGTTATTATCTCCTGCTTCGATTGAAAGTCCACTTGAGAAAACTTTTTTAGTGTTGTAATGTAGTCATCCATGTCGAAAGTCGGGATAAGCGAGAGGAAAAAAATCACTATCTCTATTATAATCTATCGCTGCACTTGACTTGCTTCCCGAATCGTTTAGCCTAGCTCGCTGTCACTTACTCGGCAGTTGAGGAGTGAACAAGACGAACGTCTGGGATCTTGAGCACCCCCTGCCATGAGGCAAGAGAACTGCCTGCCTCACCTCGAACCTGTTCTCTGCCGTTTATAATCGCTCATTACACGAAACACGTTACACAAACACAGTTGGTGACAAAAAGCACTGTACATTATATACATAAGCTAAATTATTGGAAATAAGTTCACATATTAAATTTGTTTAAACCATTTTATTGACGCCGTACAGCAACATGCTCTCTCCGCTTAGCAGCCAGCGCAGAGCCAGGGGTTGCGCAATCCAAGGTGAGGCAGAGCTCGCTGCTGCCTCACCGGCATCGCTTCCAAGCATTTGAATGGGAAAATAAGAAAATTCAGCGATTTTGAACAAATAAAAATCGAAATTGGTGAAGCTACATGAAAATTAAATATTTTTTAGTACAAACCACCGGATGAATATAACAATTTAAATTACTTTATGATTATATATTTTCTTTCTTTCCATGATGGCTGGTGAGGCACTGCCTCACCTGCCTCCCCTGACCGCACGTCACTGCTCCTGCTCGCTCGTATCGTTATAATTAAATTCAGGAATAATGCAGATAAATACTTCAGATACAAATGGCGCCCAGTCAAGGTGAAAGTAAAAAGCAGTGGTGCTACTGTAGATGCCAACAGACTACCAGCAAACACAATGTTTGCAGGACTTCTATAACTAGGATAAAGTGACGTACTCCAGGACCTGAGGTAAACAGTTCAGTGGCGCTACAACAGACAATAGGTCTTGTTTGACAAGAAACACTTCTGTTACAGACACTTGGCTTACTTTGTTAAAGCAGTTTACCTGTCCAGCAGAAAGGTTACAGGGACCGTAAGATCCCAAGGCCTCCCCCATCATTTCATTGATGTTGACCCAGCTTTTTAGCTCTTATCCGGGTGGTCTACCTCCTTTTTAAGTGCCTGTTATTCTGACAGAGTCTCTGATATTAACTCTGTTTTCTTGCTTGTGTTGGTGGTCGTGGCCAAAGGAGGATTCAGACAATTTTCCGTACTTTCTGGTTGGTTTCTACTGTCTGATATTGTAGCATGCTAACTTTGTTTGGGCTCATGGACGACACAGGGAGCAGCGTCTGCCTTGCAACCAATCAGGTTGGGGGAGGCAGAGAATGGCTTTGTTTACAGTCAGCAAAAGCAGGCAGCTCAAAAATTTTAGAATGTTGACTACACAGTCATAACAAAACACAGCGATATCGTTTTATTACCAAATTTCATCAATTACTAATAACTAGTTACTGATATTAAAAGCTTTTTTGTATATACACCACAAAAAAGTTGCTTCTTCAACAAAATCCTGCCTACCCCACCTTTAAGTCAGTGATTTGATTTGATTTAAATCTCCCAATATATTGTGATAACAACATTTCTGCAAGGCAGGAAAAGGGCTTTTTTAATAACAGAAAGGGTTCAGCAACCATAATTCCTCTGTTTTTCAAGCTGTGTTTAAATCACCCATCACATTAGATTCAGAAGGGTCATGGAGAAGCGACACTGAAGAGAGAGCACATCACACAAGTCTTCAGTAATATCGTTGACCTGGAGGGAAGGCAGATGTACGTGTCTGTCACTGTGCTAACAAAGAACGGTACGAGAGAGAGAGAGACTGTGTGTGTATGTGTGTGTGTGTGTGTGTGTGTGTGTGTGTGTGTGTGTGCGTGTGCGTGTGTGTGTGTGTGTGTGTGTGTGTGTGTTTGCTTACTTGTGCATGTGTGTAATGTGAAAAGAACCTTTATCACAAGAGTCCATCGGTCATCAGTGGCTCAGATTCTAAAGTACAAACAAGTCAACTTATTTTGTGACTCAATGCAGTGATTTTGGCTACTTTTTGAAATAGTAAAATTTCAGGTTTTATTTGCTTATATAAAAAGGGGAACAATTTGACTGTTTCAAACACATGCCTTTAACAGGTGGTGAGATGGTGGAGACAGAGCTGAATGGCATCAAGATAGTCAGGTCACCTTACACCATTAACTTCAAGAGAACACCAAAATATTACAAACCAGGACTTTACCTTGATGTAATGGTAATGTATCTATTTTTATTTACAGTTGCATTTTGAAATGATGACAGTAGCAGTTAATGCTTTAGAAAATATTATAAAAGGTTTCAATATGATTTACGTATTACTGCTTTTTTGTAAACACTGAACTGAGGAACACATCACTGGCAAAGTCATAACTTTTGTTCTGATCAGCAGCAGTTTGCAGATGACATAAGTATCTTGATTACCATTCAAGTTTGCATTTCGCTACACCTAAAGATTATTTTTGATGGTCTCACTTTACATGTCACTATTGGCAGATTGAAGTTTTGAATCCTGATGGTACTGCAGCACGTGGTGTTCACGTGGTGATGGATCCAGGTGGCTTGGAGGGTGTTACTGATTATAATGGAATCGCAGAGCTTCTCATCGATACGCCAAAAAATCCTGAACCATTAACCGTCACAGTATGTTTTTTGTCAAAAACTTATTAATCAGCATTAAGTTGCTCATGAAAACATGTGCATAAGCAAAACATTAACTACTTGAGGTACTTCTTGTGTTTTAAAATGCAATGCTGAGCTCATTTTATCTCTGAGATTTATCTCTTACAACAGCTTACATACTGTTTTACCTTTTCACTTTTAATTGTAGGTAAGAACAATGGATCATCGTATTGAAAGAGGAAGACAGGCTACACAGGCAATGGTAGCTCTTCCATATAGAACCAGAAGCAACAATTACATGGACATAGGTGAGAAACACACAGCATTCAGTGATTCAAGTCAGCAGTTAAAGTGTTGATAGCAGAGCTCTACTACCATGAACAAGGCCTCCTTAAGTATTTGGTTCTGATGAAGGAATGTGCTTACTACAGGTGTGAGCAGAAATGTGGTTGAGTTAGGTGAGAGCCTAAGGATATCTCTGGTCGCCAGTGCACCAAAGTTTGAAATCACATACCTGGTTAGAGGTGTTTTGCAGTGTTTGTGTACATATTTGCTCACATATTTGTGTTGTTTTGGCAAAATACTGAAGAGTAAATCTGTCCACAGATCTTGAGCAGAGGTCAGCTGATTCGTTATGACCGTATACCATTTCCTAGAAGCCTCCTTATTTCAAAGATGATTTCCATCACCGAAGACATGCTGCCATCATTCCGCATTATAGCCTATTATCACACAGACAATAATGAAGTGGTATCAGACTCTGTTTGGGTAGATGTCAAGGACAACTGTAAATACCCGGTGAGGCATGCAACCTTAAAGTAACAATATCTTACTTTTGAAATTGATAAAAAAAACTATCTAACCACAAAATACCATAGTTAAATGCAAGCATAAATACACGCAAAATGTACTCTGCTGCTATAACAAATTCAGAGCTGGTCTTTCTTCTTCTCAAGTTTAATCTAGAAAGAACAACTGGTGAGCGGCTTTATACTCCTGGATATGGATTTGATCTGAGGATTACAGGAAACCCAGGGGTAAGAGTGGCAGTTGTGGCAGCTGACAAAAGGTTCTCCTTCCTGAACAACAAGCTCCATCTCACCCAGAAAAAGGTAATTTCTTTGTGCATTATTTTTCTTGAAGTTGTTTGAAAAAGCCCCAGTACTATTAAAGCCTGTCAGTCCAAGAGCAAACTTTTGTAAGTAGAATATATGTTCTCTTTCGTTGTGAGTTTGCCTCATGTTAGTCTTATTTCCTCCCAAAATACTTTACAGAGATATAACATTTCATAGTTTTAAAGGTCTCCTTCAATGAAAAAACACATTTTCCTTCATGTATATATTAATGGAACCTTGAGAATGCAGAAGCAAAAAAAGCCTTTGCAGCCTATTGGAAAAGTGTAGCTTTCATGGGGGGGTTAATGATGTCAGGAGGAGAGTAATTTATATCTGAAATCATATCACTCCTCCAGCATTTACACATACACTTTGCAGTAGTCTATCTGTGTAACATTCACCCTTGCACCTTCAAATACCTTGTTGGTGAAGATAAGAGAGAACAGCTGGATAGTTTGGTGCAAGAGTGAATGTCCTTACACACCAGGCGCGAATTCGCCAGGCGAATAATTCGCCTTTATTCGCCTTTTTTTAAAACAGCATAAAGTCAATGCAAGCTTCCACACCGGCTGCGATTTTTCCACAGGGCGAAAAGCCTCTTTTATTTTTTCACTCTTGTGTCGAATTTTTCTGAGATTCGCAGGCGAATATCTGGACCTGCTAGACCTCTGGCCAATCAAAAGTCATGTTGTTGATGACGCCACAGACCCATGTGGCTGCAGTTCACACGACACACACCACCACTGGGGGAAGAGTGTGTACCACAGAGTGGTCACCCAGTGTGTAACAGCGAAAGCGATTTTTCGGACCGGCTGATATTTCCGCATTTTCGTCTCGCTTTTTCGCTTCCCTCACAAATTCGCTGGTGTGTAAGGACCTTGACTGTTTTTTAAGCTGATATTTTTAGTCTGACACTGCAGTGAGGGGTAAGGTCACCCATATTGGTTTGTTTCTTCATGTGGCATAAGAAGTCAAAAGAATACCTGGGTAAAATAGAAAAATGCCATTTATTACTGTCATTCCTGTGAATTTAACTTCACAAATGTGTATTATTTGGTTTTACAACTTTGACTAATTTTCACCCTCCTCAGTTGTGGGACACTGTAGAAAAGTTTGACACAGGCTGCACACCAGGTGGAGGAAAAGACAGTATGGGGGTGTTCTATGATGCTGGACTGTTGTTCGAATCTAGTACCTCTGGGACTCCTCACAGACTAGGTGATAAATCCTTCACCCTGACTCTTTCTTCCCTTACTGCTCTCATTTTGTACAAGTATTTTCTGACTTTTACGTCTCATTATTAGGCTTAGCAGCAATCAATCAATCAATCACACTTCATCAATAAAGCACTTTTTATAAAAGCCAAAAGCATTTCAAAGTGCTTTCCAGAGATTAAAACAGAACTACTAAAAGTAATAATAAAACAATAATGACACACACGCGCACACACACACACAGACACACACACACACACACACAGACACACCCACAATGGTGTGAAAAAATATTTGTTTTTGCATATTTGCCACACTTAAATGTTTCAGATCCAAAATGCAGTTTTTAAATAAGGTTTTTATTATTACAGGAGAAAAAATTACACACCTGCGCGGCCCTGTGTGAAAAGGTGATTGCCCCCTAATAACCTAACAACTGGTGGGGCCATCCTTAGCAGCAACAACTGCAATCAAGCGTTTGTGATAATTTGCAACAACTCTCTTACAGCGCTGTGGAGGGATTTTGGCCCACTCATCTTTGCAGAATTATTGTAATTCAGCCACATTGGAGGGTTTTCAAGCATGAACCCCCTTTTTAAGGTCATGATACGGCATTTCAATAGGATTCAGGTCAGGACTCTGATTAGGCCACTCCAAAGTCTTCATTTTCTTTTTTTTTCAGCCATATATATATATATATATATATATATATATATATATATATATATATATATATATATATATAGACACACACACACACACATATACACTCACCGGCCACTTTATTAGGTACACCATGCTAGTAACGGGTTGGACCCCCTTTTGCCTTCAGAACTGCCTCAATTCTTCGTGGCATAGATTCAACAAGGTGCTGGAAGCATTCCTCAGAGAGCTTGGTCCATATTGACATGATGGCATCACACAGTTGCCGCAGATTTGTCGGCTGCACATCCATGATGCGAATCTCCCGTTCCACCACATCCCAAAGATGCTCTATTGGATTGAGATCTGGTGACTGTGGAGGCCATTTGAGTACAGTGAACTCATTGTCATGTTCAAGAAACCAGTCTGAGATGATTACAGCTTTATGACATGGCGCATTATCCTGCTGAAAGTAGCCATCAGAAGTTGGGTACATTGTGGTCATAAAGGGATGGACATGGTCAGCAACAATACTCAGGTAGGCTGTGGCGTTGCAACGATGCTCAATTGGTACCAAGGGGCCCAAAGAGTGCCAAGAAAATATTCCCCACACCATGACACCACCACCACCAGCCTGAACCGTTGATACAAGGCAGGATGGATCCATGCTTTCATGTTGTTGACGCCAAATTCTGACCCTACCATCCGAATGTCGCAGCAGAAATCGAGACTCATCAGACCAGGCAACGTTTTTCCAATCTTCTATTGTCCAATTTCGATGAGCTTCTGCAAATTGTAGCCTCAGTTTCCTGTTCTTAGCTGAAAGGAGTGGCACCCGGCGTGGTCTTCTGCTGCTGTAGCCCATCTGCCTCAAAGTTCGACGTACTGTGCGTTCTGAGATGCTCTTCTGCCTACCTTGGTTGTAACGGGTGGTTATTTGAGTCACTGTTGCCTTTCTATCAGCTCGAACCAGTCTGGCCATTCTCCTCTGACCTCTGGCATCAACAAGGCATTTCCGCCCACAGAACTGCCGCTCACTGGATATTTTTTCTTTTTCGGACCATTCTCTGTAAACCCTAGAGATGGTTGTGCGTGAAAATCCCAGTAGATCAGCAGTTTCTGAAATACTCAGACCAGCCCTTCTGGCACCAACAACCATGCCACGTTCAAAGTCACTCAAATCACCTTTCTTCCCCATACTGATGCTCGGTTTGAACTGCAGGAGATTGTCTTGACCATGTCTACATGCCTAAATGCACTAAGTTGCCGCCATGTGATTGGCTGATTAGAAATGAAGTGTTAACGAGCAGTTGGACAGGTGTACCTAATAAAGTGGCCGGTGAGTGTATATATATATATATATAGTAGTTGAAACCAGAAGTTTACAAACACTGTATATTTTGTTCTCACCATCTATTTTTTGAAATCATAATAGACTTTTCCTGTTTTTGGTCAATTAGGATTATCAAAATTACTTTTGTTTGCTAAATGCCAGAATAGTGAGAGAGAGAATCTTTTAGACATTTTTTTTATTACTTTCTTGGGAGTCAAAAGTTTACATACACTAAGATGACTATGCTTTTAAACAATCTGGGAAAGCCCAGATGATAGTGTCATGTCTTTGGAAGCCTCTGATAGGTTAATTGACAACATTTGAGTTTACTATAAGGGAAACCTGTGGATGTATTTTAAGGCACACTTGAAACATACTGTTTCTTTGTATAACATTGTGGGAAAAATCAAAAGAAATCATCCAAGATATCAGAAAAAGAATTGTGAACCTACACAAGTCTGGTTCATCCTTGGGTGCAATTTCCAGATGCCTGAAGGTGCCACCTTCATCCGTTCAAACAATTGTACGCAAGTATAAACACCATGGGCATGTCCAGCCATCATACCACTCAGGAAGGAGACAGGTTCTGTGTCCCAGAGATGAACATGCTTTGGTCCGAAATGTGAATATCAATCCAAGAACAACAGCAAAAGACCTTGCAAAGATGCTGGCTGAAGCTTGTAAGAGTATGTCATTATCAGCGGTGAAAGGAGTCCTGTACTGATATGGGCTGAAAGGCCACTCTTCCAGGAAGAAGCCATGACTCCAAAAAAAACCCATAAAAAGCCAAGGGGAAGCTTGGTAGCCTGAAAACACCATCCCAACTTTGAAATATGGGAGTGGCAGCATCATGTTGTGGGGTTCTTTTGCTGCAGGAGGGACTGGTATACTGGCATCATGAGGAAAGAACATTATGTGGAAATACTGAAGCAATATCTCAAGACATCAGCCAGGAAGTTAAAGCTTGAGCGAAAATGGGTTTTCCAAATGGAAGATGACCCCAAGCATACTGCCAAACTTGTTACAAAGTGGCGTAGGGATAACAAAGACAATGTTTTGAAGTGGCCATCACAAAGCCATGATCTCAGTCCTAATGAAAATTTATGGGTCGAACTGAAAAGGTATGTGCAAGCAAGGCGGCCTAGAAACTTGGCTCAGTTACACCATTTCTGTCAGGAGAAATGGGCCAAAGTTCCTGCAAACTATTGTGAGAAGCTTGTGGAAGCATATCCAAAACATTTGACCCAAGTCATACAGTTTAAAGGCAGTGCTACAAAATACTAATGAAATGTATGTAAACTTTTACTCATGAGAAAGTAATAAAAAATGTAAAAAAAATTTCCTTCTCTTATTATTCTGGTATTTAGCAAATAAAAATAATTTAGGTAATCCTAATTGACCAAAAATAGAAAAAGTTGAATCTGATTTAATGTTAGATGGTGAGAAAAAGGGTTATGTGCCTTTTTAATTTATGTAAACTTCTTGTTTCAACTGTAGATATACATATATGTATAAATGCATGGTGCATGTTATTAGCTGCTTTACTTTCACAATGCCAAGGTGACCCCTCAAAAACAACGAACACACTTACAGCTGGCATATTTAAAACTATAAAAACGGTATTTCCTGTCAGAAAACAAAGCAGACAGGGGTCATCATAAGGAGTACCTGAATGCTTTAATATGATTTTGGTGTTTCTGCAATAAATTGTTTGGAAATTTTTGCAAGTTGTAAACAGGGGTCCCTTCTGTTTTTCACTGAAAGTCTTTGTATTAGCGTCAATGAGGAGCAGAGACTTAGAGGCTCAGTATTTAAATTCTGTAAGCCTCCCTGCTTAGACGATCACATCATTATAGACAGAACAAGTGTGTCTACAACTGTGGACAAAAGAAAGTGTTATTTGTGGCTGGTAGGAGTGTGGAGAGAGAAAAGTTTCAGACAATTTCATGCAACCTTGCCCACTCTGGCCCATGATGTCACCTATTCTGACGCAATACATGCCCATTATAACCTAATTTCTCATTTCTCTAAATATGATCATGGTCATTAAAGAGTGAGTGTTCAAAAACTACAATACCTATCAAAATAAGACTTGTGTCTACATTTCAAAGTTTAAATGCAGTCTCTAAGTGAAAGTATGCTGGAGTGATAAACGTTTGAAAAACTCCAATAATTGTTCTTTATTTTACTTGTCCCATCGACAAAACCTAACCCTAATCAGTGATGTGGCAGCAGCTATAGCCTCAGTTTATTCTAATGGACTCAATGTAATACAAAATATATTCTCCATTTCCAGATCTTAAGTGTGCTGACCACAGCAGGTGGAAACGAGCCAGCACTGTGTGGGACTTGACCTGGGGTAAGTATCAAAGCTAAATTGCTTAACAGTGACACATTCTTCAGTGTGTTTGGGTGATGTATGGCAGGTAGCGAGTGACAGAAGAGAATACTCGGTGAGAAGTGATTTTAACCCTGTAAAAGATGACTATCAATATGTATAAATGTCTACATAAATACAGAATTTAAACTGAAATTGAAGTTTGATTTAAATTATTCTGAACTATCAAAGTTCACTACAGCATAAAGTACAGAAGTTATCTATAGCCAATCAAAAATATGTTATTTACTAATGCCCTAGAATTGTTTTTACTTTGTTCATAATAATACAAATACACATACTCTGAAATACCAACTCACTGACACACACATACACACAGAGAAGAAGAGAAAGTAGACACAGGACCATGACTGTGTCTCAATTCAGGATCTGCACACTGGGCAGTGCATGCATATTTGCAGTGTGTGCAATGTCATCACACAGCGCTAAGGGTGTCCCATTTTGCTTGTGATTCCAAAGGCCCTCAAAATGCAGTCCCAAAACCACCCTGCCCCCGCCCCTTCTTCAAGCGTGCATTTATGCAAACTTTGTGGCCTTGGAATCCCCAGAATTCTTTGCGAGCCACTGCAAAGGTGTGCATTTTGGGTGAGACATCAGATTAGCTTGGAGATGCAGCATTTGTTCAAACAAAAGAAAGAAAATCAAAAAACACAGTCAGTCAGCTCAGGCTCCATTAGCTCATGCTCTTTACTCACTCAAATCTGCAGCTGCAAACCAAACATTAGACTCTTCAGAAAAGAACTGATCCTTTATGCTACCACAATCAAAAGCATTAATAAGAACAAACAAAATTTAAAAAAAGCTACCACAACAGGGTGTGCAGTTGGCCGGGTGAGTTAGCATGCCCCATGGGGACCACGGTCCCAGTAGCACATGGTCGTGGGCTCGAATCCAGCCCCAACCATGTGCTGCATGTCCTACACCCTCTCTCTCTTTCTCCCCACATTTCACCCTGTCCTGTCAATAAAAAGGCTAAAATCACCCAAGAAAAAAAAAACTAAAGAAACAACAACTTGTCATTGGTTGTATATAGTAACTCCTGTGTGCTGTAGTACGTAGTATGTATTGTTTTGTGTCTTTGTCTATGTTTTTGTTTTTTTTGTATGTGTATTGTCTGTATGCAAGGTCACACAATTAAAAAAAATGCTGCACTCTTTTCTTCAAGTCAGTCGTGATGTGGGCCTGAGGGTGGGGACATTTGGCAATTCAACCAAGAATTCTTCCAGAGGGTAGACCGTCCCAATTCACAAAAGTTGATCCACCTTATGCAAGGTGTGCGAGGCACACACACAGGGTGCATACAGGACAGTGCACTAGGCAGTGCACCCGGCATTGTGCAGACCCTCAATTGAGACACAGCCCATGTAAACATGCCCTAATGATGGTATTTCAGAGCGGGGGGCTGCACATAAAAAGAGGATGGGGGTACTGTGTCTCATTCTAATGCTGTATTCACACCAAGCACAAATAAAAAGAAAATTACTTGCTTAATTGGTTGTATCTGGACACACAATCAATGTGTGTTTACTCACTTTAAAACCAAGTTGCATCCTATAACTTAGGAGGTCACATACCATCGCAATTGGTTTATGTAATATATTGTTGTGGGGAAATAACTCAGACTGAGACTTGACCGAGCGTGGAGAGCGGGACTTTATCTCATGTAGACAAAAGCACGTAACATACACACGTTACTGAACGTCATAACTCTATATAACCACAAGTGGGCAGTGTCCTATAATGGTATCTTGTCAATACACTACACTCCTCCCCTTTAAACTTTAACCCCCAAACTCCAAATACTGCAATTAGCTTAGAAATACGGTAACAGACAATTTACTTCGTATAACTTAAAGAGTCTTCTTCAGTAAATTAAACGGTGTTGTCTCATTCATTTTTTTTTCAAACTCCAGCTGCTCATAAGCAACAGTTAACTTCACTTTTACTAATAATTAACTATTCAGAAACAACTAGAATAATCAAAAGCACTTGAACCAAAAAAGGATATGGTTTCCTAGCTTTTCAAAAAGTCAGTCTTTTGGGTGGAGCCCGCAGACGCTCTGGATAGCGGCGCTCAGTTTGTTGGGTGGTGACTGAGACAGCCACTGGCTCTGCTGGTTTCACTGGTGTACTGCTGTACTGGGCTGAAGAGTGTGTACAGGATGCAGGGCTGAGTCTTTCAGGGAGAGTTGCAGGTTTCACCAGAGAGTGAGCTGGTGCTGGAGTAGCAATCCTCCGCTCTGCCTCCTGGATGCTGCTTCTTGGGTGTAGTGAATCCAGATCTGGTGTCCGGTAAGCATCATCACTTGAGCTGTTGTCATCCACAGCTTTTTCATGCAAGAGTAACAGGTGATCAATGTGAACTGTGCGTTCTCTCACACCATCATTTATCAGGTAAGAAACAGGTCCAAGTCGTTTTACAACTGTCCCTCTCATCCATTTCTCCTTTCCCTCACGAAAATTTCTCACAGACACCTGGTCACCCGCCGACAACTCTCTCAGCTTGGTCCTGCCTTTGTCATGGTATTTCTTCTGACTTTGTTGTTTCTCCTCAACAGTTCCAGCCAGACATGGTTTCAGAAGACTAAAACGGGTCCTCACTTGACGTTTAAGAAACAACTCAGCTGGTAAACACCTGTTACAGTGTGCGGTGTGCTTCTGTACATCAGTAAGAAATTTGCCAGTCTATGCTGCAATGTAACAGAACCCTCATCTTCCAACACTTGCTTCATCAATGCAGATTTCACTGTCTGCACTGACCTTTCAGCTGCTCCATTAGAAGCGGATGATACGCTGGGACCAAGGTTTGTTTGATGCCATTTCCTCTCAGAAACTGCTTAAATTCACTTGATGTGAATTGAGGCCCGTTGTCTGAAACAACTTCCTCAGGCAGTCCATAAGATGCAAAAATGTTGCGCAGAACTTCAATAGTTTTAGCTGATGTTGTGGTTGTCATGGGAACCACCTCCAACCATTTTGAATGACTGTCAACAAGGACTAAAAAATACTGTTTATCTTTCTCACAAAAATCTATGTGTATCCGTTGCCACACTCGCGTTGGCCATTTCCAACAATGCAGTGGAGCCGCTGCTGGTAGTTGTCTCACTGTCTGACATGCATTGCACTCTTTCACAGTTTTTTCAATGTCTTTATCCAGGCCGGGCCACCACATGTAGCTCCTTGCTAAGGCTTTCATGCGACACATACCAGGATGACCCTGGTGAAGATCATGCAGCAGCTTTGGTCTGAGAGCTGAGGGGACTACAACTCTCATTCCCCAGAGGACACATCCTTGTTCCACTGATAGTTCAGTTCTTCTGATAGAGAATGGGTTGAGTGTCTCCTCCCTTGCATGACTTGGCCATCCATTTAGAGTGAGCTCCCTAACTCGGCTAAGCACCGGATCTTTGTTTGTGCTCTGTGCGATGTCGCTGGCTTTCACAGGTAAATCCTCCATCAAAGAGAAATAGAAGATCTTTCCTTCCTCAGCAGTGCTGTCTCTGACTTTACTTGGCAACCGGGAGAGCGCGTCTGCATTTGCATGCTCTGCAGACTGGCGATACTCTATGTCATAGTTATAAGCCATCAATATGAGCGCCCAGCGCTGCATTCTCAAAGCGGCTAGTGTGGGGATAGCTGACTTTGGGCCAAGGATTGCCAAGAGTGGTTTATGGTCAGTAATGAGAGTAAATTTCCTCCCATACAGGTATTTGTGAAACTTCTTCACTCCAAAAATTATAGAGAGGGCTTCCTTCTCTATTTGAGCATATTTGCTTTCTGCCTCTGACAATGTGCGAGATGCAAATGCTATGGGCTTTTCTTCTCCATTCTCCATCACATGAGAGATAACAGCGCCGACACCATAAGGCGAAGCATCACAGGCTAGTTTCAGTGGCTTTCTGGTGTCATAGTGAACTACTAGGGTGCTCTGCAGTAGTTGATCTTTTGCACTGTTGAACGCAGCCTCACATTCTACTGTCCATTGCCAAACACTTTCACGTCTCAGTAAGTTATGCAAAGGTTGAAGCTGCATGGACAGATTTGGCATAAACCTGCCATAATAGTTCAGTAGTCCCAGGAAGGAACGAAGCTCTGTGACATTTGTGGGACTTGGTGCGTTTACAATAGATTTCACCTTCTCTTCTGTGGGGTGAAGCCCCTCACTGTCAACCATGTGTCCCAAATATTCCACTCTGTCTGCCATGAACTTACATTTTGCTTGCTTGACCTTTACATTATACTTTGCCAGGCGACTCAACACTTCCTCCAGTTTGCGCAGATGTTCCTCTCTCGAACCAGCTGTGATTAAGATGTCGTCCAGGAAACAGGTCACATGCTCTATTCCCTGTAGGATTTGGTCCATCACTGCTTGGAAGATGGACGGGGCACTTGAGACTCCATATGACAGTCGGTGGTAAGTGTACAGTCCTCGATGTGTGTTGACTGTAAGGTACTTCTCTGAGTCCTTATCCAACTCCAACTGCTGATAGGCATGTGATAAGTCCAGTTTAGTGAACAGCTTGCCTCCAGCCAATGTTGCAAAAAGATCTTCTGTATTGGGCAAAGGATAAGTTTCCTCTTCCACACACTGATTTATGTTCACTTTGTAATTTCCACAAATCCGGATTGATTTGTCAGCCTTTGGCACAGTCACTATGGGTGCAGCCCATTCACTTTTGTCTGTTTTTGATATGATTCCCATAGCCTCTAATCGGTCGAGTTCTTTTTCCACAGCCTCTTTTAGAGCATATGGCACTTGGTTGGCTTTTCTAAATATTGGCTGCGCACCTGGCCTCATCTTGATCGAAGCCTTGAACTCACGGATGGTGCTAGGCCCTTCCTCAAACACTCCCTTGTGCCTCTGTAGGATTGCTGCCACTTCTGGGTCAATAGCTTCTCCTACTACTTTGACTTGGAATATTTCCTTCCAGTTCAGCTTAAATTTCTTGAGCCAATTTCTGCCCAGTAGTGCTGGTCGGTCGCCTTTCACAATAACCAGTGGTACTTTGGCTGCTTGTTGTTCATATTCCACATTCACCTCCACCTTCCCCAACACTGGGATGCGTTCTCCAGAGAAAGTAGACAGCGGTATTTTACATGGGCTAAGTGGCAAGTGAGCGAGCGATGTCTTGTAAGTGATCTCTGATACAAGAGACACACATGCTCCTGTGTCCAACTGCATCTGAATGTTCTGGCCTTCAATGTCCATGTCAACCACATAGCCATCTTTACCATCTGAAGTTGTGTATACTACGTACAGTCCAAACAAGTGTTCATTATCCTCATCCGCTGGGCTTGTTTCAGCCTCCTGTTCAACATAATGAGTCTTTTGTGGTGTCTTTTTATTCCTGCACATGCGTGCAATGTGTCCCACTTTTGTGCAGTGGTGGCATTTTTCCTGTTTAAATCTGCACACAGCAGGTGGGTGTTTACCTCCACATCTGTAGCAGGGCTGGTGTAGCTGTTGCTGCTTGTCATCCACGCTGCTCTTGTGCCAGGATGTACTCTTGCTGTAGCTTGTGTCACTTGATTTTCTTTTGTCATCTCTTTTTTTACTCTGGTTGAACACTTTATTGACTGTTGCATTCTCTTTAATTTTTCCTGAGAATTCCAAAGTGTTGCGTGAAGCCATCTCCATGGACAGTGCTGTGTCACATGCACTTTTAAACGTCACATTTTTCTCTGCCAGCAATTTTCTCTGTATTGCCTCTGATCTCAGTCCACTCACAAACCTATCACGGAGAGCATCGTCCAGGTGAGCTCCAAAATCACAGTTTGTTGACAGGTGTTTCAGAGCTACCATATAGTCACTTACAGATTCACTCTCTTGTTGATTTCTCTTCTGAAATCGAAACCTCTCCATAATGACAAGTGGTTTGGGCTTGTAATGGTCACTAAGTGCTTTGGTGAGCGCTGCATAACTTTTCGTGCTTGGCTTATCCGGCAGGAGTAAACTTTTCAAAAGTCCGTAGGCTTCCGCTCCAATTAGCGACAGAAAAACGCTGACTTTCTTTTCATCGTCCACATCATTTGCTGCCATCCACTGTTCCATCCTCTCCAGGTAAGATTCAAAATCTTCCTTACCCTCTCGGTATTCCGACATGTTGCCGATGAGAGCCATTGCTGCAGTCCGCCGTTAATAACAGTAGCAGTCACGTTAGCTTGTTAGCTCGTTTGTTAGCCACTCACGTTGGTGCCACAATCTTCCTTTCTTGTGATCTGCCTGTTATAACTTCATGTCTCTCGTCTTCCGGGATGCTTTTCTTTCTTTTAGCATCCCATCCTCGTCGCCAAACTGTAATATATTGTTGTGGGGAAATAACTCAGACTGAGACTTGACCGAGCGTGGAGAGCGGGACTTTATCTCATGTAGACAAAAGCACGTAACATACACACGTTACTGAACGTCATAACTCTATATAACCACAAGTGGGCAGTGTCCTATAATGGTATCTTGTCAATACACTACAGTTTATACTCCATTTTCCACCTGAAAACCCCATGCCGATTGGTTATCGCAGCTTCAGTCCAGATTTTTTAACTCTTGGGAATGAGCAAATGAAGCAAGTAGCACGTTGAATGCAATGTAAGTTGTAAGGCCTGTCTCAGAACACCCCACTATATTTTACTGTTTTGGCTACACCCAGCCCACTGGAGACTGGAGATAGAAAAATTGAAGAGCGTCCACCACTGCAGGGGGGTGGATGCCCCACCCCTCGATTAGTCAATTTTTGGTCGAAAATTTCAGGGTTTTAGTCCAAAAGAATTTCGTTGGTTGATTACAGCCCTAGTAAGATAGGCCATTCACACATATAATCAGCTCAGTCTGCACTACTGACACTGCCTCATTTGCATTGCCCAACTAAAACTTGCATCTAATCACATCTTACATTGACTTTATATGTGATTCAATTGTGCAAAGAATTTACAAGGCCCCGTGGTAGTGCCCAGGAGGTGAAGTAACAACTCTGATTTCCTTCTTTCTGTTCTGGGACTTAAATGTTTGACCTTCCAGTTATCAGGCCAAGTGCCCACACTATTGCAACCTAAGATGGGTTAAAGAAATAGTTGTTGGTCATTCTGCATGGTCATAATGTAAGCAAGACAGCATTTGAAATGGAAATCTTTTCAATGACACAGATGCAGAAGAGGATGATGAGTATCTTAACAGCGAAGAAATCTTTGTTCGAAGTCATTTATTTGAGACTTGGATGTGGTCAGATTGGGAACTGCCAGCTTGCCCACTTCATGACTTAAACTGGTAAGTCAACAGAAATAAATGCAAAATTTTCTGCTAAGATGTATTTTGGTCTTTGCTCCAAAAACTGATGAAACTTTTCTTCATTTCAGCACCACCATATCCGATAAGAAACGTTTTAATTTGCCGTACTCAATCGCAACCTGGCAGGTAACTGCCATTGCTCTGTCAAAAACTCACGGTGAGAGTTTTTCAGCTATTTATCTTAACTCTTTTTTTATCTTCACACATTCATGCTGATTTAAAAGGTTTTCTTAGAGCACATTACCACAGTGATCCTGGATTTGAGTCTAAGCACTCCGTTGTGAAACATGCCACCTTATGCCACTACTGTCAGTAACAAGACTTTATCAAAAGAGAGTTTCTTTGGTACATTAGTACTCCAGTCTTCGAGTGGTACCTCAAACTTCATTTAATTCCCTCAAAGAACTGTTAACAATTGTTGTCTCATTATCAGATAAGATTGTATCATATTTATAACTTAGGAGCCCATTAGCCAAGTTCAGAACTCCACTTACTTAAGCATACAGCCACTTCCTGCTTAACAGTTGAAAATTACCTGATGCAACGGCAGAGAAAGACGTTTGCACAAGCCAAGTGATTAATCTCTTAATGAATGCAATGAAAGCACAGACATTTATGTTGTTGTGTTGTTCTGGTGTCTATTTTTGCTCCACAGTTGCTGTTTGATATTAAGTACTGTACAGGCACATGTCCTTGTTGCTTAAGGGTCACTCCATAAACCATAACACTGTTGGCCTTACTATTAAAAAACCTTGGTCCGGTAGCAGGATGAGAAAACTTGCTACAGTTTCCTCATATTAACCATCAAATGATAAATTAAATGAACATTAAGAAGAAAGCATGAAAAGAAAACAGCAAGTCAAGTCAACTTTTATTTATACAGTACATTTTACAAACAGCCAGTGTTGACCAAAGTGCTTCAGGAAGTAAAAGGCAACAAGACTAAGGCTCATAGTCTCAATATCAACAGTAAGACACACATGTAGTATTATAGTCTTATTGATGTATTGTTTGTTCAGTAGCATGATGTAAAAATAGACAGTAGTATTAATATTAACACTTCTTAAGTACTCATCTATAAAATGCTCATGATGCTTATTGAAATGTTTTTCCTTCTGGTCATATCTGTGGTATTTTCATTAACTAAGAGGCTGAATCATTAGCTAAGCTAGTCATTAACTAATAGCTGAATGCTATTATTAGCTGTCTTCTGCTGTTTGCAGCCACTTTTAAATTTGTTTTGTATTTGTATTTTTTTTCCTGATCATTATCAAATGTAGATTTGTGAGGTGTGAAACAATCGCAGTTAGCAGGATTAAAAAGGTTTGTAGGTCCTGCTACCTGAAACACAGTAATACATGATAACTATATATGAATTTCCCACCCTGAGCGTGTCACCACGGGAAGATAGCCGCCATGGGAGTATGGTCAATTAATAGTACAGTTGAGTAAGAATGTGTATGCATTAAGTAGCCCCAGCAATAAAAGGTGCTATTGTCTTGTGTTTTGGCTCTGTAGATAGGCTTTTATCCAACGACAAGAGTTAGAGGATAGGTTACGATTCAGCAAGTTGTTTTAGTGTGGCTTTCCTTTCCATTTCAATGTAGAGCATTTTCTGTTTGTACATAAAATTGTGACTTTATATCATTTAGATAGGGCAGTGCATCGAGCAAGAAACTTGGCCAAAAAATGGACAGCCTACTTTTAGCTGAATGATGCTAAAAAAAGATAATAGTAACACTTACCTGCTCCAGTTTTCAGGTTCAATAAAAGGATGTGCTTACCGAGGATTAGGCTAGTTAACTGAAGTTTGCATACTGTAGAAATATTGTCATTCCTCCTTTGGAAAAGAAATGTAATTAATATTTATTTTCTTCCTGCTGTGAAGGGATTTGTGTGGCTGAACCACTGGATGTAGTGACACGAAAGATGTTCTTCATAGATCTCATACTGCCACACTCTGCTGTCCAAGGACAGCAACTGGAAATTAAGGCTATCCTGCACAACTACATCGAGGAAGCTGTCACTGTAAGTTTTAGCCTGTTCAGTTCAGTTCTGTTCAGTGATTGTGGTTACTGCATAGACATACACTGTTTTCATAGGAGATGCCCCCCCCATGTCATTGATGATTTGTCAACTGCCATCATTAGAGCCCACAATTTGGGCTCTAGCAGTGTTACAGAACTGTGCCATCATTGATGATTGTTTATTTGTTTACTTTATTTTTTTAATATAGTTAATTTGCCAGTGGCCACATGTAACTTTAAATCTCTCTTTTTTTTTTTTATCTTTACCATCTGATTCAAGGTGCGTGTGGATCTGATTGAGAACAAAGATCTGTGCAGTGCAGCTTCTATGCGTGAGAAGTATCGTCAGAAGGTCCAAGTTGAGGCTGAATCGACACGATCCGTACCATTCATCATATTCCCAACAAAACAGGGAGAGTTCCTCATTGAGGTCATAGCAGCTGTGAAAGAGACTTCTCTGGCGGATAGGATTTTTAAAAAATTGCATGTGGTGGTAAGAGGAACACCCTTCAATAATTGTGTATCAAGACCCTTTTTAAAAAAATGCTTGAATTCAAGATTCACACTTTATCTCAGGCCTGTTAATTGATGGATTTTGTGTGGTGCTACCTACAGCCTGCTGGAACTAGATCTGAACAATGTCCACCTGTGAAACAGAATGAAGTTACTACCATGAGAATGAAAATCCGCATTTCATTCCCCATTTACAAATACATTATCAATTTGAGAATACATATTTGGCTGTCAAAGTAACCAACCAATTCAGGGCACATACAATCTAAAACTGTAAAAAAACACTACAAAACATCCATCCTCTAATATTGCAGCACACAGACTTTGCTCTTTCCAGAGTTTCTTGCTTGTAAGGATAAGAACCCATCACTCTTTGACCCTGACACTTGGTGCCCCTAAAAGTTATGTTCAGACCTTGTGTGAGCTGTCCACACCCTTCGCATTTATGACTGCATGCCAAACTCTTGCACACATGTACTTTCAAAATGTTGATGACACTGCTGCAGTGGGCCTTAAACACATCTGGCCACCAGGACGAGGTCTCCTAACTGACTTAAAAGTGCTCAGTCAATAATATTTTACACCTTTAAAGTAAAGGAGACTGATTTCAGGAAAAAGAGAAGAGAATGGGGCCGCTCTCCAAGTCATTACACGGTCCTCACCAGAATATAGCCATGACCCAAAGACTCATTCCACTTGGGAATTTTGCCACTGCTGCTTTCTAGTGGATAATAATTCTAAAAAAAACCACACTAATAGACTCCTCTCTTTGCTCATGTGCCTTTGCTCAAGAGCTAAACTCTGAAGAACGTCTTTTTTCTGTTGTTTTGTGCGGGTACTTAATTTTCTTTTTTTTTTTCTCTTTCTCGCTCTTTTTTAAAAGGGGTATATCGTGCTTTTCTACATTTACAACAAAAACTGCAAAGTAACAAAGTTTGGTGTGCATACTACATGTATGCAAAGCTTCAAATCATGTATATGATGTATTTGGGGTAATGCTGCTCTGCTGCTCAGCTGATTGACCACAATCGAGTGAATGGCATAGGTATAAATATTAAAAATATGAAAGAGGACTCAGAGAGAAAGTATAGAGTCTGAAAAAAATGCATGATACACCCCCCCCACCCCACCCCCACCTCCCTGAACTATCAACCCATTAACCTTGTCTCACCCTCAAGGGATTTCTCAGGGTTTATCAATAAGAAGTAACCAACACCGTTATTGGGTTTTGACCTTTGAGAATCAAGTTTTACAAGTGATTTGTAAGAAAGACAGGTAGTAATCAAACAAACCTTTCCCACTCTTTTTCAGCCTGAAGGTACTCTTACCAAATCTGTAATGAGCATGTCACTAGATCCTGCTAGGAAAGGAATAGGTAAGGTTTGTCTTCCAGCAGCCACAATAAGCAATATGCATTTTTTTTTCATACACATATCCCTTTACTTACTATTTGTATCTTTTCTTAGAAGGCATACATGAGACAACTATCAACAGTGACATTCCCCGGAAATATTTGGCTCCAAACACACCAATATGGACTGAAATTTTTCTGACAGGTGGGATCAGGGGAATTATTTAATGCTTGAACACCTTCCCTTTTACATTAAATGATTTGTTGTACAGGATATATCACCTTTTTTAAAAACTGATTAACACCACAGGTGTGTTCTTCTCTAAATCCTCACAGGAAAGCCGACAGAAGGAGAATTACTGGAAAATGTCATTAGTGGAGACTCAATGGGTGCTTTGATACGACAGCCCTCACACTCTTATAATCTGGACACTATTTATACTTTGAGCCTGCCTGTTATTGCAACCATATACTTGGACAAAACCAACCAGTGGGAAGCTGTGGGCTTTGAGAAACGCAATGAAGCCCTGGAATACATCAAAACAGGTAGCACTGTTAAACTGAAGATCCCAGTAGGATTCCTCAAACTGGAATCCTATGGCTGAGAAAGGTGGAATAGCAGTTAGTAAAAGTGTTGTGCTTTGTTAATGTTCAGGTTATAACAAACACAAGCTTGACTACCGTCGATCTGATGGGTCTTTTGGTATTCACTATCCATTCCTTTTTTTCCCAAAACAAGCCTACTCACGGTAAGACAGCCAAGCCTTCATGTTTTTTTTGTTAGTTTTTTTTAACTAGATTTGTGTTCATCATCATTAAAACTTATTTAACTGTGAAACTATTTAAAGTGTTTTGGGTTTATAAAATTTATCTTCCCACCAAGGCTAACAGCACATGTCATCAAGGTGTTAACCATGGCCCACAACCTGGTTCCAGTAAGCGTGAACATCATTTGTGATGCTGTCACGTTTCTCATAATTCAAGCACAACGACCCGACGGAAGTTTCAGAGTATGTGCTAAAATGTTTGTTCAGTTATATGATAAATTAAATCAGACAATCAAACAAAAACAATAACAAAGATATTTCTGTGTGTGTGTGTGTGTGTGTGTGTGTGTGTGTGTGTGTGTGTGTGTGTGTGTGTGTGTGTGTGTGTGTGTGTGTGTGTGTGTGTGTGTGTGTGCGCGTGGGCACGCACGCGTGTGTATGTTCTTGTGTTTATTCATAGAGTGATACATTTGATACATCATGCACAGATTGTGGTGCATCCACGACAGCCTTCTGCCTCATTGCCATGCAGGAATCAGCAAAGTTATGTATTTCCAATGTTGACTTTGATGGCCTTGTGAGTATCTCAGCCTTGAATGTTTTTTCCTTTCATTTGACATTTTTTAACAAGAAAAATCAAATAAGTGTTCATGACAGTGACTATATATCCATTTGTAAAAAGACAGAAAAACTACACAAATCCAACTTCACCATACAGTTGTCATGTGCTGTTGTCAGTTATAAGTATTTACATCTGTTTGATTTTATTTGAATTATTAAATATGTTTAATTCATTTATTCAAATCTCTTAAAGTCAGCATAAATCTGTTATTCGGAAAACAATTCAACTTAATCAGTTAAAATGTATGAACATAACTTAAATGTGATGAGCTGTGGATCAACTTAGATTTATTAAGTACAAATTTGTGAGAAAGAAAAAAAGTTGAGTTTGTTCATTGGCCTGTTTATGTTAATAAGTAATTTAAATGAATGGAAATTTACAATGCAATGAGGCCTTAATATTTCTGTGAGTGTGGGGTTTTACAGATGAATCACTCATGTGCTTACACCTTTTGTACCTTTTGCAAGAGATGGTCAAGTTTTCTTACTTATCATCCAGCTGTGTTTAATGCTTCATTCTATATGGTCAAAACTTAAAGCCAGCGATGATGTTTGTTTTTGAATAGCAAGAGAGTCATGTATAATCAGCTGCAGCACATTTTCCTGTTTTATTATTGCTTTGAATTCATTTGGGAAGCACATTTGTTAAGATCTGTGGATCATGGCCGGTGTTGACTTTGACAGCTATTTAAGATTAAGGTTGCTTTCACACTAGTCTCGTTTGGTCCGGACTTCAGGACTTTTTCGGTTTGAACCAAAATTTCATGTGTGAACTCAACCCTGGACCATGGTCCGGAGTTTGGTCAGACCAAACAAGCGGACCATGGTCCCCCCAAAAAGTTGGGACTCGGTCTGGTTCGAAGTGAACCATGGTCTGGTTTGCTTCAGGTGAGAATGTAACCGGACTTAATAGGACCAAATACAGGAAGCAAACCAAAACAGCAGTGCCTCGTGGGTGAAAGACAGATGTGTGTTACTAGCTAAGAGAATAGGAAGCGGAGGGCGTGTGAGCGCATGTGATTTGTTTACAAAAAAGGTACGTCTTGACAAATGACAGTGTGAAAACAGACCGGACCAAAAATTAGTTGCAACAATGTATCATTTTTTTCCCTCTGATCAGGACCATGGTCCAGAATTTCATATGTGAAAGCGACTATAAGTCTCACTATTGGTCTTTGTACTTAAATGCCCTTTGATTTGATTCATATTTAGTCCAGCTTTAGTCAAATGAAAGCAAAAACTGGCCCCTACATTGGTGAAGCTGTCGTCAATAATAGGTCACTACATTTTATTTCTTACTGTTTGAACATTTTCTGTTTTCAAACTAAATCATTTGATCAAATATTTGTATCAAGATTGTACTCTGGTTTATATCTGTAATGTTACACTCTCAACACTTAAACTTGTGTAATATCTTGATTTTTCACCTTGAATGCATGATTTGATTTAGACTCTCCCACCAATGCAATTCTACTGTGCTGTCCCTGATGATCTACTGAGCTACTTTGTAATCTTACACCAATTTAGACATTGTTTCTGTGGCCATTAAGGATTCTGCTCATTTTCTTTGACAATTTATTATTTTTGTCGGGGGGTCCAGGCTCTGTCCTTAATGCCTTTAAGGCCAAGAAACGCCCCTGGACACACTGACACATATTTCACTGCTCTCTTGGCTGCATCATCATTTTTCAATTCATTCATCTTCAAGAGATGTTGCCCACATAAAAAATAGGATATAATAACCAAATAAACACAAGCTGCAGCCACAATTTGGGCTCTAGCAGTGTTACAGAACTGGCTGGATTAGTGGAAAATTGACAAGGAAGATTACCTCATAAAGCTGTTGTTTAAAGTGCTGTTGTTTTTCAGTGCATTTCAAATCAGGTATACTGCGGACTCGTTAAGGAGAATTTCAGTTGTGTGGTTTGTAAGATTATAAATAACCTGCAAACAGCAATGCCGACAAACATAAACAAGCACCTTTTTCATTGTATGATCCATACATAAGGAAACCTCATATGATGCCTGGAAGAAGCTGGTTATGAAAACACAGCAGCCCTTAAGGTCACAAGCACAGGTATTTCAAAACCACAAAAAAAGAAAAAAAAAATTTCACTGGATGCCAAAGTGTTGCAGAAAACACAAAAATGTTAGGCAGCAAAATAGAAAAAAATCTTTCCGAGTGTAATGGTTTTCAGACAGAGAAATATTGTTGTGTTATACTGTATATGTCATGTAAAAGAACAGCAGCTTTCATTGAAGGATCAGAAGAAGTGGTTTGATCACCGCCATCATCCCTTAAACCTCTTTCCAACTCCACAACCGCTTCACTAACAAGTTTGCCATGCTAGATCTGGTCTTTTGTGGATACGAAAATGACTTAGATGATCAGAGACTTAGCAAGATAAAAATAAGTAGTAACAGCAAATACTGTGCCCATGAGGGATCAATCTTATCCCTGCTTTGTTATCAATGCAAACTTAGCCCTTGAATATGTTTATTATCTCTCATCAGTTGTCTTTTCCTTTACTCCAGGGTCTATTCTACGGGTCATCCTTAGCAGTGAGCGACCTGGAAGCGCAACTGCCCAGCCTCACCAACCCGTACGCTGTTGCAATGGTTTCATATGCACTTGCTAATGATGATAGACTGAACAAGGAAGTGCTCTACCGGTTTGCCTCCCGAGGTTTGCTGTCTTCATATATTTGTAATTTTTCACATATAAAATTCAAGACTGTTGTTCATTGAAGGGGTTGCTATACCATTTCTGCTTTGATTTTGAGCTTGTCTTACCAAAGTGGAATATTTTGGCAGTCAGTTACAATCGGGATTGCTGGTTGCTGTTTTTGACAAATGTTCAGTTGAGTTATTGTTAGCCTTTAGTCCAGAATCTGTTGTACAACTTGCTTTGTGTGTTTTCCCCCCAAGATTTGACCCACTGGCCTACATCCGAGGGATCTGCTTTGACACTGGAGACCACAGCTTATGCTCTACTTGCACTAGTGAAAGCCAAGGTAGCTATAACTCCAAGTGTATGTCAACATATTGTTCTATACCTATACCATACACTTGTGTTTATAAAGATAGTCTATGCCATCCCTGCTCAAGTCAGGGCCCTGACTAGGCCATCCCAATCAAAAATATCGAAACATGGCCCTGACTGACAGATATAGCCAGTGTACATTACTGGTCAGTCTGTTTTTTAAATAACAAGCAGCTATTTAAGCAGCTTAAAGGGATATTCCAGTGTAAAATGAAGTTAGAGTCAAACACACCGCAACACTGAGTTAGACACCCCGTTGAGGGATGAATGTTGCTGACCGCTTGCTTCTCTAGTTATACCAACTTTTGTAACAACAGCACGATAGCAATTCACAGCAGTCTATGGATCCACACACTTAACCAAAAAGCCACTCTATAGCCGAAAATAATGCTCAGAACGTCACCTAACCTAAAAATCATTACTTTGTCATTTCCTTGAAGCAGTAATCCCCATATTAATCATTTTGCACTGCAGACATGGTAGTTCTTCTGCCTTACTATCTTGGTCTGATTGCATTTCCATGAAGTATTGATCATAAATGTTCTTCCTTGAGCTGCATCACCCCGCTGCAGTCAGTGATAGACTCATCCAAGGTCTCCATACAAACAAGTGGCTGCTGGAAAAGAGTTGGTGAGTTGTGTTTAGTCTCTTTGCTGAAGAAATCAGGCAAAGCTAAAAAGATGTTTGGTGGCTAGTGCTATGGCTGGGACCCTGTATGTACTGTTGATGAAGTAAGGTGCTGTTCTGAGCATTATTTGTGGCTTTTTGGTTGAGTGCATGGCTCCTGAGACCGCTGTGTATTGCTGTCATGCGGTTGTTACTAAAGTTGGTATAACTAGAGAAGCAAGCAGTCGGCAACATTCATCTCTCAACAGGGTTTCTAACTCAGTGTTACAGTATGTTTGACCCTAACCTAATTTTACACTGGAATATCCCTTTGGGTAAAAAAAGAAATTGATAGTGTAAAATTTCAATATCTTTATTTCTTTTTCACTCTAAGAAGTATCAGGTACTGGCAGTAATAAAACTTGGAACTATGAGCATTTTAACTCCTTCCTGCCCTCTTTTTTAAGGCATTTAAAGAAGCTAGACCAGTTGTTAGATGGTTGAAACAACAGGAGAGGGAAAGCGGGGGATACGGATCACTTGAGGTAAAGTGGTAATTTCTCTCTTTTTTTTTTTTTTTGGATATAGCTTTCAATTTTTTGACCACTAAGTAATATGACAAGACTTACTCTTACTCTGTCCTCAGGCTACATTATTAGTGTACCAGGCTGTAGCCGAGTACTGGAGCAACGTGAATGAACCAGAGTATGATTTGGATGTGGATGTCCGATTACCAGGCAGATTACGTGAGATGAGGTTCCATTTTGACAGAAGAAACCAGTTTACAACAAGAAGAATAAATGCAGTGAGAGCACACACACACACACACACACACACACACATACATACACACTAATAATCTGCAGATATCAGCCTTTTATTGTTTTGTATTGATTGTTAGGCCTTAGATGTTGAAGCTCTCATTTCTACGTTTGAGTTTTGAATCCTTCAACCTAGACACATACAAAATAAATCAAGACAATAATGTAAGTACATGATGAATGAAAAAATGATGTAACCTACTATTTAATAAATAATAAAATAAAAAATGTTTTTTTTTTTTTTTTTGTTTGTTTTTTTTTGTTTTTTTTTTATGTATAAATGTACAAAAGGACGTTTGATGATCAGCTGACACAAATACACAGGAACACTCCAAATTTAGTGTCAATAAAACTCTGATTTCTTTGTTGGATCATCTATTGATATGCGCTATGGTAGCAGTCTGCTCCGAGGTAGTAAAACCCAACTTAGTACGCCATGCTAGTCATTCGGTCATTGGCTTAAACATCACTGAGCTACTTTACATTACACACCTACAGCCTCCTATAATCCCATTTATGATTTCTTTAGACTCATGTACAGATCCATTCATTCTGTTTTTTTTTCTTTCTTTTTTTTTTTTTTTTGTCCATGACATGAGAAGACAGTATAACATATTTTCAACACAAGGCAGAAAGAATGAAACACGCCTACTTTTTTTTTCTCAAATGACAGCGATGACAATGAGAATATCTTAATATTTGCACGAACAAAGTTGTGTTCTTTTTCACTGTTTTGTAAATATTGTGAATATGTGAATCACATTACTACATCACAAACAGACATCTGAAGGCAAAAAAGGGCATCTTGTCATCAAAATGTATTTTTTTAATCTTAAAAATCAGTAGGTGTTTCCAAAAGCAGGGGCTACATCCTGGATTTTGAGATTGAATGTATCACAGTGACGTGTAGAGGATGGTCACATTTTGAAAGGCTTCTTTATGTGCTGACAAATACTGTATGTCCTTTTCCTAACGACCACATGTTCCTCTCCAAGAGGCCACTTACAATTTTTCAAAGGGCTACAAAGGATCCATGAAGCATATCCTTAGTGGCGATTTGTTGCGTTTTGATTTTAACAAGATTGTGGGCTCTCAAGGAGCAGAGTAATTCAGCTGTCCTGTGAGGTCTACATAGGCTATGGAGCTGACACCCTTTAATGAGTCTTTAATCAAGCCAGTTAAAAAGGACTTGAGGTCTAGAAACTGCTGGTCTTTCTTGTGATTATCAGCTTAATTTTGGTTTGGCTACACAACCTTTAATGCTTGCAATGCTTGGTGAACTGTAGCACCCATTTTGTGTGGGAAGACTACTCAAATCATTTTTGAATAGTTGTAGTCCTGTTGTTGTGGCATAGTTTGTAGTTGTCATCAAACCTCAGTGATTTATGTTGATATCATATGATATCAAAGCTGGGATTAAAGTGGTATATGCTTTCAACAAGGATGATGTTTCTCACAAACTAGTGCCTACATTATACTTTCTATCAGCTGTTTGCTGCTGCAGAATTGTTAAACAGTGGCTTTTGTCTCTGAAATCACTGTCTATCAGCTGAACAAACTGAGTTGGAAGGAGCCATAACTTAAGTGTGTACTTGGCTAAACAAGTAGAGCTTCCTGTAAAAAAGAAAAAGAGAGTCTTCATTTTTAGGATTTCATTCATGTTATACCAAGAAAGGACAAGATGACATGACAATTTTTAAAGTCTGAATTTTTCTGTTTCAATGTGCATTTAACCCTTACCTTTATGTATGTGTCTCTGTGTTTGTTCATATGTGTGTGTATTATTCCTTGGTGCAGTTTAACACAATAAAGGGTACACGTGTAATTGCCAGAGGAACAGGAGAACTAACCGTGACAGTAAGTCTAGCAAATTTCTTTTTGGATACTTAATTTTTTAAAGTTTTAGAGTTGAATTTTAATTATGTTGTGGTTGTGTATGTTTTGAATGAATTAGAAACTAAATATTAAGCATAATTCCCATAAAATCAATGAAATAAAGGATCTCAGATTTTATTTGACTTGTTTTGGTTCACCACTTGACAAAAATAGTCACATAGTCTGAATATAATGAGGATAAAAGACAATAGAGATATTTCCTTTGTAAAATCAGTTATATACCCTTTTTGTCTGTCAATTATCCATTTATACATTTACCATCATATCTAAAAGTTTTGAATGTTTAAAGGCTTATCAATAATGCATGTCAGGTTTAAAAGTATTACATAATGTCAATTTTCACTGAAACTTGACACTTTGTGAATAACTTAGTCATGAAAGAAGGCTTAGTCAATGAAATACTGAGCTTGCAATCTGTTAAGAGTTTAATATTTGAAAATATAAATACCAATATTCTGTAAATTGTTTAATAATGATGCATTTTATTGTTAAAGAAGTCTGTGTGGCTCTAAGCTTTGCACAAAATACCTAGACTGCAGGTTGTATTCATGTTCCTGTCAGTTAAACTGGTAAAATACCGAGGAATAATTTTTTATTGTGTGAATTTATCAGTGCTAGCCTATCACAGAGCTCATGTGTGAGACACAAACATGAATCAAAATTGACTGACAGCCGACCAGGTGGTGATCAGTTGATGCCGCCATCACAAAGAGACATCAGCTCATATAATGCTCCAGTCCAGAGGAAAGGACGTCTCATGCTTTTCTCCCGTTTCCCTCTCTTCCTTCCTCATTTCCTTGCATCTCCCCATGTATTGCTGGTGGAGGGGACTAAGGCCCAAGGAAAAGGTGCAAGTGAGGGATGCACAGCTTTAAGTATAGAGAACTGAGACGTAGCTACAGTCTGGGGATGTGTTAAAAGTTTAACTTTGGCACCACCTGGTGGTTCAAGATTACCCATGTATGGCACCATGAATGACACAGTAATAGACCAATCTGATGAATCACCAGAAGTTAACAAAGAGAGGGAATACTTATTGAAAATAACCACATTTCAAACTGATTATAGTCTTCATGATAAAGGTTCTCCCTTCTTAAAGATGTACTTTTTTCTAATGACAGATGGTGTCACATTATTACACTTTGCCTGGAGTTCAGGAAAAGGACTGTCCGATTTTTAAACTGTCTGTGCAACTGCTGCCAGGTAATTCTGTGTCTTCAGTCTCCTACAGATATTTGTCTAGTGCTTGTCTTCAATATTACTCTCACTTTTTTGTATGTGATATTTCTGCAGAAGATTTTCGTTTTATAGGAAAACCTTCAGTGTTCTTATTCATCTTTCATTTACTATTTTCCCTGCAGAGATAAGCATTGGTGATGGAAAAATATACAGGCTGAAAATAGAGCTTTTGTGAGTATAATTAAGATCATGCCAAGAGTGTTACAGTTATACTACTTAATACAGCTATCAGCACTTCGACTTTTGTTTCTCCACACTCTAGTTTTGGTGTTTTCTTACAGGTTTACAGTATTTTGCTCACTCTTTTTGTTTCCATTCATACTCATTTAATTTTATTCATTGATTTTCATTGTGGGCATCATAATATCATAAAGGAATTTAGTTTTTAACACCTTACTTGTTTGTTACTCTGTCCATTTTCTGTGCAGGAATAAGAACGAGGAAGTTGATAACACTGAGACAGTCTTGGATATTGGTCTGCTAAGTGGCTTTACTGCTAATACTGATGACCTGCGCTCAGTAAGAAATTATGTGCACACATATTCACCAACATAAGGGGTCAAATTCCTCTTAATCAAGAGTTTTACTAACTCCTGAACTATGTGTTTGTCTGTGTATGAGTAGCTGTCAAGGTCACCAAACATCACTGTTGAAAATTTTGAGAACACCAACATATCAGACTTCATTATCATTCACCTGAACGAGGTAAGACTTCTATCCCTCTTGTTCAACACTGTCGAGGTGCATACCACGACCCACCTTTTCAGATTGTGTATCACAATTTATATTGCAAGATTTTTAACTTGAAGGTATGCACTGTTTCTTCTCCACCAGGATTTTGTGGAGAGCTTGTATTAGGTAATTTAATGTTGTTGCCATCCATTTATTTCTAGAATGATAGAACAAAGATATAATACAAATTCCTACTGTTAATTTTAAACCTGATCTTGATCAGCAGGGCCCCTCAGGGATGCACTGCCACCTCTGCACCAGTTCTGGATGTCAGACTCTAGTCATACCTAATAGATGCTGAAGCTCCAGTGCATTAACCATGCAGCCTCTTTTGTTTTTAATGTCAAATGAGAGTTTCAAATGTGCCATAGTGCATTACCCAAGCATTTTAGCCACCTCAAGAGATTATTGTTATATCCAGGGATGTTACCTGGACAAGACCAAGTGAGCCACACTAATTAAGTTGGCATAGTGATTTGGCAATGTGGTTGAAATGTAGATAGTTATACTGATGGCTTATTCTAGGCTGAGGTCAGTCCTGGAAATATTAGGTCAGCCTTAGTACTCCCCAGTTTGTTTAAGTCAAGTAGAGCCTGGTCCCAGGCCTATCTCCCAGTTGTTAGACCTGTGCTATCCTACATTTGCAGAAACTTTATTTGGGGCAACAACAAAGTGAAATTCCAGCATCTCATCTCAAACTACAGTGATATTCTCTTGAGTATGTCCACTACTTAAATGCTCACCAATGAAATGTAGCTAATCGTCTTATTGAAGAGTAGATGCATTTACTTTTAATGGACAGTTCTATCCTGTGTCATGGCTTAAGAAATGATATTTTAGAAATTCAGCAGATGTATGGCTCCCCAAAACCAGCTGACCTCACTTTAGATAGTTTTTTGAAGAAAACACATTCATGTAGTGAGAGTAGTTCATCTTGCCTCCCTCACTCTCTCTTATCACAGGTTTCTCACAGTCAACCAGAGGAGATCACATTTAGAATCCATGAGAAGTTCAAGGCACAAATCCTACAACCAGCTGCTGTTTCAGTCTACAGACTTAGAAAAAGTGAGTCTCAGAGACACTTAACACCTCTTTCACACATGAACTCTTAACAATTTAGAACTTTCAGACATTTTTGTGACCTACTCTTCAACAGATTGTTGTGCCAGATGTTTTTTATACTATAGGAAGTGGTGCATTTGGTGTCAAGAGGTTACAGAGGAAGAGAATAGAGCAGTGTTCTAGACCTGAGGTCAAGGACTTTGACTTAAATATGACTTAAGTTAACTCATAACTCAACTTACAACTGAGCACTGATGACTCTTACTTGGACTTGAGTGTTGACGGCATGCATACTCAGGAGAACTTGAATTAATTCATTGATGAAGACTTTTGCAAACCCTGATTCCATGAAGTTCGTATGTTGTGTAAAATGTCAAAGAAAAAACAGAACACTATGATTTGCAAATCCTTTTCCACTTATTCAATTGAATACACTACGGAAATGCAACGTTTCCTGAGGGGTTGAAGTGCACAGGCATTGAATGTTGGTTTTGGTCCTTGTTGCTTACGTGCAGGGATTTCTTTGATTCTTTTAATGATATTTTGGACTGTAGATGATGAAATCCCTAAATGCCGTCCAATTGTGTGTTGAGAAACATTGTCATTAAACTGTTGGACTATTTGCTCACACAGTTGTTCACAAGGTGGTGACCCTCTCCCCCATCCTTGCTTGTGAAGGACTGAGCCTTTTGGAGATGCTCCTTTTATACCGAGTCGTGCACTCACCTGTTTCTATTGAACCTGTTCACCTGTGGAATGATCATTCTTTGTACAACTACAGAGACAGTTTACAAAAAAAAAGGCCCCTGAAAAAGTACATACACTATTGTTTGTTGCTACTATCTTCAAGAGAAGGTCAACCAGAGTTGCTGAAGGAGAAATTAAGGATGCTTTTGCAAGATATTTCGATCACAAACTGTGACCCTGAAATCAGTTTCCACAAAGACTCATGTTTCAAGTACCTTTTTTTGCCAGCAGGGGAGCAGTCTTGTGTCAAGTTCTACCATCCTGAGAGGAAAAATGGAGAGCTACCAGTGTACTGTGTTGATGGCGAATGTACATGTCTTGCAGGTAAACAAGGAAACCCAAACTCTCTGAGCAAATGTATTTTGAACCTGCTATGATCCATTTCTAGTTGTTTATATCTCAGAACTGATGTGTAACTTACCAAATCAAATCAAACCAAAACCAAAAAGATTATCTGCAATCATGTTGACATCTGTCTCCAGGTGATGTTGATGCAGACAAAGTAAGTGTGCAGACAGAGCTGCCTACCAAGCTGTGAAAGGAAAACAGCATAGACTGCATGTACTTCTTTATCTACAAAATTTGCTGAAATGGACGTAATATGAAACTTTCCCCAAGCTGCTTTGGAACTGGCTTGTGTATGTGGAGCTAATACAGCTCAGTAGCTAACTCTAATAGCTAATTGTGCCATAGGCAATTGGCTATCTGTGAAAATCACTATCATTGAAAAATAACACCATATTTTCTTGATATTAGCTAGAAGGACTGGCTCTCATAGACAGTTTTTGCATTTCAGAGGATCCATAACTCACACTTTTATAACATGCCTGGAACAAGTTGAATATGGCAAATTTTCAACACAATGACTGGGAACTATTCATCAAGGGACGGAAGTTGTATGTTAACACCATGGTTATACACTCCTGATCAAAATTTTAGGACCATTTGAGAAATTGCAGGAATTTACATTTTGCATGTGGATCTTAAGAAGGTTTTAAGTAGAGCTTCAAAATGCAAAAATAAGAGAGGAGTAAGACTAAAAAAATTTGAGTAAGCAATTTGTTGCAAACAACCATTAAATTGAAATAGGCTGTTCATCAGCTGATCAAAAGTTTAAGACCATATCTAAGACCCCTAGAATAGAAATAACGTTCTCAAAAAAGGACTCAGTATTGTCCCATTCTTGTTAATTACCGCAAAAATTCGTTTTGGCGTGCTTGATGCCAGTGTTCCCAGGAGGCAAGTGGGAATGTTGTACCATGTGGTGAAGATGGTTTCATGGAGGGCATCCACTGTCTCAAAGAGAGAAAGCTTTTCAGCCTTTGCCATCAGGGAGTCATGGCAGTGTGGATACCTGACAGAAAATGTCATTGAAGCCACATTTTTGCAAAGATTTGGGCTTTTTAAGGCTGTGGTCTTAAACTTTTGACCAGCAGATAAACAGCCTATTTCAGTTTAATGGTTGTTTTCAATATATTGCTTACTCAATTTTTTGCTTTGTCTCACTCACTTTTCTTCTATTTGCATTTTGAAGCTCTACTTGTACCCTCTTATAATCCAACAGTGCAAAATGTCAATTCTTGCAATTTCTCAACTGGTCTTACAATTTTGATCAGGAGTGTATAATGCATGAGCTAATATTTGATTGTTTTTAAGCCTTTTCACTGCTAATAAATACTAGCTTGTATAATTTAACCACACATTGATGTTGTGGACACAGAAGCACCTATTAATTAGGGTACCCTCTATGACCTGTTTTTTTTCTTCAGTTTTAGATAACTGCAGCATGCAGAGAAGTAAAGCACTCAGCAATGAGGAACGCACAACCATAACTGGAATAGATTTTGGTAAGACTGTGTGTGTTTTTCTTCATGGCATGTGATTGAGTGGGCTTCTTCTCAAACTGGAATCTCCCCCATAAGTATTTTAAGCTTTTGCATGAATCACTAACAATAAATACAAAAGAAATCATATTTTTCCAACTTACAGGAGTTTAATGATCAATTTAATATTGAGGTTATTCTGTTAAATTGGGATTTTCCTGGGAAACTGATTTCCTTGTTGATTGATCAGGAATCTTTATTCCCACTCTAGAGCCCTTAAAGCATGAAATTAATCAAAAAAAGTCATAATTGAACACAATTTATTGATCATATTAGACATTTTAAAATGGTTTGTCAGGTGCAGCAAGCACCAGCAGAGCTAGCGCCATCAGCCTTTGGTCCAAAATAAAAATAGCATAATATAGGAAAAGAAAGAGCAAGGGAAAGCCAAACAACAAAAACTGGATCCATATTTTGTTGATTCTCCCAGAGATGAATCTGAGTGAGATGTACATGTGCTAGCTTTGAATTTGTGTTGTTTTATCATGAGGGGCCAGGTTTTTGTTGTTCTCTTGGATTGTTAGACTTCATGTCTGTTTGATTGACTTCAAAATGATATAACCGTGTGTGAAATATGCAGTTAAGCTTGTAAGCTCCGCTGTTGCGGACTTAGGTTGTTAGGCGACATTATCATGAGCCTTGTTGGATCCAAAGTGCCAAGTCATGTGCCTCACTCATGGCCTGACACTGATTTGTTCTGCTAGTAGTATAATGAAGTGGTGTATGTGGTGGTTTTGGAGGGTCCACTATGTTTGTTTTTGAGTGAGATGGTAGGCAAAAGAGAAAGCTAACAAGTAAGCCAATAATCTGTGATTTGTCTTGTTTCAGCTTACAAAATCAACTTTGATCATACAGTTGGAGAAAATTTAACAGCACAGATAGTGGAAGTCATCAAAGCAGGTGGGTATTAAGTGTCAGCATAGTAACACTGATTTTTTTTCTTTCATCAACCTTGATCTAAAAGAGTTTATGAAGGTCACCTGTGGTCTCTTCTCCTACTTCATAATTAGGGGATGTTGATGTGGCTCCACTGGGTAAACAAAGAAGAATCATTGTCTCTTCACAATGCAGAGCAGCTTTACAACTGACACCAGATGATGACTTCCTTATCATGGGGGCGTCTACTGACATCCAAAGATTTTCAGGAAGGTATTTTTAATTTTCTTCTACAGTGTGTGTGTGTGTGTGTGTGTGTGTGTGTGTGCGTGTGTGTGTGTGTGTGTGTGTGTGTGTGTGTGGTTCCAGGTATGTGTGAGTGATGAGTGTGTAAGCATGAGTGTTTCTGGTGTGAACTGCTTTACTTCTCTGCTGTCTGAAATGCATACAGTGCATTTGAGCAAATCTTCAAGTCTTACGTGACACAATCTTGTTTCTGAGTTTTAACTTACTTACCGTCCTCACTTACACTGATCACATCATTTTCGAACCGTGACAGTCATAAATACACTTCTATTTTCACGGAAGAAGAAAGTTGTAACAGCCAAAACATATCTGATGTTGTGTACCACTCTGCAGGTTTCAGTATGTAATTGGAGAGAACACATGGGTCGAGCACTGGCCCAGTGAGTGTCATCATAAAAGATACGAACGCACATGTTTGGGCATGAAGAAGCTGATTCGGCAGTATGAAGTCTTCAAGTGTCGGCAGTAAATGAAACTGTAGACAATAAAATTATGTGTATTGTTTGTTGTCTTCATTGTGTCGATTGAATGAAGTGTGTTGCTGGCTGATGAAAGCCTGAGAACTGAAGGTGTTGTACGCTTTTTCACAAGATTCACATGGGATGAATTTACATGGTAAATTTACATCATTTTAGTGCTTAACCAACTTTTCCCTCCATAGGTTCCTCACGTGTCAGCTTAAAACTAAACCTTTGTAGTTGTTTGCCTCTGCCAACCATTCAAATTCAAGGTTGCTTTTATGTCTGCCCTGATTAATGTGATGAATGTAGTAAAGACTTTTATAGAACTTAATTTTAAGTGTAATATTTTTGTCCATATTAGATATTTTTTCATTGGCAAAGGAAATGTTCTGATTTGATTTCTAGAGAATACTGTGTCATTCAGATAATTCTCTTATGTCCAGAACTAGTAGAATAAAGATCTCCAAGATGTTCTGCTGGCTATTGACTAGTTTTATTTAAAATGACGATAAACTCTGTGGGACACAAGATACAAAATCAGTTAAATGTGATCAATCAAAAGTATAAAAGATACAGTGCATAGTTGCTAAACAAACCACACATCAATGAATATAGAAATCAAGAATTAAATTATTTATTTTGAATCATTTAATTTGTGGTATAATCTTGAGTTATATGTGGTTAGAGTTTTACTTCAAATATTGACTTAAATAAAATTTCGATTATTGTTATGAATACAAAGCATTTTTTCTCTCAGGGTTCGGGTTAGTCATTGATGTTTTTGTTAACGGAAAAATCAATAGTTATTTTGAGTTTTTAATTAGCTTAGAGGCAAAAACAAGCTTCTTGGCTTTTTTCTCAGAAAGTCTGTTTGAGAACTGAAACATGAATTTATCAAGTAATTAACAAAGTATATCTTGAGATTCGCTGTTCTTAGGTAGGAATGGTTTGGTTTGAATGGTGTTTCTAACCCTATTTTCTGGGCTTTTATTCTTTCTAAGGTTATCAAAAATAGTTGTCCTGATTCTCAGTTGTATACTCAGCCTTTTTAGGTTCAGACATATATTGATACAGACACCATGGAATTTTGTAGGAACAAATGATTTTTGTCCTTACAAGTAACTTTGACACAGGGCTCTCAAGTCTCACGCATTCAGCATGTGGCACACGCATTCCCACCCGTTCACACGCTCACACGCCACACATTGTATTTCTCACGCATTTAAATGAACATGGTGATGTCCACCAAGTTGCAACTCTTTAACTATGGAACAGGTGGGAATCAACTGAGTTCCTCCGAGAGTACAGAAGCTGCGTGCCACGCGCAAGCCAATCAAATAAAGTATATCTACTGAACAGCCAATAAAAAAGCAGCATTGCTGTATCCGGGTAGATTTTGATATCTTGCGGTTTGACTACAGAAGAAGACAGACACTCGCCGTAATAGAGCAGGTTTTTATAAGGACGAGATAGACCCGATGATTACAGTAAGTCAGTAACCTTCACATGCAGAGACCTCAACACCTCATGGCAGATAAACTCATATGATAAACTAAAGCCCTATGCTATTGCTATTAACAGCTGTATTGACGGATTTAGCCTCTGTACAGCCATTTCCAGCCATTTTCCCCTCCACAAAAGCAGCATTTCTCATATATCTCAAATATAAGTTCTGATACTCATGACAGTGTAATGCTCATGTACCAAAGGATTAAGTATCTCCATGTTTGTGAAACCTATACTAAAGTACAATTCATCTAAATGCTCCACAGTGCTGATTTTAACAACTCTCCTTCACAACAGGTAACTTTACGACTTAATACTGATATTAATGACTTTATTCTCCGAAATAATAACTTTATTCTTTAAGATTTAAAAACGTTTTTTTTTCTAACTGTGCCCCTTATCCTCCGTTGTAGAGATAATTATACTAATAATTATCTTCAATCACGAAAAATAACCTCCACTTTACTTCGAGAGATATTTATATTCCATTGAGATTAAAGTAAATTAAAGATATTATTAAACTTTTAGATATAACCTACCAGTGTAAGTGTTTTTCTAAAGTAAACAGCATTTTAAATCTCCATGGTAACCTGTAACGATGTAAAAACTTTAAATCATTACAAGCCAAAGAGAGCGGTCATTTCTGAAGATCAAATCTGAAGAGAACAGCACGAAAAACTTAAGCGGCTCACGACCTTCCAACTTTTGACGGCTTCATCGTAAATAAAACCTCACCAGACGACTAAGGACTCGGACAAACACCTCTAACCAACACCTGAACAGAGAGGACAACATCTACGACATGGAGACCGTAAGATTTCATGACAATATTAGCATACAAACTTGTGTTACTGTCGAGACTTTCGTGATGGTTAAGCGATGCATCGACAAGGATTAAATGTATGCATGGATATTTACAGTGTTTATGACTTTAATGTGACAGGCATTATCAAAACTAGAAAAAATTGCATTTCCTTGCAGAAAATGCGTGGAAATGCTGAGTGCTGAAAGCTGAAAAAGCAATGCTAAACTGCTTTAAAAAAAAATGGAGGAAGGTTTAAATGTAAAATTGGTTAAAGAGCTGGAGAAAGAAAAGTAGAAGTTAGATGAAAGTGAAAATTGCTGAAGTACAAATAGTATGAATGTGCTTCATAAATTAAAATTGCATTCATGCTAAATAAGGCTAGAAAAACTGTCTGAAATTGCAAAAAAAAATTGTATAAGGAAGAAAATTACCTTAAAACACAGAAAAGTAAGAAGCGGCATAAGTTTAAGTTGAAGTACTAGAAGAAGTATGATAATAGGTAGTTGTACTAGTGATATTAGTAGTCATGTAAGCAGTAGAAGTAGTTTTAGAATAGAAGAAGTAGAAGTCAAAGCAGTAGAGCTCGTGGTAGAAGTAAAAAAAATATTAAGAGACGCAAGAGCAGTGGAGGTAGAAGTGAAGATACAAGTTAAAGTGATATAAGTAGTAATTGTAGTGGTAGAACTGGGATTTTGTTTGAAGAATTAAAACATACATAAATAATGAGAATGATTTTGAAATGGGAAACATTTTAAATAATTAGAAGTCCTAAAGTGTTAAACAGTTTTGAAGTATCAGAAAGGTTTGAGTCAGTTTCAATGAGTTTGGATTTGTCTGACGAATTTAATAATGCATGAATAATGTGAATAATTTTAAAGTGGGGAAAAGTTTAAGAAAAAAAATCCTGAGTACACCCAATAATGTCCTCAATGAGCTGAATTTTTGAAGCCCAGAATGGTTTCTGTAGCTCAAAGTTTGTGGGTGGAGATAGGTGGTGATGCAGAAACATATTAATTGTGTGTACATGCAGGTCTTTTAGACACAGACACACACGCACACACATTGTCAGACTGTTTGTGTGTGTGTCTCGTTAATGATTGCATCCTAAACAGCTGTGAGATCAAAGGCATTAACTGACCTACTGTTTGAATGAGAAGCTGCCTCTGGACTTCTTCACATAGCATGATTTCCTTATATCCCAGAATGAAAATAAGAACATCGTACGAATCCTCTGCCCTTCATGAACACAATGAATGTGGCCACAACAGTGAGTTAAAAGTCTAGACGTTCGGATGGTTATCTTAAAAGTGATGCATTGACATCACATGAAAGTCCTGCCCACCATGTCAAAGACTCTTCGTGCTTAAGAGCAGAAAAGCTCATGTTATTGTGAGAAATCTCTATAAGAGGTTTTTTATGTCTTCTGGGCTATTTAAAGCCGTCAGTCTGAAACTTATTTGACAGTTTCTTTTATACTAACCAATGCTTTCTTATTTCTTCTTTAAATCTGCACAGAAGAGTCAACCCATTACTGTAAAAGGAGAAGCTCCGAGAATTGCGTGCTCGAGCTTCAACAGGAGGTAAGAAACACGTTTAACTTATGATGACAGTAAAATGCAAACTCAAATTTATAGGGGTGTGATATTAAACAGTAGTTTAACAATGTGTCTCTAAAACAATCTTTTACCTCTTTTGCATTTAATATGCAGAGTGTAACATTTGAAACATGACAGAGACCTCCCAGCAGATTATAATCTGAGACAGTTCAGAGTTAAATCTGTGACAGTGCCAGCAAAAATCTAAAGATTTGCAAATTTAGGATTTGATTTTGGACTTACACTGTGTTGTGTTTCGTACTCTTTTTGTCACAAGACACATATATTTATGTGATACATTTCAGTGGTTATTTTAACTGAATAAGACAATTCAAAGGCTTCACATAAGACATTTACTGATCAATTAATCAGTCAGACAAAGGAAATGTGTAAAAACACTAAATGAAATAAAGTTTTATCATCGTTTGCTCTTACTGGGAGTCTCTAGTCAAAAACTAGTAAAGAAGAATAGCAGAGACTAGTAATGGGAGTGTGCTAAATAACCGTGCAAGATTAACGAAGACAGGGCCCATATCTTCTTAACGGTAAGACAATGTGTAAATTAGTGACTAATGTGAACGTCTAGCTCAAAAAGGATAGTCGAATTCGGGGCGTGGAAAGAAAAAGTGAGGAGTAAAACCCGGAGCCCAGGGTAATTGGCAAATAAATGATGAAAAGAGATAAAGAGTAAAAGAGATAAAGAAGAAAAGAGAAAAAGGCTGAAATGGCCCAGGAATAAAGAAGAGAAAAAGTTAAAGAGACAAAGTGAAAAAGAGAAAAAGGCTGAGATGGCCTAGGCTGAGATGGCCGAAAAAGAGAAAAAGTTAACTTAATGTTAGGGAAGTCGTGATTGGGCATAACAAACCGGTAAGGACAGTTTAAAGAAAAAAAAAAGGCCTATATACTATAGTAAGGAAACATTGAGCTCAGTGAGACGAGGTGTGCTGAAGTTTGAGTGTGTGAGAGAAGCTTCTGGTGTGTGTGTGAAAGGAGTGTGTGTATGGGTGCTGAGTGTGAGTGTAAAAGAGTCTGTGTGTAGTAAGTGGTGTGTGCACAAAGTTGGGGAATGGTCTAGCATAGGTATAAGTGATTAACGTATGATAAAGTGATAAATGATGTCTTATTAAATATATAATGATATGATATAAGAAATTAACATTTAAGGGAAGAGATACTGTTGCCTTTGTAGTATTAAAAACATATGAGCCCTGTTTTTCTTTGTACAGGGACGTTAATAGAATAAGTAACTGCTATGAGCCTCTCAGGATAAAGAGGACGTTTGTACATCTAATAGTAAGAAATGAGCCCCTTATTAGATGAGGAGGACTTTGGATGGTGAAAACATCCTCAATTAAAATGGCAATTAAAGAAGTGTACACAAGCACATTTGTGTTCGTACAGATACAGGAAAAAAACAGAGTAAGAGAGTGGGGTAAAAAGGAATGATTTGCTAACTGATGAGTGTGGTTTTCCTCTGTGTGTGTGTGAATATTTAAAGTGAATGGTCACTTGCTGATGATCATGTTTAGAGGGAAGTCCTAGTTAAAAATTAGGAGAATCCAGGGAGCTTTTCCTCCCCCTTTCTTTCTCTTCTTACAGGCCTGAGAACAGAAAGAAAGCTAAAAAATCTAGTTTAACTATCCTAGTTGTGTGAAAATTTTAAATGGTATACCATGGTAAAGGGGAATGGTGTATAATAAATTTTAGTAGTTAGATAGTAGAAGAAATCTTTAAATAGTAGTAGTAAACGTTTTAAATTGTATTGAATGAAGTGATTGTAATGTACTAAACATTTGATTTGTTCTTTGTCCCTAACTCTGATGCATGAGAGGGGAGAGGAGAATGAAAAGCATCTGACGCTGGAGCGCCCATAAGACAGATAAGAAGATAATTGGCTGTGCTGCAACAAGAGGGGGCTTGCGGATGAGAGGCTCACCAGGTCCTGCTCCCATTTGACAGGCCAGTAGAGTTTTATCTACAAACTCTTCTCCTATGCATCTGCTGCTACTTAGTTGTACATACACACACTTATAGTGGGAACACATTTAGTTGGGTGTATACATTTGTTAGTGCTAGACAATAAGAGCAGTAGTTTTGTTGGTAAAAAGAAAGGCTTGGCAATAGACTGACCAGTTGAAAGGGCTGATTAAGTACCGGATTATTGTTGAATTAAAAGAGCATTTCCAAGAGGTCTAAATTTTGCTGAAGCTTGTGGATGTGATTTGTCATTGCTGCTTGGTAAAATCACACAAATTGATCTTTTTTGGGTGTTGATAAGTTTTAGGTCTCAGGGGAGGCTTCATGAGAAGCACTAGGGGACAATCGCGCCCACCCAGAGGACCTGTAAACCCTGATAGGGGGCCAGAACCTGGATTTTAGGGGTGCCCAGAAGACCTAAAAGGGGGGTGTCAGCTGGTAATGTTAGGGCCAGAACAAGAGCCAACCATTGAGGTGAAAGTTAATGATAAACCACTGACAGTTATGGCAGATTGCGGAGCTGCTTTCACCTGTGTTAGGCCCAAAGATGCTATACATCTCCCCATGTCTGGCCAATTGGTACGGACAATAGGTTTTGAGGGTGTGAAACAGCTGATACCTCTTACAGAACCCATTGAGCTCTGCTATAAAAATCAAAAGACCACAATACCGATACTAGTGTCAGAACAAACACCTATTGCACTTTTGGGCAGAGATGCGTTGTGTAGGTTGAAATGCACAATACGATGCACACCAGACGGCTGTCTGGTGGATGTACCAAGTGATAGTTGGCAACAACTATTTATGAAAACAGAGACTGAAGCATCTGCAGTGTTTTGGATTGAGAACCTTAGCCAGGAGTTGCTAGAGCCAGCAAAGCTGTGGGAGAAATTTATTGTGGCCAATATGAGTGAGGTGAAATTACCTGAGTATCCATACCACTGTACATTGAAGTATTTTAAAGATGCTACACAGACCAACTCAGCAGACTGGTTGAAGCAGCAACCAAAACAAGTCCAGCTTAGCTCCAGTTCAATAATTTTGGGGCCACAAGGAGCAGCTATGAAGATAGAGAGTAATGAATATCTTGAAAAAGAACATGACATCGAGGAAAGCATTCCTCACGTGACTTTGATGGTAGCTGAGACCTATGAACAGAAGCATATAGGCTCAATGATGGTAGAAGCAGAGAAAGCTATTTTTACACAAGTTAAGGAAAATCCTGCTATTTGGGTGAGTGAGGATCAGCAGTTCATAAGGATTGTTATCTCTGCTCACGGACAGGGTCAGCCACAAGCTGTACAGATGACACATGAGTCAATTTGCAGTGCTAAACTTGACTCAGACGCTATAAAAAAGACATGCTACAACACGTGCCAGAACATCTGTGGTCTCGATATAGCACTGATATTGGACTGGTAAAATCAGCTCAACCAGTAAAAGTTGAACTTCGACCAGGCACCAAGCCTCCTTGGAAGAATCAATATCCATTGAAAAAGGAGGCAATACAAGGTATTGGATCTCAAATTGAAGGATTGGTACAAGCAGGTGTGTTAGGGATAACTCAGAACCCTCAAAGCAATACACCGCTGTTACCTTTGCAGAAACCAGATGGCACATACCGCCTGGTACATGATTTGAGAGCAGTAAATGGCGTGGTGGTAGATTTTCCAGCTGATGTACCAGACCCCCACACTTTATTAGCCCAAATCCCGCCAGATGATACTCATTTTACAGTGTTGGACCTGTGTGGAGCATATTTCAGTGTTCCTTTGAGCACAGAGAGTGGAGAGTTATTTGGATTTACTTATGAAGGGCAGTCCTATATGTACAAGAGGTTACCACAAGGATTCAAACATAGTCCTCACATTTTCAATAAAGTGTTGAAAGAGGATTTGAAAGGATTGGAACAAATGTTGAACAGCACTGTGGTGCAGTATGTTGATGACATTATTATCTGTTCACCGGATAAAGAAACATGTCACAAAGATTCAATAAAATTACTGCAAATTTTGGCTGAAAAAGGACACAAGGCATCGCAGAAGAAGTTGCAATATTGTCGGGATAAGGTAGTGTACCTGGGTCAGACAATAACTAAAGGATACAGAAGCATTTCGGACAGTCATTTAGAAGCCATTCGAAAGACTCCCAAGCCAAGAACAGTCAGAGAAATGATGACATTTCTAGGGATTGCTGGGTATTCATCAGCATGGATAGAGGACTATGCCAGTCTGACAGGGCCACTGAGAGCTATGATTAAAGAGACAGGAAGTGCACAACTTCATTGTAATCTCATGTGGACACAGGAGGGTCTAATAGCCTTTGAAACTATCAAACAAAGACTACAAGAAGCCCCAGCACTAGCACTCCCAGACTACTCCAAGAATTTTCTGTTGTATCTACCTCAACTGGGGGTAAATATGCCTGTGCAGTTCTTTGTCAGCCAACAGGAACAGGAACAAGCCCTCAACCCATTTCTTATTATTCGACTGCATTTTCAGAAGTAGAGTTAGGGATGCCTTTATGTTATAGAGCAATGGTGGGAGTTCATCTCATGTATGACAAGGCATCATCTGTGACAATGGGTTACCCAGTGACAATTCTTACACATCATAGTCTCAGAAATCTTCTGAATTATGGTAAATTTACATTGACTATGCCTAGACTCAGAAGTTATCATAGACTGGTAGAGCAAGAGGATGTCACCTTGGTGAAGTGTAACACAATAAATCCAGCTGAGAATCTGCCAACTCCAGAAGATGGGGAGCCACATGATTGTGTGAAGGAATCAGAGAGATATTCAAAACTACGGTCAGACTTGCAAGCCCTTCCACTTCAGAAAGCAGATGTAGAGTATTGGACTGATGGGTCGTGTTATCGGATTGGAGACAAATTGAGCGCTGGCTATGCAGTTGTAAAAGCTGAAGGAGATGGATTTGTTGTCGAAAAGGCAAAAACAGTGCAACAACCAGCATCTGCACAGCTGGCTGAACTTGTAGGACTAACCAAAGCATGTCTTTTGGCAGAAGACAAACGAGTGACAATTTACACAAACTCTGCCTATACACATAATGTTTGTCACTTGTTCGGAGCACTGTGGAAAAATCGGGGATTTAAGAAAACAGATGGGTCTCCTATACAGCATCATGCCCAGATAACTAAATTGCTGCATGCAATGATGAAGCCGAAAGAAATAGCAATAGCTAAGTGTGCAGCACATAAAGGGGACATGTCAAGAGTAAGGGAGGAGGAGGAGGAGGAGGAGGAAGAACAGCAGCAGCAGGTGGTCGGGGGGGAGGAGAAGGAGGGAGAGGACGAAGACGACCGCGAGGAGGAGGACCAGGGGGAGCCGGAGCCGGAGCCGGTGCCGGAGACGCGGGAGGGGACAGGACGTGGAGACGAGCCGGCAACACGGGGTCGGAGACGAAACCGCGTTCAGCGGGAGGACCAGCCCTTCCTGGACACCCAGCGGGCTGGTTTTCTGATGTTGGAGAGGGAGCTGGGGTCGATGGGGACGCGGCTTGGGTCGCTGGAGGCCCAGGTAAAGGCTCTCCAGGAGGTCCTCCAGGCCAGCCTGCTCCCCTTAGCCGCTGGCGTTGCGACACTGCAGCGGCTGGTCCAGGTAGCCGAAAGGCTGCTGCCACCAGCAGAATCATCCGCCCCCGCCTGTCCCAGGTGGCCGCTGAGGCCGCGCACAAGAGGGGGCGGCCCCCTGGGTTGACTGACCGACTGCAGCGTCCAGACCCAAGAGGAGGAGGAGGAGGAGGAAGAAGAAGAAGGGGGGTTGGGAGGGGAGAAACACAATAAAAACACTTGTTAATGCAATCATGTTTGACTATTTATTGGATGTTTTAATGTGGATAATTACAAAAAGTGTATAAATGAATGAAAGCAAATACTCACACTTAAGGGCAGAGCTGTGCTGCGAGGCGGTCCCTCCTCACCTGCGCGCTCTGCTGCTCTCCCTGCTGACATGGCACATGCAATTCGGCCTCTCTCTGTCTAAAGTCCAGTAATGTGTCCTCGGCGAGGTCGTAGTGGCATCCATGGCGTATAGCTATGTTGTGTAAAACACAACATGCCACAAAGAATGCACCGACACTCTGCGGGCTGTATGTTAATGAACCACCTGACCGGTCCAGACATCTGAAACGCATTTTGAGGATTCCAAAAGTACGTTCAATGACTGACCTAGCACTGCTGAAGACACTGTTAAAAACACATTGCTGTCTTGTTGAAGGTGTAATGTATGGCGTCATCAACCACGTTTTCAGTGGATAGCCGTTATCACCTAGCAGCCACCCATCCAGAGGGGTGTCCCCCTGAAAGACTGTAGGGATGATAGAATTCGCCAGGATGAATGAATCATGTGCAGACCCGGGGTAATTAGCGTACACGTTTGTCACCAGGCAATTTGAGTCACAAATCACCTGGATATTAATGGAGTGGACTCCCTTACGATTCACATAAATGAGGGCTTGGGTCTCTGGTGCGCGCAACTGCACATGTGTGCAGTCAATTGCTCCAAGGACCCCAGGGAATCCATATTTCAACAAGAACCCTCGCTTCGTTTCCAGCTGGCTTGCAGGTGATGATGGGAAAATGATGTGCTCATTTGCGTGTCGGACTAGACTGGTGGACACTGCATGTATGGCCAAACTGACAGCGGCCTGACTTATCCCTACCACCGAAGCCACGGTATGCTGGAAAGACCCGGTGGCGAAGAAAGTCAGAGCCGCTGTCACCCTCACAGCAACTGGGAGAGCGCATGGGCCACCGGGGTCCGCATCTGAGGCCACAATCCGTGTGATCGCGTGGACCACCTCACGAGGCAGGTGTAATTTGGTCCTGTGTCAAGGAAAATAGTAGATTGTTAAAAGGCAGTTGTATTGAACACGGTATTGGAGGCGTTATCCATGTGGCCCACCTGCATTCCTGCTCTGTTAAGGTTAAATATGATGCCCTGTGATGAATCACCCTCTCTCTGTAATTTCTCCTCCTCCTCCTCCACCTCCTTGCAATTATGTACTCCATCTTTGTAGATAATGTTAAGCATGGAAATTATTAAATTTGTAGCTGTGAGATCACATGCTGCATGTAAATCTTGAGAACAACGGTCATAACTTACTTTGCTTCAGTGTGCGTTGATTCTTTTCTCAGTGTTCTGAGATGACATGCCAAATATATACTCTCTCTGTGATGACGAAGCTGTTTGTGGTTGGTAGAGAGACGTGAAGTAGTTAGTTTGCATCAGAGTTTCAGCTGTGTTAGTCGGTCAGGTGGAGTGGCAATTAGGTGTGCCAAACGCGCTCCTATAGATATACATCAAAATGTACTGTAGATCTAAATGTATGTGCTGCATATATTTAAATCCCATATGACAAAGATGAGTTGTGCGCACAGATCACACCATAAATTCCAAAAATGGCATTAAAATTGGAACCATCTGTGCGTAAATGACGTATCGCGCTCCGTGGCCTGGCTCTTTCTTTCATAGATGTTGGCATATAAAATAAATTTGGCTCACAAAACTGAATATTATAATATCCGTATGTCGGCTTAAAGTAGATCACGCATCTGAGCACTGAAACAAATCATCTGTTCAGTCGCAGCAGCAGCAAGACGGACAGAGTACACGGAGACGTGTCCAGGTCGAGCTGCGCGAGAAATAAGAGGAAGAGGAAGAAAGAAAAGGAGGGAGACGAATTACATATCTTGTTAACTTCATCATGTGTGTTTATTTACTAGATATTTAATTTAATTTGATGCGGTTTCAGCTGTGTTGATTCGGTCAGGTTGTGTGTCCAAACGCGTGCCAAACGCGCTCATCAGATCAGATATAGATCAGAATATATCTATATAGATCTAAATATATGTGCTGACTCAGATTAATAGTTGATGATGATTACTTATTGCACTGAAATGTGCCTGACACTGTGGAAACCTGCCGGCGAGGCATCAGTGACGTATGTCGATACGCCGCCGGTCTACCAAAATACTACAAGACCAGCTGCGTTCCGCCTTGCGCTGAAAGCTGACCAGGTTTGAATCGGCGAGCTTTCAGCGCACTTTACACGCCGTTGGCGAGCACAAAAATGTCACTGCGCCAGCTGATTCTGTCAACACCTCCCCCTGCCACACCACCACGCCCAGCTTGGCGGATCTCGGCTCGCCTCCGTGCGGCTCATGCCACGAAAATACCAAATTGGCCTTACGCTGGGCTCCGCCAGACGAAAATACAACTGCGCGGGGCTCGCCGCCCTCCGCCGCCTCACCGGCGCGAACGAAAATAGAGCCCATAGTCTCAATGCAAGAAGCGGCCTCTGAAATAGACAAACAGTTATGGCGTGACCGAGGTGCAACACAGGATACCACAGGATTGTGGAGGAATCATGAAGGGCTGATGGTGGCACCTCCAGACCTACTTGGATTATTGATTCAAGAGGCACATGGGTTAGCACATGTTGCAAGGGGGGAAGTTAAAAGAAACATCATAAAGGAGTAGGTTTCTGGACACCACATTTGCGTGAGCAAATTGATTTATCATAAGTAGATGTACAATGTGTCTAAAAAATAATGTTCAAAGGTGTAACAGTTGAAGCTTGTTCAACCAAGTGGAAACATGCTCAGTATGTTGCCAAGTTCTTGTGTAGGGAGGTCATAAGCAGATGGGGACTTTCAGAGTAAATATTCTAAGATAATGGAGAAGAGTGTGTGGATAAAACAGTGAAACTGATTTGAAAAAACTAAGAACTGAACAATGTTTGGGAGCTGTGTACCATCCGCAAAGCCAAGGTATCTGTGAAAAAATGAATGGGGTGATGAAAAACCCGCTGGGTAAGATTGGCCAGTACAGGTTTACATTTTGATGTCATGAAGGGGGAGTATTACGTAGGGGGAAATAGGATAAACATGTCAAACAAACAAAAATGTATGTTTTTGGCAAGATACTGCTTAATTTTTTCATTCTCAGGACAGCAGTTGGGGAGACCAGCGAAAGAAAGGTGGTTCTCCAGAGATCTAAACAGCCTTAATGGACCCACACCTCCCAACAAGACAATCAAACATGGACAATGTAAACACAACTGAAACCTGACAGAAGATGTGAACAAGAACATTGCATTGGATACCCAAACAGAGAACACCCATGGACAAGAACACTACACAAGCAGCCAAAGATGTTAAGAAAAAAAAAAAAAAAAAAAATTATATATATATATATATATATATATATATATATATATATATATATATATATATATATATATATATATATATATATATATATATATGTATATTATTCTTTTTAATCATAGAGTTTGTTAATGTATAATCTGTGCTATGAATGTCAATTTATCTTTCTGTGTTGTATTTTAATGTTCATGTCAACACCAAACAGCATAGGAAGAATGAAAACTATGAAAGGGGGTTTGGTGATTCATAGCATAAGTTGTAAAGTGAATGTATTGGGATCTCAGGTGTTTTCTTTGTTTTCTCGTTGTAGGATCAGTGGTGTTGGGCAGGGATAGGTCCACTGGAAGTTCGATGGGATGACCAGCTTGACTGTGGATAATTTTAAATTTGTTTCTAAGATTTCCAAGAATATTTGCGCCAAACATGATTTCCACATAAAGTCTAACCCTTACCTTTCAATTGGATTGGAGTACAATAGGTGGTCGCCTAGGGCAGAGGGACCGTGAGTGACTTTTTCCTGTCTAGAGTGTTTGATGGATAATAATGGAAAGACAGCTGCCTGACAGGTTTTCGCCCTCACACTCCAAAATTTTAGCAATAAATAGAAACTGCATAAATTGAAATTGTAATTATGTCTTTTCCTTTTTCGAGACTCTGTGGAGTCTCGAAGGGGGGAAATATGTGGTATCTGGAGTACGGCATCAACATACCAGGCCGAGGTATTTCCCAAAGTTACATGAACTAATCAAAGTGTGGATTGTAGACACTGGGTCACCTGGCTGTTGAGTGCTTGTAGAGCACAGGTCACAGTTCACGATTCCAGACTAGATAAACAACAAACAAACAGATGATAACGAAAAGATAGCTGGGGAACAAAGAGAGGATGACCCTATATAACAGGATTACAAACTGTGGTCAGGGAGAGCTGGACATCATTGGCAGTCCTCTCCCAGCAACTGCAGTGCTGTTCTGATACTGATTTTGTCTTTATAATAAACTCCTCTTATACAAGCAAGCCAGTGTCACGAAGCCTCCTTCTGCATCTACACATCGAGGACAGCCCAGACACAACATAAACTAAAGCCCTATGCTATTGCTATTAACAGCTGTATTGACGGATTTAGCCTCTGTACAGCCATTTCCAGCCATTTCCCCCTCCACAAAAGCAGCATTTCTCATATATCTCAAATATAAGTTCTGATACTCATGACAGCTCATGTACCAAAGGATTAAGTATCTCCATGTTTGTGAAACCTATACTAAAGTACAATTCATCTAAATGCTCCACAGTGCTGATTTTAACAACTCTCCTTCACAACAGGTAACTTTACGACTTAATACTGATATTAATGACTTTATTCTGTTTTTTTTCTAATTGTGCCCCTTATACTCCGTTGTATTTAAGAGATAATTACACTAATAATTATCTTCAATCACCCCCCCCCCCAAGGAAATCTCACTCTAAGCTTAGTTCAACCTTGAGAGCCCTGTTAACATTTTAAATAAAGTTTAGAACTTAAATTAGTCCTTGAGCCGGACCAGATGTCGGTACCACTTGGGTGGGCAAAACCTTACATATACTAAATTGTTTTTAGGGTCAATATAAGTAAATTAAAATATGATAGACTTTTCATAGGGGTAGCTTTTTATATTTTTTCTCATTTTGTTATTTTCCTCAATAGGCGAATTTTTGTTAACTCCAAAAGCAACACAGAAAGTCAAAAGCACATTAAAAGTCATACTCTATTTGGGTCACACTGCTCTTTTCTATAAATGAATCAAACCTGTGTCTAATTAAATTAGTTGATGAAGTGGGAGTGGCCCAATTTGATGGTGGAGCAGTTCTTTCAGGTATCATAGCACTTGAGCCAAGAAACAAAATTTCACATATCAGTACCACCTGGGTGGGCAAATTCTAGTTGCGATTTTTTTGTTGCTATACATCCCTACAATAAGTTTTTATATGATAGACCTTGGTAACTGGTAGCTTTATTGTAGTTATCACTCATTGAAGTAATAGAGTGCAGCTGTTCAAAAACGAAAAATCGCCTTCCTTCAAAATTAACTTTCTTTCATTTTAACCTCTCATTTAGGTGTGTTTGAACTATTGACTAGCCATAGAGACTTGTAATAACCCCCTAAGTAGTATTTCAAGTAATTTATCTAATACAGGTGTGTATATATAAGCTTCAATTAGCCAATTGTCAGGTCTAAATCAAGGTCTAAATTAAGGATATTTTTTTACTTAGAAGTAGAAGTAAAATAAATGCAGACTAATAGCATTATAATAACACAACTTTAATTTGACACTGACATATTTTAAATGCAGGCACTCATACAATCATCCTGGCTGGTGCAGGGCAAGAAGACATTAGCAACAAAATAAGATCTACTGATGTATTTACTCTATACAATCATCTGAGAAAAACTCCATTCCTCCACCAAGAACTTGATGAGACTGGCTTTGTTGGCAGGGCTGCAGAGAAGCTTCCTCCACTGCTGAATATTGTGGACAGAAACAATGTTTCTGAACTGGATCCCCATGTCTGCACCTCTGTTAAGTCTTTCTGAATTTTTGATTGACATGTCCTTGTAAACGTCAAAGACAACATCAATCTTTTCACTATCACCACCTTCATCCAGGACCTTGGCTAAAGTTGAGTCCGGCCAGCTTCCACCATGTCAGGATTGCGTATTAATGCAACCGATTCGTGCCAACTACCAGGCTGCTATCTGGAGACGGTCTCTTCATACCAAGCCATCTGTACCAAGCCCCAAGGACCATGGGTGGACCATAAATGATGAAGGGCAGCTGGAAATACAGTGGATGCGTGGTTCCCCAGCACCAGATGCGGTCTTGCAGTTGCTATCCTGCAAGTGTGTGAGGACATGCAAACCACCAGACTGCACCTGTCTCAGCAATGGGCTGAGGTGCACAAACCAGTGCAAATTACAAACTTGTGCCAACCAATACAGTGAGGAAGAGCCCCTTGCACACCTGGCAGACTCAGATGTAGAAGAAGATACAGATACTGATGTCGATTACTGGTGTTGATTAATAAATGATGACCAAAAGGAGCTATGTTAACAGACCCACTGTGATTCAGTGACAGTATTATGTACTAAGCCAAAACTTGACAGTCATATTTGCTGTCACTGTTTCTTATGGAAAGAATAGGACTTTGAATAGGAATTTGAGTTTTTCTCAGATGATTGTATAGAGTGTATACATCAGTAGATCTTATTTTGTTGCTAATGTCTTCTTGCCCTGCACCAGCCAGGATGATTGTATATTGAATTCCTACATTGAAAATATGTCAGTGTCATATTAAAGTTGTGTTATTATAATGCTATTAGTCTGCATTTACTTTACTTCTACTTCTAAGTAAAAAAATATCCTTAATTTAGACCTCGATTTAGACCTGACAATTGGCTAATTGAAGCTTATATATACACACTTGTATTAGATAAATTACTTGAAATACTACTTAGGGGGTTATTACAAGTCTCCTTGGCTAGCCAATAGTTCAAACACACCTAAATGAGAGGTTAAAATGAAAGAAAGTTAATTTTGAAGGAAGGCGATTTTTCATTTTTGAACAGCTGCACTCTATTACTTCAATGAGTGATAACTACAATAAAGCTACCAGTTACCAAGGTCTATCATATAAAAACTTATTGTAGGGATGTATAGCAACAAAAAAATCACAACTAGAATTTGCCCACCCAGGTGGTACCGATATGGGAAATTTTGGTTCTTGGCTCAAGGACTAAATAACTGTGGATAGTGCAGAGGCCTTTCAACAAAATGTTTCATACCTCAGTCCTTCTCTTATTTGGATTCTGTAATAGTGGCCTTAGAAAAAATGATGAGCATACATTTTACGATAAATGGCATACTCCACGGTCAGAGCTTAGCCATGATTCATGAAAGAGATTAGTTTTACTGATAAATTAATGAGTAAATTGTGAATTCGAGTAAAAGTTATCGTGATTTTAAACCACAGACTGTATATACTATGGACAACTTGGTTCCGCCTCCCGCCTGTATACCTTAAAGCCAAAAAGCTCCCTGTGTTTCCGGGATTTTTCTTCATTCCTGAAACCAGCGCTGCGCAGTAACGTTGCGCGCCTTCGCCGAGAGTCGCCGTGATGACGCTCGGCTCAAACAGCGTATCCCCCGGGTGAGCTACGCAATCCCTGAACAACAATAGGCTGTATCAGGTGTCAATCATAGAAAATATGAACCCCCTAATAACTTTTAAAAACGGAGCTTCACAGAAAAAAAGAGGACTTGAGCACAAACCAGTCTTACAATAACTACATGTCAACATTGCAAGCAGGGGGGAGAAAAATTTATGTTCTGTGAAATAAATTTCTAAAGTTTGTCCACAGCCCTATAAGCTTTGGTGGCGGAGGCAGGATTTATGACCTATACTGCAGCCCATCAACAGAGGGTGCTGTTCTCGGAGTGGCTTCACCCAGCAAGGAGGCAGACGCTGTCCATTCAATATAGTCTGTAGAGTTTAAACCTGTTTCACAAATAAACATAGGGGGCAGTAGCGCACTAAGAGACCGCGTGTGGTCTGCAGAACATAAAAACGTCGAAGAAGACAGTGACGCACTTCCTGTGATCCAGGCGCCGGTGTTTCATGTTGGTGTTCTTGGACTATGAAGAAGACAGACGACAACCAACAATCCTAACAGACGACATCGTTTCTGACAAGCCAGCCAAAGAGATTATTCTCACAGGGGACGCAGTCGAAAACTCAGTGCATTTAAGAGTTAAGCTAACAACTTTTTCTCAGGTCGAGGAGCTTCTGAAAATACAAATATACAACCATGGCTAAAGTTCAGGTGTTAAACGTCGCTGTGTTGGACAACCCGAGCCCGTTTGGAAATCCTTTTCAGTTCGAAATCACATTTGAGTGCATGGAGGACTTGCCTGAAGGTAGGTAATGTGACAGCTGTCGTGCATATTTGCAGTATTTTTGCTGTCGAATACTTGCTTTCCTTCTGGTCCTTTCTGCGTCAACAGCAATAACTTATAACTTGTATGTTCATATGTTAAGGCAATCTTACCCTTTTAAACTTAAGTGGGTTCAATTGTGCTATTATTATGCTTTACTTGTGAAATATTTCCCTAGACATGGAGTTAAAAATTGGCGCTGGCGCGTTCGTGTTCAGCGCCCCGCCTCCTCTGTGTAGTGATTGGTTCGAGGTGGCTTTCCTGAGGAGTTGATTGGTTCTTAAGGCTTTGTTACTGTAGCAACCGACAACTCAATGAGTTGCCGCGAACTGAAGGGAAAGACAAAAGGGAAGCGTACAGTCCACGGGAGGCAGTCACAGACATGCAGAGGTTAACGAAAATGTAGAGGTGCAGACTGATTAAACAATATCATACTTAAGTTAATTAATTGTATAAAATTCAGCATTGAATCGTACTACTGGGAGTATTCCCCACATTTCTGCTGGCTAATATGTGATGATGATATCAAGATGAGAAAATACAAAATGTGTCAGTCTTACCTTGATCTATCATCTGTGAAAATGATAGGGGTAAAATTGCAGGGTAAGTCATGATTTTATACTCAACACTGAAGGACACCCCTAGTGTGAACTGAATTCACAGATGTGTCATTTTGCCAAGATTTTTCCTCGTGTGTTTGTTAGCTTTATAGACAGGATTATACTCTCTAACTCTCACTCCTGTGTGTGTGCATGTGTGTGAATCCAGATCTTGAGTGGAAGATCATTTATGTAGGTTCAGCTGAGAGTGAAGAGTACGACCAGGTGCTGGATTCTGTCCTTGTCGGCCCAGTGCCAGCAGGCAGACACATGTTTGTGTTTCAGGTAAGTAAGCTTTGGTCACGTGCTACCTGTCACCCTCTTTTGAAATACCACTAGAATACAGATCAACACTAGGGTTAATGCTCAAGGAACCAAATTTATATGTATTTTAATTACCTTGTACATCTTGCTTTGTGCTGCACCAACAGAATAGATAATGTGGTTAACTGTAGTTTCATTTCTCACTCTTTGTGTCTCTGGCTCAGGCTGATGCTCCTCACACAGGACTGATTCCAGAGAGTGATGCTGTAGGAGTGACTGTGGTCCTTATAACATGCACCTACCGTGGGCAGGAGTTTATTCGCATTGGTTACTATGTCAACAATGAATACACAGACCCTGAGCTACGAGAAAACCCACCTCTTAAACCAGACTACACGCAGGTAACTCAAACATACCTCAAAAATCTGTGTAAAGCACAACACGTGGGTCAAGCTTCAGAGAAGACTCTATTGATGGGTATGGTTTTCAACTGCCCTCTGGTGTTCAATGTGTTTATGGTCAACAGTCTCCATAGCCTCAGAAAAGAACCATGTCATTAAAGTTAAGCTTGTGTTCCTTTAAGCTGCTTTTCTGTGTGCACTCTGGAAAATGTATGGAAAATATTATGTGCTCTGACCCCAAAGTGGACCTGACTGATGTTCACACATACACCCTCTCAACATGAAGGCCACTTGGACGAGGAGGGTGGGGCTTACGGGTTGCTAGACGGCTGATCATGACTCCAGACATAAACACTGATCCTTTAATGTTACTCCTATGTGTTTTAGTTCACTTGACCTCTTCCTCTCTGTGGTTTCCCCCTCAACCCCTGGCAAATGTGTCAGTAAAAACTCACTACCATGTTCTTGTCAATAATCACTGTTCCCTCTGATCACCTGTAAAGCATCTGTCAAACGCTGCCTCATTCATGTTGCTTAGTGACTAAGGGAGGAGAGAGAGTCTCAAAGTTTATTAATCACTGATGGCCATGTTGTTTTGAAAAATGCTGGATCAGAGTTGTCTCTGGCAAAAAAAGAAAGGCAAGTTTGTAAAGGTGTGTTTGGACACAAGATCCAGACTGGGAGTATGATGCTGAATTTGACCTTAAAGGAATATTCCAGGGTAAAATTTAATTCGGGTCAAACACACTGTAACACCAAGTGAGACACCCCCTTGAGAGATGAATGTTGCCGACTGCTTGCTTCTCTAGTTATACCAACTTTAGTAACAACCACGTGATAGTAATACGCAGAAGTCTACGTCTCCTCGCGCAAACCTCAACCAAAAAGCCACTTTATAGTCACAAATAATGCTCAGAACAGCACCGAACTTCATCAACAGTACATATAGTGTTCCAGCCACAGCACTAGGCACCAAACATATTTCTAGCTTTGCCTAATTTCTTTAGCAAATAGACTAAACACAACTCACCCACTCTCTTCCAGCAGCGGCTTGTTTGTAGGTAGAACTCGGACGAGTCCATTACTGAAGCAGCTCAAGGACATGTTTGATCATTCCTTTATCATTTCCTTGAAGTAATAACCCCCTAATTAATCATTTTGCACTTCTTAAAGAAATCAGGCAAAGCTAAAAAGATGTTTGGTGGCTAGTGCTATGGCTGGGACCCTATATGTACGGTTGATGAAGTTGGGTCCTGTTCTGAGCATTGGGGGGGTCTAACTCGGTGTTACCCTACAGCAAACTCAAACTAACCAATGGGGTCTTTTTTTCAATTTCTGACTCCCATGCCTTGTTATCACTAAACACAAAAGTAGCTGAAATAAGTATAAATAAGTATGTCAAGTCCAACAAAGCAATATGATAAGGTGGAAAAATATTCCACAGCTATTGCAATAATCGCACTATATCTGGGTCACAAATTATGGGCTGCATCCTTCAAAGTATACAGCCTACAAAGGATGTGTCCTTGGTAAGCTTTATTATATTTTTCGTCTTTGAAAACTGCTAAGGCTGAAATGTCTATAGAGGATTTACTGTTTGCATGGGCTGCGGTTTCCACTCCTTATGCATCATGTGAGCGCTGTTCCTGTCACCTAGTAAGAAGTTGCGAGCTAGCTTGCTGACAATGTCAAGTTTCAAGGCTTTACATGTTTGTTTGCTAGCTACTGGTTGAAATTAGATGTAAACCTTTTAAAAATGTAGTACTCTGCAGTTTAGGAGTTTACCATCTCATTGTAATTTGAAGCGCAATAAATATTCGTATAGGTTTGGCCACAAAAGATGAGCGTATTGTTTCTGGTGGATCAGGTAGGGGGAGAACACATTGGTCAGTCTCAGTTTAAAGAACTTTTTAATTTAGACTGTCCTGTCCTGCAGTCAAAGAATGCTACCCCAGACACAGCTTGGATTAAAATGTATTGAGCTGCCATTAACAAGTCAGTTTTTTGAGCTCCCTTTTTGGTGACTACCTTTGATTTTACTTGTATTTCTATTTCCCAATTCCAACCTCAGCATTATCAATTCAACTAAATTGTATTTTTTTGTGTGTGATTTAGTCCCAAAGTCACATTTTTCTCTCAGCTATCAGCAGTCCAAGGGCTTGGGCTAAAGTCTGGGTTAATCCAAATAGCTTAACTCTAAGTAAACCCTGTTTTCATAAGCCAGGTTGATGGATAAGTCCCTCAGTGCAATAAATTGGTCCATTTAACTAATGATATTGACATCTACACCACTGCATAATTTTTCAGCTTTCCACTAACACTTATGTCTTTCCCTCAGCTCCAGAGAAATATCTTGGCCTCCAACCCCCGTGTGACCCGCTTCCATATCAACTGGGATGGTTTAGCAGACAAGGTGGAGGACAGCGAGAACGTAGACCCGTCCCCCAACATCAGTGGTATGCTCCCCCCAGCCTGTATACCAGGAAAGATGCCGGTGCTTGGACTGATGCCAGACAATTCCATGGACTGCATGTAAGGGTCAACAGATAGAGAAACTGTATAAAAGGCTCTTTAGACATCACAAACACACATTTGGACAAGGAGGCCATGTAACCAGTCAATGTAGATATTTACAGAAAACAGGGACTTTATTTTTATACAAAGTATTCAGACGAGAGGGATCTGTTATGAACCCTCTCTGTGTCACTCTTTCTTTCAACATTCAGAGATCTGTGCTACCAACTTTGCCTTATTTAACTGTTCTTCTGTTTTTGATCAGGATCAGCAGATCATTCACTGCTGTGGGTACAGCAGTTCAGTTTGTCCTCTTAAGCATAGATCAAAGCTACAGGTGGTGCTCTGCCAGTGAGAGTAGATTCAACACTTGCTGCCAATAGTTAAGCATTTGATACTTCTGAAGGTTTGTCTGGTTTGACACTTACTTAAAGTTCTTGGGTTACCTCCAAAAACTAACCATAGCTCGTGAAACATGAGCATTGTTCAGGTTCCTATGAAAAGAAGCGGCTGTTAGCCTGATCACCAGCTCTACCTTATACTTGCATGTTGTGCTCGTCCTGACAACTCAACCAGTCGACTTCTGTAAACAGGACCTGACTGATTAAAATGTTCCATCATAAATGGGTCTGTACTTGTAACACATGTAAAATAAAAAGGGGGGATTAATGCCATACTGCAGTCAATTTGTTTAGATAATGTAAGCATGTAAATAATGTCTTCCTAAGCGCTTATTTTGTGTTACGATTGGAAGACATATTCTTTTGTACGTACTCTATATTCTCTACTTCACTATTTGTAATGACAGTGATGTGGTTAATAAAGTTTGCTTTGTTGATTTTGTGATGCTCTCATTCATTTTCATTACACAGACATTTTCCACCTTGACTAGTGAGGAGGATGGAGGAACAGCAAAAGCTCAGCGAGACTGTGTGTGGGTGTGCACATAGGCCCACTCTTCCCCTTCCCTTTTTTTTCCATTTTCATTCATAAAATTCAGCAGTATCACTCTGCCATTTTCACTCCAGTCTCATGTTGCTAGGCAACTGCAGCACAAGAGGGAGGGGGATTGTCTGCTATCACCCATTTTAGAGACTTACTCCTCCATCCATCTGTTAGCTCAGTCTGCTCCTCACATGTCTGCAGTGTTTAGAAAGGCTTGCTGGCATGTAAAATCTACACAGTCCTTAAACATCAGAATTTAATGGTGGCATCTGTCCTGCCTTTCAAATAGCTGAAAACCATACAATGAAATGATGATAGGTAGAAAGTATAGCAGATATTTGGGATTAAAGATTCATTCAAAATATCCAATCATTTGCTAGTTCCAGCTTTTCCATTACAGGGATTTGTTGCCTTGCAACGAGTTAATTATTATTTTAATTTCAACTTTCAGGGTAGCAAAACCATTTGAAAGCAGCACCTCAAAGAAACTTGGGAGGATGTTTCCTTTACACCTGCATACTCAGCTTTAAAAGGTACATTAAATCAGATGGTGACTCACCTCAGGTCAAGCAAGCGCTTAAATTATTTGCTCAAAGCTTTGCTTGAAATTTCAAAACCTACTGAAATGTCACACCCAGGCAGGACTTCATAACTGAAGCAGTCAGTAGTTTGGGACCCATTTATGTAATCAAGGAGGGGGCTGCATTTTCTATTTATACATACGTTTTTTTTGTTGTTGTTGTTGTTGTTTTTAATCGTGGGCTTAGGTTCCTTTTTAAATTCCTATTTCCGGCAACTAAAGCTTTTTTAGTTGTTGTTTGTTTCCAAAATAACCTGTAAATGTAATCCGCCATGTGAGTATCCTAAGGGGCCTCAAGCATCTGCTGCACTCGCCCTGTGGACAGGTGTGCAGAGAGGATGTCAGGGAATCAGCTACGAGAGCCTAACTTGGAGGGTCGTTGTTTGTTCGTTTGCACCAAGCAGCGGTCGTAAAATGATTATCTATTGTACTTTGTGATTCATTTCGCACCTTATAAACTCCACTATCCGTGCACGTCTGTCTGAGATCCGTTTAGAAGTCCTGCCAGCTAGACCGCGCCGCGCGTGCGTTAAAATTCTGACCAACATATCTAAAAATAGCTCACGGTTGACGTCACTTTGCCAAACGTATATCAGTCGCTTGGCGGCGGTGGGGGGGGTGTTTTTTTTCCTAGTTGGAGGACGTGGTTGGGGGACATTCCTGTCAACGGGTGCTGACAGCCAATCGACATTCTCACATTCGCCGAGATTCCCACGGTTGAACCGCGCCAAGCCAATAGAGTTTGAGACAGGAAAAAGTGGGCGCGTTCGTCGTCAGGAGGAAAATAATCAGTGACGCTTTTCTCGCTCGCGTTTTGTAGAGCAAGGGGGGAAGGCGCTGCCCTTTTTTTGATGGATTGCAATGGGCCAATCAGAGGGCACTGTGACAGAGCCATATAAAGAAGTGGCCAATCGATGGCTTAGCCTGAGTTGTCAATCAACTCGCTTCTCTGGAGTAGGCGGGGCGTTCTCTCGGCTGTAGTTCCGTCATCTCGCTCGTCTGCGCGGAGGATACAGGGGGGCAATGTTGATTTGAGTGAATTCCAACCGTAGTCGGACCCCGCCGATGTTTAATTTTTAAAACTGGCTTCGCGGACGGGAAGTGGAGGGCTCTCGCTTGATAGTATCCCATCCCCGCCGTCGGTATCGCCGTTTCTGGGCTGGGGAAGAGGTGGGGAGCCGGGGGGGCCTCGCTCGGAGGGGGCTGCAAGGAGGGACACTAGAAGACTGGATCCTCCGTGCTCAGGCCAAGTGCGCTAAGGTCGGCCTGACAGTGAAGCCCCAGCCACCGACACGCCACAGCGATAGTTCGCCGTGGATTCCAGCGCAAAATCAGTTGCCGGTTATTGATGAACGTGCAGTGAGTGAGCCCACCTCTCTTCCCCGTCTTTGCGTGGCACTGCATCAGCAGCTGTCGGCCTGCTAAAGCTCGAGACCGTTGAAATAGCGCGTGGTAACCGTAACAGCTGGATTTGGAATCTACCGGTCAGACCGAATCGAGCTGAAACCGGCTGCAGGGCGGCCAAGAAGCCACGGATCGCCCGTTGACAGGTTGTCACAATGGGCAACGCGCCCACGGCTAGGAAGGGCAGCGAGATGGAAAGCGGTGGGTACCGTCGCAAGTATGCATCACTTGTGAGCAGCACTTGCTCTGTAGCAGCCTCATGTAATGATCATGGACGATGTGATACAGAAGGCCATGTTAGCTTTACATAACATGCCATATACTCTTGATAAGAGGCCCTTTCTTGCTTTTTAGTTCATTAAGGTCCACTCCTACGTCCACGTCTAAGACTTTGCAGCAAACAAAATGTAATTGTGATATAATGAAACTTGCAGGGCTATGCGTAGATGTAGGGGACAATAAGGCATTCATTTGTGGATGAATTGTATAAGTTAGCAGAGGAAGAGTGTGGTGCTGTGTCCATGCCTTCAGAACAGCCAGCAGCTATTGTATGATTGTATGCTGCTAGCGTCTTGGCATGGTTACATGTAATATTGGGGATATCACAACCACCTATGTGTGAGATATTTCCCAAACATTCCAGCCCTGTTGCTCCAGTCCTTTGGATAGAGATGCCACTGATGTAGTGTGTGGGTGAGCTCAATCTAATCTTTTCTGGTTAGTGAAAGCACAGATGTCTACAGGTTTAGCTGAGCTAGTCTGAGTGTGTCTGCTGCTCTGGATGTTCAACACAGATGTGGTCAATAATCATTCACCATGGCTTTTTTTTTTTTACTATAAGGCAGTGGTTCTCAAGTCCAGTCCTCGAGGCCCACTCTCCTGCATGTTTTAGATGTTTCCATGCTCCAACTCACCTGATTCAAATGATCAGCTCGTTATCAAGCTCTGTAATGACTTAATAACGAGCTGATCATTTGAATCAGGTGTGTTGGAGCAGGGAAACGTCCAAAACATGCAGGACAGTGGGCCTCGAGGACTGGACTTAAGAACCACTGCTATAAGGCACAAAATACAGGAGAGAATATATTTGTTTGTAACTACAGTTGAGCATCAATAATGAATCTGAGTATCTCATGCTCAATTCATTTTGCATTTTTGCTGGCTGTGCTGATGATCTACAGTTTTTTTTCCCACTGTGTTATTATTTGCTGCAGCCATAGTGTGCGCAAGCATGGGTCAAGTGGATCTGAGTGTGTCTGAGCACCCACACCTTGGAGCTGCTTGGTACAAACGCCCATGTGCTCCATCTCTGGATGAAACTTTGATGCCTTGCTGATGTAGTCCAGGATGTCACCTGTTTTGCTGTAATTGGTAACTAACAATGCCAAGTCTCAACAGCAACTGGGATTTAGTATTTTGCTGAAAGTGCACAAAGTTGGACTTGTTTTATGGCTGACTATTTTCTGGTGTGTTCCCTCTCCTCAGAGAGCATCATTAGTGATAACTTGCGGAGAGAGGTTTAGAAATCTGGTTGACATCATTGAGGTTATATTTTTACAGACCAACAAAACTACAGCAAATAGCAGTGAAACAATGATACATGGCATTTTAGAACTATTTATCAAGAAGGGAAACCCGCCCTTATTTTGAGAATCAGCAAAGAGCCCCTCACAGATGTTTCCTCAGGCAGCTGTTCCAAGACTGTTATTGAGGCTTATTTAGCTGCTTTCTTCTGTCCCTTATAAACAAACTATACACCGGGGCAGTAAAATTGTTCATACCCTGGCACAAAATTTAAAAAATGAGTTCATCCTACAAACCTTGGGTGCATGATATCTATTTTCGATCTGACCTCTTTTCCTTTTTTGTTTTTGTGTATCTGTTAAGGTTATAATCTAAAGAAAGCAGTCAAGAAGTAACAAGCAGTCTCTAAATTTAATACAATATGAACTGAATTAACTTTATTTCTTGCAAGCACTCATAATAATTGAATAATTCATTCAAGCAAAAGAAGGAGCGATCTTCCTGGTTTTCTTTCAGTCTTTACACACATACACCGCTGAAGCCTGTCTTGTGGTTTTGTTCTCCACAGTCAAGGAGTTCCTTGCTAAAGCCAAAGAGGACTTTCTTAAAAAGTGGGAGAATCCTGCACAGGTAAGTATTTGGAAGAATAAACACCTATTTTTTCCTTTTCTGATAAGCCTTGTTCTTGTTTTCATGGGCCAACACACAGTCGTGTGAAAGTTTGTAATGTATGAACTTGTTTTTTTATGTTCTTCCAGCTACAGCTTTAATTGAATGTTTATTTGATTTGATTTGAAATACCACACAAACAGCTGCTAAAATATGTAGAATTATTTTTTTGTTTGCTCTTCTTAACTCAAGTTAAAATAAGTGTGTCCATATTTTCAAAGAAATGCCTGCTTTTTTACATATTGATCTACTCAATTGTAATGCATTTGGTATAAAGTAATTGTGGGAATTGTCATCATACATCTCCAAAATACACCAGAATTAACCGATGTTTGTTGTCTGTGCATGCAGAACACTGCTTGCCTGGAGCAGTTTGAGAGGTTGAAAACCCTGGGCACGGGCTCATTTGGCCGTGTGATGCTGGTGAGGCACAGAGAAACAGGACAGCATTATGCCATGAAGATCCTCAACAAGCAGAAGGTCAGTCTTGGTCAGGGGTTGGGGAGGGTGGTTAAGTATGTCTGTCATTTGAGGACACTCACAGGATCTAGCAGGATGGCCACAGATAAGATGGAAACATCACTGAGGCAAAACTGTACTCACACAGCTTGAAACATTATTGGAGGGAGACAACTCACCATATTGATAGTAGAACCATGTAAAATGCTAGAGTCACACTGAGTGTCATTTTCTTTATAGTTTTCACTTCATGTTTAAAGATGATGTAAGCAACTTTTGGTTTGTGTTGAGTTTGGCACCCCTTTGGGCAAGGATGTACATGTAGTAGCTTTGCCGATTTTTTTCCGTTACATCTCTGGTTAGTTTTCTCTAAATACCCCCCCCCCCCCCCACACACACACACACACACACACACACTTTCTTTTAACAATCAAATGTGTCACTAATTGTGAATACTGGCTGCTGAAAAGGTAAAATAACAGCTGTTTCTGTTGATTGTATGGTTTGACACTTAACCCCCTGGAAGTGCTTTCAGGGTTTAAGAATTACAATCAGAAATATGCTGTCATCTTGCTGTCTGTCTGTTTCAACCCCGGCAAAAACTCCTAGCAGTGGATTTAACATCAGCTGTTAAAGTCAGTGCAAGTCACCTGTAGTGGTTTAGTAAGTGCAGCTTTGTAAAATTAACCATAACAGGAATTTACTGAGGCACCCTTTAAAAATGTACCCTTTTTAAGTCACGGCTTGCAGGAAAAATGACATGGGGAAAAAAAAGAAGCAATACAACAAAGATGAGCAGATTTTTTTTTTTTTTGCACCAGCAGCTGTTGACTGAGAAGTAACAGCTGCCGGAAGAGGACAGGTAGGATAGTGAGTATTACATTATTTTACAGAAGATTATGGTGGTGCAAAGTATCATAAGAGAGTACACAGATATTGATTTTGCATTTATTCACATCAACAATGGAAAAGCTTGGTATGTAAATATGTGAATATTATGTAACCCTGGCAGTGATGGTTTTTTAGGCTAATTTGATCAAAGATATTGACATTATCTTTCCACATTATCTTGTCATCTCTTTTCTCCTTTTAGTTGTTTTTGTTTTTTGTAACTCAACTCGCCGGCAACTTCAGGAGTGCTTTCTAGAGTGTTTATGGCATTTGAAAGTTGCAGTGTTTGTCTGTTTAATGCTCATTAATAAAAAGTCTAAAAAGTCTCATATTTATTCTTCTATAGTGATAAATCATCCCTCTGTCTTTCTCCTGCTCTTGTCTTTTCAGGTGGTGAAGCTCAAGCAGATAGAACACACTCTGAATGAGAAGAGGATTCTTCAGGCCGTCAGCTTTCCTTTTCTGGTTCGGTTAGAGTACTCATTTAAGGTACGTATTGTTTTTAATGGTTTTGGAAGTAGTTTGGTGTGTATTTAACCCATAGACTGTATACACTAAGGACAACTTGGTTCCGCCTTCTGTCATGGATTTGAAGCCAAATTGCTCTCTGTATTTCTGGGATTTTCTCCACTTCCTGTAACCATCACTTGCGCAGTAGTGTCGTACGCATTTGGCGGGAAGGCTGTTTGTCCACAGCTCCATAGGGATTGCAGAAGGAGGCGGGATTTCTGACCTATACCGCAGCCCGTTGCTAGAGGGTGCTGTTCTCGATGTGGCTTCACCCAGCGAGGAGGCAGACAACGTCCATTCTATATACAGTCTATGATTTAACCTGTTTGAGGTCGTGTTTTGACTACAGCTGCCTGGAAAGATCAGCTCATCACATTGCCTTCCATTCTCAAACCAGCTCTCAAGTTTCTTTATTACAATTCAATTATTGAAAAATGTATTACATTCAATACAGCGCTGAACTGGATCTTTATTCATTGCAGTTGTCACTAATGACCAAAGACAATTTTACATATTTGCATGAATGTCAGCGTTAAGTATTTGCACTGCTATCCTTCTAAACAAAGAATCAGAATTAGATTTGCAAAGTTGGTTTTAGGGTCAAATACATTTTTTTTTATTATACATTTAATGGAAGAAAAGGTGACAGTCACATTGTTTCAACAGAGAGCTCTTAGAAGTAAGAAATCAAAAAATAAAGTACAGTTTTAGAGTTTTATTTAGCAGATACTTTTTTCCAAAGCAACAAAAATTTGAGAGCAACACAATACAAATACAACACAAGTAAGATCTCAACAGAAGGACATAACATCAGCAAAAAAAGTGCTTTAAGTGCTACTGGGCAGAGTGCTGTCATGTAGTAAATAAGGCATGCACCTTTTCTAAAGTAATGTATAACCACCGACAATCCACCAACCAAAGTCAATCACCAACCCAATGAAGTCACAATGATGCTGTTTTCGGCACCATCATCATCATTACTATCACCATTATCATCGTCAGAGGAGAAGAGGCTCAGGGCCTTGCTGTGACGGGAGAACCAGGTGCCTTTCCTTGACACAGGGTAAAGGGTGAGAAGGAGTGTAGACCTGCGTAAGTGACTGCAGGCAAGCATGAGCTGATTTAGCTGCAGTATTGAAGAAAGAAATAGGGCTTTATATTTGATGAGGGCTGCTTCTGGGAGCCAACGGAGAATAACCAGCTGCTTTGTGGATCATCTATTGAGGGTTGACTATTTATGCAGGGAGGCCTGCTAGTAAGGAGTTGCAGAAGTCAATGTGTGATTATACAAGAGTCTGAATGTACCAGGAGCTGTGTTGTATTCTCTGTCAGGTAGTGTCTTCTCCTCCTCATGTTATAGAGGGCAGATCAACCAAGATGGTATGAGCCTAGAAGATCAGTTGGTCATCAACCATAGCACCCAGATTCCAGCAGACTTAGTGGGCATAAGTTGGTTTGATCCAAGTTGGATCTTGATCTGTAGTTGTAGAGAGGGACTGGCTGGAATGACAAGAAGCTCAGTGAGGGACATGTTGAGCTGTAGGTGGCGTTCCTTCATCCATTTAGAAATATCACTGAGGTATGATGAGATTCGGGCTGTGACAGGAGGAGCTGAATATCACCTGCATAGCAGTGATATGACGATCCATGAGATTGGATTATTGCAATGAATGAGGTTGTGCACAACAAGAAAAGCATATAACCGAGCACTGACCCTTGAGGACTCCCTGTTGATAAGCAATGTGGTTCAGACACTTTTCCACTCCATGATACCCTAAAAGATCTCCCTTTGAGGTAGGACACAAACCACTGGGGGACAGACCCAGAGATACCAAATTCAGGGAGTGTGAAGAGGAGGATTTGGTGGTTTACTGTGTCAAACGCAGCAGATAGATCCAGCAGTAGTAAAACTGAGGACCGACCTGAAGCTTTAGCCAAACGCAGTGATTCAGATACCAAACGCAGAGCCGTTTCAGTGGAGTGACCCCACCTAAAGAGTCTATATTGATCCGTCTCTTCAGCAGAATAAACCACAACTTAACAGCAAGGCTCTCTGACTGTTCTGAGCGAAACTGACTTTCCTCTCTTCAGACTTGTTACAGTTTTAGATTCTTGATACAATAACCCTTGACTGTCCTGTTGTCATCCCTGTCACGTCTTATACTATCATTGATGGTTATTGCCATATATGGTGTGCCATCTGCAAATAAAGAGAGAATTGTCACGTTCTCTCTCTTCTTCCACATTTCACCATGCAGCTCTCTCAGAGGCTGTTTGTGCCCACATAGACTGCCATATTGCAATTAAAGCCTTATTCAGGTTAAGCTGTTTAGATGCACCCTGGATGCCCTGGGATTGAATATCCTTGATGCCTCCAATAAACCTATTAACAGAGTATTCCTGTCCACGTGCAGAGCCCTGCACACCGACAAGAGAGTCAACCATAAACCCATGTTTGCTTAGTTTAGGAAGGCACAACAGACATTTGAATGTGTTTACAGGTGTTGACAGAGAAGCAAGCCAATAATGATAAGAAGACGCTTTTATAAATATGATTGTGTTATACAGTACTTTTTCAAGAGCGTGTGATATGCACACAATAATTTGAATTACAACCAAGCTGTCACACTTTTCCTCACTGTGTTCTGCGATAACAACTTGTATAACAAGGAGATCAATCATCAAGGCACATGTCGTCATGTAAATCACAATCCTGACAGGGTGAGACTTGGCCCCAACACAGTGGAGGGGTCCCATCTCACCCCTTTTTTTAACATTTCATTTAAAAGTCAAGTTACAACATTAGCTGTTAACATTAACTTTCCAGCTCCACTGCTATTGACAGGATTCAAGGACAGGATACAATTTTAAAATATCCATTGTGTTTGGCATAGTAATAAGCACGCTACCAAGGAATAACCATTCCTTAAGTGTCAACAATCAGAAGTACAATGTGCTGGAACTCCTGTGAGTTGACTGATTTGATATGATGTGTGTGATCTGGTTGTATCTGGAGTGGCTCTTGTCATGCAGAGTGATTACCTGTCGTTAAGGGGTTTTGACTCATCAGAAACAAGTATTCAACATAACTTGGTGATTAGTTAGAAAGCCAGGTAATAGGCTGGAGTATGAACATGTGTATGCATGAGCAATGGGACCTTACCAGTTCTGTCTTTCTCTGTTTCTAGGACAACACTAACCTCTACATGGTGATGGAGTATGTACCAGGTGGAGAGATGTTCTCCCATCTAAGGAGAATCGGCAGATTTAGGTATGTGTCTGTTTGGAGGAAGAACTTAAGTTTACATTAAATACAATATTAATTTAACTTATTTCATGTGGGTCTTAGTTGTCTAAGTTCAGATCAGGTCTACTTCTCAGCTTTCTGGTGTTCTATTTTATTCTTTACTCATGTACTCTACTCCCTTTTATCCAGCTCTGTATATTATGTGATATTATGTTGTATTATATTATTTTATATTATATTAGATCAGATCAGATCAGATCAGATTAGATTAGATTAGATTATATCATATCATATCATATATTAGATTAGATTATATCATATTATATCATACTATGTTATATCATGTTATGTTATATTATTATAGGAGCTAAGTCTATACTTTAGGCTACTGAGATGCTTGACCCAGAGTAACCCGGTTGATGCGTCGCGCTACTGGTTTCATACACTACCTTGAGTCTTTGAGGATCAGTAAAAGTTCTGACACTGTTCCTCTGATGCAGAGAACAAAAATTTATTGTGATAAACACTATCAAAGTCCATTTGCAATTGACATCGAGCAACACTGAATAAACAAAGAAAAATGCTGGCATTTAGCACCACAGCGGTCAAAAACCTTTTGCCATTCCAGGTCAATCACCTGCCCGCAGCAGTAACTTAGCTACCTTTATTCCTGAGCCCCAGATAACAGAACAGCGACACCTAAGGGATACAAATTGAACTAGAATTCATTTCAGGTTATCACATCAACATATTTTGCTCCTACATTTATGTTATATAATGTTATATCACATTATGTGGTATTATATCATATTATTTTATAAACAGCTGTATTCTATTTTATTATACTCTATTCTAGTCTCTAGTCAGACATCAGTTTTGGCTTGCAAAGTGACCATGCCCCATTTGGGTGAAAATCAAGTGGCAACCTCAGTTTGTGAAAAGTAAAGCCAATCATTAAGTGTTAAAAACTGCAGTTCCTGAATAACACACTTGAGGCAGGCTTAGATAGGTCTGAAAGCCTTTAAAAAAAACAACCATCTAAGAAGATAAACCTGGTTCTTAACATGATATGGCCCCTATAGTTTGGGCAGAAGAAGACAAATTTTTGATCGCTCTTTATTTTTGATGATAGTTGCAAGTTTTGCTTAATGATGTTAAGGATTAGTTAAAGTGAGGCACACTGTTGGCAAGCTTCAGCTCTTTGCCTCACTAGGCAGATGGAAAGTTAAGTTAAATGGCGACAGCTATCTATAGCCTTTAAAACTCTTCTTAAAAACAAAAAAAAGAATGGATGACGGTGTAGTCACCAGATGTGTTCTGGCTGCTAGATCTGCTTGGGGCCCGGTGCCTACTGATGACGTCACATTATATGATTGGTTTAAAGTTGGTGCGGATGACGTGGAAGATTGTGGACAGTCCGGAGATTATGGAAGCGGTTTTCGTCGGATTAGGTTTCATGGGATTGTAGTTCTTTGTAGAAAACATGGACGTAGTTTACGAAGCAATCTTTCGCTACTTATCAGCCAGACTACTGCCTCTCTCAGGTTGCCAAAGGAAATGTGGAATAAAAGCGAAACTATCTGTGGAAAAAGGGGAAATGCGTACATGTTTTTTTCTTTTTCCATCAGAAAAGTTAACATATACAATAAAGCCATCTAAAAATTGCAGTACAGTAAGTTGTAATTCTCTGTATTATATGGAGAGAAAATTTCCAGGTCAATTGAATGAACAAATGGAAATAAAGAAAACTGTGAGGGGCTTTTAACCTAGCACATTTGACTTACTAAATGGACATAATGTAGTTTGTCCAAGTGGACTTGCCGAAGTGTGACGTCATCAAAAGGCACTGGGCCCCGAGCAGATCTGGCAGCCTAAACATATCTGGTACCAACAAAAGCACTGAAACTGTGTTCATGTTCATACAGTCCACAGGGCCAATCAAATGCTGCAGAAGTTTCATAATAATAAGAAAAGATATAACCTCAAATTTGTCTAAGTGAGGCACAAGCCCTGTGGTTTGGGGCGTAAAAGCACCATTATATTCACACTTCATAATAGCAGTCAACGGCTGCTGTGATTAGATTCTTCCCAAAGTCACTGATGTATTAATGGTACTCTCCATATTTGTTAAATACGACTATAAGTGAGCACTGCAACAAAAGCACCTGCTTAGAAAAGTCAAACTTTCTGTTTTCTGGGTCTAGCAGAGCTACATGAAAATAACAGCTCCTCATCCACGTCTCAAAATTCTCACGTCACTTTATTTACAGTCACGTTTGATTGAAAAACACGGCTGGAAAAATAAATAGCATACAGGTTATGGTTCACTTTATGTCTGTTTAAAAGTAACAGCTAACTCAGCTCATGTCAAATAATGCTGATGCATTCATAAGTACCATAAGTATCATCCATGTTCTTCCTCAAATCTAAGGTTGTACAAACTATCATATTACAGCCCCGTTTGGAAAAAAAAAATACTGGCAGATATGTACTATTTTAAATTCCATTTACCATCTCTAACCTGTCATCTATTCTATTCTGTTCAATTCTATTCTATTTTGCATTTTAAAAAGACATTTTATTTATTTATTAATTACTAATAACAAACAAAATGGCTAGTCAAGCAAACCTATTAATTATGACTTTTCTAATTATCTATGGGTGATGTAACATTTCAAACAAGTACAAGTTGAAGGGTGTACATGAGTGTCTGTCTCCATCAAACTGGATGATTGACCCCATAATGTGGCCTAAGGTGACATCTCTTAACTTTTGTATTTTACCGATCATCACCATACATGTTTGGGAATTATTGGATTAGAGAGCTCTGGGGCAAGGATGAGAAGCAGCTTAACACTTATCTACACAAAGTAGCAAACAATTGAAAAGTTATCTTGAAGGCAAGAGCCTTTGGTGTAGTGCTTATTTGTTTCTCTGTGAATGGGGAAATATAACCAAGATTTGGCTAGGACATCACAACAAATAGTCCACGTAAGTGACTTTGTGAAGAATTCAGGGAGAGGGTCAGCCTGCAGGGACAAAATGCCAGTGCCAAAGTTAACCACATGTACCAACTCAAAACCGCAAACTGAATCTTACCATCTTTTACCCTTTGACAAAGACTATAGTACTGTGTTTAATAGTTTGAAGTACAAATTGATTTGCGAGAGTGTCCAGTCACGGATGGTCTCCTTGTTTTCTGGTTATTGTTCTATTCTATTCTATTCCCGTTCTTTCTAGGTCTGGTTTGGTCCCTCTTAGTTAATTTATTTTTGTTTGTTTTTTCTGTTAAGACTTGACTTCACTCTTTCTGCCTTTTCTCTTTTATCGATACCTGTGTGTAGTGAGCCTCATGCTCGGTTCTACGCAGCTCAGATCGTCCTGACCTTTGAGTACCTTCATGCTCTGGACCTGATCTACAGAGACCTGAAACCTGAAAACCTGCTCATAGACCAACAAGGCTACATACAGGTAAACCACTCCTGATGCATAAACATGAGATACTTATCATGCATGTTTTCAGAGGGTCTATTCAGAGAGCAGAAGGCCTAATTTAGTCATTACACCTCAGTGGGAGTTCTCTTTACAGTTCCAGCCATGCCTTTTGTCCGAGTGTCTGTTGGGATTTTGGTTTTATTTCAAGGTTCAAACTGGTTCAGTTGTGTGTTTGCTGGGACTGATCCTCAACCCTCAGACAACTTCCTTAAACACAGCTTTTAAGTGTGAAGGGAGGTTTGAAATCTAAAATTTGACCTCAGCTGTGTTTGTTGGCCTCTTTGCAACCGTGATTTCTTTCATGAAAATTTATCATTTAGTTATCGATTTTTTGTGATTATTAAAAAATGAGATGAGAAATTAAGGGGATATTCCGGCGTAAATTTAAGTTACGGTCAAACACACCGTAACACTGAGTTAGACACACCCTCGAGAGATGAATGTTGCCAACTGTTTGCTTCTCTATTTATACCAACTTTAGTAACGACCGCACGATAGCAATACACAGCAGTCTATGGCTCCACACGGAAATCTCAACCAAAAAGCCACTCTGTAGCCACAAATAATGCTCAGAACAGCACCTAACTTCATCATCAGTATATATAGGGTCCCAGCCATAGTACTAGCCATCAAACATCTTTTTAGCTTTGCCTGGTTTCTTTAGCAATGAGAACAAACACAACTCAACCCCACCTCCAGCAGCTGCTTGTTTGTAGGGGAGCCCTGATGAGTCGATCAACGAGTGCAGCAGAGTTTTGCAGCTCAAGGAAGAACTTTTATGATTATTTTTTTTAATGAAAATGCAATCAGACCAAGACACTTAGCAGAGAAACTACGGCGCCTGCAGTGCAAAATGATTATCATGATGATAATTACTTCATGGAAATGAAATGAAAGGATCTGGATAATATATTTCTATATTCATATATTTTTTTAACATTCTGGTTAAATGCACTATAAACCATACATTTATAATGTAATAGGCTCACTGCTTATAACACTTCATTAACATTACTGTAAGCTGTTATGAAAGCTTATTATCACTCATAAGAGTTGTTAAAAAGCCTTATAGATGGAATTAAAAGGATTTATAAATGTGCTAATAATGCATGAAAAGAGGTGACCAACACATCTATCTTAAAAAATAAATAAATAAATAAATAAAACTTCTCAAATGATTAAAAGACAAAGGCAGACTGGTTTTTCCTGGTAAAGTTACAATCCATTCATTAGCTAACAATTATAAATCAACTGGCCAAGTAATCTAACTTGAAGTAACATTTAAAAAATATCCATGTAGGCTTGCTGTCTGAAGACCCTTGTTGTCAGAACAAAATGAGATTTTATTCACCACAACATTATATTCAGCAACATTCAACAGACATGCAGCAGTTGTCTGTTCGTGGTCTTTGTAGTCTTTGGAAATAAAGGCATGAAAACCTAAAATGTCAACTTTAAATTTGAAACATCAGCAGTCCTCTGCTTAGCTAATGTAAGTCCAATGGAGACTGTTCATCACAACTGAATCTTTTTCCCTTTGCAGTTTCTGCATGTTAAGTGTGAAGTCAATATAGGTTGGAGTGAAATGTTGAAACAGATAGAAGATATTTTTGTGAAACGTAGTCACAGCTGTAGAAAACTATTACAACACAGCTACATCAAGATAAGGAACTATTAGAATAAAATACCTGCTGAGAATTTTCTGACTAAATATAAAATATTACAAAAGCACAAGCCTTGAAGTAGATTTTTTTCAGTTTTACTTTGAAAGTCATTATGGAGTTATAATCTTGCAATGTAAACAAATTAATCTGTGTCTGATTTTAAAACAAGTTGCATGTATCTTTAAAGCTTTATGTGAGAGTGAGTGAGTTATCCATTCTGTCATTTTATTTCCATTGGGCTTAGATAAACGTAAGGTTTTACATATTTTTGCTTGAATTGTGATTTTCATTTTAGCTGTATGTCAACCACCCCTGCTTCTTATGGAAACTGTTAATTTGGGTTCTGTCTTAATCTGTGAGATCGATGGACAGAGGGGGTAAAAACTAAACCAACCATTTCAAAAAGTGAAAATTAAGAGACAGATCGGTAAATTTCTGAAAAATAAAGGATGTCTCCAAAAAAGAAATACCAAATATTCCTAATAATATGGAATATAAATTAAATGTTTACCTCAAAGTGGAGCGATGTATTTGCAGAGCAGAGTGCTGGCTTCTTCAGGCTGTTTTTAAGCACAGAGTCTGTTGCCCTCTAGTGGTGAATAGTGAAGCAGCAGATATGGAACAGTTCTATTGCTTCCTGTAAGTCCTTGCCTCGGGTCTCTGCCCATCCTTTTTATCCTCCTTTATGTATTTCTTATGCTTGAATTTAGCTGTCCAATGAGAGGGTCCCCCTCTCATTGTGTCCTTTCTCTAAATCTCTTCTTTTTGTTGCTAAGGTGACAGATTTTGGTTTTGCCAAACGTGTAAAGGGCCGGACCTGGACACTGTGTGGCACCCCAGAATATCTGGCCCCAGAGATTATTCTTAGCAAGGTAAGCCATTCTAGTTTCTCTCTTTATTCTATATACCATTGGCTGTACTTTTTTTTTTTTCCATACCTAAACCAAAAATATCAACCCATAAAAAAATATGTTGCCTTTTTTTGCAGGATAGTCATAGAAAGGATAGGCAGGGTTGAAGGTTGTGTTGTTGCTTCTGACCTGTTGTGAGACAGATTTTTTAAAGTTTCTAATGAACAGAGAGAGCACACACACATAGCCTAAAGTCTAAATGAAGATCTGCCTGGATTAACTGTCTCTTACAGTCTTTTTTTCTGTCTACCCTTCTCTTCCTTGTTTGCCTCTTTGTGAAATCCACCAGGGGTATAACAAGGCAGTGGACTGGTGGGCGCTGGGTGTTCTTGTCTATGAGATGGCAGCAGGGTACCCGCCTTTCTTTGCTGACCAGCCCATTCAAATCTATGAAAAGATCGTATCAGGGAAGGTGAGTCTGACTTGCTGGTTATTATTTTGTGCTTCACCATCTGTTTGTTATATCTCAGGCTTGTCCTTAGTCCCTGACTTGTTTCATCCCTTGGGTGTCATAGTTTAGATTCCAAATCAAAGAGGGTTTAAAATGAGGTTTGACTTTACTTTCATTTAGGGGTGTCCCGATACAACTTTTTTACTTCTGATACGATACCTATATCGTAGCCTTTGATATTGGCACAAACTTGTGCATGGAGTCTGGAATGGACTGCTTGTATCAGAGTGCTGATATCGGAGGTTTTAGATGCAGACTGGTATAATCCAATATTTGTTTTTTGGCTTATATTGGACCGATATCAATATCGTATCAGGACAGCCCTACTTTTATTAATTGAAATCAACCGCCGGAAAGAGGTTTTATCACTGCTTGTTCATTTTAATTTTAGCGATTTTAAAGACATGATGTTTTCTTACTCTGGAAATAACTGAGAAAACAACCAAAAGCTTAATTTTTTTACATAAACTAATGAGTCTCCCTGTCACACTTTTGTCCTACATACTGACATCACGTATTGGTTTCTGAAGCTGACCTTTGAAGCTGCAGTGGCCATATTTAAGACGTTGACTCTAACTTACTTTGAGTAAACCGAGCAAGAGGCAAAGAGGTGAAGTTGAGGCATGCCTTTTTCCTCCTTACTAACAGCTAATCAAGCCTCATGCCCTTAGTAAGGCAAACCTGTAACCTTGATTTGTTCTGTATTCTCTCTGTTTATTTCATACTTGAGCTATAAAGACAGATAGATAGGCCTTGATTGTCCGACTGTTGCTGCAGTCTGTACAGAGTATGCAAACATAGAAACATGCGGATACTTAAACTCACATACACATACGCTCAACCAGCTATCAGGGTTTTTTTTTATCAGGAGTGTAATGACAGAGTGCTCTTTTCCAGGCCTGTATCAGTGTGAAGAAAGCTTAGAGAGGGTTCCTGAGATAAAGTGTTAAGGTGCATGCTTTGGGTGTTGGTTCTGATGTCTTCACCATTAAGGTCAGACAAATGTGGTGAGGGGAGGTCGATAATTTTAGCAGCACTGTATGAGTATGGGTAATGTATAAGTTTGATTTTATTTATGCCATTTGTATGTTGTACTGGGGACAGTAGAGGAGAAATGTTGGAATAATGCTTAATAATGGAATAATAAGACAGTCTTTGCTGACAGGACGTCATTTTTGGTGTGTTGATCAGAATCTATTGTCCATGTGGTGAGTCCGGGTTTCATTGTTGACGCAGATGAGGTTGTTGGTGGGGTTCTGTGCTGGTCTGTGAGTGCTGGAGGAGCTGAGAACTAATTCTTTGGTTTTTGCCACTTTCGGTAGCTGAGGGTTTGTGCAGTTTGGTTGTCATATTTTAAAACCGATCTCTTGACTTTAGACCGATAGGGGGTGTAAACTTCAATTCTGACAATTTCATCTTGTTTTCTCTTACGGTAAGAGAGAAAATACCACTAGCAAGTCTGAGTCTACATTCTTGTATTCGTATTGGTGGGACTTTAGTGAGTGTGTAAATGCAGTCACTGGCATTTGATGTTTCGCCTATAAAAATGTAAATCTGATGCGATGAGACTTGAACTGTATTGATAACCACAGGTAATTTGTGAAACACTTTTTTTTGTACTGTTATCTGTTTGAAGCATTTCCATTTTTATTCGAGGTTGAACAAAGCTTTTGTTTGTTGTTGCCTGTTGAACTTTGCATGGTTCACTGGCATTGCACTCAGTTTTGTTTTCATTTTGAAGTCAGGTCAGTTCAACCACTTGGGCACTGGTGCATCCGGCCATGTGCTTCTGTTTTCTGTCCATGTTTAATGCAACATTCAAAGGCACAACACTGGAAATCACTTCTTGACTGTTCAGCAAATATTGGAGAAAGACTGATGAATTGGCCAGCCAATTAAACAGACCGATTAATCAGACCATTTTGACATGATCGGCATAATTTTGGCGTCAGTCCTCACAAGGCTAATATCACTGTTCTAATTTTTAAAGGAAAGCACATTGTTCTCAACTTTAGCAAATCAAATCTACAACAGTCACTGGATAGTGTTTCATATAAAGTCTGTTGTGGTAAATCAAATAATGCATATTTATCAGACATATTCTGAAATCTACAGTAACATTCATTCATTAGACACCCATTTGAAACATGTCAGTAACTAAGATAAATATCTGTATTTGATGTTGATGTGCATGGAGATATGGATTTTGACATGACTAATTTTGTATTTAACCTCAATATTTTACTTGTATGTTTGTCTTTTATCATAATGGCTAGATAGAAATCCAATAGTCCCTTGTGACAACCCAAAGCTGAGGATATTGTCTCTTAAAATGCATTAAATAAAATATGCTTAATTAAAAATTAAACATTTTTTTTGTCATTGCCAATATTAATAAATAATTAAAAAATTAAAACAACATCATATTCGTATTTTATATCAGCCAAACTGCCGTCTTATTATTGGCATCAGCCGTTGAGAAAGTGATATCGGTCGATCACTTGCAGACACAAGTTGGATTCATTGTCCACATGGGTGAAATGGATGAAAGGGTCTCCAAACTTAACTGCCACTTCATCTGTCTGTCTGTTCTCTGTTGTAGGTGCGTTTCCCATCTCACTTCAGCTCAGACCTGAAGGACCTCCTGAGGAACCTGTTACAGGTGAAAGCAAATATCTCATCAAATCCCATGTTGTGGTTTCAGTGACTCTGTCTTTGTTTAATTTTTTGTTGGCTTTGATTGGTTGAGTGTAAAAATATTGAAACTGTATTGCCGTCATCCTCAGGTGGACCTTACAAAACGTTATGGGAACCTCAAGAACGGGGTCAACGACATCAAGGGACACAAGTGGTTTGCAACCACTGACTGGATTGCCATCTACCAGAAAAAGGTAAACATAAATACATACATGCGCTTGCTGTTGATGTGCCATGCCCCTGCTGAAGAGCTCAATATTAACTGGTGCTTGTCTTTAGGTGGAAGCTCCCTTCGTCCCCAAGTTCAAAGGACCAGGTGACACCAGCAACTTTGATGACTACGAAGAGGAGGAGATTCGCGTCTCCTTCAACGAGAAATGTGCCAAGGAGTTTGCAGAGTTCTAGAGTTAGAGAGGAGAAGAGAAAGAAGTAGGGAGGGTCCGAGGTAGGCTGGTCAAGTGGGAGACGGAAGGAGAGAGTACTGTCTCCTGTCCAATCACAGCACCAGCTTCAAATAGAGGGAAAAATGGGATAGAGAAAGGATAAAACAGCAAGGAGACTGATAACCAGCAGTGTTGCCTTTTCTGTTGTGTTTCTGTTGTATTTAATTTATTGTTTTGTCTTATTTATGGATCCCTTTATGATGCAGGTGTGCTTCAGATTTATAGGTGTTGGGAACCGCCATTTGAACCCAAAATCTCCCCCCGCTCTTCAATTCTTTCATTCATCACTTACGTAGGTCACATTGAAGAGGTGCCAGATAGTCTGCTGGTTATAACACCGAGTTGTACAAGCTGAGGTCTTAATTTGCACAAAGTTTTGAAAACAAAACAAGCTATCCTTCACAGGAATCACACACATCTGCCCTTAACTATCTTTTTTTGGTAATGTTTTTCTCAACATTTGAAACTTCCATATCACATACTGCACATGGAAAGAGACCGGCATACTTGGCTGAAAGATATCGGAATAAAACAAACAAATTCTGTGCTCCAATGACCTTCCAAGACACGACAAGCCGATCTCGATCAGTCCTTCATATCATTGTTAGCACATCCAGGCTTTGTGCATATCTACAGCCCTCAGTTTTATAAACACCACCAGAAACATGAGACTCTGATGATAATGTCATGCTAATTAACTAGGGAACATTCATAAGGGAAGAGTGGTATCACAGTTTAGTTGTTATAAGGGAACACAGTAACATAATGGTATCTCAGGTTCGAACATATCATTTAATGCACATTTTATCAACATGAGGCAGAAAGACTAGCAGGTGAAGACTTGCTTTGATAGAGCTTTGGCCATCCAATGAGAGGAACATAAGGGAAAATAACACCCTAAATTTCCTCCTCTAAGAGATTCAGTTTGGTGTCAAAAATGCTTCCTAACACTGCTTAGTGCTCCTTTAAAGCTGATTCGATGATTTAAGCCTCCAATCTACAGAGACCATCTGAGGAGGACTATTTCACATTGCTCCAAGCTGCCGGTCAGCAGAGCACTCAGCAGCTGCTGAAAGCAGACTGGATCTGGTCTTTAGTAGAAACGCATGTTCTTGCTCATCTGCACAGCTCTTAGCCGCCTCCCCTTATCACCTGAAAAGTTAGTCCACACTCCATGTGACGGCAACTCTCTCTCCATCTCTGTTTACATGCACAGTTTTCTTTCATTCACCTTTCTTTGTGTGGTATTGATGTAAAGATGTTAAGACGACTAAACGAGTTCATAAGAGCACCTGGAGATGAATCAAGTCATAATGAGGAGAGAGAGACATGATCTTAAAGAAAGGCTCAAAAGCTGCAGGTGTGAATTATGTGACACGTAGCACTTCAGGTAATCAATGCCTCCTCCAGCTCCTGAATGATAGTGGCCGAGTAGTGACCCAATGCCCGATTCAGACATTTCAACAAGTGACACTTGCTTTTGTTTCATACATTCAAATGCCTTCTTCATAGCTGTATGTAAACATGCCAACATTATGAAGGTCCTCTTGTTTGGTTTTTGAAGGCACTGGCTTTCCTCTGATGTAAAATCCAGATTTTTATTTATTTATTTATTTTTTGGTTACTTGAGTCCCTTCTTCCCAGAGCAGTCCAGATATGGTTAGATATAACAAACTTTGTGTCAGAATTACACATTTTAAATGTGTACCTTTGTGAGGAAATCATTTGTCATGGTGTTACAATTGACCAGCTGTTTTAAGATGAGCTAAGTGATCTGTTTCAGACCTTTTTTAGGTCATGTTTGCCTGATCAACATGCTGTTGCAGGGCCCCAGGGGGACCCCAGTGAATCCATCATTCCTTCCACTTTCTGTGCATTATGTTCAGTATCGTTATGCTGAGATATTCCATTGCCCCAGGTTTGCTGTGTGGTAATTTGATTTCAACACAAATTAATTTTTTGAATGTGCACCATGTGAGCACAGCTGAATTAATGAAGGTTTTTAAGAGCCACCCAGTGACTCAGTAATACACTTTCATTAACATTCAAGACACTCAAGCACAGGCCAAGAGATCCTGCTGCTGTGTGTCCATATTGTTACTGTTGTGATATTGGCACAGGACAGATTTATGTTGACTTTCTTTTACTTTTGAGATGGTTCTTCAATGTGGTAATGAAATAGGTAAAGTTGAATTTATCTGAACTTTTAGAGAGACACGCCTTTCAGGAGGGGAGGCATGGATGAAAATTGACCAAGTGTGCAGTACACGGCTTATTCCACTTACGTTGATGCTGCTCAGCACAGCTCTCTCCTTTTCATGTCCAGGCTGACTAAACTAACTATGAAAGGGTATCAGATCACAGACATTCTTCTCGTGTGAACCTGGGGCTTTGTGAGGGGCCTGGAGCAGTATCTCCTTATCTCCTTATGACCTCACTTTCGTGAACTTCACTAAGTTCTGCCTCTAGTTTTTTTTCTCTCTATGGTGAAGAAATCTGAAATCATTTCAATGATCAATCTCAAGTCAAAAATCTGACCCGTAGATAAATGATGAGAAGAGCTTCAAGGCGGATATTTGCAGTTCTCAGCTGGTTTATTTTGGACTAATTTAAGGAGTTATTATTATTGTCATAATTATGATTACAACATTGATGTAAACCACTTGTTGAGACTTCACATTTGCTGTATTTCCTCCATGTCAAGTTTAATGTTGGCGATATCATCATGGACAAAATGTTTGAAGTTATAATACAATACTATTCTGTGTCTCCTCGATGTTTTTGCAGTTATACAACTTCCTCTCGATGCAGGCACAATGCTGGTACATACTGTCGCACTTTTTAGGGAAATGAGACCCCAATGTAAAACCATGTTAACCCCCCCGACACACACATACACGCACACATGCACACAATGAGTCACACTGCAAAAGGAAGCATCTGAGGTCACGGGAGAAGTGATAGAAAAACACGAAGTGTAATATTTTGCAACATGAGTATCATTCCAATAAAGTTTTACTTGTAAAATTCTACTGAGCTGATGTGTCTGTGCGTGTTTCTTCAGAGTCTGCCGCATGTTGTGAGGAGGAGTGAATTTCACACGAGATTTTTCAGTTGTCTCTGTGTCCCAGTGTTGTCGCCTGGAGGTCAGACATCCATCACTGCTGCCTGATGCGGAGTTGAGCCGTCATCCACCCATCTGTTGACCGTCCGGCTCAGTGTGATTCGCTGAAAAACACAACAGTGAAATAACCCACCCGCGTCCTCTCCGCGCCGTCTGCACTGTGCATCAATCTTTCTTTGTGCTAAAATCAGATCCAGGACGACACTACGAACAAAGAACATCGCCCGGGTGCGTTAAAAGGCGACCAATTCCACCTTAAATGCCATTTGCGTCTGGTGTTGGAGACCTAGTCGCCATCTTCGGTCCACCTTAAGCGCACAATGTGGCCAACGAATGCGAGCGTACCAGCCGGGCTTCCGTCCTCATTCTCCAGACGAGGATCGCGCTCCGGCTTCCCAGCTTTGACACAGCAGCGTCACTTCTGAAACAACAGGGGAGGGAAAAAGACGCACTCCGGCCAAAGCACATCCGCACCAGCAGAAGAAAGATGTCCGAGCCCAGTAAGTACCGAGAGTGGATCCTCGAAACAATCGACTCTCTCCGCTCGAGGAAAGCTCGTCCTGATCTGGAGAGGATTTGTCGAATGGTTCGGAGACGTCACGGCTCGGACCCGGACCGAACCAGGACGGAACTGGAAAAACTGATTCAAGAGCAGACGGTGCTCAAAGTTAGCTACAAGGGCTCCATATCGTACCGGAACGCGGCGAAGGTGCAGAGGAAAAGCCGAAAGAAGAGTGAGTTTACGGGCGCTGGCAGCAGCAGCAGCAGCAGCGGCGGCAGCGCGGAGGCAGTGAGGGAGCGGACCAAACACGACCATCTGAACAACAACGGCGACAGTGCGCACAGCTTCACCGACCAGGAGGAGGGAGAGGAGGACTCGGAGCCCAACCCAGAGCCCCACACTCAACCAGCAGCCAGCAGCTCGGGAAAGCAGCTTAAGCTTGCCTCCAGTCCGAGTAGCGGAAACGGGTGCCTCAGCTGTGGCGCAACAACGGGCTGCGATGTCGGGAGCGGCTGTAAAGAGGAGAAAGCAAGTGCATCAAGAGACAAGGGATTAGGACAGCAGGGAGCGGGGGGCTGCCCGTCACCCGGTCAATGCCTCAGGACAAGCGCACATGACGGAGAAGCCAGTGGGACAACACCGAGTAAAATCGATGCTGTTCGCGGGGGGAAAGTGCCGGGTCTGTCCGGGGCTGACACCCAAAACAAAACTTGCTCTGGGGGCGTCAGCTTTCAACAACAGAGACCGAAACAGACATTGTCCCTTAAGCCCAAACTTCGAGTCGGAGGAGCGGGGAACCACGCCAACTACGACCTCGGCGACAGACTGGTGGCTTCTGTTCGCAGCCTGTCTGAGAGGAGCCTCAAAGGGGGCTCCGCCGCCACCACTAGAGGCCACATCAAGCCGCTCGGGCTGAAGGAGATACTGGGCTATCTGAGCAGTCAGGAGCGGCTGTCGGAGGAGAAGCTGACCCGAGGCAAAGTCAAAGTGGTGATGGAGAGAGAGGTGGCGAGGGGCAGGCTGCGCAGGACCCGCTGCGGGAACATTACTCTTCCTCTGAGAGGGGTGGTGCTGGAGGAGCCGAAGAATGCGTCCGCTGACAGACTTGTAAAGAGCGCACTGCAGGACAGGCACACTGAGAAAAAGGTGGGCGCTGATAACTTAATATTTCCTACACGTCCCGACTGTAGAGAGCGCGCGGATCTGCGCTGGCTTTTAATGGTTTGCCTTTACAGTAATGATCCCTGCACACAAGGCAACGGGACGCCAGCGCCTTCCCTGTTACCAAATGTTATTTCCTGTTAAATATCGATGTTTTGAAAAGAAAAGTAGCCTATTCGATGAGAATTTGTACGATCGGAAAGATAAAGGTTTTTTTCTGATTGTCACCGACAGGGACTGTGCCCTTGCTGTTTGTTCTCTGTGGCCTCGCTTAATGTGCGTGTGTTTTTTCTATTTGTAGCTCTGCTTCCTGCACAAAAGGTGCAGGTTCACACACACACACACACACACAGCAGCAGCAGCAGCAGACAGCTCTGGAGAGAGCGGCTTCCCCGGCCACCGGGATGAGCGCGCGCACCATAAAAAGAGCGTCTCTGCATGGCGCGCGCTCTCGCAGGTCCTGATTTTGTCGCCACATCGTTATCTGGGGTCAGAATCGTTTTATTTCGCCCTCAGGAACTTTGGCAGTGCGCAGCAGCTCGCGGAGTGTCTGGGCCTGCTGCGCGGTAGGCGGTGTCTGTCTAAAAACTTGAGCGCTGGCGTGTCGCGCAGGCCGGCGAAAGACTCGGCGCAAACAACAGCGCATCATGTTTCGATCATAGAGCCTACATTCAATCATTTCTGTGACTGTAAAGGTTTTTTCGTTCATGTGGTGTCACTCTTGATTCGTGCCTCATTAAATCCTTTGTATCCTTTTAGACAGCAAACTCTCCACCCTCTCTTCCTCCCTCTGTGGGTGAAGACTTCAGTAGGCTACAGTAGGCGGCTCATGTTATTTCTGATTCCTGAGATTTTTTTTCTCTCTCGAAGTGGGAGTTTCCGCTCGCCACCTCGAATCAACGCATCAGATCCAAAGTTTAAGATGAGTTAAAGCTCATACCAGGTACCAAGCCTGGTGAGAACTGCGTTCACTCCTCACCTATACCCCCACTCCCACCCCCAACCCCCACCCCCCCCTACTGAATAATTTCAAAAGAAACCACTTTATACTATGTCGTTGCAGCCGCCGGCCCCCTCTCTCCAGGAGAATGAGCCGATGGAAACAGCCAGTGAAGGAGAGGAAAAAGAAGATAATGAGGAAGAGGAGGAGAAGGATGATCCCCGGAGTTCTGATGAGGAGGGTGGACTTTCCTCGGTAGCCATGACAACCGAACCAGGGCTCATTGAGAAAAGCAGAGAAGATGCTGAGGTCCAGACAGCATCGAAGCATGAGAGCCCCCAACAGCAGCACGGGGGCAAAGGTGCGTGTGTGCGCGCGCTCAAAGTGTGCATGTGTGTGTGCTGTTCTCAGTGCCACTGTTTTTTTTTTTTTTCACATGAACAAGCAGCGTAAACACAACCTCCACATTCAAACGTTGTGCTTTTAATTTTTTCTATTTAAATTGTCTGGATTGCATGTAGTTTTCAATCAAACTTCCATCCAAAACATATAATATATTTTGTTCATGTAGTTAAAACCAGTGATATATATTGTCATGTTATATACTAGATTGTTAAAACTCTGTTTTAATCCTAAGTTTTTGCAGCCTAATTTTTGTAAAATTTAATAATTTTAGGAATGACCTTTTTAAACCATGGACTAGTACCAACAACTTTTTTTTTTTTACTGAAATATCTTAAAACTACTAGTAGTGCTCCAAACAACCATGTTAATCTGAATTATTTTTAAAAATCTATTAGTAGTAACTATAGACTGTATATAGAATGGACGCCGTCTGCCTCCTCCGCCCACCTCAGAAATTTATTCCACAGAATATAAATCTTTAAATTTTATCTTTACTTCTCTTCCAGGGATGTCAGGACTTGATCCTCTCAGCAGGATACCGTGTTCACCTGTTCAGGGATCTCACGGAAATCTTCACACACAAGAAGGAGTCTTGGCCTCTTATCAGCCGCATACAGATGCAAAGGTATGTACAAAAATGGTTATGTATTTAAAGCTTATATTGGTGCAAGAGGGCTGCAGGGTGGTGTAGTGATTAACGCTGTTGCTTCACAACAAGAAGGTTCCTGATTTGAATCCACGGCCAGACAGAGGCCTTTCTGTGCAGAGTTTGCATGTTCTCCCCTTGCATGCTTGGGTTCCCTCCTGGTATCCCAGCTTCCTCCTACAATCCAAAAACATGCTTGTCAGGTTAACTGATCACCCTAAATTGTCCATAGGTGTGTGTGTGTGTGTGTGTGTGTGTGTGTGTGTGTGTGTGTGTGTGTGTCTGTGTGTGTGAATGGCGGTGTGTTTCTATGATAGACTGGCGACCGGTCCTCAGTTTCTCTGCCTCTCACCTGATGACAGATGGGATAGGCTTCAACCAATCATTATTGATGTATTAAAACAGAATTACTGATTTCTGAGCATTTTGGCAGCAGGTCTATAGTGTTGATTTTTTTCTATGGTGACCTAAACATTTTAGTTTTAGCAAAAACTTGATGATGATTTCAAGGAAAGGCTTCCATTTAACAAGCAGAAACCTAGACCAGGACTAAAAACAAGGTTGATGACTGCCTGCCCTAATCATTTGGGTAAAGATAGTGAAAGGGAGCATGCAGTTGTGAAATGCAAGTTTTATGTACAATAAAAAATGATAGGAGTCATTTTATTTATTGTAGGATTAGACTGTTTAATCTGACAATAATAAATTATGATAAGCACCAAAGATAATAGCAGCAGGGTTTAATTGAGTTACATTGAGGAAGCAGGTAACTTCTTGCAACAACAGATCCATACTCTAAACCCCACAGAGTAGAAATATCTGCAGAAGGTGTCAGAAGAGAGACAGAAGAAAAGTACAGGGGAAAGAAGGATACAAATTGTGCATTGTATAGGATTAAAAAACCACAAATGTAGAGAAGTAGAAAAAAGTAGAGAGAGAGAGGAAGGGAAAAGAGCTTAGTTCATCTCAGGAAAACCCAAACTAGTACATCCCTGATGCATCATAACTAAAGGATGGTGTGGGGCCATTTAAGCCCTTTCTATAAGGCAATAACACAAACAGAGTTTTAGACCCAGTCTTAATGTGGAAAGAGGATGTCTAGCCCACAAATCTATGCATAGAGCTGCTTCCACAGAAGAGGAGCTTAATTGCTCAAGACTCTGCCTCCCGCACAACTTTTGGAGACTGTTGGAATCTGGAATCTGGAGAGTTTTCAGGGACTTGTGACAGGGAGTTAAAGTAAGGCTGCCTGAAAGTAAGTTATACATAAACTTGTGTTTTTTTTTTCATCTTTTTGTGCCTGGATTTGTCAAGTGTTTGAAATAATGTGTAGGAGGAAAAATGGCTATCCTTCAAATTTATGTTCAAGTGTTTACATTCTTAAAGTCTGGAAACTTGGAACTCACTTACTGATGAAACTACAGAAAGAGCTGAAACTAAAGGATCGTATGTTTTGCTGAAGTACAGTAGCCTCCTTTTTGTTGGTTTAACAGCAGAAGATGGCAAGTTATCCAAATTTGAATAACATGGTTTGGTTGACCATAATAATTGGGTATCATCTACACAACAAATTAACAGTCTCTCCTTTTAACATTCCCAATGACAATACTATTAAAACAAAGAAATACAAGGGGAAAAAAAGATCTGGGTAGAAGGCACAATCTTAAAGCAATCTAGAAAGCACCCCACCTAGTGTATTATGGTTAATTCATTAGCTGCAGTAGCACATGTGCAGTGTCCATAATCAGTCTGTAATGAGAGCAAAAAAAAGACACAGTGTCTGAATTTTAACCATATCCACACTTTTAGATGAACTCACAATATGGTCTGTCAATGTTTGAACTAAGTTTCAGTAAGACAGCTCAAAGTACTCCTTGACAACCTGCTTCCCCATAAAATTCCCTATTATTTATAGTATTTACATGAGAAGCAACCTTTTTTAAAATTTGAGACAATTGCGATGTGTGTCTGTCTTTTTATATGTGTGTCTATGTGTGTGTGTGTATGTGTGTGTGTGTGTGTGGGTGTGAGGAGGTGTTCTGAACCCCCGGTGGCTTGTTAATTGTGAAGGGGCTGCCGCACTTATACATCAATAGTTGTTGTCTAGACTGAAATACAGGGGACTCATAAACTGAGCAGTTACATTTAGCCACAATGTAGGACAGGACACACATCGTGGTGTGTGCAAACTGTAATGGTTATCCAAAATTACAAAAACATAAATACAGAAGAAGAGAGGAGGGGGATGAAGACTATTCATAACCTGTTAGAGTTCAGACAATTACTGGTACATGTTTTGGCATGACATTAGTACACAGCTCATTTTTGTGCTGTGAGTGTTTTTCGCTACAGAATTCGGTGGTAGGTGCACCTCAGGGTAAAACAGATAAAATAGGAGCTGGAACCTTGATAACACCACATCATCACAACTTTTAAGAGAAAACATTTCCTTGTTATATTTGGCACAAACTACAGAAAACAAGGGAAGGAGTTTAAGTATCTGGAGAAGGCAAATTGGATTTTGGTGAGAGCGTGATGTAGCGTCACTGGTACTGCGAGCATTGCACTGGACCGTTGTGGTGAAGAGATAGCTTAGCAAGAAGGCAAAGGTCTTGGTTTACCAGTCGATCTACATTTCAACCCTCACCTATGGTCATGAACTATGGGTGGAGACTGAAAAAGTGAGATTGTGGATACAACTAACATGAGGCTGGCTGTGCTCAGCCTCAGAGATTGGGTTAGAAGTGTGAACATCTGGAGAGTGCTTGCATTAGAGCCACTGGAATCAGTTCAGGTGGTTTGGTCATTTGATAAGGATGTCTTCTGGATACCTCCCCTTTGGAGATGTTCTGGGCACGCACAACTGGGGAGAGGCCCAGAGCTTGCTGGAGAGATTACATATCCCACCTGGCCTGGAAGTTGGAAAGTGATGCTGAAGAGAGGGAGACCTGGATCAACTTGACCAAACCCAAGATAAGCATAAGAGGGTTGGTGGATGGATGGATGGATGGATGGATGGATGGATGGATGGATGGATGGATGGGTAGGTAGGTAGGTAGGTAGCTGGGTAGGTAGCTGGGTTGGTGGATGGATGGATGGATGGATGGATGGATGGATGGATGGAGTCACAGTCATTTCATAAGACTCTATTCCTGCTTCTTTGTTCTCATAAGAGCTGTAGATATTTGGTATTTGGTCCCTTACGTCAAATATAAGAGGCTCCTTTTTATGTTGATTTTTGCACAGCAGCTGTTTTCTGATGGAATTTTTTTACCTGCAGTTTATGTATTTATCTTTTTAACTGTTCAAATACATCACCTACTGAGTTCATTTGACTTGAAAAATGTATACATAGGCATCAACCCTCTAGCGTTGGTTGTAGGCATTAGTGATAGATGTAGTGAAATTCAGATGGCCTCGTTTACTTTTGTGGGACTTAGAAAGGTGTAAGTGTCAATGCAGTCTGTTCCATGCCCAGTTAAAAAGCCCTCACAGTAGTTTTAAAATGACACTGTTGAATATAGATGGTAGTTTTTTTCGTACTTCCAGGTGAAGGACCACAATGCTAACCTTACCTTACAGGAGCTGACCATAACATCATGATCATTTGTAAATATATATATGTTTTTTTAAAAGTGCCTTGCCTCATGTTGTTCCCATCCAACATTGTCCTCATCTTGTCAGATAAAGGGCCATACAGTCCTGATCTGATGAGAAATGGACTGTACTAGACTCTGTCAAGCCAATCCCTTAAGCTTGTTGTCAATTACCTCAGGCCACCTTCTTCCATTACTCTATGGTCCAGTTCTGATGCTCAGGTGCCCATTGTTGGTGCTTTCAGAGGTGGACAGGGCACCCTTACCAGTCTCGTACCACACAGCCCCATAAACAACAAACTAATGATGTTATGTATGTTTTGACTTCATTCAGTCAAAACCAGCTTTAACCCTTCAAAGGATTTGAGCTCCAGCCACTGTGCAGGGCTTTGCTTCCTGAGTGCTCATAACCCTGTGGTTGGTTTCTCAGTTTTCCTTTCTTAAACCACTCTAAAAAGAGTTGGGCATTAAAAGGACAAGACTGGTTTTCATGAAACACAAGCCTGGATAAGCTCACTTGCAAACTGTTCTGCCAGGGAGCACGGCCGCAACTACCCTTGTTGGAGGGGCATGCAGCAACAGACCCCCCCCCCCCGGTTCTACTACTACCTAGGATATCTGTGTGTGTGTGTGTGCAGGATACACTGCATACCCACTTTTTGCGCCTCTGGCGGTGAGCCAGGCTGGTTTCGAAGAGCTGTAGAGTTCAGTAGCATCTGCAAGTTGGCGCCCACCCCCTCAGTTGCAGCCATTTGCCTGAGTTGGTGATGTCACATAAAGGGGACAGAGCACCTCCTCTCTGTGTGCTACAAGAATGTTGCATTTGAGGCTGTTGGACAACCCAATGAGGTTTTAATACAGTTGAAATACATTCTTTATTTCTCTCAAGGGAACTAGTCTGAAATCACTTAAAAAAGAAAGGAAGCAAAACTAAACCGAAGTGGAACCCTAACATTACCTTCTGCTCCCAAGACCATCAGCCCATCACAATTCTACCTTCATCAAAGTTGCTCACAGTCTTACTGTTTCTTAGTTTTTCGTCCCCAAACACAAAAATATTGAGGATACAATGTTCACTTGCTTCCCAACATATCCCACCCACTGACAGATGCTGTTGTAAAGAGACAATCAGTGTCACTCACTTCAATCTGTTATGGTTAATGAGAGTATGTTATCAGCCTTCAGTTTATTTTACTCCTTCTCTTGACACTCCATCTGTGCTACTATGAGTCTTGCATTTTTGTTAGTAAGTCAACATGTTTGTTGACTTCTTTTCAATATTTATTGAGAATTATTTTAATTTTTATTTTGGATCTGTTTCTATTTTGTGCATGTTTTCATAGTGCTATGGTTCTGTGAAATCTTTGTTTTACTTTCTCAAATCACTGCAGTTCATCATATTACCTTATATTATTCACATACTGAATAATTCATTAACAGCGAACATGTTTTAGTATCTTAAGAGACAAACAAACCACCAAGAAAAAAATGAAGTGATCTCAAAGTGACTTATCAGCTTTGTCTTCCCCAGCAGTCCACTTTCTACCTCGCACAACATCAGTAAATAATCTCTTAGCAGATAGTTTTGCTTTGTTCTGATGCAGGTTGATGTGGCCTCACAGTCTTTGTGTTTCGGTGGAGGTCACATCACTCTAACACTCTGAATAGGATTTTTTTTTTATTTTTATGGCGACTTCAGGGAGTGGAGTTTTTCATGCTTATTGTATTATTTCTGTTTGACCCCTCTCTTTTCTCTTAATAAAGAAACAGACGCAGAATGACAAAGTCAACCACTCCTCCCAGGGCTTTAACTGTGAGTCTGCTTCACAGATCAACTCACAAATATTCTCACTTGTGTTTATTATTTTAGTTATTGGTGTGTCATGGTGTTCAGACTGAGCTTCATTTTCCCTCGTAGGCCTGGAGTCTAAGACAGAGGTCGGTGTGTCGTCCTGCCTGCTTACACCCACAGCCTCCCCGAGGGACCCCGGCCTGTCTGAAGAGCGCGGGATAAACGGAGGTGTTAACAGTGGAGGGTGAGTACAGCAGAGATCCTGGAGACTCTAAAGAAACCACACAGATCTACTCTGTTTGTTTCCCCTGCGTCTTGCTTGATGTCTGTGTTTTATGATGTTGGCAAAACCAGCATTCCTGGCCGAGTTGTAGCATAGGAAGCTGTATTATTCCCACATATCATAACAGTGTGTCATCAAAACTGTTCCTGTAGCTCTTCTGAGGAACTTTGTGGGTTATGCTGGTTTAGGCAACAAAGCAGTTCATCTAACCTCTTGAATATTTTTTTTTTAATTAAACCTTTATACAGCCGGGGTAGTCCCATCAAGATCAGAAATCTCTTTGTGAAGAGAGCAGATAGTCAGTCAAACAATAGAAGACTTTAAAAACACTGACAATTTTTAACATAAACATTTGTATATAAAAAGCCTAAATTCAAGAGATTTTACTGAGATTTTTTTAACACTCAGATGAGTTTGCAGCTTTGAGTGAAACAGTCAGAAAACCTAAAAGCTATCTTCTACTTCAGTCAAGACTTAAGGCACGGTGAGTTGTAGAAGGACTAACAAGCAACTTCCAAGATTAAAACTGTAAATGATGATATGCCAACGCTTCAGCTGTGAAGTTAAAATCCGAGTGTAACGCACAATGGTGAGTTCGTAGTTAGCGTTTTTCCACACTTTTGAAAAACTTTTATGGTAATTGCTGAAAAGATGTTCACAACTGGCTCTAAGTGTTTTTAAGTGTTGATTTTATATCTGTGTTTCAACAAGATATTACCAGGAAATCTGCTTTAGTCACAGGATCTATCACTCTCACACTCATAGCAGTTAATTCGATTGTACAAAAGAACACGGTATTGCCACAGAAAAACTGTGCATGCCTTAGACCCAAACATTTGTTGCCAGTTAGTTACATCCTCCTTTCAATGCTACAGTGAACAATTTAAAATTTGAATGAAATTTGAAAAACAAAATTGTGTTTGGAAATGTATTCATACTATAGCTGCATTTTTTGTGGTTAAAAAAAAAGGTGAAAAGATATTCGGACTAGTTTTCAACCTGTTTCAAACCAATTTCAATGCATCTGTATCAAATCTTGTCCGGATACATGCAGCTGAGGCAGTCTAGTACACCACATCACCATAAATAGATAAAAAAGTGAAGGGGTGGGGGAAAAAATTGCTGCAAACCTTAAGGTCGTGGTGAACTTTAGGTACTGTCTCTTCAGACCCCATCAATCAGAAAACGATTACAACATTAATGTAACACAAAGCGTTGCTCATAAGAAAAGAAACCATACAAATGACAGCCCAAATAAAGACTGGCAAAACTGAGGACACTGAGGAAAGAGAGGAAAGTCTATCACAAGAGCTGAGTGAGGTAGAATAAATTATGTAAATATAATATAAGATGGTGAAAAACAGCCAAAATAGAGGTATTAGATAAGACAATGAAATAGTGAAAGAAGACTTTGGTGGAAAAACATTAAAACAGAATGAAATTTCTGAAGAAATGTATAAGAAAAGTATTATATGGTAGGTAAAAGAAATAACATTTATTTTAAAGCAAGACTGTGAAGGTAGGTTTTGAGTTTGTGTTTAAGAATATGGAGACACCGCTGTAGGTCTTCAGGTAGGCTGCTCTACAGACGTGGGTCATAATGATAAAAAGCTGCCCCGCCATAGGTCTTTGTCCTGACTTTTGGCACTAATAAGAGACAACTACCTGAGGACCCGAGGACTCTCACAGGCTCATATGATAAAAGTATCAAGAACTTAAAAACCAATAGAAGAATCTTAAAATCAATTTTAAAAAATACTCGAAGCTAGTTTAGAGATGTTAAAACGGATATAATGTGGGCTCTCTTTCTAGTCTTTGTCAGCATCCTTGGAGCTGAGCTTTGCAGAAGCTAAAGTTGGCAGATATTCCTTTAAAGGTGACCAGAAAGAAGAGTACTACAATAATAAATTCTGCATGTGATAAAGCATGAACAAGTGTCTCTGCATTGGCTTGAGAGCAAAAGTCTGGAAATGTTTTTCAGGTTATTTAATGCTTTAGTGGATTTCTCTCTAATATGTGGCTCAAAACTAAAGTCTGATTTAAAAATCACTATGAGATTTTTAACCTGCTGACATTGGTAAAATAAATCAAACCTGGACTAAAACCTGAGTTTTGTCCCAGTTGAGCTTTAAAAAGTTCCCTGCCATCCATGACTTGATATCAAAAATACAGTTAAATTATAAATGGACATTATAAACAGTAAAATAATCTTCTCCTGTTTTTGAACAGTCCGACATATCAGCCAGTCTTAATCTTCAGTGTGTAAAAAGGGAAAATAAGCTGTTTTTGCAGCGTACAGTGAATTACTGTATGCAATATTTATTTTTAGAGATAACTGTTAAGAAATAAGCCCTTGTGTTGATTAATCTCATTTGCTTTGATGGTCATAAAGAAGTGTTAGTAAGGATTTTACTCTGTTTCATATTCCGCTAAAAACTCCTTAGAGAAGCTTAAGGAAGGACGGTTACACTATTTCTGAAACCATGCAACAACTGCTTTTGGCCATCAGGTGATAGTGAAAACAAGTTGTGTGAACAGGATTGTGTTGTTGTTATTGCTGATAAAACTTGAAGTTTACTTTGGGTATGTAACAAGCCTCCTCCCTCTTCGTCATCTCTCTAGGTTAATAAAGTCTGAGGGGGTCAGTGGAAGCCCGGTGGAGTGGACAGTGTCGGACGTTGTCAGTTATTTCACAGATGCAGGTTTCCCAGAGCAGGCTGCTGCCTTCAAGGCCCAGGTGAGGCTGTAACTCTACTTCATCACCACGAGAGGTCACTATAGCAAAGCTCAAAACATGTACATGTCACCTGTTCACAGTTTTGACCCACATCTACCCACAAACACTGCTCTGCTCTCTCCGTTAGGAAATCGATGGCAAGTCTCTTCTCCTCATGCAGCGTAACGATGTTCTGACTGGGCTGTCAATCAGACTCGGCCCCGCCCTCAAGATCTATGAGCGTCATGTAAAGGTGCTACAGAGAACGCACTTTGAGGATGATGAGTGCTAACACACACACACACACACACACACACACACACACACACACACACACACACACACACACACACAGATCCTGAATTCTGTATCTATATTTAGCTTCAATAATCCTATAACTATATATGCATGAAAAACAACTTTTCATCTCATATCAAGCAACTCTTACACACATGCACACGCTCACACACACTTACACACACACACACACACACACACACAGTTTCTCTGCTCCCTGGCCTCTCTGACTGCTCTGGTCCAGAAACAACACACTGACTACAACACACTGACTTTCCTGGACAACGGGGATTTTCTACTGAATAGAGCAGAAACAATGGAGGGAGGAAAGAGAAAGACACAGTTGTAAGGTGCAGAATTAAAAGGAAAACATGCAAACTCTCTTTTACTTACTGGCCAAGCACTTTTTGCAATTTCTCCATTAAGCAGTGCAAGTTGGTGTCTTATTTTGTTTCTTCTTTCGCTCAATTTTTGCACTTTTTGAAAGAGGTTATGTTTATTATATGTTTAAGTATATTTAGGGTTCTTTCTGTGAGGCTAAAATGAAAATTTGTCCCTCTGTTTAGAATGTTCTTTTGTTCTGGTATCCACACTGTTTGAGTGTGACTGTGTGGCTGAATTTGTTGGTGTTTGAAGAAGCAAATTAGAGGCTGAGAATACATTCCCACTGACACAGAGTCGGGTTGGTGTGACCTTGTGCAAAATGATGAATGGTTATGGCAATGCTTTGATCAATTCCCGAGGTGTCTTAGAGGTGGCTGAACACTGTAGTTTCACAGGTGGTTGAATTTTGTGGCTCAGTGTTTTAGAGGAAATCTGTGACATGGTCTTTTTGTGGTAATATTAAACATTGGTACCCACAATCTGTTACAGCCCACTCAATGTCACGTTATGATGAGATGTGGTGAGGTCCTGAAGACACTTGGTAGTGACATGCAACTTGGAGACCCACTCCGATTGTTTTTCTTTTACTACTTGTAGGGCTATCATTGCTCTTTAAATTATGATTATAAAGTTTTTAGCCAAGATCACGTAGCTCATTAGCAATTCACCTCTGAGTCGTGGGTGGAGACAGCGTGGCTCTGCACACTCCTCTTCATGCTAGCTTGTAGCCTGAAAGTGTTGGTGTGGATGAAGTGGCAGGTACACAGATACATGTCCAGGTGTCTGCCAGTGTTATCTACTGATGCTTCACTGTGTTTCAGCTTTGTAATGTGGCATGTGTTGGAGCTTCCACTCCACTTGATCAATAAACCAGCTATGCTACTGAAAAGCCATTTGATTCACATATCATCAAGCTACTAAGAGATGTGATCTAGCCTCCAATGGCACTGTTTATGAGGTTGTTAGTGCCTAACAATGTGAATCACCTAAGAAACATATATATTAATACCTGGGCCTGTAATCCCATTTTATGACTGCACAGAGCAAGGAGGACACTTTTTTTGAGTAAAATCAGTTCCTCTTATTTGCATTTGAATCAGCATAAAAACAAAATAAAAGCTTACACTATTCAGCAATAGAAATGCTGCTTCAGCCACCTCTCAGCCACGTATGTATTTAAAAAAAAAGAGAGAGAAAACTAGACCATAAACGCATCAGCATTTATATGTAAATGATCTAAAAACAATTACCTAACTGAAAGGTGTAACTGCAGGTTAAAGCTGAGTCAATCAATCTCATGCCACCAGCATTTCTTAACTGTTTGTATTTTAAAAAACCAAACCTGTCAAACTATCTCTCATCTCATTCCCATGGTCACTAGAACAAATCCATTCCAGGTTTGACATTTTGTCACGCATGCCTTGTTAAAATGACCCACATTTGTATGTTTCAGAATGTATTTGTTTCATCTTGTCAATGTTTCGGGCCACTCTCTGCTCACAATGGTGTTTCTTTATGTCCTCAAGTCTTCACTACCTCTCACTCAGTGGCGTGTCCAGAGGGGAGCCAGGGGTGGCATATCACCCCTTGATATCTTAATAAAGATTGCAGGCACCACCCCAAAATCCTACACTATTATGGCAGTTTCCCACGTTGGACAAACTTTACAAACTTTACAGAAAAACTGTGCACTTCATGATTTGGTGGTCTTGTTCTCTGCTTTTTGGAGTGTATTATGTCTATTTTTAAAATATTATGGGCATCATGTCATTTTATCTCATTTTTCAATTATTTTAATATTGAACCTGTCCAGGGTCTACAGGTGGAAATTAGCAATTGTTGCTATAACCTGGCTGAAAGCATCTCTTCTTGTCTTACAAGATTAACCTTTTTCTGTGCATTGTCCCTGTTTTAGATAAATGAATTCAATTCAATTCAAATAAGTTAAAATCAACTATTTGGATATTGCAACAAGCTGCTAGTAGTTTTCTTGGCATTTCAATGTTGTGAATTTGTGTGTGCTTTGACCTGCTTTATGATAATCCAATATGAACTTGAAAAGACCAGAGAGAAAAAGCAAGAGTGTATAGACGCACACAAGCTACAGGTGTGAAAATACCCTTAATTATTATAGTATCTAAATGTCAATACTTTCATGTGTGCTATGCGCTTCATTCATACACATTCATAGTTTATTCCATGAAAATGCAACAAGGATTTTTGAGACATCCAGTTCGTTTATTTTTATTGTTATTTACAATAACAACTAATTTCTTGATTTAAAAAATGGTTTCCATTTCTTGGGTTGTCTCCCAAACTAGGTCATCTCATATTCAGGCCAAAACAGTGAAGAATAACTATTTTAAAAGACAGGTGCATATAAATGAAGTCCTTTAAAATGGAACGAAACTTTGACCATAAGACAGTGTACAGGAGTTTGATCTGATAGATACTTCAAAGTTAACTGTTAGAGATAGAAAGGGTAGATAATGCCACCCCTGCAGAAGTCAGTGCCCAAGTGCGGCCACCCTTGTGAGAAAACTATGGACACGCCCCTGCACTCACCAAGTTTCCCTTTCACTCTCTCTCCACCCTTTTTTTTTTCTTCAATTCTGCCACTGTTTGTATTTTTTTTTTCATTTCCATGGGTCAAATTTGTAGGGAAAAGAGGATAAGGATGTACAGTGCATCCAGGCCCTTGTTGATTGTCTCAAGTTGTTTGTTAAAAGACAATTTTAGTAATAAAAGTTTCAATAAAAACACCACAATGTGTCCATTATGAGTATGTTTTCACACATGTTGCATGAATTGAAAGGTATAACTAGTGTTAGTGCATGTTTCTGTATTCATGTGTGTGAGTGTGCGTGTGTAACAGATCCACGTTTTGGCATGTGTGTGAAGGAAGGAGTCCTATGTGTATCAAGAGCAGCCGGGTCAGAACAGCAGCTCCATTCAGTCTCAATAAGGAGCCAGGGAGAGACCATGGTGTGGTTAAGCAAAAGCATATCCATAAAGAACTCAATATTTGTTTATTATTTTAGAAAATAATCAGTTTTGGCATTTATTTGATCCAATTTTTCATTGGAGTCAGCCAGGAAGTGTTTCCATAACCATGCAGTGTATTTACTGGTTAGATCCAAGAGGAGGAAGAAATATCATGCTATATCTGTCCTGGGACACTCTCCAAGGTAAGAGCGTGAGTGTGTGTGTGTGTGTGTGTGTGTGTGTGTGTGTGTGTGTGTGTGTGTGTGTGTGTGTGTGTGTGTGTGTGTGTGTGTGTGTGTGTGTCAGAGTTGGTGGGTGTGTGTGTAAACGATGGGGTTACAAGTGTGACAGGGAAAGAGAGGGGCATATTTATACCTCCACATTCAGACTGCAGCTCCCACAGACATGGTGGTTCAGGGCAGCAGAGGAAAAAGAAAAGACTAACCCTGGAATTGGACTCCACCGGGAACTACTGGGCCATCAAGCCAGGGAAGATCAGAAGGGACGACTCTGAACACAAAAGAAATTAGATCATATGAGACCTTCCGCTGAATATAACTGAGTGAAGTGTAGCAGACAACACTGAGGGAAGCAGACGACACTGGGGGAACAGACAACTGTGTGAAAAACTAAGGATTACCAAGAAGACAAAGAGGAGCAGTCATGCCAGGCACAGGAGGAACTGAGTGAGTGAAACAACCGCATGTTTACAGGACAAGTGTATGTGTGAGTGTTCACAAACGCATACTATATACACTGTGTAGGGTATGAATACATTTTTTAGTGTATAACTGGAGTCATAAAGCTGGCTCTTTGTCAAAACTACTTTTTACATTGTGTCAAAAACCCCTGATTGGTTAGTCAGAAATTTATCAAATGTTTACAGAGTCATTTAGTTGCTACGTGCAGACTCAAAGAGAGTCTAAATACAGCTCAGTGTCACATGAGGAAATTAGAGCTACAAGTGCAGAGCCTGCATGTAAGAGTCATGATGTTTCTCTTGTTTGAAGCCCAAAGGGAGAAGATTTCTCCACTGCTATCCTGAAACAGAAGCACAGACCTAATAGACTTATTGTGGATGAAGCTCTCAATGAAGACAGCAGTATTGTCAGCCTCTCACAGGTTAGTGTACGTGAGTCTGTACAGGGAGTACATCCAGTGTTGTTTGTATATCTCTTTGGATTTATGTTTGTGTTTACACCAGAATAAGACAGAGGAGCTGCAGCTCTTCCGGGGGGACACAGTGGTACTAAGAGGAAGGAAGCGTCGCCAAACTGTGTGTATCGTGTTGACTGATAATACTTGTGGGGATGAACGAATCCGCATGAACCGAGTGACGCGCAATAACCTGCGTGTTCGACTTGGTGATGTTGTCAGGTAAATCTCAGCAGAGTGAACGACAAATGAAATCCTTCTGAATAATCCATTCACTGCTTTTGATGTGTTTCATCACAGCATTCAGGCTTGCCCTGATATCAAATATGGGAAAAAGATCCATGTCCTCCCGTTAGACGACACCATCGAGGGTCTCACAGGAAACCTCTTTGACGTTTTCCTCAAACCCTACTTTCTCGAGGCTTACAGACCTGTGCATAAAGGTACAACTGCTCCTTCGCTAATCATTTCACCTCAATGAAAATGGCTCACAAATCACAAATGACTCTGCAGATCATAACATGAGTACTAGACTGTAGTCTTAGTTTATAAACTCATCAATGTTCAGGTCCTGGCACACTGCACTAGGGTACACTATAACCAGCCTCTGGGAACCATGATGGATGGCATAAACCTCTGCTGCTTTGCTGATGATACTAAGACATATCTATCCTCCAGGACTGATTAATGAGGATCAGACAAAAATTTCCTCATAAGATGGATCCAGGTTTTTGTTTTTAGTTTTGATGACACTTATAGCCTGTAATTAGCCAAATGTCTACTTACTCTGGACATTAAAGTGTTGTTAATTGCCATATTTATCACCAGTTTTGACATTCATTGTACCATTTAAAGTAGATACTATATGTAAATACTTTGACAATCTCTTTGGTTGTTGAGAGAACAGCACAAGCTTTACTTTACTGACAATATGGAGCAGTCTAATCTAAACAAACAGTTTTAAAAAATCTCAGAGAGCATCAATAATACAATGCAGTAATGCAATACAGGACAGTGTCACTCTATCCTATACTGTAAAGGTGGGCATGACAGCCATTCAGAGTGGAAACTATGTAAAAAATATAAATAGTAGTAAGCAGTGGGCCCAAAATTGAACCCTATGTCTCCACTCTGTAACAAAAGATTCAGACTCATCTTAACCAAATCTTAACCACCTTTTATAAATGCTCCTGAGGCCCAATGCATTAACTTTTACCCAATCTTACACTTCCTAATGTCTTTAAGTAAGTGGTGACCAACCAAAATGAAACAGATCCATATAAAGGACAGCATAATAATGCCTCATGTCTAAAGTCCACATTGACAAATGTAATGGCTTGTACTATTATTTGGTCTTTGATATGTCTGGTGTGGATTTGAGAAATCTGAAATAAAGAACTTCAGTCAAATATTTCCCAAAAAGTCAATGACTGTCGCTGGACGGAGTGATTAAAGATGGTTTATTAAAATCATCCCTGACACCGGTTCTGTCTATGTAAAATACATAAGCAGATCTCCATACTGTGGAAATATTCCTGTTGAGGAGGAAAGATTAAACATATGCACTTATTGTAGAGCCATAACTGTAGCAGTCATTTTTAGAAAGAAAGTAACCACGTTGTCTTTACCAGCAGAGCTCCCAGGATTCAAGGACTGCAGTGCATGTAATACCTCAGTAAATGAGATGAATTCAAATGAGGAATGAAAGGCTTGGCCCACCGGCCCACATGAACAACGTTAGGGGCAATGTTAACATCGATTTACTTATAAAAATAGTGAAGGTTAGATCTCTAATGAGCTAGCGACGTGCAGCCTCTCCTGCTTTTATGTATCACTGCTTTTACAACTAAAACACAAACTTTTCCACCACGCAGTTAAGACCAATCACTTCAGAGTGAAACTGCAGACAGGGTTCTGATAAAACCAGAAAGAAAGACCACAGGACCCCTGATTAGCACAATTTAGACTGTTTTCTGTGGCTTAAAGGATTGTTTTGGAGGCTTTTTCTTAGGTTTTGCAGTACATATGTTGCCAGCTGCCAATGAAAACTTAAAGAATACTATACTGAACCAAACTAGTGTTTTTGTTGTCTCAGTTTTTGTTACTGAATTGTAAAAAAAAACTTATAGTGGTGCTCCTCTTTGTGTGCACAACAGGTGCTCAAAGTATAGTTCACTATTCCTTTATTTCCAAGTGTGGTTGCATATTTGGCATGCACCAGCTTGTTTACTGTTCACCAAAATACAGCTCTACCTCATGTCATTGTTAAAAGGTGACTTTAAGATGTTGCTCTCTAATTGCATTTTCAGATGACGTTTTCTTGGTGAGGGGCAGCATGCGGGCAGTGGAGTTCAAGGTGGTGGAGACAGACCCCAGTCCGCACTGCATTGTTGCCCCAGACACTGTTATCTACTGTGAAGGAGAGCCAATCAAAAGAGAGGTAAGAAGTTTATGAGCCTTTTGCCCAAATCAATACTTACATTTTTCAGCTGGAGGTTCAATAAATACTTCTTGTACTTGCAGGAATATCTTGTCACCTAGGGCCTGATTAAAATAGCCTTAAATTAGGAGCCAGTCTAAGTGGACACGTATTGAACTGTTTTGACTCTTTTTCAGATTCCTTTGTCACTCTGGAGGTTTGCCAGGCTTTAGGATTAGTTATGTGTCGATGTCTTGTAATCATTTGGTGGTTTTCCTTTTTTTTAAAACTACAGAAAAGACTATTGCACCTAAACAAAATGATGCAAAAAACACTTTCTACAATTCATTTTCTGTTTCATGAAGGTACCAGGTTAGAAAAGTACAGAGTAACTTCACAGATTAACTCCATTACAAAGTAGTTGTGAATGTTTTGGACCCATTGGGCTGAGGTTTTCATATAGCCCTTCTGTCTTAAATTGATGTCTTTGTGTAAACTCCATAACCTCTGACTCTTTCATACTTCTCTGTGATAGGATGAGGAGGAGAACCTCAATGATGTCGGTTATGATGACATTGGAGGCTGTCGGAAGCAGCTGGCTCAGATCAAAGAGATGGTGGAGCTTCCTCTCAGACACCCTGGTCTCTTTAAGGCCATAGGAGTCAAGGTGTCAAGCATGCACACATACAAACTCTTTAACATTTCTAGACTCATATAACATTGGGTGTTTCACTATTTATGAGTCTACTTGCTGCTTTGCTCCCATCCTTCAGCCCCCTAGAGGTATTCTGCTGTACGGTCCTGCGGGCACTGGGAAAACCCTGGTGGCCCGAGCTGTAGCCAATGAAACTGGGGCTTTCTTCTTCCTCATCAACGGTAAGGTTGTTGTTTGTATTTGCACAGAGGCACAGGGATGCACAAAGACAGAATTCAGTTCAAGGCATGGTTGACGATCTGAGAAGCAGTTGACAAAAACTGAACCTGTATCGCCCTCCCCATGACACACCCCCTCTGGCAGAGGAAGAAGCCGGCAGACAGAAGATCCTACGCTAGCTTCAAATAGGATTCACCATGTCAGATTGCTAGTAACTAGTAAAAGTAAACACAGCTCTGCCAGCGAGCACCGTCTGCAGCTGCCTGGACAGCTACCATGTTGACATTGCCACAATAAAAGGCAAAAACTACCTGTTCAACAAAAAACTCTGCCTCTCAGTGTCTTTTTTCAGGCCCAAATCTTGGCAGTGCTTTCTCCACTGCTCGAAGGATGACCGATATTTATTCAAGTTAGATTCCTCGCTTGGTCACATTTCCTCTTTGTCTCTCCCCTTTCTTCTGTCGGCTTGCGTTTTCTTAGCACTTTAGGGGGTGGGGCGAGCAGAAGTGTTTTTTTTTTTTTTGCGTGCTTCTCCAACACAGCTCCTGTAGCTAAACTGCTGTGCTACTTTTAGCCACTTAGAGCTCCAAGGAGGGCCAGGAAAGTGGGAGGGGACGAGTCAGAAACATGGGAGAGGGGTGTGTCGAATACAGTTAGGTGATTGGATGGGGGTCGGAGCAGGAGATTGACCAATAGGAGCTGTCCGGGATGGATGGCTCCTATTGGTCAATGTTTTGGCAGCCGGCACCTATTAGGGTGAACAGATTTTTTCCATTCTTTTTTCTCTTCACTTTGTGGAGATCACACCATAGGACCATGATCGCCATATAAACGAGGTTCATAATAATTACCAATCTCTCCAATTGTCAACCATGCCTTTAATCCTGCTCTTGGTAGCAAACCCAAGACTGTAAAAACCAAGTGAACAGAGTTAATGTAACCTGGTTGTAAACTTTTGTCGACTCTGTCATTTTTTCTTGTTTATGGATTTGTGTTGGAGGAAGTATGTTGGAGGAAGTATGTTTAACATGTTATCTCCTGTGAAGGGCCTGAGATCATGAGTAAGCTGGCGGGAGAGTCAGAGAGCAACCTGAGGAAGGCGTTTGAGGAGGCAGAAAAAAATGCCCCATCTATCATTTTTATTGATGAACTGGATGCCATTGCTCCCAAGAGAGAGAAAGTAACCACCAGAGAAGAAGAGCATAATGAGTCTACCTCTGCACTGTGAGGTCACTCTTACTTTTAGTGTGTTTTTGTTTGTGTGTTTAGACTCACGGTGAAGTTGAACGACGTATCGTCTCCCAGCTCCTGACCCTGATGGATGGCTTGAAGCAAAGAGCTCATGTGGTTGTCATGGCAGCTACAAACCGACCAAACAGTGTGGACTCTGCTCTGAGACGTTTTGGTCAGGACAGCTCCAAAAGCAGCACAAACACATACACATTACACAAACAGGAAAGCTTTCTGATTGATTTGATGTCTCTCTTCAGGTAGGTTTGACCGGGAGATTGACATTGGAATACCGGATACGACGGGTAGACTGGAAATCCTGCAGATTCACACCAAAAACATGAAGTTGGGTGACGATGTTGACCTGGAGAAGGTAAGAAAGCAGCAGCCTGGACTAAATAAACTCTAAAGTCTTTTTTTCCCTCTGCTTGTCCAAATGAAATAAAAACTTTATCAGCAACAAATTTAAATGTTAATCAGCTTCTTAATTATCCAAAAGGCCAAAATGTGTTATTCATATTCCACTTTTTGTAGAACTACAGAAAACAAGTACTAAGTGTGGACATAAATGTTAGCTGCATAAATCAAAATGCAACAAAAAGGTTTTCAGAATATCTTCATGTCAGAGCACAAGGGTTTGGTTGACCTCTTTATTGAAGGTGGGGTAGGCAGGATCTGAGGAAGTGCCAGGTTTTAAGAGAAATCTTGAATGTAAACACTACTCCTCCAAACCAGTTTTTCCTCATAGACTGTATATATGGACAGCATCTGCCGCCTTGATGGGTGAAGCCACTCCGAGAACAGCACACCCTGGTGACGGGCTGCAGTATAGATCATAAATCCTGCCTCTGCCAGCAAAGCTTATGGTGCTGTGGACAAACTTGAGAAATTAATGACACAGAACACTGGTTTGTGCTCAAGTCCTCTTTTTTCTGCGTTTTTAAAACTTATAAGGGGGTTCATGTTTTCTATGATTGACACTTGATACAGCCTATGGGTGTATGAAGATTGCGTAGCTCACCCGGGGATACACTGTTTGAGTCGAGCGTCATCACAGCGACCGTATATTGGTGGAAGGTGGAATCAAGATGTCCATAGTACATACAGTCTACGGCTGTGTCCGAAATTAATCCCTAACCCCTCTATGGGTGACTATTGGGGTTAGCGCCATTGTGAGGGGTGTCCGAAACCTGAGTGATCAATTCCAACTCCCCATATAGGCAACTCAATATTTCCCATAAAGCATTGCAAAATGTAATGACCGTCTCATGGTCACTCACTGGTGGTGGGCATCCCGTCATGCATTGCGTCTCCAGCGGCAATTCAAAGAGAGCAAGAAGAGTCAGAACCTGGGCTCTATTTGCCGTTTACAGCCCACGTTTTTTATCGTCACTTCACTCGCAAGTGATCCGTACATTTTTCGAAAACACAATTGTTTGCTGTGTCATACAGTCTTGTGCACAATATGGCACAGCAAACAATGTTCAGCATGAAAATATAAGGCCTTTTAAAAAAAATTAGTAATTAATTGTTTTTTTCTTATTATTTTTATTTCACTAACATCCTGGAAAAACAAATACATCTATACAACATCACAAAATTCAAGAGATGTGAAAACAAGAGCCGCAACTTCTGACACGGCAGTCTGAGCAGTGATGTCACAACGGTGCGCAATGTAGTGTCCGAAACCTCCGGTGATTGAGCTCACTACATAGTCAGCTATATAGTGAAACTCTGTATGGGAGTTAGGGGTTAGGGATTGAGTGGTTCATTTCAGACACAGCCTATGTTTTCCCCTCAGCTCCTCCTCTCCCCTCCCTCTCTGCTTCTGAAAGCCCCGAAACAGAAACAGATGCTACTGCTCGCTCATATCGTTCCAATTAAATTCAGATATAATGCAGATAAATACTTCAGATAATTACAAATAGAGCCCAGTCAACGTGAAAGTAAAAAGCATTGGTGCTACTGTAGATGCCAACAGACTACCAGCAAACACAATGTTTGCAGGACTTCTACAACTAGGATTAAGTCACATTGTCCAGAACCCGAGGTCAACAGTTTAGCGGCACTACAACACGCAGCAGGTTCCGTTTGACAAGAAACACTTCTGTTACGGACACTTGGCCTTCTTTGTTAAAGCTGTTTACCTGTCCAGCAGAAAGGTTACAGGGTCTGTAAGATCCCCCAAAGCGTCCCCGAAGCAATTATACTTAATTGATGTTGACCCAGCTTTTTAGCTCTTGTCTGGTCTACCTCCAAATTTGAATGAGATTATCTATCTTACTGTAACTGCACACTCTCTCATCTTTTCGGTTTTGTTACAAACTTAAGTTTTAAATCTGAATGCCATCCATCCCAACTTTGGTATGCCCACGTGTGGTCTGATAGCAACATTAATGTTCCTGCTTTATTTCACATATTTTAGATTTCCACAGAGACGCACGGCCATGTGGGTGCAGACTTGGCTGCCCTATGCTCAGAAGCTGCTCTGCAGGCCATCCGCAAGAAGATGACCCTCATAGACCTGGAGGATGAATCCATTGATGCTGACCTGCTCAACTCGCTGGCTGTCACCATGGATGACTTCCAGGTGACACTGCATAAACATACACTCACTGCAAAGGCTTTTGCCATCTGTTGTGTCACGACCTGGCTTTCAGGACATCAATCAATCAACCTTTATCCATAAAGTGCTGATCTGGTCCATTTTACTGATCCATTACATCTTACTACTACTGCTACTATTACAACACCTAAAAGAGTACATACAAACTCAAAGTTGCATTGCCAGAGATACTTTTACAGGAACATCACAATAATAACAACAGATTGATCTCAGTTTTATTTATGGAAAATTCAAGTCAACAGGTCTACAGCAACAGTATAGCATTGAGAGTATTAATTATGAAGTTAAGGTGGGTAATAGGGGTTGGGATTAAAAACGATTGAAGCAGGAAAAGTCAAAAAGTATTTCAATTAACTTTATCTTTGTTACAGCGATACAAATGGTGAGACTGTTGTTAATAAGCGGCAGTAATGATGAGTCTGAGGCTAATAAATTAACATTAGCTTTGTAACTGTTATAAAAAGACTAATGCTTGTAGTTGAAGCAGCTGAAAAGCAGGCAGGTCTAGAGCAGCAAAACATCTGCAGCAACAGTCTAGAGAAACCTACAGGATGAGGGAGCTCAGGGACTCCCAGGAAGGACTGGTTTGTGACTTAAATGGCACATGGTGATTCAAAGTTAATGAATCTCTCTGTCCATGTTTCTATTTATACAGACAGATAGAGGATAGAAAAGGAGAGAAAGGAGTTCAGTGTGCCGGTTCCCCCATCAGTCTAAACCTATAGCAGCATATCTGAGAGTTGGCCCAAGCTTAAACCAGCACATGAAGAAAAGGAAAGAAAATACATGGTTCAACTATATGGAACAAAAGATTTTTTTCCCTCCTAAAATGGGCCTTTTACTAGAACTCTACAGAAAAGACAAAGCTGTATTTTCGTGCCCACCGGCAGCGTGGCGGAGGATGGCGGACCCCGCGCAGTGGTATATTTGTCTGGCGGAGCCTGGTGCACAGCCAGTTTGGTGTTTTCGTAGACTGAGGCGCATTGAGGTCTGCCAAGCTGGGTGTGGTGGCACGGCAGAGGGAGGTGTTGACAGAATCAGCTGGCACAGTGACATTTTCGTGCTCGCCGGTGGCGTATAAAGTGCGCTGAAAGCTCGCCGATTCAAACCTGGTCAGCTTTCACTGCAGGCGGAGCGCAGCTGGTCTAGTGGTATTTTGGTAGACCGGCAGCGTATCGGCATACGTCACCGATGCCTCACCGGCAGGTTTCCACAGTGTCAGGCACATTTCAGTGCAATAAATAATCATCAACAACCATTAATCTGAGTCAGCACATACATTTAGAGCTATATAGATATATTCTGATCTATATCTGATCTGATGAGCACTTTTGGCACGCGCTTAGACACTCAACCTGTCTGAATTAACACAGCTGAAACCACATTAAATTAAATTAAATATCTAGTATATAGACACACGATGAATTTACCAAGATATTTAATTCGTCTGCCCCCATTTCTATCTTGCTCTTCCCCTTATTTCTTGCGCAGCTCGACCACAACATGTCTCCGTGTCTTCTCCCTATCCTGCTGCTGCCACGGCGGCTGAACAGATGATTTGTTTCAGTGCTCAGATGAGTTATTTACTTTAAACCTACATATGGATATGATAATATTCAGTTTTGTGAGCCAAATTTATTTTATATGCCAACATCAATGAAAGAAAGAGCCAGGCCACGGAACGCGATGCGTCATTACGCACAGATGGTTCAGATTTTAATGCCATTTTTGGAATTTATGATGTGATCTGTGCGCACAGCCCACCTTTTGTCACGTTAGGTTTAAATATATGCAACTTGATGTGAGTGTCTTTATTTGTGGAAAAGGGTGTTTGTCTTACCAGTGGGTCCAACATTACACACACCAAATCCATCTGTGCTCATATGAGAGAGTGTGCAGGATGCCCTCTGCAGGGCTTACAGCGATACTTGTTGAGGGGCTACCTTCTGTCGCCATCGTGTGGCATTGCTGTCTTCAGACATCTCTTGATCTGTCCAACCATTGCCCGAGTTAGGAAGGGGGGATACTTACGCCGGGCTGCGCTGCGCACCAAAATACCAAAATGTGCTTGGGCACGCCTTGTCGGCGGGGCGGACCTGACTTACATCGCGCCTGCGCCACGCCACCGGTGAGGCAAGAAAATAGAGCCCCAAGTGTGTTTTTTTTCCTGAGATAGCATGTCAGCTGTTGAGTGGAAGGAGTGTGAAAATAAGCCACAAAGATGGTCAAAGCCACCTAAACAAAAGCATGACAAGATATGGTCGGCCATAGAGAGAAAAAAAGTGAGAGCAAGGGACGTCTGCCGAATCTTAAATACACCCAAGGGTCTGGCTAACAGGTGCAGCAGAGCCCTGCCCACCAACAACTTGTCAGGACACAAACCTAGGAACAGAAAATAAGGAAGAAAAAACTATCACACTATCCTGTGAGAATGCATAGATGTCAGATATGAGGATGTCTTTACAGAAGACAAAATGAAGACATTGTCATGTCCTCCTCCAGTGGGCACTAAGTCAGAGTAACCCTTCAGCACTGAGAGAGACCGTTGCAGAGGTTCCTCAGGTGAACTGGGAGGACATCGGAGGGCTGGATGAGGTTAAGAGAGAACTGCAAGAGCTGGTCCAGGTGAAATAAAAGTTTGCACACTCCTACCGCCACACACTGCCTTTACCTACAAACACACACCCTATAAACAGTCTACTCTCTGTGTATTGCCCAATAGTACCCTGTTGAATATCCAGACAAGTTCCTGAAGTTTGGCATGACCCCATCTCGTGGGGTGCTGTTTTACGGCCCTCCAGGCTGTGGGAAAACTCTTCTGGCCAAGGCCATCGCCAATGAGTGCCAAGCAAACTTTGTGTCCATCAAAGGGCCTGAGATGCTCACCATGTGGTTTGGAGAATCAGAGGCCAATGTCAGAGACGTGTTTGATAAGGTGAGAGCAGAGCAAAGGAGGACAAACTATCACCAATCAGATCTCTGAGCAGATGACTATGTTTCTCAAAAATGTGCCTCCTTTTTGTTATACTATAACCTCTTTCACTGTCCACAGGCCAGACAGGCAGCCCCCTGTATCCTGTTCTTTGACGAGTTAGACTCTATTGCCAAGTCCAGGGGGGGCGGAGCTGGGGATGCAGGTGGGGCAGCTGACAGAGTCATCAACCAGATCCTGACAGAGATGGATGGCATGTCTGACAAAAAGAATGTTTTTATTATTGGGGCCACAAACAGGTGTGCAGCAACATATGAGTTAAATTTCAGAGGATCAAGGAGAAACCCTGACATTTCCCTCCGTTAATCTCACTTTCTTCATTCCACAGACCTGACATCATTGATGCAGCCATCCTGCGGCCGGGCCGTTTGGATCAGCTTATCTATATCCCTCTCCCAGACAAACCATCACGCACCGCCATTCTCAACGCCAACCTACGCAAGTCCCCTGTGGCACGAGTCAGTGATTCACACTCATAAAGTGATCTTGTCTCTGCACAGCTTTCACCTGAACATTTTTACATAATTGTTTACTTATGGCAAACTTTGCTTTCTTGCCGTGATCCATGCAAGTTATCCTATCCTTTTCATGTGTTTTGCCCTTACCTTCTCGTCCCGTAGGATGTGGACCTGGAGTACCTTTCTGGTATTACAGATGGTTTCTCTGGAGCAGACCTGACAGAGATCTGCCAGCGTGCCTGTAAACTGGCTATCCGTGAGGCCATTGAGGCCGAGATCAAGGCTGAGCGTCAGAGGCAGAGCAGACCGGGTGTCCCTATGGTCAGAAAGCTTCTGCTGTGCTGCACTCATACCTATTTCCACCATCATTTACTGTATTACTGACTTCTTCTCTCCTAAACACTTAAATACACATGATACTCCACTCCTCAAAAAGTGCCTGGCTGTGTGTGCTCCGTACTGATGGAGACAGTGGAAGATCAAGATGTTCCCTAAAGGGCGGCTGTATGTTTTGTAGCTTTCAGCCTTTGGACTGGGAACACACAAACACACATATACACACAAGTAATCATGTAGTATATTGTGTTCAAACTAAGTTTCTTGTTTCACCTGTTTTCAGGATGAAGACTTTGATCCAGTCCCAGAGATTAGGAAAGACCACTTTGAAGAGGCAATGCGATTTGCTCGACGCTCAGTCAGTGACAACGACATTCGAAAATATGAAATGTTTGCTCAAACTCTGCAGCAGAGCCGAGGTTTCGGGAACTTTAGGTACATGTATAAAGGCAATGCATGTCATGACAGAAAGTAGTTTGACTTTCTCAAGGATGTCTTGAAGAATTTTGCTTTTTTTGCCTCCCAACCCAGGTTTCCTTCTGCTACTGGTGCTCGGTCTGGGGGTCAGGGGCCGGGCTCTGGATCAAACCTGTTTAGAGACGAAGGAGAAGATGATCTCTATCAGTGACAAAAACATATTTCAGTATCAGCTGCGCAGTGTCTTGTGATGTGTCTTGACTGGGCTTAGCTCCCTTGAAGAGTAAACAGAAGGAAGTAACAGTGGGCAGGACACTAAAAGGAAGCATGAGGTCATTTTGATATACTATGCAGGAATTCATCAAAAAAATACACAATTACAGATGTCCATTTCACTTTTCAGACATTGGCATAGAGAAAAAAAACCTACATCCATGTTTTGTGTTTACACTTAAATCTGTTTGCACTATGAAAATGATTGTTGTGTTTGTGTGAAATTAAAATGTGACAATGAAATGTATTTGTTATCCTCAATGATCAATTTAAAAAGGCGTATCTTGAGTCACTGAATGCTTTTACACAATCATGTTATAAGAGGTAAGTGAGGTCTTTGAATAATTGTCCTTTTGCTCTCCAGCAATCATCATATATCAATCAATCAATCAATCAATCAATCAATCAATCAATCAATCAATCAAATTTTATTTATATAGCAGCAATTCACAGCAGTTATCCCAAGATGCTTTCCAAAAAGAGCAGGTCTGGACCACACTTATTGTTCGCTGTATTACAAAGACCCAACCTTAAGATGGGAGAGATTCGACCCATCTCATCCAACATGAGTGACAGTGGCAAGGAAAACTTCCTTTTAACAGGCAGAAACCTTGGGAAGCACCAGACTCATGTTAGACAGCCACCAAGCCACTGCTGGGTTGGGGAGGAATACAGAGAGATAGGGGTAGAGAGAGAGAGAGAGAGAGAGAGGAGTGGAGAGAGGGCAGGGGGAGAGAAAGAGAACAAGGGAGAAGGAAGGAGAGAGAGAACGAGTAAGGGAGAGGGAGAGAGAGAGATAAGAGGACGAGGGTGAGAGAGAGAGAGGGGACAGCAGCAACATTAAAACAGCAGCAACAACAGCTCAAAGTTGTGGCTGCAGAGCAAGTAATGATGAAACAATATGAATTCAGTTTGCAGGATTAGGATATGAGTAATTATGTACTATGTTAAATTAATTTAATGTGATTACAGTCAGCAGGCCTAATGGTAGTTAACTCTAGTTTTATGTTATTAATGTCAGTGGGGCTGATGTTCACGTCTGCAGCAACAGTCCAGAGGAACCCAAGAGAAGAAGGAGCTCAGGGCCTGAGGCAGACAATCATGCTGCAGCCTGAGGCGGACAATCATACGATGCAGCTGGAGTCAGGCAGGTCTGCAGCAGCCAACCGTCTGTAGCATCAGTCCAGAGGAACCTAGGAAACTGGGGGGCTCAGGGACATTCAGAGAGATCTGGTTAGTAATTAGATGGGAGAATATGACTTCAATGTACAGAATAAAGAAATAACTAATCATTAGGAAGATTTTCTTTAGCCAGTCATGTCAGCCTTTAGAGTGGTGGGGCTGTGTCACTCAAATACCTCAGATACCTCAGTGTTAGATTGCTGGAGCAGGGGGGCCTCCAACAACCATCCTCAACATCTACCTTGTACCCATGTTTTACATCACACAGGTCCCCAAAATACGTTCTGTCATGGTATTTCCTTCTATGGACCCTCCATATGTTCACCTAAAGCTCCTTAAAATATGTTGTCCTTTGTTCTTACCGTACATGGATTTTTCTTAGGGTCAACTAAATGTCAGCAGTATGTTTAGAAACGTGGATGACTATACATACTTGAACGGTCTCAGACCAATCTTTGTTACGCTTCTGTTACACTTTGTTAAGCTTTGTTACACTTGTGACATGATGAAGCTGTAACACAGATCTGTAACCAGTAAAGCTTGTCAAAATGATCATTCGTGTGGACCCTCCATTTTTATAAGGTGTGAAAATGGGCTAGGCATCCTTACACTAATTATGGGCTATGTTAAATTAGCATAATGCAACTTGTTCACTTATTCTTTACTGAAGAATCAAAGCTTTCAAAATAAATTGACAAAACAAAAACACCAAGAGCATCAGTCCAAAATGATCAGTCTGCATAAATCCCTGAAGTCTACATTTTCTCATGTACATGTATCAGTGTATCTATATATTCCATAAAAACCTTTCAGGTATTTATAGAATATAAATTATTAAATTTCAGGAGTTTTGGCCATGCATTTTCCCCAAAACATCCTAGATTTATTTCAAAATTTTATTATGAACCGAGATTCTTTTCTAATGTAGCCTGCTACTTGGGGGAGCGTATTAAATTCACTTAGGAGGGGAAACCCGCTATTCACCTAGATTAACGAGATAGTTACCTCAGAATTAGGAGATACCTTTTCTGTGAGGAAAAAAAAATCTGCCACGTTTTTTCTGTATTTACGACATAACTATCCGAGAATAATAAAAACTTTTGAAAAATTGATGATTGAATGAAATAGCAATTTTCTCAACAAAACATATCTCATAGATTAATTTCGAAATAATTATCTCGTAAATACAAAAAACGGAGCGTTTTTTTTTCCCAAGCAAAGACGACCATCTTCAAATGAATAGATAAAATAAACGAAATGAAGATTAAAGATCCTTTAAACAAAGCTTTTTTTCCCTCATATGGTTAAATACTATTTTATGGGACACAACGGCGCAACAACTGTTCACAAGCGGAACCTTTTCAATCTGGCAGACGGACGGTATCTCACTTATGCACCCTACAGCTGTTTATTTCCGGTGAAAGGCGGAAGTAGATGTGGGGTCTGTAGAGGTGACCGAATAGTGAACGGCGACAGCGTTTCAGAAATATCGGATAAAACCCGAACAGACATAACAAAATAAGTTAGCTTTTAGGTAACTAAGGTCGTCGGTGCCATGGGGGCTCACCTGGTTAGACGGTACATCACCGAACCGGACACCGAGCCGGACCCCAGGAAGAAGTTCGAGTTCGACCCCGAGTTTGGATTTGATGAGAGGAAAGAAAGAGGTAAGTCTGCAGCTACTAGTCCAGAGAAATGCTCACCAGTCTATATCAGAGTGTATTTCATAGAGTTTGGGTTGACAAAACTGCATATAAGACAATTTGAGCTCAGATTTCACTCGAGGACACAAAATTCACCTCCGAATATTTCGTGATTTCGCGTTCTATAATCGTGTCGGCCCCGGTGTGTAAGGACCTTTATACCTGTGCTAAGAGTGATACGCAGGTCGAATGAAGCTTTAAATCTGGTTATTTGACATTACTATCATTGTTACGATCAAGGGTTAAATCAGTTTTGGGGCCCCTGACAGACTCATGCATGTTAGATCGAGAACTGCACGGATTTTGCAGGATTTCAAGTGTTGGGGAAAGCAAAAGATCAGTAGAGTTCAAACTCTAATAAAGGGGAAGTGGGAAATGAGAGATTCAGTTGAAACCAAACCATGGTCAGGTAGATCAACAGAAATTTCTGCCACAACTGACAGGAAGATTGTTCGGGATGCAGAGCAAATCCCACAAATAACTTCAGCTGACATACAAGACTGAAAAAAGTGGTGTGGCGTTTTCAAGATGCACAATAGGGAGCCAATAAGTCATAACTACCCCAATGCCACAAAGCAGCCCACTTACAGTTCACCGAACAGAGAAGAATCACCGAAGTATCAAATCTTCTGGTACAACATTACTGGGAGCAATGAGACCATAAACGCTACATTTGGAGAGGAGTCCACAAGGCCTATGATGAAAGGGACACTATTCCAACTGTGGACCATTGAGGTGGATTGCTGATGTTTGGGGGTCTTGAGTTACAAAGGCACAGGGAACTTGGTGCAAATTGAAAATACTGAAGGAAAAATTGCACTCATCAACTCAGAAGCTGCACAGGGGTTGTACTTGTATGTTTCAACTAGGGCCCTGGATTTTTTGGAGCCGATGCTGATACCAATTATTAAGGGGGGGGTTAAATTAAGATATAAGATACATATATTAAGATATAAAATATATGTATGTATACTGTATATATCTACAGTATACTATATACTGTAGGCTACTGCTCTTCACGCTAGGGCTGCAACGATTAGTCGACGTCGACACGACAAATTCATCGACACGAAAATTAAGCGTCGTGTTATTGTTGTTAAGAATCACATGCCGGCGCCTCATGCTCATCTATAACTGCAGTGCACTACAGGATGTGCTGGGGGCAGTAGCGCTCGCTGATTACATCCCGCGAGCAAACACAGAAGAAGAGTGCACACATTATGGCAGAACTAACTGAAAAAGACGCTCCAAAACTCCGACCCAAAACTTCAAAAGTTTGGGAACATTTTACGGAGAACAAACAAAAAAAAACACGTTGATCAAAGCTCAGCTTTCCTACCATGGCAGCACCACGGCGATGCATGAGCACCTGAAACGCCGACACCCCGGAAATAGGTGTTTATAACTAAAGAAGATAGTGATTAATCGTGATTAATCGGACGACTAGTCGATAGATTAGTCGACAAAAAAATAATCGTTAGTTGCAGCACTACTTCACGCCGACAGGAAGACTGACTGATGAAACTTGTTGACTTATTGTATGTACAACCTTTTTCAAGAAAGTTCATTAAAAAAAAAAGTACTAAGAACTAGGCTAGGTAAACTTTTGATCAGGGTCATTTGGGTCGTTTCTGTTGTCATTATGATCTAAAAAGGGCAATCACAATTGTTCGATAAATGGTTTCACCCGACCACTAAGCATGAGTAAAGGCTGTGTAAACTAATGAGCTCTTGGGTTGTGTAATTAATTCTGGGTGAATTCCCCCCTCCCTTTATTGACAGACCCACCACTGTCCATATTCAAACCTGAGTTCCTTTTGTACATTGAAAGACAAAACTAAAACGTGTGTTTGTTTGACAGAGATGGTAGCGACTCAGGAGCAGATGAACATGGCCCAGGTGCCTGTGGGGCAGAGGGACTACTGTGCTCACTACCTAATAAAATTTATGAAGTGCAAGAGGGACAACTGGCCCAACATCTTTGCCTGCAAGCATGAGAGACATGACTGGGACTACTGCCAACACCAGGAGTAAGTGTTGGAGTGGGGATCTGAAAAAGGGCTGGTTGAGTCAATTTTTTTACAAGGTTAATGACAGCAAACTCACTGATATTAGATTTATATTTCACAGGAGGGTCTGTTTTTGCAACAGCAGGTCAGAAATGTGAAGGAGAAATAAATGAAAAGAATATAAACACGTGGTACAGAATAACACTATGCAGCTAGTGGCAGCAGAATAAGTATTAAAGTTCCTGTGAGGATTGTTATGTTGGTTTATAAGACAGACCAAAATGATATTGCCTGATAAAAGTAAAGAAAACCAGATTTATTTTGAAAGCTTGCCACTGTTCTCACCTGGTTTGTGTCCAACTTGTGAAAGCACTTGAGTCATTCAAGAAAGAGTTGTGACAAATTAGCACATCCTCATTTATTTATGCTGCATGTGTTTTTGTTTTTTTTATCTCCAGCTATGTGATGCGTATGAAAGAGTATGAGAGAGAGAGGAGGCTCCAGCTGAGGAAGAAGAGAACCGAGGCTCAGGCTGAAGCTGCATGATCAGGACATCCTCTGATATTCTCTTCTTCTCTGTATATATGTGCTGCTGTTCACAATAAACAAGATAGTTCAAGCTCTCCAACCTCTGGCCTTTTTAATTTTAATTTCAGAACGAAAAAAGAAATCTAGCAAAAAATATTATCCAGGAATCATTGAGTTCATGATCAGCCAGAGTGACAAACTTTAATTACTTTTTATGTGGCTATTGTCGAAATTACTTTGATTTTCTGTTAAAACTGCCATTCCCAAACCAGAGCAACTTTTCATCTAAACAAGAGGCAACATATTTCCCTTAAAAAATATACACCACTCTGGCTTTTGACCAAAAGGTTTTCTTTTCTGCTTTTGTGAAGAAAAAAAAATTGCATTTCTTTACTCAGAGTTTGAAGCACTCATAAACTTGACTGCCACATTACTGCAGGTTTGGTCTGTCCTGAATAAGCCTTCAAAATTTCTCATCATACAAAGCTTGTGTGTGATCAGACAAAAGTGCAACTTTTTTTTTTTTTTTAGGGAATAGCGTAACCAGACAGAGCAAGACAACAAGACACTGATGTACCTTTTTTTTTAATAAATTACTTCAGATGTCAACAAAAGTCAGTGCTGCCATGTTTTAAATTTAGATTAATGGATATCAAAGCTGAAGAGTTAAGTTTTGCCAAACATCATCAGATGCAGATTCAGCACAAGAACAACAGTATTAGAGAACACCAGAGTGAGTTAACAAGTCTCACTGTTTTATGTACAGTACATTTTAAGCAAACACCAGGAAGTCTGAAAGCCAAGCCTGCACTGAGAAAACAAATCAACCAATCTCAATGAGTTTACAGTGTGTTGTGATATAAAAGAAAGGTTAGTTTCCTTTTTGGAAATATTTTTCCCTCAACATGACAGGATCAAAGACAGAGGGGGGGATCTGAGGTCAGAAAATAGAGGAGGGGGACAGGTTCAGGCTTTTTCAGTCAGTCTATCAGTTCCAGTGTGGATTTCAAGGATGAAAAAGGGATGAACACCATCTCAATGAGGGCCAGGGGAAGCAGAGGGAGGGATGTACTTGACTTCTATAAAAAGGGGAGCGCTGAACGGGTGAGGGAGCAGTCGAGTCTTCCACTACAGGATGAAGGGCAGGATGGGCGAGCGAAGAGGAGGGTAGTCACGGAACTCTTTCAGGTAACTGCGGTGCTTCCCCTTGGCCCACACTGTCATCTGGATGAAACCCACCAAGGTGAAGAAGGCCACCGGCAGGCACTGGGTCATCAGGGTGAAGCCGAGCCAGGAGCCCAGCTGCAGGAGAAAGAGGAGAGATGTTACAGACAGACAAATACCACAAGAGGGCAGCAGCTTCAACTGCAACTAAGACTACGTTCATGACCTACACTGCCAACAAATTTTTGATATTTATCAGCCATCGTCTACTGAATAAAACCTGTTACCTCATAGGTGTAGTTAGGGCAGGAGACCAGCAGGAAGATCCAGGTGAAGGGATTCTTGGTGGGATAAGGAATCTTCCTTGTCTTGGAGCCTGAACAGAGGTGGTAAAACAGACAAAAGAGTAAGTCAGCTTGATGTTACTTCACCCAAACCATGTCTCATCTTACTTATTAAGTCTTACAGAGAATTACTTGAAGATTTCATGTAATTTTTTGAGATTTCATTTAAAGCTACATAAATATACCTGGATACATCGTATTTCAGATTCACTAGCCTTAAATTTGGAGATGACTTTGACACATATCTCAAAAAGTACCACAAATAATCTTGACAGTAAGAGCAGCTTTAATTTTCTAAACAAGGCATTACATAAACTGTACATTGCAAGGGAGAAAACTGAAAGCGTGTGTGTGTTGTAGGTGTATGTACCTGGTGGACGGAGGTTGCGGAGAGCAATGTGGATGGAAAAGTTCCCGATCTGACAGAACTGAAGAAGAAAAAGCAACAAGAGTGACTTGATAATGAAATGGAGTAGATAAGAGGATACACTAACCCCCAATTTCCCCCTCATGCGGAACGGCGACGAAAAGGCCGTCGGTACCAATTGCCATTGATCGTTTCCATTCAAGTTAATGTGTCAATTTCCTAGGGCTTCCTTCCGGCCCCCTGCAGTTCAGCGGGCTTCGTGATTGCCAGATTTTTATTTTTTCTGGATGCTGCAGCATGCAGCATAAATTCAGCATGGATTAGCCAATGCTGGAAAGGAAGACAGGCACAGACACGAAATAAAACGCCAGTCTTCTTTTCAAAATAAAATTCTACGTGTTGCGGTTGGATCATATTTCACACCATGTAAACATGGGCGGGGATGAACAAGTCAAAGGTTTTCAGACTTCATTTCACCCACCTGACACCATAAATGAGGAGATACTGACTCTGAAGGTCCAAAATCACTGAATAATCTATGACCCGTCTCATCCCTTAAACAAGGGCAGTCATAAAACTGATATAGCGTGGGATTCCACAGCAGGAGTAATGGGAGTGGATGATAAGTTACAAATTAGTACCACTGTTGTCTGAACAGACTGGATTTTCTCCTCTGGAAGGACACAATCTACTGCTTATATGGGTATGTGGCTGTCTTTATAGAGACAACTCGTTATAGCGCGATTGCATGTGAATCTGCGGGTTCTTGTGAGTTTCCACGACTCCCGCTGTCCAAAAGCCACACGCAGGAATTGGCGGACGGCAAAAATCACAGCCATTCTGCAGAGGAGCCGTTCATATGCGGTGGAAATTTGGGGTTAGAGTCAAAGTTAGCTGCTTTTGAAAGAAGAAAAAAACTCTTCTAATACACTTCTGACATTGAGAAAAAACTGACCGAAAAACATAGACGGTCCTTATCTTTTTTTTTTCAAATAGTAACTATGACTAACTTAAGAAACTTAAGAACAAAGATATAAAAAAAATCATACCAAGAACACAATGAGGGCCAGTCGAATCTGTTGTTCACCGTAGGCTGCAAAAGAAAACAGTAAACATAAGGAATGACAAAAAAATAATGGCGACACATTTTATAAATCCGTGTTTGGATGAAAGATCACTCACTTGGCGGTGTGTACAGCGGGTGGTTGATATAATAGGCCATCCATGCTGCGAAGCCCCAGTAGTAGGTACAGTTCTGATAATGAGAAAATGACAAGAAGTCGATCCATGAGGCTTCCTTGTGCACAGCCAGGTATAACGTATGAGTCTGAGTAAGGGGCGAGGTAGCTTACCTTAAAGATGTTACGTAACGGCATCGTCCCGTGAGAGAAGCGATGGACAAACAGCGTCTCCAGGAGCCTCTTGACGTAGTGGAAAGAGTGACACATGCATGCGAGGCTGCAAACAGCACAGACACGTGTGTCAGCTCAATCATGGTTATCAAACGAGGATACAGGCACATGGTGTCAGTCAGAAGTTCTCCATGATGTAAACAGGCTACTGTTGTGACCACTGTCTGATATGTAACAGCAATAATGATCATATGATTCATTATTAGGTTGTAGAATATCTATGATCTCTGTACTCTCCAGAAACAACAGACTCAGAGGGAATGATTGATAAGAAGTGGAGCTTGAGATAATCAGAATTAACAGAAGTTACTATTGTGTTTTTTGTGACTGGTTGACAGTCACAAAATGGAAGTGTGTTGGAGACACTCACTGAACCACCCAGTGTTTACTGGTGGTGAAGTCATATTTCGGCGCATAGATGAAGGGAACTCTGAAGTAGAACATCAGGTAGATGACCAGCGGACCAGTATACTCTGTCAAGAAGACCTGAAGACATACAAAAGGACTGGATGAGTCTATGATTAGTCCATCTTCCATAGTGGACTGGTTCTATAACAATGTCACTCCATCATGAACAAGAGCATTTTCACAATGCAAATAAGGAGAACAGTGAAGAGTATTGAGATGCAGTCCCCATGGGTAGGCTGGGAGGGGCTGTGCAGTCTCTGTTTCTTGCCTATGTGACCATGCATCATATTACTGATATGTTTATTTGTTGACTTGTTGCTGCAGCATATCAGCTTCAGAGGAAACTTCTCCACACGCTCTCTTTATGCCCAGCAGGTAATCTCAGTAAAGCTTCACTTGAGCCCACTTGGATCTAATGTGTGAGTGCTTTCAACTCTGCTGTACCTGCCTGTTATGCTCTGCTCTCTGGTCAGCTGTGTGTTATACTCACTGTGACCCAGCTGATCTGAGCTCCAAGGTCTCTGAAATAGAAGGTTGCTGTGGTTCCCACAGGAAGATGCTGCAGAACATCCTCGTCCTTCAGGGATTTCCCCTCTGAAACACATACATTTACTTCATGTAATAAGAAAACTCATAAAAAGTCAACTAGGAGTCAATATCAGAGGGCACTCTGATGCTTTGACTGCTTGACTGACTGACAACCACAGTCTGGCTCACTTACTGGGGTCGAGGCGGATGGACTGTCTGGCTGGATACCACTGAGGATCTGAAACAAACACATGATGTAAAAATAGTAACAGAGTGAGAATTTTTTCAGAGCAGTTTCAAGATTGACAAAGTCTCAAGGGAGACTGAAGAGAGAAACCACACTTACGGCTCTTGTGGAACATAGACTTTATCTCCCCGATGGTGGCATTTGGCTCAACCTACAAATAACACCACAATTAATAAGTAGAGGGACACACACATACACAGACCAGCAGGAACAGATAATAACCCTGTTTTTTTTCCTATTGAGATGGTGATTAGTGATAAATTTAGCCCTGGCTGTGCCCACACATCCAATGGATGTGGGCTATTTAACAGCTGGTATTGGGGTTTCACACAGCCAAGCAGCACACACACACACTAAAACACAAAGCAACACACAAACATTAGAACAAGCTCAGTACATGACCTTGTGAGAGGACGGGCAACAATGGAAAATAACCCCAAATATAAACACAATGACAACAAAACTGAAATATGAAAGTCTGGATACACACACGTACTACCTTGGCATTGACTTTTTCCATTACATGAAGTGACTCTGACTGCTACAACTCAGCCAGTTGACAATCTCCATCTCTGCATTTCACTGATTTATTTATTGTATCATTTTTACATATATAAGCCCAAACACCTCCTGAACACAGAAAATGATATACTCTGTTTGGCCGGCTGTAGTATGTCCTTAGCTTTTCACACATATAACGCAAACATCAGATTTGAGTGTCACACATTTTGCAAAGAAAACCCATCTGAATCCATCTTGAGAATCAACACACATTCGCTGAATATAACCAAGCCCATTGGGACTGACTTCTGCACTGTTGAAGCACCTTAAAAAAATGCAGTGGTCAAAACAAACTAAGCTAACATAGCTGGCTGCACGGCTGGAGTTAGTTAAAAGACAGTCGACAAAATGTCACCATCATCATAACCATCCTAATATCATCCTCACTTACAGAGAGGTGGTTTGGCTTTGAAAAGACGCTAATCTGCTGACTATGACAGTCGGCTGCTGTTAAAGACAACTTGACAACCAACTTGTTTCACCATCCTTGATTTAACTACTCGTGGCCACACTATACAATTTTATCATGATACTTTGGCCACGATACGATATTATTGTGATTTTTAACATTTTGCAATACAGTGAGTATTGTGATACAATATATTGCAATTTATACATTTTTTTAAAACTGTTAAGCTAATTTAGCATTTGTCTTTCCTTTATGTTTGTCTTATTTACACTGTATTTTATTTTCATGTAGCACATCCTACAAATCTTTTATATATTTGTTGTACTAACTTTCTTGTGCTCTATGATGTCACCTCTGCCAACCTCACTGGACAAACAGTTGATTTTTATTTTCCATTATCATCGATTTGACTTTATATTAGCAATTAATTTGAAAATTGATATTGGTTAATGAAATGAGATGATGAGATGAATCACCAAACAAAATATTGCAATACTATGCTTTATTGATTTTTTCTCCTACCCCTATTAACCACTGCAATAAAGGGGAAAATATACTGCTCAGGTGATACCAGTGGTTGATACTGTTGATACTGTAATTACTTCCATGGCTCAGTTCAAGTCATAAAAAAGACCTGTTTTTGAAAACCAGAACAATACAAAAGTGACACACATTTCTGTACACATTTTATGAGGAATGCAATAATTGATATCAGTAACATCACCAAAATAGTGACTTTTTTATCATTAGGTCCAGTGATCTTTATGAAATTTATAGAAATTTATCGAGTCACTTTGGGCTGTAAGCAACATCTGCTGTGCCACAGCAATTTCGGGCAAAATTTTACGGTCAGTGTGTCTTTCTACCTGGGTCAGTTTTCCTTGCACTGTTGTGTCTTACCCATAGACTGTACCGAATGTCCTGCCCACAGCACTGTCTAACTGGTTAAATGTCACACGATGGTGGCAATAAGGCAAAGCCTTGTGAGTCATACAGTGGCATCAGAAGTATACGTTCTGGTCTGATTTATAACCTGCTAAAAATCTCTTCATGGGCTCAAAATGGATGAAAACATCATTATGTCAATGAGTAATTTTGGCTCTTTTGTGCACACATTCAGCAAGTAAAATATCTCAGACATGCAAATGACCACTGAGCCTTGAATCCCATCAAACTTCAAAAGTGAAATGCTCATGACCATTTGAAGTGTGTACAGCTGCTAAAGCAAAGAGTGTAAGAGTTTTGCCACATCAACAATAAAAGGCTGGTATGGATCTTTTTTTAAGCCCAGGCTAAATACCCAGCATTGCTCAGAGTAAACAGTGAGGTGGCTCTAGATATAAGATATCAAATGAAGTCTGTTCCATTTTTAAAGTTTTAGAAAGTTCCCTTTTTGACAGATTTGTACTGTGTGTTCATTTGTACAGTGTGTTGAAGCTGCTCACAGACTGTAAATGTGTGAAAGAGTGAAGAGGTCTGCTGCTGGAACAGACTTGGCTTCTCCTCGCGGCGTCTTGTGGACCATATGCCATTTTCAGCAGGGTGACATCATTGAGGAACCACCTATCTGTGACCCCAACAGCCCCCTTCCCCTCCCCTCTCTGAAGGCTTTTCTAGAAGCCTAAACCAGACATGATACAGTTTTATTTCTAACTCTGTCTGTTGGTTCAACTGTGTACAGAAACCAGCCCCTCATCTTGCCCCTCTGACCAAATCCAATTCTCCGTCTGCCCGCCCTTGCAGCAGGTGTTAAGATTGAACACACTATCACCATGGAAACTCTTCTAAGCCGACAACAGGCTATAATCCAATGAGGATAGCACCTTACTCTTTGTGATCCTGAGGGGTAACCTTCGATAAGCTGAGTCTGTCCGGCTGGCAGACTAACACCCCCATACACTTGGCTAAGTCCCCTCCGAACACTATCAGGCCTGACACCAACATTACATCGAAGCCTCTGACTTACAGACCTGACATTCACATATTGAAGCAGGTTACCCCTTCACTGAGTACAGTCAAAGCACCAATTAAAGAATTAAAGAACTTTCAAAATAAAAGGGCCTTACACAACAGTGATCCTTTTTACTGCAGCTGTTTTTTCATTCATTGCTAAATCAGCTGTTTTTCTGCACTACTTGTTGTTGCTGTAATAACCTTTTAATAACCCTAACACCTTTTTGAAATACCAGATGGCATTGCGCTTAGTTCAGTATCTTGTGATGTTCAATGCGCCATGGACTACGGGAGAAAGAGCGAGAAATGTAATAACAGCAGTTTTTCTTCCAGTTAATTGAGCAAAAACAGGAACTCTGGTGTAAAATAGTAGGAATTTTAAAAAAGCAGCAAAAAGATTTAAGATAACAACTACAAGTCTAAATTAGAAACAGACCAATAAAATGGCAAATGTTTAAATCACAAAAACAGGGAAAAAATATACATGTTAAATTGCAAAACTTACCTGGGAATAATGGGCTTTCATTTAGACTTATGATTTGCAGAAAGATTATGCTTAATCTATGTCATCTCTGATAAATGAGTGCCACTTTAGCAGCAAAGAACATTAATAATTTATTATTTTGTCTTTGGGGGGCAAATAAAGGGTTCTGTGTAAAACATTTAGTGATGCAAGCAGACAGGAAGATGGAAGTTAAAGCTAGGGATGGGCGGGAAATTATCGAGTGCAATCAGGTATGCCGGACAGGAGATCTGCTGCTGTTCACTCTGTGCAATAAGAGTTTTTAACAAATGTTGACTGTGTCTCTACATTTTAGACTTGTTTGGTGCCACTAGTCTTCTCTTTAACCTACCAGTTAAACTATTGGTTAAGTATCGTATTTGACTATGCCAACTGGTAAGTGCCTATATCGCCCACCCCTAGTTAAAGCTGATATGCACTTTCTACATTTGTTATTACTGTGACAGCAACACGAAGTGCAATAAATCAATAACTAAATGTCAGGAGGATCTCAGCAAAAGAAATTAGGCAATAAAGAATCTTAAGAATTTCAGTACTTTTTTTCATTAAAATCATTCATTTCCATGCAAAAACATTTATAACGCTAGTTATTTTCCTGCTTGGCCGCCACCAGCCGTGACCACAAATATTTTGAGAATCCCCCAAAATTCCCAAAAGGAGAAATTGTTTGATCAAGTTTTTATAGCTCAAATTTGTCAGACTGAAGCAGAGAGAGGGATAAGTTCTTGGACTTTTCTTACGCAGCGCTTATTTGAAACAGCAGTGAGCACAGAAAACAGAGAAATAATGGCCAGTGAGACAACACCTGGCAGTCAGCACCATAATAAAGTTATAGATTTTATCCGGATGTATCCTCATTAAACTCATGGAAAAGTAAAGTTTCGTGGCATAATCATAATCATTTTTTCAAACTTCAAAAGTAAAACATACTCTAAGTTTGTACAACCTGAAGCTAACTACAGACTGGGTTTGGTTGAGAGTGCATGTGCCATCATTGACCAGGTAAGTGAGCCCAACAGTGTTTACATTCACTTGCACTGCCACTTATGCACTCACTGACTGACAGCAAACCCTACATCAGCTCAGCTATGTTGGAGAAAACATCTGACATGCATGCACACAGAGTTTTTCCATAATGCAAGAGCAGAGTCAATGCACCTGTTGTGTATAATGATAGACACTCAACAAAGACAGTTGAAAGTGCACAAACAGAACTTAGACGTCTTTTAAAAAAAAAAAAAATCACGGAATAAGAAAAATAGACTCTAAGTTCATCATATTAGAAGCGGTTACATAAAAACAAAGAAATTAATCAGTCCTCACCTTGTCCAGGAAGCAGAGCTTGTCCTTGGTTTTGGCGTCCAGTATCTCCACCTCAAAGAAAACAACAGCTTTTTTAGCTTTTTTTGCAGGTTTACGTTTGACCGGGGCGGGAACCAGGAGAGGGGTGGCTGCAGTCGCCACCGCTGTCCCGTTGACCAACTTTTTACCCCCGGTGGCCTCTAGTGCTAGTGCATCCATGTCCGCAGACCTCCTCCTGCACAGTTTATTTTCTTCTTCCCCTCACTTCTCTCTTCACCTCTGTATAGTTTATTCAAAATCCACGTCAAACCACAGAGGAGACAGGCAGCACTCAGCTGTGGAAATAAATCTGTCTGTCCCCCCTCCCCTGCCCCTCCCTCTTCCTCCTCTCTCTCATTCTCTCACCCTCCCTCCTCTCTCATTCCTTCACTTCTGCTCACTGCTTTATTTAACTGCCAGACAAACTGTGGAGTCCGGACATATGAAACAGGGGTGTACACAGTTGCATACACAGGAATGCCCAGTATCACCCTGGCACCCGCCCACAGTATATCATCTGTGTGTATCCGATGAAGGAAACTTCTAGAGCAGAGAGCAGGGATACATTTCAGAGCGGCACTGACTTGGTTTGGAAACTGAACCCCTCCCCTAAAAAGGACACCTGATGACCACACGACACCTCTCAACCCCTGGCTAAGTGGGAAGATGGAGGTGAGGTAAAATGACAAACATTAACCCTCCCGCTTCCTAGTTTGACCCCTCTCTTCCTCTCCCCAGCTAAATATAAACTTCTACTGCTAACTTTGCATAACCAGCCCTCTCCCTAAAGACACCCCCCACCTACCCATCCAGTCACGCTTGTGTGGTGATGTCACAAGCTCATATTTTGCAACACGTCCATCAGTCTATCTACAGATCTGTTGTACATCCCTGCCCTTTGAGCCCACATTCACTCACCTCACCTGCCTCTTACAGCGTGTTGTACCTTGAAACTTGACTCAACAGCAGCATATCTCTGCCACTCGCTGGGGGAGTTGCCCTCCCCCACCACCATGGGGTGATAATACTCCAGACTATGAGGGATTTGTGAGGGAACTCCCCCTGGGGAAGCCTTGCCCAACCCCGCCACACTCTAATGGGCTACAGTTTCCACAGTGAATGAAAGACAAACAGTCACAAGTGGAGACATGGACACTCGGGCCAAACATGTCTTCTACTTTGGAATTTGAAAGCACAAATTTACGGTGTCATATCCATGACTTGTTGAAGTCCTTCCCTTTAAGACAACCATAACAACAAATCAGGACACTCGAACTGTGGCTGGCAGAGTTTACTCTGAGACTGTCTAAGAGGATTACAAGTCAAAGATTTATACTAATTCATAGCTTGGTTTGGACTTAGAATTCTTAAAAACATCTTATATCCCTTAAGTGCTGGTTGCAGAGTCAGGAATAACGACATTTGATAAAACTGCCTGATAATTTCATTGCTTCCCAAAATACGGACATGATCGTCTTCATATAAAAAGAAGCTTAAAATTGCTCTAAGAGTTTCTGGGTTGTGTTAGTTTTTGACTTTTAAAAACTTATCATAGCAGCTTACGAGACATGATTTTTAGGGGCCTTTTTGCCTCTATTATACAACAGCTGAAGAAAGATATGAAATGTGGAGAGTAGGGAGCAGGCTGGGAATTAAATTAGTAGCACCCCTGCAACAAAGACTATAGCCTCTGTTCATGGGGTACTATGATCACTAGGCCATCGGATCCTCATCACTGTAGCTTTAAACAGTAATAATTACGGCTGAGAAAGAATTTATTTATTCTTAAATAATCGTGTACTACTACATTTTAATAGTTCATCATATTTGAAATCATTTTTACCACTCCAGACCATTTTCAACTTACTGTAAACAATGTAGAGTCATTCTTACCAGTATCTTTATTGGGAATAAAATGAATGCATTGAAATGTATTTTACGGTCTTGACTTTGACATTTATTATGCAAAAAACTGCTGCACTGCTACAGTATGATCTGAAATCAGGACGCTGAGGTAAGAGATCCTTTATTCTATTAATTGAAAAATGCTGTTACACCTAAGAAGGATGGATCCTAATATTTTAAAGTGAAATGTGTCAATGAAAAGCACACTGGTGTCTTTATAGTACAAAACAGGGGCAGCAGGAAGACGATGCAGAAGCTTTTATACTGTGTTCTGAAAAGGGACAAAACAGCACCCAACATGACAGTCTTTCTGAAATTTCAATCAGTGCTTTTTAACAGTTAAACTTGGGCTCCTGGTTTCTGGAAACACGTGTGCTGTGATCAGTCATGACACCTGACACTGCAATAGTCACTTAAAGGAAAGACCCCATTGCAGTCTTGTGTGTGCCAGGCATACCCACTGCCCTGTACCACCCCCATCTCATCTATATAAAGCCTCTGTCTGGCAGTGACTGTCTGTTTGGGTAGTGCACGCTTGGCAGTCTGGGAGCTGATATATATATAACTATCAATGACAATGCAAGATACTGGTTTTCCTGGGCGCTCCTTTATAAAGTAAGTGACCACCTTTTAAATCTTGAAACATACTGTTTATATAGATAGACAGAAAAGCAAGAAATGTTTTTTTGGAGGGTGTTTTTACACACAGTTGCATAATGATAGCAAGGCAGATCACTCTGTAAGTAATGCAGCTCTCTGGTGCTATCTGGTGTAAATGCAATGAAGCAATGAAACTATGTACATACAATCTAATCAAAAAATTGAAAAACATTTGCAGTTCTGTTCCAAATAATCGAGAACATTCTCAAAGAAAAAACTTAAACTTGTTTTGTTATGTTTTTCTGTCTAGTTTAAGAGATACTGTGAGCCCAATGTAAGATGATGATTCATTTCAATAGATGAATTATCTCTGATATCAAATCATTTTTTAACAAACAAACAAAAGAAAATCATTGCAGAATACGGAAAATAAAAGGATCTGAAAGCAACTGCTTTCACTGCTGTTAGTGTGTTATCATTTGACATGTGCTCTCTGGGTACATTACAGTATTTGTCTGATAAAATTTCAGATCTATCTAAGAATTGATAAACATTTTTTAATTTGACTCATGTGTCTTCCCCCTCTCACAGGTTGAAAACTCACATTTTACAACAGAAAGAAAGGGAAGCAGAGCTGCCACTGGTTGGGTTAGTTTCTGTCACACTGCTTCAAATCCTGTCTGATGGGTTTTGGTTTATGAAAGTATTGGCTAACACGACTTTCAGTGCTCGCAGGGGTAGGCTATGTCAAGAAAATAAAAAGGAAATACGAACTCTCTCTGACTTAATATCATGTTCAAAGTCATGAGGCTTACTAAGATCGTGCACTTGACAGTTCACCTGCATTATTGGGTAATTATGAGATAAGAGGAGCTACGAGCCTCAGCCAGAGATAACACAGAGGACTGTCCCACACAGAGGTCTTGGAGATTATTTTATCAGAAATTCAGCTTTAATCAAACACAATATGTAAAGCAAGAATAGTTCTTTACAACTGCAGCTTCACCTTCAGGCACCATATTCGCCAAAACATCCGCTGCTGTCCGCGCACAGGAGGCCACAAATCCCCGGTCACAGCAACCAGCGACGGACAGGCGATGCTGCTTCTGCTGCAGCATGCTATTCTCAATGATCAAGCCAAAAGCCCTACATGTGGCTGTTCGAGTAAAATATAGCTTTACAGTATGAACAAGAAATTATTGAACTGGAACCATTAATTCAAACTTGGCTTGCTAAGACGTTTCATTGATGGTTTAGAGTTTCAAAGACCACTCACCTCGTAGTGCTTCATCTTGGCAATTGTCAGCCCCTTCCTAAATATCCAAGATGACTGACAGGAGCGCATCCAATCAGAGGGGTAATATCGAGCTGCCGAGGCTACAGTAGGTGGGCCCTATGTGGGTGAACAACCTATCAAAACGCGCAGCATTCACGCCATCACTCCCATAGTATCGGCTTCGCAGCTAATGAGATTCGAGCAAACGGAGAGGTCGCGGCAGTGCGAGCTATAGATATAATAACATTAGATGCCTCACAAGTTATATAAAACAATAGTAGTGCATTCGTCAAGCCCGCCGCCATCTTGGAGTGGTACCAGTGAATGCTAGCAAGGATGGTGTTTACTGTAAAGTTTAAACAAATGTTGTTGACGGGTAAACTACAGGCTTCCAACACTTTTACTGCAAAACCGTTGACAAGTACCGCTCCAAGATGGCAGCGGTCTTGACGCATTCTTTGTAGGGTCTTAAGGCATCTAGTGTTAAGATATATCTATGGTGCGAGCGTTATGGCTCTAAATATCCGATTTGTCCGTTTGTGCGCAGGCTCACTGGTCCATCTGGCGACAGGGAATAAACCAATCGGATTTTTAGTCGGGCTATGTAAACTAAACATTGATGGTTCTTTGAAGATTCAGACGCGTTTATGACCAGGGAATTTATTCAAACCGAAACTACTCTCACCACTTTTATTCATTTGTTATAAAACTGTTAATTTTTGACGGTTTCATAAAAATTCTGAATGATTGTGAAAAAGAGGTACTGTTATGAACAGTGATTGTAGAAAACAGTTAGTTGTAGATTCTATTGAAAATAATTTATTACCTTAATCATTTAACAGAGTAACAGACCATAGCATTTCACATAAAATGTTAAAACATTAGATGGACTGGTAAAGTAATGAAAGCAGAAATATCTATAACCCTTAATGTTTTTGTTTTTTTATCTTTAAGGTCTTTGTTGGTTTTAGGTTTTAACAATACCCAAGCAGTTTTTTGTATTGCCTTGTCTGTCAACATTTTTAGCTGTCAATAAAAAACATAAACTTTGTCTGACTGCCAACTTCATTCCTCAAAACACTGACAGCTTTGATTTATCCAGGTTTGATCATAAAATCCTTTTTCCATAGACGTTACAGATAACCTGTAGCACAAAAAAGGCGGTAAAAAAAAACTCCAGTGAAATGGGTGGGTCTGAGGAGCTGTTAACACAAGCAGTGGTTTCTGACTGGCAGCTTCACTCTCATCCCAGAAAAACTGGTTTTGCAAGACTTGACAGACAAGGAGACCTATTGTGAACAAATAAGTTTTTTGCCTTTCCCCTCAGTTAAGAGATCATTTAATTAAAGAATTAACCCTGTTTTTTTTTTTCTGCCCAAGGTTTGAGTTGACCCTGTGGACTTCTCCACCATACTACATTCAAAGGCTTGTTCATTCTTCTTGAATATAGCATCATACATTTTGCACCCAAATGTTGCACATGTTAGTATATTCTCTGAATGATATGTTGAGCAAAATCACTTGTGCAAGGACCAAAACCACACTGCATTGTTACCGGCATAAATCTCTGAACCTCTGACTAACATTGACAATGAAGAGTTTAAGCCTGCTTAAACAAGCTTAAACAAGCTATGAGTACAGGGAGAGGTCTGAAGTGTTGCCTTTAGTGCAGTCTGTTCATTTCTGTTCATATTTTGGGCTTCAGCGCAATACAAAAGAAAGGGTATGGCACCCCATTAAATCAACTTAATCTGGAAAAATAATGTCAGTAATTACAGAAAAGCTCCATGGCAGGCTATAGGACTGCCCACCACTCCCTAATAGAGGAAAGTAAAAATAATCCCTCTTACCCTTTTAGCACCAGGGCGAGGCTAACTGACAGCCAGAGCTCCACTGAGCCATATATCCCTCTACCCCTCTGTCGTGATGATTTCATGAGCTTTTTTAATAATACATTCTTGAATATTAGAGGCAAAATTAGTAATATTTTGCCCCCACCAGGTCTAGATCCCTTAATCAGAACTGAAATCATGGAAACAGTTGTGAAACCTAATGAATTCCTAGATCATTCTTCACCCATTAACCTTCCTGAACAAAACTTCACTGTTTCCTCAGCCAAACCATTAAGTAGAATCATGGGATTCTTGTAAAATGAAGACATGCATCAAACTTAAAAATAAAACACTGAAAGTCCTTCTAGGTTGTACGACAAACAGTAAAACAGATTTATGTGTTGATGATTCAGAATCATCGCTTACAACTGTGATAAGTCCTGGGACTCTTGTGTGTTAGTAATGCTTTCTCACACAGGTTCCTTCTCTTCCCCATTCGTCCAGAGCACGCAGTTGTAGGACCCTGCTTTTTCACCAGCACTGTCAACCAGTCTCTTGATTGAAATCTAATAACTAAAGTAAACACCTCAGAAAGACACTGGGACAAAAAATAGTAAGATAAGAGCTGACTATAAAGAAAGAGATCATGCTTAAGAGAGATGTAGTTGAAGCATATTTTAGGATAAAGTTTGACCTGTCTTGCGTCTGTAAACATGAGTATGGGTGAAAAGATTCTTTGGAACAGTAACAGAGTGCTCATTTAAAATCAAAGATTAAATATTTCTCCAGCTCAGAACAGGCAGTGTTAACATTAAAAAAAAAAATCATCAATAGTCAAATGTGCTTGACCTACATTTCCATGTCTGGATCCAAAACTGGCTTGGGGATGATCACATGGTTGATGTGGTGCAAAACTGCAGCATGCTCAGCGGATATGTGTCTTGATTTAAAGAGATATATTAAAAAGTCTGCTTTACATGCTGATTCCTGTAGTGCTCAATGCAAGATCTGATGCTTTATGTTTCAGATACCGTAAATATCAATGTACAGATCAGGCAACAGAGAAACTGTTAATGCTATTGGTGCAAATGTTGGTGCAGTTGTAACAGCTGGAAAGCAGGCAGAACAACCACGTAAATTTGAGGAAATATGTGGCAATCTGATTCAACATCTGAAACAGCAAACATAGCTTTTTTTCTCTCTTCTCCATATGTTCTGTCATTTATATTTTATCACATTACTTCAGTATGTACTTATTTATTTTCTGTCAGTGTCCTTTGTTGCAATTTTGCTACATGCATATGTTAGTCTGCTACTGTAGATGGGGGGGGGGGGGGGGGGGTCTTGTCTTGTTTGTCAAATGCTTGTCTTCAAAATGGAAAAATCCAATAAACATTATGTTAAAAAAAAAACTTTCAGTGCTATGGTGGACTCTAATTACTGACTAAAAAACTGTTGCTGCTGAGGAAGTTACAGAGCTGATTTGCTACGACTTTCTCAGGTAATTTTGAAATAGAAGGGTAGTTTTGTATAGGTGTATAGCAGTGGCTATTGCTCTAAGACTGCAAGGAAAGCTCAGCTTCCCTTAAAATGTCACCCCCCCAAAAAAGAAAAAGGTGGTGAAATACGTACTGCTGTGTGTACATTTCATTAACTAAATATGCGCTAGAAAGCCTTCATCTTTTCTTCAGAATCAGCTTCTTATCACACTGTGACAAGAAGCTGATAATCACAGGTAACTGGCACAACTTCAACACAATCCTCGCAGCGCCTCAGCGCTTCACACAGCCGGACGCTCAGCGTCTGCTGACTTCAATGTGGAAGCTCAAAGTGGGTTGTTCCAGCAGCGAAACTAGACGCTCATTGGATAAATGCTGGGCTTTGTCCCGCCCATCGGACGCTCAGCGTCTCTGGAGTTCTGTGACGGGACGGCGGTCCCAACTTTCTCACGGACGCTGAGCTTCTGCATCCATGATTGGATGAGCTGTCTGAGGTGAAATCCTTTTTTGATTGACAGCTACACAAGCGAATCAGCGATCTTGAAGAATAAAACATCTACCAAAGCATTTTCCAAGTTATTCATTCTGTTGTTCTTAACTGCTCCGGAGACTTTACCGATCCTCAGCGACTTTAGTCTTTTTTAAAAACTACTGCCGTTGTGTTTGGCGACTCTGTTCTGTTGCATATAAATACACAAACACAATTATGATGTAGGCCAGAAAAATGAGCTTCCCCTCCTTGAAAGACCAGCAGCCGCCACTGGTGTATAGTTAACTTAAGTGCCTGGATCATTTTTTTTTTTAAGAGGTTTAATCATAGTGACAGGAACGTATCCTGTCACTATATTGATCAAACTGGGGCAAAGAAGAGCTGATTGAGGAAAAGATGTCTTACAGCAGCATAAAAGGAATGGAGACAAGTTAACAGATCTCTTCTGCACATGCACGAGCAAAATATGTCAGTGCTTATGGATGTGGTTGTTTGGCTTCACAATTCACAGTGAGTGGAAAAGAAGGCACCTTTTTGTCCACCCTGTGTAATGGTCAGTACGTCCCAATTTACAATTACCAGGCATGAATCAGTTTATTGACAAACATATGCCCTGATCAAATGTTTGAGAACCACTGTTATAAAGTCAGAGGTTCAGCAGAGCATTAGCATGGAACAGTTGGAGGGTTTAGAAATGTTGTATCTGGACCACATCCGAGTAAAACAATAGCTTGTGCCAGTGGTTTGCCCACAGTTCAATTTAGTAGGAAGTCATTTCTTTCCCTTTGTTATTTGAACAAGTATTTCTAGGTCGTTGTGTTCGTGTCTGCTTTCCTGTCCATAGCAAAGATGGCGATGGCTATGTCCGGTCTGTCGTGGGTGCAAAATCTTTATTTTGTGTTTTGAAACTATTTTGAATGTATTACAAGCTTATTAAAATGATAATAAATTCCCCCTTTTGGAAGACTACATGTCTATGCTTGTGTAGGGGAAATCCAGATAGGACCTGAAGGCACCATGACGTGTCATGTAGGCAGGTCTAGTCGCTGTCAGATGAGATTGTTCAGGCTCGTTGTGGAAAACTCTGGAAGTTTCTGCGCTCTTTATAAAGAAAACTATTGAGGGCTGCCCTCTGACCAGACACGCAACGCCTGAGGACGTGTAGTCCAAGTTGAGTATCAGATTGTATCGGGCATCTGATGAACAGGCCGCTTGATGGTGAAAATGGGCAAAGACTATTACGACGTTTTGGGAATTAAGAGAGGAGCGTCGGAGGACGACATAAAGAAAGCGTATCGCAAACAGGCTTTGCGCTACCATCCAGACAAAAACAAATCACCGGGGGCTGAGGAGAAGTTCAAAGAAATCGCTGAAGCCTACGACGTCTTGAGTGACCCAAAGAAAAAAGACATCTACGACCGCTTTGGTGAAGAAGGTAGGTTTGATCCGTGAATTCTTACAGAGCCACAGAGTGAGACTGGGAAACACTGGGAAAATACTGTGTAGTTGTGTCCATATAAGTCAATGAGAAAAGATGACGTACCAGCGTGAGCGAAACAAACACGGTTATATTATGGAGCGTAATGGCGCTCCCTGCTCTGCTCTGTCCTTCATGTAAGGCTGGTTTCTGAGCCAGGACAGGACAGGCAGGCATGTATGCAGGGAGGGAAAACATACCAAAAGTTCCCAATCGTGCACGTAGAATGATTCTCATCCTATCTGGACAAAAGAGTCTAACAGGGGAGCTGGACGGGTGTACATTTGATGTTCGGAGGGGGGAAGGGATGGGAGTACAGTGTTGCATGTTTGGATGGTGTGTCACTGAAGTCAGTGTTGATTTTATGGCGTGGAAACATGACAGGTGGGGCGCTGTCACAAAAGCACTCCTCTGAAATGCTTACCCTTTATTTGGCATACATGCATTAAATAGATAGGATGATGACTGAAATAAATGTGTGCACAGCGATCATCTGACTTATTGAGATGGGAAGTTTTTCTTAAACAGTGACCCGGGGCGTTACCATGGTAACAACATCATTTGTCCTACCAGTCTGGGGGTTAGCAGCAGTGACCTCATTTAATACCCCATGTGTATGTACATATGAATTAACTAAAACGTGGTAATAACACGTAAATGTATGTTTACACCATCGAACTACAAATGGACGTCATCTACCTCCTCTACCTCTGTGTGACGCCCCTTGGTGACAGGCTGCACTATAGGTCATAGATCCTATCTCCTCCAGCAAATTGAATGGAGCTGTCAACAAACTTTAAATATTAATCACACGGAATATAATTTTTCTCCCCCCGGTTGTGATGTTGACGTGTAGTTATTGTAAGACTGGTTTGTGCTCAAGTCCTCTTTTTATTCCGTGCAGCTCCATTTTTTAAAAGTTATTAGGGGGTTCATATTTTCTATGTTGACACTTGATACAGCCTATGGGTGTGCGAAGACTGCCTAAATCATCTGGAGGATACGCTGTTTGAGCAGAGCGTCATCACAGCGACTGTCCCACCAGACGCTACTGCGCAAATGCTGTTTTCAGGAAATAGAGAAAATCCCAGAAATACCAAGAGCAATTCGGCTTCAAAGTCATACCATGAATACTCCATACTATATACAGTTTGTGATTGAAAAACAAGGATATTTCTTTTTTTATTTAGCAATGTATACCAGTGTTCAAAGCATTTTAAATCAGATTAGCTTAAAAAATAAACTTGCTCTAACTAAAAAATGTACTCCAGCCTTGGTTTTTTGGACATACTTGAATTTTCAGCATTTGTTAAACTGAGCCATGTCTTATTAGTTATTCATTCTAGTGGGTAGGTCATATGGGTATTGTTCACTTTATCAGGTTTTTTTTTTTAGTTGGTTGGAAATACTTGAGCAAAAAGCTTGACATCCACCACAACAGTTGCTGCTGTAGTATTTTGTAGGTTTGTGACATTTCCATGTCGGTGTGTGTTCACAGTGAAGTGGGAGTTTTGAGAGCTTGAGAGGCATTCTCTGAAAGCTGCAGTTAAAACAGAGCAAGGGAACATGAGCAAGTTTCTCCTTTACAAAGATCAGAGAACTATTTTATGATCTTCTTTTGGATCATGTACTCTTTCTTTGTTTGGTCAGAATTTACTATGCATGTGTTCAGACCTTATGACCTCTGCCAAAGAGAAGGAGAGCCTGTGTAGAGTAGTTTCCGAGCACATTGCATTTATTCCTGCTGCTTGTGTTGTTAATGGAACATAACATGTTTCTTACTTCTTAGCCTCTCTTGCTTAAGCTTAATGTGTTGATTCTGACACGGAAAGTGTTGCTTTAATGTCTGTAAGATGGTAAATTTATAACTAGAAAGAATAAAGGAACAATTAGAGGTGAGACACTGTAGTTATTATAGTAGGAAGAACATATAAACACACTGTGTGTCAGTTGTGAATTTTATTAATAGGGCAGTTACATGAGAAGTTGAATACAGGGTCAGTAATATAAAATGAAAAAAAAAAAAAAAAAACATGAGGTGACCCGATTGTGTAGATGATTCACTTTTAGTCCAGATGTAAGAAACTTTAAAGGTCAAAAGCAAATATACACCACACCTATACCTGAAAGAGCCTGAACCAACTTGTTGTATAGTGTCACTTTTTTTGTATAGTGTTTGCCATAACCGGCCAAAACCAGTTTTTACATGTGCATATCATATCAGCTCTTAGCTTATCTCTTTGACACACCCTAGGTTGGCCTTAAGTTAAACACTATTAAGTCTTCTTTGTTTTTTAACCAGTGTCAACACAAGACCATTTATTTCCTTTTTCCACAACAGATTAAAACAAAAAACACTTTATCTCAAAGCTCCTGTGTACACTTTTTACCTAGTCATGAAACAGGCTGAAAAGTGAGGCTCTTCATGACCCACAAAAGCAAACAGTACTGAAGGGTGCTGCAGTTTTTATGCAGTATTTCTCCATTCATGCAAGGGGCAAGGTTTTAGATAAGGCAACTTACAGCACAGTGAGGGAAACTCTTATTTGTAGCTCTCCTTAGCAAATAGTTGAAACATCATTCACATGCACATGGAAAGATTATTCAAAAGATAAGAGGTATTTTATTTGTATTTATTTATTTCTTTGATTTGGACAATGCACATTGATCAACCTATCAGCAAAAGCGTCAAAATAAATATGCTGGAGTTAGCACAGTTGCTAAATTTCATCCATTGTCCTAAGGCAGGTATCATTAAAAACAACATACAGACAATGCACCATGGCAGCTGGATGAAACATGTAGAGGTTTTACACAAAAAGTCAATCTATATTCACATAAAATTTGGAAGTCCATACACAAAGCAGAGAAGACAAAGAGGTTACCCATGAGAGCAGGTCTGGCTTGTTTTCAACCACTGTTTCAGGGTCTTTTTAAAGGTATTGTAGCTGACACAGTGAAGGCACCAAAACTGACACAAACAGAAAGTTCCTCACAGAAGCTTTAACATTGATATGGTTATAGGTTGTTGTCACTTGAACACAGATTAAGTTTTCCTTTTAGAGGATGAAATGTTAATCAATTGTTTCTTCTGCTTAGGTCTGAAAGGCGGAGGTCCCTCCAGCGGTGGTGGTGGCGGCCCTGGTACTTTCAGTTACACCTTCCAAGGAGACCCTCATGCCATCTTTGAAGAGTTCTTTGGGGGCCGTAACCCCTTTGGGCAGTTCTTTGGTGGTCGCAATGGAGGCATGGATGAGGACATGGACACTGATGACCCTTTCTCCCGCTTTGGGATGGGAGCAGGTGGAATGGGCGGGTTCCCCCGCTCCTTCAGCACTAATATGGGGGGAATGGGTGGTCACAGCAGTGTTGTGAAGAAGCCGCAGGATCCCCCTCTGGTTCATGATCTACGGGTGACCCTGGAGGAAGTTTTGTCAGGATGCACCAAAAAGATGAAGATCTCACGCAAAAGGTTAAACCCTGACAGGCGGACAGTGAGGACAGAAGAAAAAATTTTAGAGATGCAGATTAAGAGGGGGTGGAAAGAGGGCACAAAAATTACATTTCCCAAAGAAGGGGATGAGACACCAACAAACATTCCTGCTGACGTGGTGTTTGTGTTGAAAGACAAGCCACATCCAACTTTCAAACGCGATGGCTCTGACATCGTTTACACCGCAAAGATCTCACTTAGAGACGTAGGTTCACATTTCATTTCTTGTACATTTGAAAAGCTTCTGGATTAACATAGACGTATCGAGTTAAATAAATATGCAGAATTAAGTTCCTTTTACTTCTGACTCATGTCTTTTTCCCCCTTGTTTTTTTATATTTCCCATCAGGCCTTGTGTGGCTTCACAATCAACGCTCCCACGTTGGAGGGAAGAACAGTTACCGTGACATCAACAGATATTGTGCAGCCAGGGATGAAAAGACGCATCAGCGGCGAGGGTCTTCCCTACCCCAAACGGCCCGATCGACGAGGGGACCTGATAGTGGAGTATGACGTGAAGTTCCCAGAGAGGCTCAGTCAGAGCGCCCGGGACACCATTGCTCAGGTCCTCCCAAGATCTTAGAGGATACCACGTGATTTAAGCATCACTCAAGCTGCAAACTGTCATTGCAATCATCACATGAACATTTGTGTGGAGTTCCCGATTACACACCAGACGAGAGACTCATGAGACAGATTGCTCTGAGTGTATGCTGTCATCTTTTATGTTATAAAAACACCCCTGAAAAATGCTTGTCAAGAGTTACTACAGGATTTTACAGGCTTTATTGTAAATAATGAACTTTATAAGATTATATTTTTTGCAGATAGTTGTATTATTATCAAAAGAAATGCTGCACTGTGGGAGGTATTGGTCCATATCCAAAGTTTGCATAGATAAAACACTTTAAAAAGTGTTTGCTGATGGATGCACATGTTTCTGTATTGAGAAACTTTTACTTTCTGATGTAAGAAAAAGTTTTGTGTATGTTTGAATGACTGGATTTTAAGTAAAGATACAATGGTGCTGTAAGATTTGATTAGTGGCCTCAGTGTTTTTCACCAAACATTTTAATCATGAAAAGGTGTTTCCCCTGAAAGAGTCAGACAGACTTGAAAAACTAGAGCTGCAGGACTTGTGAGAACTTGATTTAATTCATAAGACATTTTTTTCTTCAAGACCCACTCTGATGAAAATCATGTTTTTCTTGTTGTCTACATGTTCATATGCAGTTTTTCTGATGCTACAGGACACATCATGAGAAAAGTAAGTGCAAAATTCAATTTCTGTGTATTTCTGCATTCAAATCACTGTGAATCTCTGACAGACCCAAATGGCAGGTTCAGGCACAGTGAGATTTCCTACATCACAACTGCAAGCTCCGCCCCGAGAGCCCCTCAGAGAGGAAGAGAGGACGATCACGGAACAAGCGTGTGTGTTAGCGGATTTTAATGCTCGTAAGAAAGCTAATTATGATATTAACTTTTATCATGCCCCTAAAGACATTAGTGTCTGAAAGCTGAGTAGCTCCTATGTTACCTGCCACTTCTACTACACTGGCAACGTTAGGCTGCAAGCTAGCATGAAGAGGAGTGTGCAGAGCAGTGCTGTCTCTGCCCACGACTCCGAGGCAAATTGCTAATGAGCTACTGGAGCTCTGCAGAAGAAAAGCCCTTAAAAATGACACAGGTAACACGATTTTGGCCAAAAACTTTATATTTAAAGACCACTGATAACAGGTAAGGTAATAAAAAGATGATCAGAGTGGGACTTTAAGGCATTTATGGCAGATTATTAACCTCTATGATTCATTGGGTTGTGTTGGCCAACCATAATCAACAGTCTTCAAGAAAACCATGACCTGGATGAATGAGAATCTACATGGACATAATCAACAGTATGTTTCTAGCTGTACTCTCTGCAGGAAAATGTAGTCCGGCTGAAGCATTGCAGAGGCTTTGGCATTAGCATCTACTCAGGATAGCAGATTAAAAACAGAGCATTACAGACAGCAGGGTGAGGATTTCAACTCTGTATCCACTCATCATACATCACCAGTAACAGAGGCATAACCTGCACCCACTCGTGATAGTGGAATCTCATGAAGCCTCATAACAACAACACATCTTGTGGCTCTGATTGGTACTGCATTTATTTTACATTTAAAGCCTTGACTGTTACAGAGGGCTAAGGGTCACATCACAAGCCTGTGGGCTGTACAATAAAGGTTATGGAGTGTGCACGCCTTAACCGTGCATTACATTAATGCCCTAGTTTCTATGTAGTGTACTATTGAAAAGGAGGCCCTTGCATTGCTGTGGGCTCTTCAAAACTAAGGTGTTTGATGGTTCCTCTTTGCAGACTGTTGTTTACACTGATCACAAGCTGTCACAACCTGCTGTTTTTGAATCACTGTTATGGCTGGTTCAAATTCTCTACATACTAAGGGACACAACACAAAAGGTTGAAGTTTGTAGTTTGTTTTTTTCAAGCAATAAACAGAAATAGATGCGAAACCCTTAAACAAACCAAGAGGGGCTGCTGCTGTCGGGTGGAGCGAGAGAGTGAGAAGGTTAGTGAGTCCTGTCTAAATAGACTCAGCCTTGATTGACTCCAGGGGTTTGCAAATGGGGACATTCAGACCAGGAAACAAATACGCTTAACAGGAAGAAACCCTGATATAACAAGAGTTTGGTATGTGTAGGTATCGTCAGACCTTCTGTAGAACACAAGATCAGCCAAAAACAACAAGCATTTTATTGATCATTCTGTCTACACATCCCTCAGGTTGGTTCCCATGACGTGGTCAGCAGACTGCAGTGATCATTTTAATGCCCTCAAGCTTCATTACTGTAGACGCTCGCAACAACAACTTGAACAGAATACTCAAACACTGAGGAGTTTGTAGACCACTGCATCACAGTCATCAATACTGAAGGGGGCTGGAGAGCTGCAGGATACTGTGAACTCTCTGTTTAAAAGACTGTAGCCAAAGAAGCATTGCAAACAAGAATCATGCCCATTCACTGTTCACACAAGCTGAAGGAAGCTGCTGCTACCATTCGCTCACATCACAATCTAGACATTTTTCAAGGAACTCAGCTTGTGAAATAAGATGATGACTTCTGGGAAATTTTGATCTCACGGGAAGCAATTCTCACTCAGTTTGTTTTGAACCTAGTTGGAGAATGAAGTTTTTATATTTCATCATGTTTTTCTGCTTCTCAGGTAAGTGGCGATTATATCGACTAGAAAGCTGTATGGCTGTAAAAACACTCCTATCAGTTTGTCGTTGAATTTATGAGCGTTAAATGCAAATGGTGGGTCTAATTTGTGTACAACTCACTGCTTAAGAAATTGTATCAGACATAGATTTAATGACAAGTTGCAATCATGATAATAATAATAAAAGTAACAATAATCATTACATTTTTAACACTTTATTTACAATAGAAAATCACAGTGTTAACAAGAAAAGGCATTGATTAGGCACCATCCAGAGGCACCAGAGGTTGTTGTTGCATGTCATTCTTCTTGACTGTTCACTTTCAAATGAAAAACAATTCAGGAAATATTTAGAATTACAAAGAAGAGTTATTATGGACTGTAAACTTCTCTTTGCACATTTATTAAGTGATGCAGCAACTACTTAAAATAAAATTCACAAATCAGGAATACTGGGGGAATAAGAGAGTGGCATGCCTCAATTAAAACTTAGCAAAAATATTAAGTTTTAGCGTTTTGCATAAAATCCCAGTTGAGTAGTGGTACAAGAAAAGTAGCAAAACCAAAACCTGACTGATCGAAGATCAAGCTGTGTTGGGAAAAATACTCTGTCCCTATTCACATAAAACAAATGTGACAAATTCCAACAAGGAAACGATCCAAAAATGTAAACATGGCCACTTGCAGCGCCTGATTTCTCCCGTATCAGCAGTTTCTTTTGGTCAATCTTTATTTCAATCTTTTCTTTTTAGCTTTGGTTCACTCCCACAGTCTCATGAGTGTCATGGTCAGTCACAACAGACAAGGGTTCAGTGAAACATCTCTGAAAACCTGCCAAACAAGGCCCGCTTCACACAGAAACAGAGTTAGCCTCTGTTAGGCCAGTGTTTCCCTCAAAAATACAAAAAGAAAACAGACCCATAAGTACAAGATTTCAAATGAATATTGGTCCACTAGCTGAGACATCTCTGACCAATTGAGATATTCAATTATTCCAACAAGCTCGGGACCACTCAAGGGTTCTATCCCAGTTGGAGGTGCCAGTAACACTTCCAAAAGGATTTCCTGACACAGATCATAAAACTACCCACAGTTCATAGCAGTAGTTTAGAGTTGAAATACAGAGAGGCAGATTGATAAATACACTTCTTTTGCCTTTCCAGGCTTCTCTCTCTTCATATGACAATCCAGAATGATCAATGCCAATACAGACCCATCTGAGGCGCCTAAGTTCATTTTGACCACCTAAACTACTTCCTATGAGATAACTGATTCCCTGTCTTTAGGGAGCATTCAGTGTTTCCTGACAGGAAACCATGGCTACATACTCTGTAGTGCTGATTTTCATGTCAACAGCCTCACATAAAGATTTAAATGAAGCTAACCACATTATTTCTAGAGAGAAAAAAAGGAGGTCCCCAAACTAGCTCCTCTACCTCCACCGTTGAGTTCATCTTAATGAAACTCAGTGTTTCAGTGCCAGGGACGGGGGACTTCTCTGGCAGAAGCCAACACAAAGTAGGACTGTGTTTGATTTTGTAGTAAGGATGATGACACAGGTCTCACTTTTGGTCCTCAATGGATAAATGGTTTGTGGCAAAGGCTCATGTTGTATTTTGAGGGCACTTTCCATGGGGGTACACAAGAGACATGGCAAGCCCACTCCAAGCCCACTAAACATATACTGGCTTCAAAAGCTCCTTAAAGGTGGAGTAGGCAGGATTCCATTCAAGAAGGATCTTTTTTTGTGGTGTGTATACAAAAAGCTTTCAATATCAGTTAATAGCGATTGGTTATTGATGACATTTGGGAATATAAGGATATCGCTGTGTTTTGTTATGTCTGTGTAATCAACATTTTACATTTTTTGAGCGGCCTGCTCTGACTGTAAACAAAGCCGTTCTCCGCCTCCCCTAACCTTATTGGTTGTGAGGTGGACGCTGCTCCTGAGTGCTGATTGGTTGTGAGGCAGATGCACCCCCATGTCGTTCACGAGCCCAAACAAAGTTAGCTTGTTACAATATCGAACAGTAGAAACCAACCAGAAAGTACGGACAACTGTCTGAATCCTCCTTTGGCCACGACCACCAACACAAGCAAGAAAACAAAGTAAATACTGGTGACTCTGGTTGAATAACAGGCACTTAGAAAGGAGGTAGACCAGTCAAGAGCTAAAAAGCCGGGTCAACAATGATGGGGCACACTTTGGGATTTTGGTGACCCTGTAACCTTTCTGCTGGACGGGTAAACTGCTGTAACAGAAGTGTTTCTTGTCAAACGAGACCTGCTATGTGTTGGAGTGCGGCTAAACTGTTTACCTCAGGTCCTGGAGTATGTCACTTTATGGTAGTTTTAGAATTCCTGCAAATATTGTGTTTGCTGGTAATATGTTGGCATCTACAGCAGCACTAATGCTTTTTACTTTCACATTGACTGAGCCCCATTTGTAATTATCTGAAGTATTTATCTGCATTATATCTGAATTTAATTGAAACGATTCGAGCGAGCAGGAGTGTCTGTTTGTGGGCGGGGCTTTCTGGAGCAGAGATGGAGGGGAGAGGAGAAGCTGAGGGGAAAACTGGTTGGGAGGGGTAGTGTTTATATCCAAGATTTCCCCCCAAAACTGGCACTAACTCAGATCCTGCCTACCCCACATTTAATCAGTCATGTAAGGCTAAGGAGCTGGTCCACTGCACAGGACCAAGGGAAAATCTGCATTGCTCTTCTTGTATGAGGCTCAGTGATCAGCTGGGGCCATCCTTCTAGCTGCCTGAAGTAAATTTTTTCCTGAAAGGCGGATTGATGTGAAACCTTGATTGGAGCATAGCATCCGGTTGCACTGTTTTGAATTGGGAGTCAGTTTCCCTGTGCCATTTTCGAAGTACTCTCCCAGACAGATTTCTTAGGAGGCATTGCTCTCTGAGCTGCTGTATGGTGCAAAGTGCAAACAGCAATCAGAGCTTTTCAGAAGGGTGACTCTCTTCCCCCGGGTAGTGTTCCATGATAATGTGTAAGATTACAGAGTTTCTTAAAACTTATTTTTGCTGCCGTAACAAGGCCAAACCAATCAGTTATTACAGTTTGACAAAGAAAGAACTCTCTATATATCAGATAGGAGATGTGAAGGTTGCTGCGAGCACTGCTTTGAAGAAACAGTTATGTTATAAACCTGCCAGTAAAAAATGTAAAATCTTCATAAATCTGGTATTAGATATGGGAAATTAAACAACCAGCCAGAAGATGACAGACTGGCATTGTTCTGGTAAAACTTCTTTGAGTATAGTGTGACCTATATGTCTTGTGATGTCTCAACACTTTTTTAAACATCAAGACCACAAAGGTCACATGAAAACACACACATGCACTCAAACACATATAACATATTACCAGTCATTCTCTTTCATGTCATCTCAAAGCGTCCTCTGTTCTTCCTGGACCCAAACCCTCCATCATCTCCCTGATGGAGGTGAAAACTTCTTCCCAAGGCAGATTTTCTTCCAGCTCTGAACCCTCACCAGCAGTTTCAACACTGTCTACAGAGACCAAGACGATCTCGCACGCAGCAACTAAAATGAAAGGTAACAGTTTGGATGCTGCTCTCTCAAAGCTCTCTCAAAGAGCTTGATAACATAATTGTAACAACTACAACTTCAATAGTCCATATTGAAGTGGGGCTGTTCGAGGTTCTTGCCAACAAGGTTATTACCCACAGAGGATCCAGGTCATAAAACTAAAACTAACCAATCAGAGTTGGAACCATCTGCAGGGCCTGGCTTGAGTTCAGCTTTTACCTTCTCGACAAATAAAATGAAGAAATGTATTAGTGGCACTTTAAATACCTTATTGTGATCTTAAAATACATTTTAAGCAACAGTGCAACCAATACAGCAGAATTAAATGCAGAGAGGGGTATTTTATTGTTACACCAAAAGTTGTTGGCAAAGCATAAAGGAGAAACCCATGTAGCAACACCACATTATGACAGCTTTTCACCCTCATTATCTTGTAATTGTGAATGTAATAGAAAAGATGGAGTAGGGGAGACCAGGGCTTGTTGTCACATGGGTAAGTTGTCACACTGCAATTATCTTTGCCACCAGAGGGCTCAACTAAAAAGTGGAATACTAGTTTTCTTCCTCTACATGGTCAGGGGTCGTGTCCTGTCTGAGAAGAGAAGAGCACATTGTGAGCTGAGATGAGCACCAATTAACCATTCCGCACAACTTAAAGTAAAAAAAACTTTATAACTTAAAACTTTATATAGTTTAAAATAAGCTTCTTCTAGATAAAAATCTTAGCAGTGATACATGTGGACTTGTTAGAGGAGAGATTAAGACATCCTGTCATAGCTCAGTCATTGTTCTGTTTTAAGCTAACTTTAAGCTAGAGCTTTAATTAGCCAACATGGTAGTTTGAGGCAACATGTCTCAGTCAATTTGGGGTTAGTTGTCACATGTTTAAAATTGATTAAAATTAACATGGAGAGTCAGTTGTCATATTGAAACTTTGACTTCATTATTATTACAGAAAAAAGAGTGGTTTAAAGGAGAGGAGAAAGAGAGAAACCATGGTCAGGTATTTCAAAAGAAAAACAGAACATGGCAGTGCAGTACCTGACGTGATGCTGAGGGCAGTTAGGCAGGTGACCCTAGCTAATAAATCAATCTGGAGTATAATAAAGGACTTTAATGTCAACTACCATACCTTAGCTCGGCACTGCAAAAACATTCAACCCAGCCGAAATACAGCATGTTTGATGATATTTTATGTTAATGTTTGTTCAATGACTTTTTCTAGCTCAATGATAAACATTTTCTGTGCCTGACTTTGATGTTCACTTTCAAATAAAAAAATGAGAACAACAATAATTTTGTCCTTGTTTTATAAGCTGCAAAATCCACTGTGACATCTTACCTCATATAGTGAGACAACTAACCCTATGGTGGGGCAACATGTCAAATGTTTACACTCTCTATTTAATTGCTTATAACTCTGCACTGACACAAGATATGAAAATGACATGAATACAAAATATATATCTGAGACTTTGGTCTTTCATCTGGTACACATTTTGTTTATATATGATGTATTGATTCCAAGAAATATATAAGAGTGTATAAAGTGTGACAACAAGCCCCGGTTTCCCCCACCGCTTAGCAATAAATATCGTGGCCTGCTGAAAAGACTTTTCAGTTCAAGAAATCCAGCAGAGGGGGCCAACGCAACTCTCAGCAGTTTGGTTGCAGACGGTGGGACCTTCCTGGACATAGCTCAAGCCACTGCGACTGTACTCAAATGGTCCACTATAAACCCTGCCTTCACGCAATCCTGTCTCCTGTAATGTGCATTGAAAGGGAAGATTATTATTGTCAAGTGAAAGGCAAGTGGAGGAAAGAAAGTGGATGCATTAAAAATGTGACTAGACATGTCATTGCATAGCTACCCACCAGAAGACAGACTATTTTATTCATATTTAAAAAATGTGATTTGGATCTCAAAAAGTTTGTAAAATGAGTCAAACTGTAAAGCACCTATTGTTGTAATCGACACGATGAAGGCACAGACAAACTGTTTGTCTGCCTGTGTTGTCTGCAGATACCACAGTGGTCATCATTGTTTCTGTAAGCTTGGCTCTTCTGGTCTGTGCCCTTATCCCTTTTGTATTCTACGGATACTGTCGGACAAACACGAGTAAGAAGATGCATGCTCACAGACACATCATGCAAAAAAACACACCCTAGTAACCCTACAGTGTTATCTAAGTCTCTTGTTCATGTAAATTGAAACACTATTTTTTTTCCACTTGTTTCAGATGACCAGAATAGACCTGAAGCAAACAAGAGTGAGGTGAGCCACCGGTTATCACCCAGTTGTAATTCTGACTTGGCACCTATTAAAGCATCCAGGTTACAGTTTTTTTTTCATCAACAGGAAGTTTGTTTTGAGGAAAAAACAGGGGTTTCTTCCACTCAGACTTCAGTGAGGCTTCAGGCTTCAGACCCAGAGTCCAGCAATCAGGACGCCTCCCAGTTTGCATCAGTCCACCAAGCACTAGATCCAATAAATCAAGATTAAGAGGGTTATATCTTTTCTATACAGGAGAAATAATTATACATTTCATAGTGGTGCCTTTCCCAGGCAGAGCACTACTGCTTTGCTGATTTGGCCTGTGCATGTAGTCATATGTCTCACTAACTTTTTGCTTCTTTCAAAACTAAGAAGGCATACAGTATATTGATGCATTTAAATTTAATGTGATGGTTCAATGTTTTTTTTTTTTTTTATAAAGTGAAACTAAATCCCCAGTCCCCTTTTTCTAGCTAAAAAAACTGTTTATACAGTATGTCTCTCTTTAGTAGTGCTGATTGATTCAGGCTCAAACCTCCACATTTGACAACAAAATCTTCAATTTCCTCACTATGTGTCAGATAGGTGCATAGTGACTGCCCTCCACAGGTTGAAATCCTGGTACTGCAATCCATTTTTTTTTTTTTTTGCTGGTTAATCTGGAGCATTAACCGTAACAGCTTTCCTGTAGACACAGCAGTTCGGCCCTGGTGGTTGCGTAAATTGAGCCCACAGCGATCTGCCAAGAGCCTGGCTGTGCAACCGTCACTTTTCCAGAAATTGTTTCTTATTGAAGGGGATTTAGCCTTTCTCTTAAAAGGCCAAGCTGAAATCTGACCCTCCTTATTACTTATGATTAAACAACAAAGCTAAAGACACTGCTCTCTTTAAGCAGTCAAATTTATCTCTTATTGAGAACTTGTACTGGGGAACCCGTAAAAAGGTGTATCAGCTGTGTGGCAGTTGTTGATTTAACATCTACCTACCACAAGTGGTTTTGAACATTAAATACATATTTACAGAAACACCCCTTCTTATTGTTGATGGTCTTATTCTTATTTATCTATCTTTTTATTTTTTTAGGATTAAATGAGGCATCAGTATTAATTCCAATAACTTTTGTAATCAATTTAAAACTCCTTACAGGATCTTTAAGGTGGGGATTGAGTATATTTATTGTACACATTTTTATGCAGTAGATGTGTAAGAGGCTACATATATTCACAACCAACACTTTATAATACAAGATTAGCAAGTCTGTAAATGTTTTCTGTACATTGTACATGATATGGAATAATAACATGATCTTACCATAGTTTTTTAATCAGCATATTTCTATTTGAAACCTAAAAATCATATTGAAAGTCTGCGTCTACTGTTGTAGACCTACAGAGGATGTACACATAAGTGTTGCTATTCATCAGATGAAGTTTTGCCTCTCACCTGATAGCCTCCTCCACCATGATGAGAAACTTTTTCCGCTTTATAAGTCACCTTTTTTCTGCCTTCACATTTATATGAATATAAAATGAAAAAGAAGTCCATATTATATGAAATAGCACTGGACGTTTTTATAATAGTACTTATACTTTGTGATTTCTTTTCTTTTAAAATTTGTTCCCTGTCAATGCGGTCAAAGAAATAGTAATCAGAATTAACTATATGTTGTTTACCGCAAGTCTAACAACACCTGGTTTTAACATAAACTCATTGATTGAAATGCAATCCATCCACGTGTCTATTTACGCATTTCTGCTGAATTAGGTTTGTCACTTGTTGCATCGCAGACTTTCCTGTGAGGGTGTTAGTCGGTCAGCTAAAAGGAAGAGGAGGAAAATGCTGCAAGCTGCACTCCTACTAACACTTATTTCAACACTTCTACTCACACATGGGGAACACACCTACTGATGGTTTGATTCAAGACATCTAGCTGTAAACTTTGTGAAAGTTGACTCAGTTGCCGTCTCTCATGTGGTTGTTGTTTTTCAAGGCTGTCTATATCTTATGGTGATAGAGTCCTTTTCTACCTTTCACACCCAACTGAATGTATCTTTTTTTTATTGTTGTGCATGTGAAGCAACATCAGGAAACATTTAAGCCTACCTGTTGATGGCCTCTCATGTTAGCACTCCCTTGTTCACCCCTCTCATTGTTAGAGGAATGGTGGCTTTATTGGACAAGAAATTTCCATGATCTTCGATTTGTTAAGTTTTTTAAATCAAAAATGCCTACCAATAAAAATTATTGTCTGCACAACCACCACTCCCACCATCCTCTTCTTCTTCGTATTGCCTTCTATTTGGTTGAGTTAAAACTTCATCTTGAAATGTGCTCTCTGAAAGATGCAACCCCTGAATAAGGACATAGCTTATAAAAAATTAAAAAAAGCAACAACAAAAAAAAGTTATCTGGCCAGAAAAAAATAGCTAACCACCCTCCTCTTTAAAGCTCCTGGATTTACTTGTTCCATCCATGCAAAGAAAAGAGTATTGTAAAATTAAAACAAAATAATTCAAAAAGATCACTTTTATTAGGATCTATTTCCAGCTTAACAACAGTTTGTATGCTAAACTCAGCTAAGCTAACAAGCTGCCTATATTGGCTATGTGTTTATGTCAACAGCATGTCAATGTGAAGCCAACACACCCCATAATTGGCGCTAATATACTGTGCTGTAACCTCTCTTAAGGTTCTGGTTTGCCTTTGTGTTTTCCATTTTTGTTTTACAGTCTAAAGCCGCGTTCAGACCAAACGCGACTTGAAGCGACCTAGTCGCGTTGGTCGCTCACGTCGCGTCGCGCCCTGGTGTGTTCACACCGGGTCCAAAGCTGCAGTCGCGGAGGTCGCAGGACGTGGCTGGTCGCCGATGACGTTACTAGCTCAGTGCGACAAGTGTTCAAGGTGGCCGACATCGTCCTCTGTGCTGCCACATAACTTTACATCCGCCGTAGACGCCGCCGGCGTGTTTGGGTGCATGAAACCATCCGGAGGAGGACGGAGCTGGGGGAATCTCACCGCTTGCTCCCGTAACTCCGCCTGGATGATGGGCGCTTCAAGCGAGTTGGAGTTTCCACCGTGTCCTGCATCTGGGAGTGCTTGGTGGAGGACTTCATGGCACCTGTGATGAGTGGAGATCCATAGCACAGGGTTTTGAGGAGTGGTGGAACTTCCCCTTGTGTTGTGGTGCTGTGGATGGGAAGCATGCGGTTGTGAGGCTCCTGCAAATTCAGGATCACAGTTCTATAACTTCAAGGGAACATTTTCTATTGTTCTCTTGGCAGTTGTAGATGCCAATTATTGTTTCCGAGTGATCGATGTCGGAGGCTTTGGGAGGACCAGTGACGGGGGGATTCTGGCCAACTCTGTGTTTGGTCAGGCCCTCGGTTCTGGCTCCCTCCAGATCGATCACTGCCTGAAGCTGAGCACAGGGGACCCCAACCTCATGTGTTTGTTGCAGATGAGGCCTTCCCGCTCCGGAGGAACCTCATGAGACCGTATCCAGGGCGCATCCTCCTCAGAGAGAAGCGCATTCTCAACTACTGGCTGTCCAGGGCGCGGCTGATGGTTGAAAATGCCCTCTGCATTCTTTCCACTCAGTGGAGGATGTACCGACATGCCCTTGAGGTTTTTCTAGACTTTTTTCCAGTCCTTTATACAATATGGAAATTAATGTAAAATTAAAAAACAAAGTACTAATAGAAAGCTAACGAGTGTCCTGTGTAGGTAAAAGTGATACGCAATTGCCGTTTCTTTTGTGTCAACAAACTATTGTCAACATGACATGATCAAGATGGTAATATTTCAAACACAGATTACCTACATGTTGAAATTACTATCTATCTATTCACAAACTTTATTTCAGACCCAATAAGTCCATATCATGCAAGATCATTATTATTATTATTTTTTTTAATTTGTTAGCCCACACGAGGGTAACAAGTATCATTAAATTTTAAGGGGTGCACAAGGGTTAAGTAAAGTTTATACATCGAAGCACTGCAACCTAGTTATGTTACTTCATGACTGCATGTTCAAGAATGAAACAAGGCAAAGTTGAGAAAACTTTTTATAACAATATTTAGAACAACAAATATTTATAAAATTTATAACAACAATAATATAATAAAAATAATATTTATAACAACAAAAAAATCAAACAAATTTTACAAAGGCTGCAACAGCAGATATTACAAATATAATAACATTTATTTACAAAGGTGTGTATGTGTGTGTGTGTTGGGGGGTTGGGGGATTGGCTGCAACAGCAGAGCCTGGCTCGTTCCCCCCCGAGGCTGTCACCCCAGCTAAGGTTCCACTGCTTCCAAATTTAAGGTGAAATCTTGCGCCTCATAAATTAATTTGCGTATTTTAAATTTGACATGTTCCTTAGCCTGGGGTGTGAGCCACGCGAGGGAAGGAACCAGGCTCAAGGCGAACAGTTCGTCCTCTGATGGGCGACATGTGGGTGGTGGTGGTGGTGGAGGTGCATTTAGTTGCCTCTGCAGGACCTGAAAGAGGAGCTCCTCGATGTCCTCCAATCTGGAGGTGGGAGGCGTCCTCCTCTTCCTCCCTGTCATAAAAAAAACTTATCGGTTACAATTTGTTTTATAATTTCTATGTGAATTTGACCATGAGCAATTTCATTGAATATATGGTTAATATTTCTTTTCAATACCTTTTGGTCTGGCTGCAGTGGGGCCCGAGGCATCACTCGATGGAGCAGGTGAGGAAACAGGAGAAGACGAGGGGGCAGGAGAAGGTGAGGGAGCTGGAGCAGGAGAGGGAGCAGGCTTATCTTTAAAGTTGTGACAAAAATGTTTGAAATCAAACCTCTGCAATCAGGCAACATTATAATTCAAATTAAAAATTTTCACACATTAAATGTGCATGATTTGAAATGTCCATCTTAAATTAAACTACAATGGTGTGTTTAAACCATGAAGGGACTCAAATTTATTTGCTATCTTTTTCACTCATCAACCAACCGTCAAACAGTCCATGCTCCACTCCTGAGGGGCCTGCTTCCTCCAGCTCTTCAGGCATCCCCGCAGAAGAAGCAGCATTTCCTACGGTGACATCTTCCTCGTCCTCCCGAGACATGTTGCTGGTAGTCTCCCTCGGGGAAATAAAGGGGTCGAGGAAGGACATCACCGCAGAGAAACGCCACTTCTTCTGCTGGGAGGCCGCTGACCCGCTTCTCCCTCCTTCCTTCTCCCTCATGTAGACATCCCGCAGCCCCTTCCAGCGCTTGCGGCACACATCCACTGCAAACACACACACACACACACACACACACACACACACACACACACACACACACACACACACACACACACACACACACACACACACACACACACGTAGAAACATGTAGCCTAGCAAGCAGGGGCAGTTTGCTATGTTTTCAGAAAATAGTCTGCTCACTTAAATAAATAAACAAACAAACTTACCAGAAAGCCCAACATCATGGGCCACCTTCACCCATGCTTCCTCCTCGGAGGTGCGGTCCAGGTAGAACCTGCACTCCACGTCGTAAAGCACCGGGTGAAGACTCACGGCAATTATAAGCTGCTCCTCCATTGTGTGATTCTTCTTCTCCTCCTTGCTTCGCGGGTTTGTTGACATCAGCAGAGCCCTGATTGGCTGTCGCGGCACGGAGTCGCGGAAAGTCGCAACGCGACTTCGCGCCCTGCGACCTCGGGCGACGCGACCTCGGCGATTATGCGCGACCTGGTCGCGTAGGTCGCTCACGTCGCGTCGTCGGCAGCCGGCGGTCGCCGAGTCGCGTCAGGTCGCGGCTGTACATACACTTTCGGTCGCGTTTGGTCTGAACGCGGCTTAATGATGCTTTCCGGACAGACATGATGTGGTATTTACCCACCTGTCTGCTAATAAGTCTTTTTTTAAATATGACAAACGGTTTTTCCTCAAAATGCTGTAAAAATGAATAAAAACCCTGTCTGACAAACATTCCCTTCAATCAAAAAACATTATGTAGCCTATGGCATGGCTGTTGGCAGGTTAGCTTCACAGTAAGCAACATTTCTCTTTCAAAGCAGAACAGAGCTGTTAAACATCAGCATGTCCGTAAACAACTCCTTCCAGGTTCTCAGCTTTTGTCCAATTTGTTGTGGATCTTTCCTTTAACAGCTGCGACAGCAGCCAAGGTAAATGCTTCAGTTTAGTTGCTATGGGTACAGAGATGATGTTCAGAGAAGCTACATTATAAGGGCTAGAAAGTCACTTGTTTTCCCCGACAGGTTGCACCAACACAAGAACTTGTGAGAACTGAAAGTGAGTAGGAGTGCATATGAAACTCAGTCATCTCAGGTCACATTTCTCTTTGAAGTCTCTCTTCTCTCGGGTTAATTTCTGCCACTCATGGTGGCATAGTTCAAACCATAGGAAGATGGTCGACAGTGAAGAGTTCTCTTGATGCTAATTCATTTGTGGGAGTAAATAGTGTGGTTAAGTATGATGAAGATGATGTTCAGACCGTTCACAAAGCCTTAAGAGGTTATGACTCCAGAGCTTCAACAACATGAAGACTGTTTTTGTACTTTACTGCCTCCTATTTGGTAAGTATTTAAATAACTTACACATCATTTAACAGAACTCAAAGATGCTTAATAAGTGTTGTTGGGTGATGTATTTCGGCAGCTACATGGAGAGTGGGAGCAGATATCACTGCTGAGGGATTTGAAACCGGACAAGTCTCGTTCCAGTGTTCACACAGATTTGCACAGAGAAATAATAAATACCTCTGTGAGAACTCCTGCACAAGAAATGAAGACGTTCTTCTTACTGTAAAACCTGGGGAACGAGTGGGGTCCGAGAGGATAACTCTGGAAGACTGGGGTGATGGGGTCTTCACTGTGACCTTCAGTCAACTTCGGCTGACAGACTCAGGGACATACTGGTGTGGAGTGAATAGGCCTGGTGCTGATACGTTTACTAAGGTGCATCTTATTGTAAAAGAAGGTAGGTGGTTTATTTTATGCTCCCACTCACTTCTTTTCTTTCATTTATCAAAACACATTTTTTCATCAGTGTAAAGAGGAACCATGTGTGTAGTTCTTGTGCTGGTCTTTAGTAGAATTCAGAGGCAGAGGTCACTATAGCAGTGTGTTTCCATCAGTGTTGTGGTTAATTTGACTGCAGTGATCTATCATGTATGTGTGTTGAGGAAAACTGGTTGATTTGGCCTCCAAGAGTTGAGTCCAAGAAATAAAAACAGTGACCGGGAAGATGTCTATAATGTGTTTCACAAATCTGTAACTTCCACAGATTTCCCCCTTGAAAATCAACCTACTCAAACATTTAAAGGTTGGCAAGGCTAGACTCAATATCAAGTTAATAAAGGTTAAAGATAGTGGCACAAATGTATGTATCACTGACATTTTGTCCCTCTCTGGCTCAAAAGCATACCTATAAACATCAGTTTTATCTCACAACAGGAAACCTCTGGACCAAACTGAATTGTTCCTCTTCTGCCTTGCGAGTGTCTCACTTTTCATTTCCCTTTTCTTCATGACATTTACTCTCATCCTTGAACTGCGGACCTATAAACCTGCTTCACTGTTCCCATTTTTTAGTGACCTGTCTTTCTATCAAAGCTGCTTGAAGGTCATTTGACCAAAATAAATTGCATACTGCCTGTAATTCTCTGCACATAAATCCTATTTTCCTGCCTGCACTACAATTACACTTGTACTAAAAAAAAGGAGTTAAAACAAGCCCCACCTTTAATTTCTAATACAAAAAAGTCCTGCTTGCACTTTAACGCATCTGCATTAGCAATCTAATGCTATTTATGACCATATTTTGGCAAAACAAGTATTTAAATTCACTTTAATGCCACTGCAGGACTTTTATGTGAAACTAAATATACTTTAATGAATAATGATGCTTCTTTATGAGCTATAGAAGTAAACCAGACATAAAGCTAAAAGACAGTATTTGTATAAAATAATAAATAATGATTGTAACTTATGAAAAAGGGTAAGTGAAACAAGACAAACCATGGCAAGCTATGGTTTGACTGAGTTGATTCATTTGAAGCTTAAAGGTCAAAAAGGATTGGTCAGAAATGTAGGACGAAAAAAGAAAAAAAAGAAAAAAAAAAGGGGGGGGGGGGTGCTTAATGGTGAATTTACACATCTAGTGGATCTGAACTGATCTTATGCTTCTGCTCCCTATCATACAGGCATTGTCAATGCAACAGCGTTTATCACACCTAGACCTTTCCCTTCATGGACATATCAGAATATGTCCAGTGTAACACAACAAACACCTGAAGTTAAAACCAGCTGGCCCACAACAGGTATGGACACAAATGTCACAATGCTCTTATTCTTACAATTTTTGAACAAACTAACAGTAATCATTTACTTTATATTGTAGCATCAAACTTCACCAATGGGAGAGAGCAGAGCAACAGCATAGGTGAGTTTAAGTGTGTGGAGTTTGTGCATAATTACCAGATAAAACAACTGTGGAATTATTAAGTCATCTTTATGTTTTGGATCAGGCACTACACTGTACATTACAGTCGGCGCTGTTATTGGTTTTACCATTATCCTCGTGGCTGCGTGGTTCAGGAAACGCAGAGACAGCTCAAAACCACAACTACAAGTTTGCACCGAAAGCACAGATCTCGTCAGTGCAAGTAAAAGAGAGGTATGAGACAGAAACCAGGGTTCAGTAAACCAGGAAGTCATCTCACAGAGACACAGAAGGGTCGTCTTGATGGTGATTTATTCAGGCTGACAACATCCAAGTTTATTTTCTGTGTTCCAGAGACGCATAAATGGGGTTCTTCCTGATTTCTACAAGTTGTTATTTCTCTTTTTTTCTGTAATCAGTGAGGTCCTGTGTCCACAACCCTTTTTTTTTGTGTGCCTGCAGAGGCCGTAACCTCAATCATAGTGTGTTTCTCAGTAGTGCTTACTGTAGCTGGGCTAAAAATTTTTTCCTTCAGCTCCCACTTCTATGTAGTAGTGATGATAGAGCCTGTTTTTTAATGCTTTGTGTGCTCCACATTTTATCAGTTGTTTCATATAAAATAACTGATAAATCAATCTAGTCATAGCACTAGCTGTATTTCTGACCTGGAAATTGTGTCTTGAAATACGGAGTATAACTAGTTTCTCCCCCTTTGTGGACCCCTGCTGTTTTTGACCAAAATGGTATCAGAAATCCCATCCCTTCTTGTTTTTTGTTAAATTAACTCTTATTTCAACAACTACGTCATTCTCCATCATGACCATAAATTAATCTGAGCATGTTTGAAATGTCATCATTTTATCAGTGCTGACAAACTTTCACTAACCAAATTTAGACACTAACTATTTTTGTTTAAATGTTGACTTATATCTGTCACTTTGTACAAATTCAATGGTGTGAATGCTTTACTCAGCTGAATAAATAGATGGTGAAAATCAGTTTGAAGTACATGTCCTGATTATTTTTCCTTGTTATTTTTTAACAGATGGACTGTGAGCATCGTAGTGATAGTGAGGCGATACAATCAAAGAGAAAAGTATCCACTGATCTCTCTTTTACTCACAAACCAGCGCAGGATCCACCAACAGCTGAGCTCACAGCAGTAAAGTGCAGCGATCCCCTTCATATCTATGAAAACATCAGCTTCAAAAATGCTGCAGATTCAACACACTCAACTGTGAATTTTGGAGAGGAACATGTCGACAGCTCTGGGGTCTACATTGACCTTTTGCCATTCACAGACAATGAAAATGCAGATGATGGCTGTCTTGACAGAAACACAAATAAAACTATGGCAACCAGAAATGAAACAAAGAAATCTGTAAAGAAGAGCTGTAAAAGCAAAGTCTCAACTTGTGACTCCTCAGAAACAAGGCCCACATCTCTCTGGTTTGGTTTGGATTTATCAGGAACAATTTGACTCACTCTCAAAGGAGTGGAAAGACTGATTGGGACATTTGGGGACGACTGGACTGTATGACCAACCTTTTTTTTTTTTTTATTGCTAATAGATGTGTGTTTTCTATACAGGTGTTACTTCAAGGGTCGTAATGTTCCATGATTGTATGTTGTACTTTGTGTTTTCTATGGTCTGGTTGTGTCTGGCGTGTGTGTGGTGTGGGTGTGACGACATTGTTGCCTATCTTTCATGTAAATTAGGCGTGCCATTGCATGCTCCTGATTGGCTGTGGACAGGTGGTGGGCTGCTGCAGAGCTGGACTATCAATTTAAGGAGGGAAAGTGACGTCACTATGGCTTGGGGGGAAACCCGTGACCTCAAAGTCCCAGTCATGTCACCTTCGTGTGGAGAGCTCAGATGCTTTTGGTTAGTTGTTAGTTTTCTCAGTTATTGTTACTTATCTTCATTGCACTCAGAGGAGGTGACCATTCTTTGTTGTCCTATAATCATTTTTTTTTTCTTTTTTTTTTTGTAAAAAAAAGTTGTTCCATTGTTTAAACCTTGAAAGTTTTTATGTGGTTATTTAAGAGGTGAGTGAAATGGGTCCACTTTCATGTTGTGTCCTAGCCACCCCTTACATCACAACAACAAGGATTTTCCGGGAATGTACTTTTTCATGTCTTTGGATTGATTCACATGCACGATGTGTCTGTGTGTCTGCAGTGACACAATAAAAGGACATTTTTTAGCTAACTACATTACAGTGGGTGTAGAACTTTTGACAACTAATATTATGCTTTCCCATCAAAATGTCAAAGTTTTACCAATTAGTATTTATAATCAACAACCACTATCCAGTGCGGTGTGTGTGTGTGTGTGTGTGTGTGTGTGTGTGTGTGTGTGTGTGTGCATAGATGGAAACATTGATAAAAGATATTTATTATTATTATTATTATTATTATTATTATTATTATTATTATTAGTAGTAGTAGTAGTAGTAGTATTATTGTTATTAGTATTATTATTATTATGTTAAAATTAATATGGAGGCCCAAAAGCTGGTTGTGGATACATGAGGTCAGGTTTGTAGAAAATGAATGAGAGGTGATCAGACAGAGAGGGCGTCTGTTGCAGGGTTTCAGTTCATGCTGCCTGACTTTTCCATAGAGATGTGTTCCAGTAATAAAGTTTCTTATTGAGTGATAGTTGTCTGTGTTTCATCTCCCAGTTCATGAGGATAGTTTCCTTGGGAATAGTTATGGTGATGAGTAAAGTTTTATTAATTGATCCATTTACTGTAATTGTTTAAGTGTCATCATGGAAACAGAGTATGGGGCAAAGGGGGATGCAGCAGCCCATGAGGGTTGAATTGGAGTGCAGTGCCAGATTGCATGGCTGTTAGTGTCGAGGGTATTTTGAGTGTAATTCATGCAGATTATTGAGGTAAAACCCATTTTAAACATTTTCTGCCCAGTGAGGTGCGTTCTCTGAAGTATCTTGTACTGTATTAGTTGCAAATTAGCTTTATTTGACATCCAGCCCATAATTTTGGAGATTGGGTTTCTGAAATTGGCATCAGGAGCAATGGGCAGGTCATGTTCCCATTTTATTGTTAGAAAAGAAAGAGCATTGTCAGAGTTTATTATTCTATAGATTTCGGAGAGGAGTTTTTTTTTTTTTGTTTTTTTTTTGAGCTGATATTAATAAAATCTGATGAAGGGAGATCATAGATGCTGGTGGTGGTAAGGTTACATGTGGTTTAAATTGATGATTCAAGGCGTAGATGTTTCAGGGATCGAATGCTCCTGGTGCTGTATTCCTGGACCAGATGGGAGAATAGGACGAGTGTGTTATTCTGAAAAATAGTGTGTGATTTCTTTTTCTGACCATAAATGGAAGGGGAATGGTTCTTGGTCACCCATTAAATTACATTCTTGAACTGTTTTTTCTTTGCATGACTCTTTTTTTTAAGACAAAGCTGCTGAAATCTTAAACACTTAAATCGTAGCCTCATCAGTTTTCATGTATTGATTTGCATTTTATCACATTTGAGTCTTCTATCAAGAAAAGATCCTTGATCTGCTTTTTTTAATTACTAGAGCTATCACAGAATTAGCATTAATAATATCACAAAAATGTTCTTGTTTCTTGTCTTCATGTCCACTGTATTCAACCAGAGAAAATTTTTTTTACACATGTGATCAAAATGTCTTTTCAACATTTTTTTTTACACAATGTGGTTGATCAGGTGAAAATAAGCGTGTGTGGTTTCAAACTTTTTTGTGGATTAAGTTATTTAATCTTGTGTTTCTGGTCAGTTAAAGCGTGAAAATGCTACCAGCAGTTACAGACTGATGCAGTATATCAAAGGTGGTGATTCTGGTGCCTCCTGGTGGTCATATCAGTATGAGACAAACACTTGTAACGCTGAGCATGGATGCACCTCACTAAATGAAACTCTCTGCTCATAATGTCCTTACATTTACTCCTTGGCTTTTGATACATTGTAGTGTCATTTTTTATTTTTTTTATCATCTTAGCACTTGCCGTGAGCCTGCTTATTTATATACTTGTTTATTCTTTTGCATGAATGTATTTCTGCTCACTTTATCTTTTTCTTTGATTGTTTTATTTGTTTTTATGTGTCATTGTTCGGCACTTTGGCTACCCTTGTGGTTCTTTTAAATGTGCTATAGAAATAAAGTTGATTGATTGATTGATTTATCATGTTGTGTCCCACAAGCAGCATCCAACTGATACATTTTCAATCAGGGAGTGATAAGGATACATACTCTGGGATAAGTTGCTCAAAGACAGGTTGGAGAGGAAACACATAGACTGACTTCAACATTAAACATTAACTGGGCCAAGTGAGAATAGCTTGTGATCTTTTGCCAAAAAAGCAACACATTAATGTTTAATGATTTTCGAATATGATCTGACAACCATTATCATGACCTAGCCACATAAATTGTAGAGCTTGTTATCTCTGCAAAGCCAATATTGTTCTAATGGTGCATGTTCATCCGGGGAAAGATCACAGCCAAGATACTTAATGAAGTAAAAGTATATCATATTTCAACCCTTCGATTGTCAATGAGTAGAATTTCATTTGTCATCTAACTTTAACTTTAATTCTTTTCATGTTGGTTATTTTGCTACTACTTTTTGCAACCTACTTTTTTTTAAAAAACTACAACAACAAAAAAACAAACAAAAAAAAATACTTTTTGACATTGTTTAAAATCCACTGGCAACCTCAGAAAGGAGGGTACAAACTAAAAATCTGAATCTGGTCCTGCCTTTTTTTCGCAGATACTAAAAAAAAGGAAAGGCAAAATCTTGTTCCCCTGGATTCTTCTTGTGGATTCAGGGAGCTACAGACCAAACTGAGACTGTGTTGGCTTCGGGAAAAATAAGAATAAGAGAAGAGGGTTAGAATTAGACTGATTCAAAAACGTTTTCTCGACTAAAAAGTGATATCTAAATGTGAGTCTCGGAAAAATAAACTCCAGGATGCATAAAGGTGACGTTTTGAGTCACTTCAGCAGCTATGTTTTCACTCTCGCAGGGTGGAGGATATGAGTGTTTTGGTTCATTCATGAAAGAGGAAGAGGATTAAACTCATGGACGTGAAAGCACCAGTGTGAACACACCTATACTTTCTCTAACATTGGTGTGAGTTTTAATGTGTGACTGGAGAGGATCAGAGTGAGAAGACAGAAGGTAAATTGGGAGGAATGGGAGGAAATTGGGGAGCAACTACTTTTGTCATCCTCACTTTACTTCATAACCAAGGTGGGTTGCATGTCTTGTATTTTAACTTTCATTTGGTATGATGGACTTGAACGAGATACTAGATTCTTGATTGTGTGGTTTTGCCACTAAAATAGATTGTTCTGGCTTACAGCTCTTATCAGTGCCCAAACCACAGTTGGCGGCACAGAAGGTCATAGCTTTGACTTCAGATGTGAGTATCCAGCCAACCTGGAGAAAAATACCAAGTACTTCTGCCTTGTTGACAACAATGTCTGCAATGCCAATACCCTAATACGGACAGAAACTCAAATGCAGCGGGTGAGAGTGGGACGATTCTCTATGTTTGATAACACCACGGGAGGCTTTTTCACTGTCACGGTGGATAAGCTGACTTTCAAGGACAGTGGGATGTACTGGTGTGGAGTGGACATCAAATTATACCCTGATCGCATCACTGTCATACAACTCAATGTTTCCCAAGGTACCATGTGTCATTCAGCACCAACATCAACATATGAGGCACTTTTCATGCATATGCATAAAATACCAGCTCAATAGGTTGCTTACAAGACATGTCATTTACAGTTTCTGTCTGAGAGGGTCGTGTTTTAAAAAAAAGCAGGCTTTTACTCTAAAAGAGAACTGAGTAATGTTTTTCCCCCCATGCATGTTCCTCTCTATGATTTTTCTATTTGTATAAAAGAACTTAAGCATGTGATTTTAAAGCAGGAAACTAATAAGAAAGGTAGCTACGTGTGGTGTAATACTCTTAATGTTTACTTTACAGCTACTGTATCTCCACCGACTGACTCCCCAAAGGAATCTACAGTCGACAGTAAGTGATAAGTCCAGCGTGTCCATCTCAGTGTCTTCATCAGTAAATCATACCTACCTGGTACTTTATGTCAGGGAACTTCTATCTTACTATTGTGATAGACCTGACATACGTAAATCCAAGCATCTTGCAAGAGTGGTGTGGAAAAATCACTGTGAGCGGGCAGAAATAGTGAGCAGAACCAGACCCAGCCATCTGCCCTGACTGGACAGGACGAGAAAAGGAAGTGATGGGAGGGACGAAAGAGAAATGGATAGAAACAAACAACCTAGACAGGAACAGACACACCAGCTGATAATACAGGCTATGCAAACTAAAATATCAACAACAAAATGACCGTAGCATTAAAAAACACTGAGACTTTTCAGCAGGTACAATAAAGCATAATGACCTGAATTCATAGTGTTCAGTATGTCGAACTGACTCTTTTTCATGGTCATTTTTTTTTGTTGTCTCCCCTGCAGGGCTCCACGCTCCACTCTACCTGACTGCTGTGATGTGTGTGGCAGCGATATTTTGTGTGTGTATGTTTACACTTTGTCTCCTGCTGGTTGTTAAACAGCAAAGATCCAACGCACAGCGCAACAGAGAGGTTTGTCTATCACAGAATCTGAACCACACTGGCAACATGACTGTAGGTCTGGATCATTTGCTTTAGTTTGGTACAAACATACAATTCGCCTTAAGGGTCTAATTTGCTTGGTTTTCCTTTTCATAACTAAATACTTGCATCACAAATAACATTTCACTCATCTATATGTGGTGTAAACCCACAAAACTTCAACAGCACTCTCAGTTGTTTCAAGTTTTCAAGTTCAGCATGAAATTTAAACCTCTTGATATCAGTTGCGCAATGCTAAATACTCATTTTGTGTATGTTCATACAGCACTGTGTATTATACTCACAAAAGACTGTTTGCTCTTTAAAGCTCCTTTAAGGAACTTTTGGTTTGGGTCAGTTATGGTGCCCCCTGTGGACAACTCAGTCAGTGTTTGTCTTGTCCATACTTGAATGGCTGTCTTTGAAAGAAAATCTCATCCTGTTTACTTCTGACAGTAAAACATATCATTGATTGTGAATTTTTTATGGGTAAAGTGTAAAAACAGGGCTATGGGGAGGGCTGCTGGGTAGACACCCAACCCCTTGCGCTGGTTTAAGGCATCACAAATTAGGATATAAATATCTTCAGTCATTTCACCAATAGTCTGGTTTGTTTTTGGAAATCATAAAAAAGCATCGATATGAATTCCTGCTCCAAAAAAAAAAAAAATCATGCTGGTCAAAACACACAGTGCATCACAGTTTTGAGGCTGCTCAGCATTGCATTGCTGAAAGAGGCTAAGCAGGGCCTGAAAACATCAGACCATGGGGTAATGAGAGAAGATTGCCAGCTGGGCTGTTTTGTGATGCCTAGAGCCTGTCTGCTGAGATGAGTGTTCATGGCAATAAGTCAAACCCATAGTCTGTATATGCGATGGATGCCATCTGCCTCCTCGGTGGGTGAAACCACTGCAAGAACAGCACCCTCTGGTGACGGGCTGCAGTAAAGGTCATAAATCCCGCCTCCTCCAGCAATCCCTATGGAGCTGTGGACAAACTTTAGAAATTTATTACACAGAATATAGAATTTTCTCCCCCCCTGGTTGTGATGTTGAAATGTAGTTATTGTAAGACTGGTTTGTGCTCAAGTCCTCTTTTTTCTGTGTAGCTCTGTTTTTAAAAGTTATTAGGGGGTTCATGTTTTCAATGATTAACACTTGATACAGCCTATGGGCATACAAGGATTGCATAGCTCACCCGGGGGATACACTGTTTGAGCCGAGTGTTATCACAGCGACTCTCTGCGACTCTCCCGCCGAATGTGTACAATGCTACTGCACAATGTTGGTTTCAGGAAATGGAGAAAAAATGCATTGTTACTGAGAGCTTTTCGGCCTAAACTGTATACTGGCGGAAGGCAGGACCAAGTTTTCCATAGTAAATACAGTCTATAGGCAAACCCTATCAGGTGGCTTGTGATTGTGTCGTATGAGTCCAAAGGTCAACTTGGTCCCATTATTCTAAACAAACCACTTTCAGTACCAACTGTAGGCCTGATTTAAGCAAAATTCTGTGGCAACATTATTTGTTGTATCATCTTTACTCATGCTCAGTGGGGTTTTTCCATCCATGTCACTGCACTTTTTGAGATCATTCTTGAATGATTAGCTGAGCCTTTGGTGCATGCCAGTCTCTTTTTTTTAAATTGGCCAGTTTACTGCAAGAAATGAGCAGCAACAAGAGGGTGAATTGCAGCTGAACCTCACCTGAAAGCATTTCATAGGACATTTTAAAAGAAGACAGTATGTACAAGAAAATAATACGGATTAAAATGTCATGTTGTACGTTTACGATATTGGACCAGTCTTCACATACATGCAGGAAGTCCAGACTTCACCTGTAGCATAGGGAATGTCTAATTTTTGAGCAAATACAATTTAGAGTTGGCATTGTAAGAATATTAGCATATGTATGGAGCATTTAACTCAAGCAAGTACATCACATGACCTCTGTTGCAAGAGGCAGTTCAGAGTTAACAGATTTCTGTTCATCCCATAGACATCAGCTGACTACGAGACAATGGTGCCAGGTGTTACTACTGAACCTCAGCTCTACTGCAGCTGCTCCGACCCAGACTGCACTGGTCTTCCAGCTCTACCACCACCACCCCCTGATCTCTGGTCCCACTTCACATCAAAGCAGTCCAGCGTTACTAGTGAATATGTGGATGTGGATGTGTCGGGGCACATCTGCCTTTACCAACATCTGGATCCAGGACAGTTAGAGCAGCACGTCTATCACTGTCTGAATAAAGATAACAGTGTTAAAGATGGGCCTGGAGGAGTCAAAGAGTGGATCAATTGATACTGTTACAGAAAAAATCTACATGGGTTACAACTCTGTGATGATGTCTCTGTCTCTCTTACATACTATCATAACTTTATTTTATTTTATTATTTTTTTTGAACTATGTAAGTTTTTTCTTGGACACAGGAGTATGGTGGTTTTAATGCAAAATCTGATGTAGCTCTTCCCAGCTGTCACAAAAGAAGTTGTTGATATAATATGTAAGGGGTAATCTTAAGTGAGAGGGCTGTTTTAGTAGGATGAAACCCTGAATGTGTTCAGTGTACGTGATTGTTCTCTTAACACAGTTACCTACAACAGAAAAAAAAAAAATACCTGATGATGGATAAGTCTCTTCACTTAACAAATGGACGTTTAGTTTCCGTGATTAAAACTGTTTCCAAGGCAATGAAAAAATGTGTAGCATTCTCAGGGTCAAATAGATGACTGAGCTGTAATAACTCCTCATACCTGTCCAGGTCTGTTACATTTCACTGCTTTATCCCAAACTGTGTTCTATGTAGTGGAACTTGTCTGTATTGTAGCCTTTGGCTACAGTCCTTGGTATTTCATTTACTTTGTTGACCTTGGCTGTTTTCCTCTTTTTTTTCCATACAGTAAATTGACCAATATTGGATTGTCTAATTGTTTTATTGATCTATATGATCAAATAAAAGTCTCTGGAGTCTGTGATAAGATGTGCATCTAAAGCAATGGTCTGTTCTCCATAGCAACACTCAGTGTTGGGGGTAACGCACTACAAAGAAACGGATTACAGAAACAATATTACTTTTTTGGGGTAACAAAGTAACGCACTACACAAAAAAAATCGGTACTTTACTAAACAATAGGAATGAGCCTTTCTGCATTACATCAGCTGTTTCCCTGTGTGCAAAGTTCTGATCTGTTGAAGTGGTCCGTGCATGTGTGCTGCTTGTGTGTCTGTGACAATAGGCAGGGGTTAGGTATTCATAAGGATCAGTCATCTTTTTATTTTTTCTTGATAACGAGCCTTTGGACCATTGTCCAGCTTGTCTCCATATGCTCTGACCGTCTTTTCTTTTGTAGGATTCATTTTTCTTGGGTGTTTTTTCCTCACTGTGTCGCTATCTTGCAGCCTCCCTGTCCAATGTAAATGAAAAGTTGCCTGCGAAGACGCATTGTGCAATCATGTGACCTCTGAAAGTCCTATGGAGAGATCAATTTGAGTGAAGTAGCTACTGATGCGAAAGACATTTGGAAATGGAGACAGAGACAGAGGCGAACAACACGGGTTTTTGGCAAGTGGTGATACTCGCATTGCTTTCGCTATATTAGTTAAGAGTATAAAAATATTCGTTTGAAATGCACTTAATGCCCAGGTGACATTTATACAACAAACAAAACGATGGACTATGCTCAGTGATGATTGGGCTATGATGTTTGTCCATGTACCTCTACACAGTGAATTAATAAACGAGAGGTAAAGTAATAGGTAGTGAAGTTACTTTTCAACTATTAAACTATTTAAGTAATCTTATTAAAATTTATAGAACTAGTTACTAGTAACAAATTACTTTTAATGAGTAACTACCCCAACACTGACAAGAGTCTGTTGTGGATAAATAGTAGAAGAGGAAACACCACTCAATTACAGTACTCTAAAATGCCATGATCAACCTATCAGCAATATGTATTCACCAGAGCTGTCTAATCACAACGGCCCTCATTTATCAATCTTGCGCAGATCTGAGCGCAGGATTCATCTCATGATAGGACACACGTTCGTATCTGACCAATCCCAGCGTACGTATGATCGGCTCTTGATAAATGCGGCGGCTGAATTCGATCGTCATTAACATGTTTACACCCTTAAATATTCGTGGTTCAGAAGCCTCGCCCACTGAGGTCAAACATGAAAGAGGAGAAATATTACAAAGATGCGAAACTTTCCGAGCTGAAAGTGGATATCCTCGCGTTTGTGGTGGAAACTAACAAGGATTTTCTCTTTGGAAGCATCAAAACTGGTATAAAAGCAGTCCAGAAAACTCCTGTCTGGAGCAGGATTATGGAGGCGCTGAACAGCGCTGCTGCGGAATAGTGGATAGTGGCTGAAGTTTGAATCAATCATTAGTCAATAAGTTGCTCATGATGATAAATGAATATCTCATACATGCCTCATATTTTTTATTGCCATGACATACGGTACGTTGCTCCTATTATTGAAAGTATTTAGTTTTAACTTGTTGCGTCTTTGTAATGTAGAGCAGACTGGAGAGTCTGACAGAGGCTGAACAAAAATAATTATTGACATCACCAAACGGTGTGTTGCTGCCCCTGAGGCACATTTTTATGGATTTCTATTGGATTTTTATCACCGATTAAATAGCAAGAGCACTTTCTAAACATACACTTTACATGTCAGAATCCATGGATAAGGTACTGTCTCCTCTGTACAGCACCTTTGTGGAGTCTCTCCTCGTTATTGTTCTCCGGGCATCGGGTCCTCATGTTGCACCGGCACAGCTAACGGCACTCCATTCACCAGTGCAACATTGTGCAAAACTGAACTGGCCCAAATGATGTCCCACACCCTTTCAGGAGTGTACAACAACGTCCCCGCTGCTAGGCCAACACAGAGACACTTGCCTTTTAGGAGTCAAACGCAGCGCTCCACAGTGGTGCGTGTGCACAATGTTGAAACGGCACTTCCTCCTGCTCTGTGGCAGTGTTTCTGGGCAGAGTTATCGAATAGGCCTATTCACCAAGGACAAAACAAATTTATTTTATTTCATTTACGTCTTAATCTTTAATGAAATCTGGCTGATTGTGCTTAATGACAGGTTTGAGGTTTGTATATCAATTATTTTGAGACAGACATTTGCTGCACCGTAGATCCACACTGACTCAAACTTGCATACACGATGTCAGACCTGTCGTGAGATTTGGTCATAGCGTATGCTCACATGCAGATTGATAAATGCCGATCCTCACGTCAAAATTGTCATACGCAAGGTGTACGCAAGTTTTCTGCCATACGCAAGCTTGATAAATGAGGGTCATATCAAATAAGGAGTCTAGCGTGTGTTGCCTGTTTACACTGTGGCAAAAACATGAGTTTCTATCTTGGGCTGATCTGGGAAATAATGACACTTCCAAATCATAGATGAGAGAGCAGCCTGAGGAGCTACTGGGCCTCAACTATCTCTGGTTAAGAAAGTGGAGTAAGATCCTGTCCTGCAGTCCAGGAATAGGTAGCAGAGCTGATGAGTGCATCTCAAGAAGCAGTAATGACAATAAAACACTGTTAGTAGTTATGACATTTACCTAAACAAAGAGAGCTAAATGAGGACAGTAATGTCAACATAAATATTCCTGCCTAAACCTCCCTCACCTTGTGTGATGTAACCAAAATGTTCAGCTAACAGCTGAGCAGGCAACTGTTTTAGTTTGACCATAAATTAAGATGCTAAGTTTTGTGTCAGTTTGTCTCACAAAGAGGCTGGAGGCTATTAGGTGTCACTGACTATAGATTCAGTCTTTATTAGGTACACCTGTCCAACTGCTCGTTAACACTTAATTTCTAATCAGCCAATCACATGGCGGCAACTTAGTGCATTTAGGCATGTAGACATGGTCAAGACAATCTCCTGCAGTTCAAACCGAGCATCAGTATGGGGAAGAAAGGTGATTTGAGTGACTTTGAACGTGGCATGGTTGTTGGTGCCAGAAGGGCTGGTCTGAGTATTTCAGAAACTGCTGATCTACTGGGATTTTCACGCACAACCATCTCTAGGGTTTACAGAGAATGGTCCGAAAAAGAAAAAATATCCAGTGAGCGGCAGTTCTGTGGGCGGAAATGCCTTGTTGATGCCAGAGGTCAGAGGAGAATGGCCAGACTGGTTCGAGCTGATAGAAAGGCAACAGTGACTCAAATAACCACCCGTTACAACCAAGGTAGGCAGAAGAGCATCTCTGAACGCACAGTACGTCGAACTTTGAGGCAGATGGGCTACAGCAGCAGAAGACCACGCCGGGTGCCACTCCTTTCAGCTAAGAACAGGAAACTGAGGCTACAATTGGCACAAGCTCATCGAAATTGGACAATAGAAGATTGGAAAAACGTTGCCTGGTCTGATGAGTCTCGATTTCTGCTGCGACATTTGGATGGTAGGGTCAGAATTTGGCATCAACAACATGAAAGCATGGATCCATCCTGCCTTGAATCAACGGTTCAGGCTGGTGGTGGTGGTGTCATGGTGTGGGGAATATTTTCTTGGCACTCTTTGGGCCCCTTGGTACCAATTGAGCATCGTTGCAACGCCACAGCCTACCTGAGTATTGTTGCTGACCATGTCCATCCCTTTATGACCACAATGTACCCAACTTCTGATGGCTACTTTCAGCAGGATAATGCGCCATGTCATAAAGCTGGAATCATCTCAGACTGGTTTCTTGAACATGACAATGAGTTCACTGTACTCAAATGGCCTCCACAGTCACCAGATCTCAATCCAATAGAGCATCTTTGGGATGTGGTGGAACAGGAGATTTGCATCATGGATGTGCAGCCGACAAATCTGCGGCAACTGTGTGATGCCATCGTGTCAATATGGACCAAGCTCTCTGAGGAATGCTTCCAGCACCTTGTTGAATCTATGCCACGAAGAATTGAGGCAGTTCTGAAGGCAAAAGGGGGTCCAACCCGTTACTAGCATGGTGTACCTAATAAAGTGGCCGGTGAGTGTAGATTCAGTCTTTGTCTGTGTAGATAAATCCTTTTTAAATTCTGCTTTGAGTTTAAATTTGTCTGTATCAAAGTTGAAAACTGTAACTGAGTGTTTTGATAAAGTAGAGTTATTCTTTACTCTTTAACTGAGAAAAGTTAGCTACTCTGGCCTGATATGGGATTTTTTCTAATCATGCCTTACTTTGGTATATCAAGAGGAAAGTCTCATTTGGGGCATAACAAACAAAAGAAGAACAGATACTACAAGCAGGACAATCAATCCAAGTTTTAAGAGCTGAGAAAAGAGCTATACTCTCAATTTTATTAAGCACTGGAAACATTATTAGATTTCCTTATGTATACTCATTGGCCTAATTGTGTTACAGGGAGATGTAGACAGAGGAAGCAGGCTGTACGTAGGAAGTGCCACAAAAAAGAGGAACTTACACCAGATGCAGAGCTATTCATTTTGATCATTTGACAGCTGTGTAGAAAAAAAATACTCCAAAAAGGGGTTACACACCCTAAAAGCAGCATGGGAAAGACTTCTCTCATTGTGATCTTCCTTTTGGGAGGTGAGTTTGTTATTTACAAAATTACTTGAAGGTGTCTTTATCTATTTTAGTGCAGGTTTGTTTGCATCTTTCTGCAGATGTTTGTGGGTTTCTTCAGATCCACTTCTTTTTTTATTCGCTCTTTCGGTTTTGTTGGATGCCTAGGGAGCCTCAAGTTATTCCTAATGATTTGCCCCCCAACATGTTTAACTTTGTCTACCTTTTTACACTCAAATAGGATTGGATGATGTGATAAACTTTGAAGGTGTTAGAGAGACCAGTTATAAAAACTGGTTTTATTAGTCAGCAGCAGTTTAAACCTGATGAAGTATTACAGTTTCTTCTTGTACACAAAAAGAAAAAAAAAAAAGCCAATTTTTGTGAAAATTCTCAGTGTTTTGACAGAGAAGCTGTGATATTTGTTGATCTGTCTGTGTTTTATTCAGGTTTATGGGAGACTTCAGCTCAACAAGTAACAGCAGTGGCAGGAAAGAAGACCACTATAACATGCTCCCATTCCTACGCATCTTCAAACATCAAATATTTCTGTAAGGGAGCTTGTCACGATAAAGACGTCCTCATAAGTAGCAGAAACAGCAAGATTCAAGACTCAAATAAAAAATACAGTATCAGAGATGAGGGAAACACATTCTACGTGACCATATTTAATCTGAAAGAGGATGACTCGGGAACTTACTGGTGTGGAATAGAGAGAAAAGGTCTGGACACATACAATAAAGTAGTCCTCACAGTTGTAAGAGGTAAGTTGAGTCAGCTCTGTTTGAGAAACTCCTATGACATTGCTGTTGTTCATTGCATGCATGATAGAGACCTTTGCTCCATTTCTTTTTTCTAAAATGTGACCTAAGTTTCACAACCATGTCTTCTCTCTTTCACAACACAGTCATTCCAGGAAAGAAGAGGGGCATTGTTAGAATAATTAAAATGTGGCAAAATAGAATAAACCTAACTCTTTGTTTTGTTTCATTATCAGGGGAGGAAAACAATGTAGACGACAGTATGCCACAATCATCAGATGAGATAGCCGACACAGAGACAACATCTTCAAGTGAGCATTTGTCTAATTGTGTTGTTCATCTATTAAGAGCACAAGAGCTGAGAGATACATTATTGTTAATACTTAATTCATTTTCTTTTCTCAGGGAAGCTGATTTATATCGGCGCGGGTCTTGGCGTTGTTGTGCTGGCTCTGGCAGTTGTTCTTCTCATATTCTTCAGACATCGAAACAGAAACATCAGAGCATCCTCTGGTAACAGACTGTCATTTTAAAAAAAACATGATAGCTAAAATAAAAGAGAGAATGTGAAAAGAAAAAAAAAGCGATAACACAAAGATTTAATTGATGAACCCGGCACTGACCTCTGGATTAACACTATAACAAGCACCAATCAACCACACTGTCATTAAACGACACGCGCAAAAAAGATGAGTAACAGCAGCATTTCCTACAAACCTAATTAATGTGCTGAGTCAACTTAAGGGGAAACTTTAGTATTTGTCAACCTGGGCCCTATTTTTCAATGTTTTTGTGTGTGTTTGACTGATGGGAAGAACAGTCTCTGAAATTGGTCCAGTATAAAGGGAGGGTGGAGCAGCCGGCAGCTGCGAAACAAACTAAAACATAGTTTGTCGGGGCAACAGCGCGTCATCAAACTGTGTCTACCACAGGTGCTTTATTTTACCACCGACAGGCTCAGATTGATAGAACATTAAGGCAAATGAAAGTTATCCAGCTGCAGGATGGCTTGTACTCATGAAAACAAGGTTATGGATCCATCGGTCTATGAATGATTGAAAAGGGGGTGTCAATTTTATCAAAGTATTAATCAGCGGATAAGTTATTAAACAAGACTAAATCTGTGAAAATGTCTGCAACTCATTGCCAGTGGTGGCTGGTTATGGATACACTACATCTCCAACAGAGGCTTTTTTTTCCATATCTGTCGCTGGATTGAAATCTGTTCTGACTGGCGAACACTGATTCATTATCTTTATATATAAACGGCCCATCTCCAAATTAAATTCAACAAATCTCCCACAGGTTTTGTTGTTGTTGTTGATGTGCCAGATCAAATGTAGGAGTACCCTGAGTGAAATTCTTTCATGAGATCTTGCTAAAGTTTCTTGTGATTGGCCTTCATTTTTTTGTCCTCTGTGTCCCTGCTTATTTTCCTGATATCAATCACTAAAAAAGGGTTTTATCTGACTGAGAAATCACAAAAGCTGTAAAGGCACCTCAGTCAACACAGTGATTTGGTGATGAAATATGAAAAAAAAAATGAATATTTTAAGTTGCACTTGCACTTAACTTTTTCTAGAGGAATTTTCTGAAGAGATAAAATAATAACAGAATAAAGATACCGAAATTTCATTTATATTTCCTGTATTTATATTCCTTTCAATGCAGCACTTTGGCTCCACCAATGCTGATTGTTTTCAGGAAGTGAAAGTTTAAGTTCGGTTTTCATTTCTTGGGGGATTTACTTTTTCTGTGCAATCACTCTTTATACAGGGAAGGTGCAAGAGACAGTCTATGCAACAATGTCTGGAGAAGTCACTACTTTCTCAGCCACCAACCCAGGAACAGCAGATACCAGCAAAGATCCCACAAAGAATATTTACACCAACGTCTCCATCTCATCTGAGCCTCAGGTCCAACCAGACAGTCTGTTTTACTCCACTGTCAGCTTCAACAAACACACTGACTGCAGCACTGTGACACCGTGCACTGCTGAAGTCACATACTCTGCCGTCGAACGCAAACCTGAAGATACAGCACCAGTTTATTCCAACATCTGAACCTGCAGATGATGCTCCTAAACCAGTGATTATATAAGACTGTATTCATAGGTTGTTGTTTTTAATTATTTCCAAATCTTCTTAATTTATGTGTGTTTTTAACTCAATTTGTTAAGATCTTGTGTGTAAAACATGTGAAGCGAATAAAAGTTTATTATAGAAACAATTTGAGTACAGTGATTTTTCATTTTCTGTTTCTTGTCAACTTTTAAAGAGAAGTGGAATGCAGTGTCACACTAACATCAGTAAAACACATGCACCACACACACACACACACACACACACACACACACACACACACACACACACACACACACACACACACACACACACACACACACAGATTGGATTGATGTAGAAACTGAAAAACTGATATGAGCAGGGGAAGAGGTTTCAGTGAACAAACTTCACACGTACTTTTTTGACTTTACTGACCAGATTATGATTAGCTGTAAGACCTTTTGACTTCATTGTTCATTGTTAATTGTCTTTGTATTTTTGGGAAGAGAATTGTGTCTGGAAGTCAAAAGGTTGAAAAGGATTTACTAAAGGTCCCAAATAAATGCAGACAAACATTTTCTTCCAATGTCTGGCTGTTGTTTAATAAGTTTTTTACACATAATAAAATAATCTCCATTCAGTGAGGATATATATTTTTTACTTTATGTGAACCTTGAAAGTACAGTTAATAATTTAAAACCTACAGCCCACTGACACCCAAATACACTGAGAGCCTACTCTGAATAGATGGACTACCCCTGGACCCAGTCTTCAAAGCACTCAACTAATATTCCAGCATGCCCCTCCGAATGGAGTAGGTGGAGTAAATGAACAATTCCACTCAAACTACAAACAAAAACTACATACAGAAACAGGATTTGTAAACTGAGAAGACTGCCCATTAGAGTTCTCCGTTGAAGACCCACTCTGATGAAAATCATGTTTGTCTTGTTGTCTACATGTTCATATGGCATTTTTCTGACGCTACAGGACATATCATGAGAAAGCTAAGTGCAAAATTTAACTTCTGAGTATTTCTGCATTCAAATTGCTGTGAATCTCTGGCAGACCCAAACGGCAGACTCAGGTTCAGTGAGATTTCCTATGTAGCAAATCCAAGCTCCACCCCAAGCGTGTGCGTTAGCAGATTGCAATGCTCGTAAGAAAGCTAATTATGAAATAACTTTTCTTTATGCCCCCAAGTACATTAGTATCCGAGAGCTGAATAGCTTCTATGTTAAATGTCACTTCTACTACACCAGCAATGTTAGGCTTGTTAGGCCACAAGCTAGCGTGCAGAGCATTGTGCAGAACAGTGTTGTCTCCGCCCACAACTCAGAAGTGAATTTTTAATGAGCTACTGGAGCTCTGCAGAAGAAAAGCCCTTAAAAATGACAGGTAATGTGATTTTGGCTAAAAACTTCATAATCACAACTTAAAGACCACTGAGAATACTTTAAGTAGTAAAAAAACAACAACAACAACAATCAGAATGGGACTCTAAACAAATATCCTGAATAAGTATTTTCATAAAGGCTATAAAGAGAACAAGTGTTTACTGATGGAGACTGACTGACCCCTGGGTAGTTGATGTGGATATTTCTTAAAGTCACACCATGCATGGGAATCTGGACTGTTGAGCACCTGAAGTGGTCCATCAAGTGAAAATGGGAAAGAATTCACCTCCAAGGCTCAAAAGTTAATGTTCTCAGATCACAAATGCTTATTGGGTGTTGTTCAGAGGAAAGGCAAAGTAACACAGAGAAAATCATGATAAAATTTACCAGTTTGAACATTAAATATCTTGTCTTTGTGTTTCATTTAATTAAATAAAGTCGGAAAAGGATCCAACTCTATCCATCTTGTCTTACACAAGATCATTTGACTCTTTTTCTTGAACCCCTTTTCTCTCTTTCAGTTCAAACCATGAGAAGACCCAGCAGGAGACAAAGGTTTATTAGGGCCATGTGACAGAAATTGTGTTTAGGAAGGCCTGTCTTTGCTGGACTCATTTATTACTCAAACAGAGTATCAGACTCTTTCCATGTAAAGACATTGTCAGTGTTAATTTTGGTCTTGATGCATCTAAGATTTCCTGATGATGATGTTGTGTGTTTGTACAGTACATGTTAACGTTGTATATTGGAGTATCACATACTCTATCTCCGAGGGGGAAAAACAACAAACATTTTCTTACATTTGTTGTCTTTTTCACTCTTTCAGCACCCATTAAAAAAGGAACAATATTTTCAACACTAGAAATCTTAGTGATGGCACCCTCTAGTGGTCAATTGTCATAACAATTTATACAACAGGGGCTTCCATTTGTTCTGACATTAGGTAAGGATAACCATTAATTAAGAAAATAAAGATGTTCTTTTTAAAGTGTATGTGATGTGATAATGTGGTGTTTTCTTTTGCATGTGTCACCACTCCTGGGATGAGAGGAATTATGCCTATCTGAGGCTTCCCCTGAGTCTTTCTGTGGTTTTGTTTTTCAGGCCCTGAAATCCACGATCTCTGTAAAGTAATCAGTCTGGCCTATGATCATAGACTGTATATACTATGGACAACTTGGTTCTGCCTTCCGTCATTATACGAATTTGAAGCAGAAAAGCTCTCTGTATTTGCGGTATTTTCTCCACTTCCTGGAACTACCACTTGCGCAGTAGCATTGGACCATAGACTGTATTCTGCGGGAGAGTCGCTGTGATGACACTCGGCTAAAACAGCATATCCCCTGGGTTAGCTACGCAATTTTCGTACGCCCATAGGCTGTATCAAGCAGTGGCGGTTCTAGACCAAATTACTCCCCGGGCGAGCATCCCTCCCAAGTGCTCCCCCCCCCCCCCCCCCCACACACACACACACACACACACACACACACACACAAACACAAAAAGAGATAGAATTTTGAACAGATAGTTTTGTATTACTATGTAGTATTATTACTATTATAACAACAAAAATAAAATATTTCTCAATTGCAGAAATCCTTCAATAGAAAAAAACACAATCCTGAGGGCCATTTTGGGAAGGGCCCCCAGATCCTGAGGTTTTCTGAAGTGTTGAGGTTTACAAAAAAGCTGCTATCTCGGCCTCTGTAGTAGATAGAAACAAAATTCAAAAAGTATTTGAGAGCTTAAACATGTGGCTTTCAAGAAAGCTCTCTTTTAGTTTTGCGAACCTTCATCACATTTTTGAAAACCTTGAACAAACATACTTAAATGAAATAAAGCGGCTGTATAAATAAAGTAAAGGCTCTGCACTGGAGAATGACAAATAATTTGCTTTCTGTAAAACAAGTGGCAGTCATGATAAAGTGTCCATTCAATACAAATGTAAATATAGAAAATAAGGTGTTGAAAGGGTATACAGCTGCCCCAGTATAGTGCCAGTACAAAAGCAGAACTAAAAACTAAAAAATGAATAAATAAATACGTGGCTGACAGTGTGTTCATCTCTGTTCTCACCCAAAGTCACGCAACACTCACACAACAGAAAACGCTGATAGTGTGAGCCAAAGCACTCCATATGAAGAGGTTGTTCACACTGCTGGATGTTTCTCCTCTGAAGCTGCTCTCTGCCTCAGTCATTGTTTACTTCACTCATGAAGCTCATCAAGCACGTAGCAAGATCCGAGCATGAACCCGAGCGCTTTATTCGCCTATCAAAGGCAGACGGGTACGGTGATTTCATTCACCGCGACTCCAGAAATGATTAAAAAACTACAAAATGACGTATCCGCGCTCCCGCTGATATGCTGACATGCGTACACAGAGCAGAGCTGTGCCCCCGCGACTCTCTCCCCGCCTCGTCTCACACAGTCTGTCAGCCTCTGTGCAGCACCTTCGGAGCAAGCAGGGGCGCCTACAGCAGCGGGGGGGGGGGGGGGGGGGGGGGGGGCGCCAATTTGACAACAAGAGTTAATACAAAACCGCTTTGCGGTTAAGATTTATTATTATTATCTTTCATTTTATTTTTTGGAAGTGCTCGTGCCGCCCCCCATGAGTCACGACACAAATGCCGCCCCGGGCGGCTGCCCTGTTCGCCCGTGCCTAGAACCGCTACTGGTATCAAGTGTCAATCATAGAAAACATGAACCCCCTAATAACAGAGTACAGAAAAAAAGGACTTGAGCACAAACCAGTCTTATAGTAACCATATGTCAACACCGCATCCAGGGGGAGAAAAAATATATATATTATTTGAATATACACATATAAACAGCTCCATTCATTTTGCTGGAGGAAGGGGGATTTATGACCTATACTGCAGCCCATCACCAGAGGGTGCTGTTCTTGGGGTGACTTCACCAAGTGAGGAGGCAAGTGGCGTCCATTCTATAGTCTATGCCAGTGGTTCTTAAGTCCAGTCCTCGAGCCCCCCCTGTCCTGCATATTTTGGATGTTTCCCTGCTCCAACACACCTGATTCAAATGATTAGCTCGTTATTAAGCCATTACAGAGCTTGATAACGAGCTGATCATTTGAATCAGGTGTTGGAGCAGGGAAACATCCAGAAAACCTGCAGCCTCTGGGCCCTCCATGGCACATGATTGCCCACCACTGCTCTAAATGCTGCTTAAGACTGCTAAACTTATCACAGGTCATCCGTGTCCAGTTTATGTGGACAGTGACAGAGGTATCCACTGAGTTCACTTGTCAACACATGCAGCAGATCTGTGAGAAATTTGTTTGTGTGTAAGATTTTTTGGGGGGTTCAGTTCTGCTGTTTTTACCCCTTAATATGAGTAAACTAGTGTTTCCCTCCATAGCATTTTGTCCTATTTTTTGTAACCGGCTCTTATGTTGGTTTTGGTATTTCCAAAAATAATCCTGTAGTCATGAATTCAACTTTCTGATCGCCTTTTGGTGGGATATGCCTCACTGAACACTCACATGGGGGTGAGGGAGGAATGACTATCTGTAGGGTGTCTGGAGGAGAAACTAATTCTTTAATAGGACACATTTTAGTTTAACTTCACGTTTATCAATTAAAAAGTCCCTGTTTTGACAATAAAATCCAAGTCCTTTATTGGCTTAGAAATTTTTGAAAAGCTCCTGAACGCGCCTGATAATCCACAAAACATTCAAGAATATTCGTTACTAGTTGTCTAACAACTACTTTTTTAGGTACAGTTTCACCAGTTTTAACAGATAAAGGCCTGCTGTGATCCCTCTGCGTGGAAAAAAACAGTGACATCGAAACAGATGAAGTGATCATGAGACGCCGCAGATGGAGACCTACCCTTAAAATAATTTACCCTTTCACTCTCTGTTTCTCTCTATTTCACTTTTCTTCCTGTCTCTTCACACTTTCATGCACTGTAAAAAAACACAACATCCTCTTTTCTAAATGCAAATCTCTTAAGTTTTGTGCCAGAAAGGAGAACTGATCACACACATTTGTATAGAGAGAAGGAGGGAGACGTGCGACAGAGGAGACTAGAAAGAGGCATCACAGTAATAAAGACATAGAGGAGAGGAGAAATTTCATTCAATATTTGATAGATTTAAACTCTTATACGCTGGAATAAGGATGGGAATATCACTTACAGTCGTCATCTGCTTACTGACAGGTAGGGACATTTTTACCACTTTTTTCTGACCCTTTTCTCTCACAGGAAGCAGCATTTATCATTATTTTTGTGTGCACAGGCGTGTTTGAATGATTGATCTACTATTTTCTCTGACAGGTAGTTTGAGTCTTCAGTGTGCTTCAGGGAACAAAGGTACTGTCAACACATGTATGTAGATCAGACACATAAAACCCAATACAAAATATTTTTTATAAAGGCATGAAGCTTGATTGATAGGAAAAGAAAATGGCTTGTAAGCAATAAATACAGTAATGACCATTCATGGGAAGTTTTTCCTTTACTCTTTTCTAGAGCTGAGTGGTCAATGTTACACCTTTGCTACATGTCATTTAACTTTTGATCTCACACCAAATGTACCTTATGAGCTAACATAAAAATACAAAAAGCACTGTGATCAGTTAAGGGGATATGATGACAAATAAAGAATGATTATCCAACAGTACTGAGCTTGAAATTGGGTTCCTCATTACAAACTACTACATCATAACTTTTCTTACCAGTGTTTTTAAAAAACGCCCAAAGAAGTCCCTCCCTCCACAATGACTTCATTGTTTGGTATCTCACCCTCAGGTTTTTCAAAGGGTAGTTGTCTGTTTTATTTGTACAAAAGAGAGTCATCTGGTAGTGTTTGTCTCTGTTTTCCTCTTGATGGTTTGAAATGGTTGGAGACCAGAATGTCAGTAAAATCTTATATAACCACACTTGTTCTGCTCCGATGAAGCAGAGCAACAAGAGATAAGAAATTATTAAAAGTAATGTGTTGTCTATAGACTGTATGAGACATGGACGGTAAATTCCTTCTCCAGAGTTGAAGCCAACTTACTATTATTTGAGCTCCCAAACATTATTTTTGTTACAGCAATTCCAACCTTCTGGTTTATGTTCATTTTTCTTGGACCTCAATATATCTTGTCGTCTTGGCTAAATATGTGTATTGCGGATTTCCCAGTACCTTAAAAAGATGCTTGAGGCAGAGAACAGCTCCCATATATTTGTGTTATAGCCTCTGCTGTTCCAAAGAAGCACCCACAGTTCAGCGAGGGTTTGGAAATTTAATAACACAAAAAACACTTTTACAGTGGCCAATGATTTACACGCGCACATCAGATGTTGTATGTGTACACTTTGCAATGTGTATTATTGCAAACGAAGTACAAATAAAATGCGGTCAACAAAAATTACGGCTGCCTAGGCTCACCTCTCCACCCTAGTGCAGGTAAGACAGTCCCTTATACAACCTACCGGCAGTCAAACACAGTGCCAACATGACCCGAAACCCAGTGAAATTGAAAACAGGAGAACCGATCAGCAAAGCCACTATATGGCCCCTATAACTTGTATCTCTTTGTATCACAGGGATGCCTAAAACATGATCTGAAAAGGACGTTGTCACATTTCAGAAACACACACTCCCTCTTCACTACATGGAGGAACATTTAACTGAACTCTGTTACTGTTTGCTGAATCACACTGGGTCTGAATATGAGCCTGAATAAATCATTGATCATGTTTTAGTAGAAGTAGACGTGTGCCATAGTGTAGCTTGGCTGTGTTATGCTAACCATCAGCAGGTGTTATCCTAAGTCTTGCTGCCTTGTCAAAGACTGCTAGTGCAGTCAATAGAGACCTGATTCCTCGAGAAATCTGACTTTTGTTGTTATTATACTTGGAGAGTTATGTTTTAGTTGTGTCAGCTGATCATCAAACATCCTTATATTAGCTGTGCAGACAATGTGCTTCAAGAAGAGAAGGGTTTTTCTGCCCTTCTTGTGTCCACACAGCATTTCGTTTTAATAGCAGGTTGCTATAAGGCACTTTTTTTTTTTTTTTTTTGCTAACAGGATTGCTAACTGCTAGCTCTTTGGCGTCCTGCCAGAGATTGTAAACAGAGTCCTTCAGTGCACCTGACATGCACCAGGTGGAAAAAAAAAAAAATCCAATGGCAATGAAGGAGATGAACAGAGGCAGTGAGAATTTATACTGGCACTCTTGTTGCAGATAAATTGGTTTAAAAATGAAAACAAACAGTGATTTGACTAGATGTCCACCTGAACAGAACCAACTGTTTTGTCTTGTCATAATTCGCCAGAGTTTGTCATATACATTAACAGTGCTGTGGATCTTTTTTTTATTTATCTGAACGATGCCAAGTAGGACATATTCAGCTCATAGAAGTTCTCATGGTCTCGGCATCAGTTTGTAAGAGGTTTGCTGAATCCAAAAGCACAATATTAGATGGGGAAATGAGTATTAGTTTCTTTACTCATGTATTTGTTTATTTTTGATTACTCTAACAGTGGGCTTTGAACACATGACCTTCACTTCGAGTGGAAAAATGTGGTACTAAAATGTGGGAGAACTAGATTAACAGACCGATTTGCTGTATCTGAAGGAAAACTATGTTTCACAGTAAACTTTAAAGTTCATAGTCACAGTTCAGCTCTTTCACAGGTGACAATACACCACTGAACCTGACAGCGTATCAGGGAGGCCTTGTTACTATCCACTGCAAATATCCAAAAGCTGAAGGAAGCAGCATACAACGCTTCTGCAAAGAAGATGTAAAGTTGGATTGCTTAGAGCTGATATCAACTCACAATGCACCAATCACAGAGAAAGAGAGATACTCTCTGACATATGACAAACAGCATGGAGTCTTCAATGTGACTATTAGCCAGGTGGCCCTGGAGGATGCTGGGAGATACCGCTGTGAGGTGCAGAAAGATAGCACTACTGTGTATTTAACAGAGATCAATCTGCAGGTTATAAGTGAGTATTTATCCGACTATAATTAACCGACATTAAATCTCACCAATAAACCAACACAAAGTTACAAATGAGAAATTTGGTTAGCAGAAAAGCAGCTTTACTGACCTGAGTTAACTTTTATTTCAGACTGGGATGACATCCCAACAAAGACACCGTCAAGTGACTCTGGAAAAAATGTCAAAATCGACTGTCCCTATCCAGAGACCCATGCAAACAACAACAAATTCCTGTGCAAAGGGCAGAATCCTTTCAGCTGTGACAAGCTGATACAAACCACAGAAGAGGACAGATATGTGGAAAACGGCAGGTTTAAAATAAGAGACAGCAGCAGGCAGAATTACTTCTATGTGTATATCAGAAATCTCAGTTCTGCGGACTCTGGGGTGTACTGGTGCGGTTCTGACCCCACATGGCAACAGACTGAATTTAACAAATTCCTCCTTTCCCCTGGTAAGTACATGGAGCAGCTAAGTGCCACCGACAAGCATATTTGCCTCACAAATATCAGTAATTTATTCAAAACATTTCAATACTTCTGCTGACAATCATGAATGAGTTTCTTACCCCATTTCTTCCTATACAGTCCTCTTTTCAAACACAACTTCATAGTGAGAGCTGGTAAACAGGACCACATGAATTAGCATTGCACCTGATCGAGTTCCTCTGCATCTTTGCTGTCCTGAGTCTGAGACACTTTTTCCTTAACACTTCTCAGACATCCCCATATCACATTTTGTGTGAGGTTACAATGTCAGTTTGGGTGTTGATATAATTTCTCATCTCTGTAAGAAATTGCTGTTTACCTCTTGGTTACTCAGGTACTCCACACAGATGTGAAATAATGTGATGTTTTGCATTTATGTGACAGAAGCCTGACTGCTACTTTAACCACTTTTGAGACTATTTAAGACTTTTTAAGACACTAGGATTTGTTACTATCTGACCTGAACTTCATATCTCCAAAATCACTGCTATCCAGGAAATTAAAAAACATGTGTTTTTCCAAATATCCATCTTTTTTATACTTTCTATTTGCAGAATTTTTGTTGGGCCCAGGAAGTGGAGATACAGGTGAATATGGAAATACAAGGTTTCTGACTGGCAGTGACTATTTGATAGTTCACCGCCAATATGAGCAAGGAAATATTCAAATTGTTTCTCATTTTCTTAACACATCTGTAAAAGTATTTTATTTATTTATCTTATTTAATCTTTACTCCACAAGATAAGTCCCACTGAGATCAGGATCTCAGTATAATGATAGTGATAAAGTTTTGAACCTGTAAAACCCACAGGTGAGAGAGGTGATGGGGCAAGCTTCCAGCATACAACATGTATGAGCATGTGTTTCTTGAACGCAGTGATTTCACCCTTACTCACTTTTAACTCTTCACCTTGGCTCAAAAGGAAAACACATCAAATCAGGCCTGCCAAGAGATGCTACCCAAGAAGATCAACAACCCATCCAACCAGAAGTCAAGTCTTCACTCGAAGGTAAAGTAAATTTTTTTTTTTGTTTCTGTTGACAGGCTACATCTGTTTTTCATGCCTCCCTGTGTACACAAATGGTTGTACTGCACAACTTAAATCTATGAAAATAGAGCATGTACTGAATGTTTCAGTCCTGTGGTGTCTTCTCACAGGTTTGATTGGCGGCATTGCTGGGTTTCTGGTGTTGTCACTGATACTTGTGGTTGTAATTGTACTGTTCAGAAACAAGATCCCCCGGACACAAGGTGAGGGTGGAACATATGAGAGTAAAACAAAGCCTGAAAAGTGTAAATAAAGCCAAGTCTCAGCTCAGATTTCATGAGTAACAAGACACATTTTAAAGAATTAGTCTGACCTCCAAAGAACTTAACAATCAACTTCATGGGTCCAGTTTTGTAGGACTGACCCAACAAAGTTTGCATATTTTTACAAATCTGCAACATGATGTTTTATCTCAGTAAAATTAAAACCTGTTCAACTTAAGTAAATGACAAGAAAATAGACTTTTAGGGGAGGGCTCAAACCACCAAAGTTGGCCAGAGTGGAGTCTCTATACAGTATAATGGACTTTTGAACTAAGACCTGTTAAAACAGATTGTTCATCCAGTCTTAGAGTCGAATCGGCCTAAAATGATGGTGCTTATGTTACTGACACAGAAGAGGAAGTCTTGGCTGAAAGAAACTTCAGTTAAATGAAAATAATGGTATTGGTTGCCGCAGAAACACATCACGTAGCATCACTGGGCAATTATTAACAAGAAATTCTGATGGGCTCTGAAACTGTTCACCATTCAAAAGTGAACCTTTAAAAGGGAAGTACCTTTTACCTGGTTTATTTCCAAAGACCAGCAAAGAGTGACTGTCAACGTTGTAAAAATTACTTGGATTTTACAAAACCAGAGGAAAGAATAAGCTTTTGTCTTTGATCGTGTATTATCCCAATCTTGAACACAGTCTTGGAAACAACTTTTTCATATTGAAATAAACATATTTACTTGCAGTATAATTTTAACTGCAATGTGTAGCTTTAAATGCAGATAAATAAAGATACAACCAGTTACGGAGGTGTTTTTTTTTTCTTTGACAGTTTGTTGTGGAGCAAGTGGACCATCAGAGCAGATAAGAAACACTGGACAAAACTCAGAGGTATATGTGTGTGTGTGTGTGCAAGTGTGTATATATGTGGTGTCTGTACCCACGAGTTTGCATATCAGAAACATGACTGCATCTATCACACATTTCCACTTCTCTACCTGCAGGGAAATCATGAGGAGCCTCAATATGAGGAAATACAGGAGCAGAAAACGAGCTTAGGAGATACAGCGCAGGCTGTTTACACCACTGTCGACCTCCCTACAGACCAGCTCCATTATACCACCATCAGCGCCCACAAGGACCGTGTTAGTGACTCCACAGATGAGGCTACACTCCCTGACACAAATAAAATGGCTGCTCGGCAAACCTCACCGGTTGTGATTTATTCCCCAGCAGTAGATCAGATTGTGTACTCCACAGTCTCAATGCCTGGGGAACAATGAGATAAAAAGACTCAAAGCTGTTGATGTCAGCTGTCATAGTCATAATCTGATCCCAGCAAACTTGATACCATAGGACTGAATCTGTAGTGATGAAATACAATGTGACATGATGTGATAAATGACTGATAGGACAAGATAATAAGACATGATACTGTATGATTTAATATTATATAATACAATATGATACACTGTATGTGGGATTTGATGCAGTATGAAACATTACGATATGTACCTGATAGGGTGTGACATAATTTTATATATTTTATAATTTTATTACAAATGTTAAAGGACTACATGCTGTTCAAGACTTGCTTTTGATCTCTTTTGTCGATATCCACAAAGCTGCATAAAAGTGGACTCTATTGTTTATATTGTGTAGTTTGTGGCTAACATAAATGCAGATGCTCAACATATTTAATCAATGCAGTGCAAAAATAAACACGAATAGGCTTTGATGTGATTATTATATGTTTTAGTGTGGTTTTTCATTGAGTATTTACCTACACTTATTTGCCAAGGTCAGTGGATGCTCTTCTGTTCTGTACATAAAACCATATAAACGTTGTTGAGACTGTCATTGTAAAACCATCACTGGTGCTTAAACTCTCAAACCTGAGCAATGTACAGGACCAGGTGAGAAATATAGAAAAGCAGGGAAATTTGGAATGACTGGAATAAAATGATTCGGCATGTTCTTACTCGTCATTATCTGTTATTATCTGTCATAGAAAAAAACTACTTCTACCTTCTGAGGAACTACAAATGCCTCCATAGAAACTTCTTTTACTTATTATGAAGTGTCCCATTTGGTCATACCTCAATGTTTGATTAAACAATAAAAATATCTTAAAGTCAAGCAATAATTTGATGCCTTATACCTGATAAGTTTGCCAACCTATTCTCTGCCTTCATCACAGAATATCTGAATAATAACATGACAAACACGGCTTGTGTTGAAATATGGTTGCAACATCAACACCCAGTATAAAACAACATTACAATGTTCTCTGTCCATTTTTAGCTCTGCAGCGCCCTCACCTGGTGATTGGAGGGTATGTCTACTCGCCAGTCCCAGCTGTCTGTTCAGTACACGCCATGCACATTACAGGCTGACGTTATTGTAGGGTTAACTGGTTTGTAAACGGATATCAGATGTGGTCTTATCTGCTCTCTGTTGACTTCAAATGTTAAACTAAAAGGTCTGCTTGGAAGATTATGAGCCCTTTAAAAAAACGCACAAGTAGATGTCAAGATGGTTTGAAATTAAAAGTGGCAGAAGTTTCTAAGGTTGGTTTTGTGATATAGAGCTGTTGATGAGTCTGACAGTGTTTAGACAAATTAGTAAAACATTTTTCATCATTGTCCTTTCATCTGCTCTTTTCATTGGTGCATTTATTTCGTCTATCTCAATTTCTCAAAGCTATCCCAGTAAAGTATGTCACAGTCAGTAAGAAAGAAAATAGTGTTTGGATGGATAATTAATGGTTTCTGTCTGTTCAGATGAAAGCTGTTTTTTTTTTTTTTTTTTTTAAATGGGCATGTACCAAAGCACTTTAAAGACTATACATAGCAAACATTTGTGGTTGTTCAACTTTTACTGCTTCTTCTTTTCTTTTAAAACCACATTTCTATTACGATTCAAAGTAAACAAGACCCTCCTCTCACCACAGCTTTGGTTAGATTGTAATTTTACATATCTGTATCAATGATTGCGTTTGAAAAATATGTATAATGAATTATTTAGAACATTTACTAAAATGACCTGACTTGACAGGAATTACCATGCAACCTTTTACCCATTTTTTAGTTATTGTTGTTTTCCTATCTGTTAAGTGCCACAGGTCAGTGCGTGAGATTGGGGAAATTGCTATTTTTTTCTTTAGTTGTGTGAATCTGATTTTAATTTCAAGGAAACTCCTCACTGGGGACAAAAAGCATTTTAGTCTGCAGATTTGATTGTTTATTCCTTTAGTCCCGTGTACAAACGCTTCTCTGTCCACCTCGTTGTCAAAGTTTAAGTCCATGGACTAAAAGTGGTGACGTTTAGGTACTTTGACAGGCGTCCCAGAAGACCAATGAAATACGAAAATGAAGTTGAGGGCGGAGCTCAAATCTACAGCGGAGGCTGGGTGTCGCCTGACCGGATGATGACAGAAGTTTGCGGTTTAATGCGGCGATTTTTATCATGCAGTCTTCCAGTTTGTGACTTCACCGGGACTCTGACCGCTAGAGGAACTATTGGATCCAGGCTGGTCTTGGTTTCTATGTCATAAATTAAAAAAACTGTCTAACAGATCCCTGTGCCATCTGGGAACTTTCTGTCTGCTGGAAGTGCGACCCTCTGGCTCTAATTTGCCCAGGTTGGAGAGCAGAAAAGAGCCCGCTGGGCTGACCGAGGTGCCGCGATGGGAAACCGGGGAATGGAAGACCTAATTCCCCTGATCAACAAGCTCCAGGACGCGTTCAGCTCCATCGGACAGACCTGCAACTTGGACCTGCCGCAGATAGCGGTGGTCGGTGGCCAGAGCGCAGGGAAGAGTTCGGTGCTGGAGAATTTCGTCGGGAGGTTGTACCTTTTTATCTATTTTTGGATTCATGTGACTTTTTATCACTTTTTTTCTCTGTGCTTTCTTAGTCTTTCTGCTCTGTTTAGACAAACGACGCTGGGCTTTTGCGTAAAAGTCGCCAACTAAGCACATAGTTACGCGCTGTGTGTCTCGGTGCCTCCCAGTTTCAAACGTTTCTTTTCCAACGGATTTTTCCATTTTGGAGCCAAGCTATTCACCACCCATTTTTACGCGTTTTACGCAAGTAAACAGCTGTTGGTTAAATGAAAGCACTGTGGTGAAAAATGTTGAAAAGATGTTCAAGAAACATTAGGTCTCAAACTTATATATGAAAAATTTGTTACTATCCTATCGAAAGTGTTACCTGAACTCACAAATCATGTCTCCATATTAGGCCAGTCTATAAATCATTTACAAAGGCCGTTTCTCCTCCAGGCTTCCTTCTCAGGGTTGTCAATACACTTTTATATGCCTCATATTACAAAGGTCAGGTAAATGTTTTACTTCTAAGGGTGAGGTGGCGATATGATGACTTGGTTAATAAGGTCATCATGAGACTGGAGAATAAAAGCAGAGTAAGTCTGAGAATATAATCAATTCAGGAGAAATCTGCTCTACTTCTTTGTGATGTTTGTGATGAATGAGTTAGAAGGAAATTGAATGAGAACTTGTTGACCCTCTTGTGATGACTAAGAGCTACAAATTCCCCCAAACACTGAAGCCACAGTAGAATCATTCCTTTTGAAAAGGTTTGAAGGTTCTCCTTTTTGTTTGCAACAAAGCATAGAGAAAAAAAGGTTATTGGAGAGAACATCTTCATGGGGACAAGAAAAGGAAAGAAGTCAAAGCTTAGGCCTCAGCTGCTGAAGATATTTGAGCAGCTTTGAGTGAAGGTACCAGAAAAGGGATCACTTTACTCTGATACATGACAGAAAGATTTCACTTGTTGTCCATGAGATTGGGAATGTAGATTAGGCAGCCATGTCTCCTCTTTTTTTCCTGCTGCCTTTTGTCTCTAAGACCCAAGCAGTGGCCGAGGAGACAGTAGGGGCATTGATGTGTTTGTGCTGGGGTCATCAGTGATGTCACCAGCTGCACTGTCATGTGTATATGACACACACTGGGTACCAGATACCCACAGAGGGGAGTTTTGCTGTTTTCCTGTTTTGTTAATTAGATTATGGAAAAGCAGAGATCATACACTGGCTTATCAAATAAGTTTATTCAGTTTAATTGAATTAGAGTAGGATTTGGGGTATTGGCTCATCTACTAGTAGTTTTCATCTGAGTCTAGTGGTATCCATTCCTGAGGCTGTTCCACTGAGCTAAAGGGTTTCAGGTTTATTTAGACAAATGGAAAGAAAAAAAAGAAGCAGAAAAACATTTGCCACCATAGGTTTCAGTTTAGGTCATAACTTCATTTTAAAGTCTGAAATATTAAACGTATTGTCAGATTTCTCAAAGATGAAATATCTGTAACTAATCAGCTTGTGAAATTAATCCAATGAGGTGTAAAGAAAAATAACAAGACGGGCTCCACTGCACATTACCCGAACTCAAACTAAAGTCATTGAGATGAAGTGCACATACACAAAAACAAACAAAGAGGTATACGCATCCTAGAATGCAGGAAATGTGTTCTGGATACATGCCTCTGTGATTGAGCTGATTACAGACTCATTTAGGATAGTACTATTCATGTTCTGCTTTCATAAGTGACAGGAAGAGATGAGGAAGGAGAGCAGGATTCACTGTTGTGTAACTTCCTGCCTGCTCTGTCAGCACTGGACAACAGATTCAGGGTGTGTGTGTTCATATGTGTGTGTTTTTCTCTGTTTGTATGGCCTAATTACCCAATTACCTATTCTATAACCTTACTAAGGCTTTACTGCGGGGAGTCAGGCACAAAAACAAACTGGCAGGCAGGCGGGCAGGGAGACCTATTGGTGGCCTGGAGAGATGTGTAGTCAGTGACCTGGACATGATCACGGTTGTATTGAACGGGAGTTTCCATTCTGATGAGCATGTTGTGTGAAATTAGACATGTTTCTGTCCCTGCAAGATTTATAACAAATGCTGTAAGACAATCTCTGTTTTACATCAATAATGCACATGTGCATTTGCAGAGTTCAAAGTTAGAGCCTCTCTCTGGAGCTGTTAATTTGGAAGGAGCAAACATACTGCTCTTATGTTCAAATCTATTGACCCAAGACAAAAATATATACAATATGCATCCACCTCCTCCCCTAATTAAAGAATGAAGCCGAATACTGCAGTAATCTGGCCAGTATAGCTGCAGGATTGAGGTCACACCTTTCCCGCAGCCAAAGCTCACAGTTTACTTACTAATAGTGCATCAAAGATCCCCCAGAACACTTCAACCCGCATTAGAAAAGATTATTGTGTCTGTTCAAAGCAATTAGCCTAATATGAAAAGAAAGTTCAGTCACTCTTGTGTCAGGGTTGGTCACATTTTCTTTCTCATTTTTATTAATCAAAACTGAACTTTTCTAAAAATAAATGAAGGACACCATGTTGGAGAAAAATCCGACCTTCAACTTTTTAGTTTGATTGTTTGTGATTATAGAGGAGCTAGGCTGTATGATCTATGCTGCAGCCAGTTACCAGGGAGTGCACTAAATATTTGACTGCACTTGCTGGAAGCTGGTGTGCCATCCTCGGTCTATGGTTATGACACATGTCTGTTATCCTATTTACTTTCAGTATCCTTGTTCCTGAGTTGGGTGTGTGTGTTTAACTTCTGTCTCTTTTTCAGGGACTTCTTGCCAAGAGGATCTGGCATCGTCACCCGGCGCCCTCTCATCCTACAGCTAGTGAACAATAAAGCAGGCAAGTTGTATTTTACTTTACACAAAGTGAGGAGGACAGCTATTGCATTCTCAAATCCAAACTTTTCAAGCATAGGATCTGGTATTGAAAGCCAAAGCTGATAGTATCATCTGACAGAGAACTTACAGTCTGTTGAGAATGGCACTCCTTATCACAGACTCTTGACTCTTTCAAGTCTGCTCTGAAGCGACACTTGTTTATTCAGGCTTTTGGTATTTAGTTAGGTTTTTTGTAGTGTGTTGTTAAGCGCTTTGGGTATCTTGAAAGGCGCTATACAAATGTAAGATATTATTATTATTATTATCAAATCACAGTTTCATTGTTGTTGCCGTTTAGGTATTTGCAGTAAAAGCATTTTGTGTTTGTCAGATATGGTGGTGTAAACAAGCAATGCTCTTTTGATTGATTTTAGTTCCACATATTCATTAGATGAGACCTAGGTGGGATTGACACAGTCTCGTGGAGCTTGGGTTAGCTGTCAGCTTGTTTTTGCAAAAATGCCTTTTGGATTTATTTTAAATGTAGGAAGTACATGCTGCAAATGTAAAAACAAGGCATAGGGAATAGTTAGAAACTAAGAAGCCTGGCTGATATGAATCCTTTAATTGTTATTTTTGTTTTGTTTTTTGTTTTTAAAGCAATAAACTAAAGTATCGACCAATATCACTTTTTCAGTGGCTGATAGGATTCTGATGATTACAGAGAAGATCAGCCACTGATTAATAGCTTTATCTCCAATACACTGAATTTCTTCACGTCCACAAAACCTTTTCAGTAAATATTCAGACCAGTTTTATCTGCAGGACCGTCAGTACATGTAGAATTTAATTTTTGTGCAGCTGAAAGACACAAAACAAATGTAGACCTTGTGGCTGTCATTTCTTTTCTATCACTTGCTGTGTTTACATGGGCACAAATAGTCTGAATAAAAGTGCATCATGTAAACATGTTGATCGGAAGATTCAGATCCAATTTAGCTCAATTGGAAAGAAATTGTATTCCAATAGAGTGGGGTGGTTTATGCCGATTGTTACTCCAAAACGTGTCCGTGTAAACACTTATTCCGATCCTGACTCTCTAACCTGACTCGATCTTCACTCTTTAGTCTTTGGCTTTTTTATTGAGGTCAGTACAGGAGATTCCATTATTAACACTATGGCATAAAACACAACTGTGGGAGCCGTGTCTGCTTCTCCGATAAGATAACAAGGCGTACATACAGTGTAATACAGATGTAAATACAACTCTTCTTCTGCGGTTGTTTTAGCGTAATCAGACAACTCTGTGCACACGTCATGATCAGATTATTTGATTTTGCACCCATATTAACAGTGGATTCAGATTATCAGATCCCTCAAATTTTTAATCGGATCAAGAAATGTTGCCCATTTGCCTAATGCTTTGTCTTTTTATTTACAGTGTATATTTATCTCTCACCACTCTATAACCCCTCTGCCTGTTTGAACTGTCTCTATCTCCTGCAGAATATGCTGAGTTCCTGCATTGCAAGGGCCGTAAGTTTGTGGACTTTGACGAGGTCCGTCAGGAGATAGAGGCAGAGACTGATCGGCTCACAGGATCCAACAAGGGCATCTCCCCTATCCCCATCAACCTGCGTGTCTACTCCCCTCATGGTAACACACACCCACAAAAACAGACCCATTACAGCAGATTTTTGGACTTTGGACTGTGCTTATTTTAATTCCTCTCCTCCATCCTTTCCCAGTGCTGAACCTGACGCTGATCGACCTGCCAGGTATGACCAAAGTTGCCGTGGGAGACCAGCCTCATGACATCGAGTTCCAGATCAGAGACATGCTAATGCAGTTCATCACCAAGGAGAGCTGTCTGGTCCTCGCTGTCACCCCTGCTAACACCGACCTCGCCAACTCTGATGCCCTCAAGATTGCCAAGGAGGTGGATCCGCAGGGTAAGTGGACTCTGAGGTAGTTTTTTAATTTTATTTTAACCATGGTTTTGGGTGTAGGATAGCATTAACCTATCTTATCTTTTATTTGTCTTACTGAGACCTTTTCCTGCTGAAGTCATGAACAAGACTGATCACACTTTGCTGTATCTTGGTGGCATTAGCAATCTCTATTACCGTTACTCTATTGTGTACGTTGTCCCATCAATTATTATAATAACATTAAATAGACACTGTGCTAGTCACAGTGTAAGGTTTTGCAATGAAAACAAGATTACAGCTCCTTTTTTCCATGAATTCAACTGTGTTTGTTTTTCTCTTTGTTAATGTTTTCACCCTCGAACTCTGGCAGTGGATGTATTTGTAAATTTATAGCTGTGTAATTGTCAGTAGCTGCAGTCAGACCTCTCAAGGTCTTTTTACTTTTAGGCAGAAGACTAAAAGATAACAGGAGGACCATTGAGAACAGCTAGTTCAGATGTTGAAGTTTACAGAAAAAAAGGGAATACACAGTTTAAAAAAAAAAAATCAGCCAATCAAAGTTTCTCTATCAACTCAATAATCCCTGTTTAATGTATCAATTTAATAATGTGAAGATGACATCCTCATATTTAGGGCTGCGGACCATTGGTGTGATCACAAAGCTGGACCTGATGGACGAGGGGACAGATGCTCGAGACATCCTGGAAAACAAACTGCTGCCACTTCGTAGAGGTAAGATGACACTTACCTCTACACTGACACGCACATGGACAACTAAAGATTTAGTGAGGAAGCTTTAGAGTGATGATTGTGTTTCTCTGCACTGGATTTGAAACTATTTGTTTGACATGAAACAAAACTCTCAGCTATAGTTGAGATAAACAGAGTTGTAGAGGGGGAACTGCAGCCCTTTGCACACTTGCTTTTCACATTTTTTGAATGGAGCAAATTGAAGTAAAGTTGTTTATTTCTCAATATAAGAAATCCAGTTTAGTATCAGACATTGTGTCTTCTTTTTACCTTCAGTCAAGTCTTTGGCATCTAAATCACTTTTAAAATATGTTTTGCTGTCAGAAACAATCAGACTAAAATTCCCGGATGCCTCATTTGTTTATTTCTTCAGGTTACATTGGGGTAGTGAACCGCAGCCAGAAGGACATTGATGGGAAGAAAGACATCCAAGTCGCTCTGGCTGCTGAGAGGAAGTTTTTCCTGTCCCACCCAGCATACCGGCACATAGCAGAGCGTATGGGCACACCACATCTGCAGAAGACCCTCAATCAGGTGAGACACACATCTGATCAGACACAGGCTTTGTTAGCACAGGTTTAGTTATGTGACCGATTTTTAGGTCTGTAAATATTTCGATAGTGCTCTCTTTGGATCCTGATATATTGTCTCTAGTGTGGGGATCTGCTGCTTTAGACATAATCACACTAATGTGAAATCTTTGCCCTTTTTTCCAGCAACTCACGAACCACATCCGAGACACGTTGCCAGGGTTGCGCAGTAAGCTGCAAAGCCAGCTGTTATCGCTGGAGAAGGAGGTGGAAGAGTACAAAAACTTCCGCCCTGATGACCCTGCACGCAAAACCAAGGCTTTACTCCAGTCAGTACAGAAACACTCATACCAGCGCACAAATAAACACCACTTTACTGCAGATCAGGAGACACTAATGGTGTGATGTGAATAATCTGCAGGAATGTGCAGCAGTTCAGTGTGGACTTCGAAAAGTGCATTGAAGGATCTGGAGATCAGGTCGACACTTCTAACCTGTCCGGTGGAGCAAAGATTAACCGCATCTTTCATGAGAGGTTTCCTTTTGAGCTGGTGAAGGTTAGCAAAGTTTTGATGTCTATTTGCACAATGAATACCATTATTATTAAAGTTACTTGTAACAGGTTCATTTGTATGCAAAGGCCTCTGTGAAGCTTAGGGCTCATTTATGCTCGCCATACGTATAAAAAATGTACTTCTACATTTCAAACGATGGTTCCATCACTGCCCACATACTTCCATGCGTCCTTTACGTTGGCATGGATGTTAACCATTACATCCACCAGGAGGCAGGCCAGAGCCAAAAGTGTCTGACAACAACAAACAAAAAAGAAAAAAGGCGACTGTGGAGGAGCTAGTGATAATGTATATTTTGCATAGGAGACAGAAATGGAGGCAGTGTTGGAGGAGGCGGTGGTCGGTCAGGCTACTAAATGCCTCGTGGCTGGAGGACGGAGAATTCTTTTCTGTAGAAGATGAGAGAAATTGACAATGATACTCAGAAAGCCCCGCCATAGTCTTCTTCTTTTCTCTTTAGAGTTGTGTATTGGGTAGTGACAGCAGCAAAACTGCCCCCACGGTTTCCCGTGGTACTGCTCCGTCTGGCCTGTATCCATAAGTTTCAAAGATATGTGCCGAAATATGGACAAAAAGAGCGCAAAGCACAGACAGAGAGCTCCGTCCATATTTTTGATCCATATGTAACATTGAGCATTAAATGAGCCTTTACGGGAGCAAACCTGACAGATAGAAGACTGACTACGAAAAGTTTTTATTATAACCTGTAAATTGGTTGATACTTTATTTTGAGTTTTTATATTTGTGAATTCGCCTTTACAAGGAACTTTGTTTGCTAGGAGAGAAGAGAAACAGGAGCAGTTTTTTGTGTCAAATGAGTACTACAGACATGTACAGATTTAACAAAAAAGGTAGAAAAAAGAAAGAATTAGATAAAAGAAAAAGGTTATTTTGGACACTGAAGGAGTCTAGAGTTTAGCTTATTTGAGAAACAGATCCGATTTATAGAGGTGTTTAAATGTGTTCATGGCTGTTGGTACATACAAACACGTCCGTCTCCCGGTTTATTTGTAGCTTTGTTCTTGTTATCAAGAAAAAATGCTAACCATCTCTGGAAAATGTAAATAACTTAGTCTTTTTAAATAGACTATTTCAGAGCAAACAAATCAATTAGCTGTTGTTGCTGTATTAACTTGCTGGAAACTGACATTTTTTCTGCACAGGCTTTATTCCTATTAGAGCATATCCAGATAAATATCCTCACAAGCTCAATTTCCACAGGCAGAAACATCAAAACAAAGATAAAAGTTTCCACGGCTAATTCGAGTCATATGTTGTCTTTTGATCTTAGTGGCACTCTTGCTTTTATACTGAGGAAAACGACACATTGTCTTAGATAAAAGAAATAGTGCAACATAGTATTAAGCTGTTTCAAAGTAGTATGAAAGACAAAAATGTGAGATTAAAAAAAAAAAAAAAAAAACGATCAAGGCAAAACTTTACAAGAATACAGTTGAAATCTCAAAACAGCATGAGTGTAATTCTAATTCTTTATCTACCTTCATATTTTTTGAAGGATTAGTATCATAAGAACAGCCAGATAGCTCTGCCAATGGTAATAACATGTGCCTTTATACTTAAGTAGTTTTCACTAAACAATAGTGGTGGTAGAAAAAATCGATGCAACATAGTATTGCAATGTTATTTGTCTGGTGATTTATCATATTGTCTCATCCACCAAGTATCGAGTTATTCAAATTAATTGTGAATATGAACTCAAGTCTATGGAAATGGAAAAATAACATCAGTTGTTTGTCCACTGAGGTTGGCAGAGGTGACATCTTAGAGCAGGAGAAAGTTAGTACAACAAACAGCACCTGAGGACATTAGGAATGAAAGCAGGGCACAAATGAGATGGACATGACACATAAGGTTTGCAAGATGTGCGACATGAATGTAAAATTTTGCGTCAATAAGGCAAACATAAAGAAAAGACAAATGCTAAATCGGCTTAACAGTTGAAAAAATTGTATAAATCCCAATATATGGTATTGCAATACTCACTGTATCACAAAATGTTAAAAATCGCAATGATATCGTATCGAGGCCCAAGTATCATGATAATATCGTATCACTGGGCAACTAGTGATTCCCACCCCTAATAATCAACAGTTTGGCATCACGTTGCTAAAAGTGTCAGGGCTATATCATGAATGAGACATTCCTCATTTTAGGGCAGGTCTCACTCTGATCTTCTCATATGACATGTTATATGACTTTATATGGCCGCATTTTTGTGTATATTATTACTTTTTTTTTTGTAAATATAGAACTTAACTCCTTGTGCAGCTATTCTTGAAATGGTTATATTCCTGTAATAATATTAATTATATCTCAAAAGCCCTTTTTCCCTTCATTATATTCCCTCCTTAATGAACATTGATGTAATGCAGCAGTTTTGTTGTTTCAGCTTTCAACAGTCTGAAATGTAGAAAATACAAATAAACCCACGGACTCCTCCCCGCAGCCAGGGGCATGTTTGTCTAGTTTAATGAGATGTGCTCCACTAGAAAGAATTGGCCCACATCCTATTTGAGTAGGACAAATATCAACAATTATAGCCTTAATTAATTTTGTTGACATTGTGTCTTAGATGGAGTTTGATGAAAAGGAGCTGAGGAAAGAGATCAGTTATGCCATCAAGAACATCCATGGTGTCAGGCAAGTTGAAACACTTTAAACAGTCCATCACCTGTGGCACATTTGGCCTCACTGTCCTCCCGTGTGCTCTCCTCTCTGCTAGTGTTCCTGCTTGTTTGTGTCCCTTGAGTGTGCTTCAGTATTTTTTACATCTATAACTAGTTTTTATTTGGTTTCAAGCTGCTTGTTTGCCTCAAGGCCGTCTTTTTCTTCACTTGTTGCAGTTTTGACCCTGCTGCTCTTCTTTTAGTCATCCTTTGAGACTGTCTGCTTGTGTCTGCCTTCATCTGTGGCCCTTCTCCTGCTCCATGTCTCCATGTGTGTCTTGTCTGTATGTCCTTCAGGACAGGCCTGTTCACCCCAGACTTGGCGTTTGAGGCCATAGTGAAAAAGCAGATCATTAAGCTGAAAGAGCCGTGTCTGAAATGCATCGACCTGGTCATCCAGGAGCTCATCAACACAGTCAGACAGTGCACAAATAAGGTATCACTGCATGGTCTCCTGCCTGGCTGCCGTGTCTGCACATACACACCACAGAGACCAGCCGACCTAAGAGCTGCCAGGAGACATTTTGGTGCAACAGTTTAGCAGATATTTAGCAGATATCTTTAGCCAAGGCTTTATTAGTAAAAAATAAAGCGGATGAATTCAAAGTAAGAGATCAGGTTTCCATCTGTTTGTATGAATGTTAGTAGATATTTTCAACCAACCTGGCTGTACTGTGGTGCACTGAAGTGGTGTCTCTGAGAGGCTATGTGGTCACAAACAGAAGGCATGTCACTGTTTCTCTACAGGTTCATTACAAAGCAAGCTGCAGGTTTTAAGTTTTAAGCTAATGCTTAAAACTAGAGTCTTTAGTCATGCTAGAAGCTCTAATAGGCCAGAATCATACTCAGTGTCAACAAGACACTGATAAAAATACTTACAATGCTATCGTGTACAGAACATTCAGCTGCGCTGACTCTGTTAAGCATATTAGCATGCTCACAGTTTCTTAATGACATAACTGAACACAGAGTCCATTATGGGTTCAATGCTTGACATATTTTCATTTTAACTAAATAGTTTCAATAGAAATGCCTAAATTGATCACTCAAGTGGTGAACATTTAACTTTTGGGACATATAAAGTACAATTTTTATCTCAAAGTCAACATGCGACTCAACAGCTACAGCCTGAATCTGAACATGAACCTGCAGCCTGTTTGAGGCTTTGACATGAAGAAGAACTAACTCAATGCTATTTTTTTTCTTTTTCACAAACCCCAATCTTTATCATTCTTTCTCTTTTCCAAACTCTTTCTTTGTCCCAAACTCTACATCCAACTTTTCTTTTTCTATAACTGATCCTTTTCCTATCATCCTGGCTCATGCAACGCCACCGCCTCCTCCTCCTCCTCCTCCTTTTCCTCCTCCTCCTCCTTCTCCTCCTCATCCTTTTCCTGGCATTAAACCTCCAACTCCCATGATGCCTTGCCCCACCACAGGACAGGGCTGTTCACTCCAGACCTGGCGTTTGAGGCCATAGTGAAAAAGCAGATCGTTAAGCTGAAAGACCCGTGTCTGAAATGTATCGACCTGGTCGTCACCGAGCTTATCGCCCTGATCAGGAAGTGCTCTGAAAAGGTAACAAGGAGCAGCAGAGAGGTAGACTTTAAAAAAGATGAAAACAGAGAGATAGAGGAGATACTGAAGGGAAGAATTCAAGCATAATTAAGGTGGTGGAGATATTGTTTTATAAACTAACTTGTTGCTGTCTGGTGTTGATAACTTTCCCCTCACCGCTGGTTAAGGCTTTGCTCAGCACACATCCCACCCCTCTTCCTCGCTGTGGTGATCCTGGACCCCACTTTCCCACTGACCCACACAAAACCCTCACCATGCCTCACTCCTCAAATCAAATCCCCCTCTCACACTTAAAAATTTTCCTGCTGGGGCATGTCGCATATTTTACCCTGTTTGTAAAGGGAAGTTTTTGTGTATTTTAATTGAGATCCACCCTGTCTGCACCTCTAGCAACAATAAGACAACCCCAACAAGATCCAAATTTCATCTCTTCCCGACTCTTATCTGATCTTTTCTCCTTATTTTCTGATTTCTAAAGACTCTATCAGCTTGAGGTAATTTGGTGGTGCTGCTGATTTTCATTTCATTACAAGTACAATCAAAAGTACGATCTACACTTTGAGCTTTGGATAATATTTGTACGAAATTGGAGGCATTGATTGTTAAGCAGCTTAACTTATATTGAGATATTCACAGCTCATTAAACAGGTGGGACAAATACTTGATTGTGATTGGTCTGTTCATGGCATCATGCAAATTTCTTGAAGATATCTGTGTACAGTGTGCACTTTGATACTTTCATGATATCAGTCTGCTATTGAGAAATAACAGACTTTTGCAATGAAATGTCTCTATGTAGTGACCATACAGCCTTGTAATAAGTAGGCAGGTTAATGTGCAGTGAAAGGCTGGTCATGCAAATAAGAATCCTGTTAGGGCCAGAAAGACCCCGACTCAAACAACAGAGTCTTCTCTCACCCTGGAAGGATACACTTTCCTGCTTCTGTCCTAGAAGTATTGAGGTTTGACCAATCAGAATCAAGTATTTAACACTGCCATGTAACCATCTGCTATGACCGCCTGCTGACCTTACATCATCCTTTACTTGAAAGAAATCTCAAGCTGATATAGTGTCCATTAGTGCATGCCTCCTTTGTCTTCATGTGTTAGATGTTGTTCCTCATATTTGTGTCTGTATTTACACACATACACATTTGGGTAAAACTGTGTATGAGGGCAGACAGTGTTTGCAGTGTTTGTGTGACCCACATGCGTGTATGTGTCCAGTAATCACTGTTCCTGCAGCAGTATGTGTGTGTCTTTGTTGTCTGTGTGGTGCTACAGCTGGGATCATATCCACGACTGAAAGAAGAGACTGAAAGGATCGTCACCACCTACATCAGGGAGAGAGAGGGGAAGACCAAGGACCAGGTGTGTGTGCTTGTGTGTGTGTGTATGTGTGTGTGTGTGTGTGTGTGTGTGTGTGTGTGTGTGTGTGTGTGTGTGCTTGTGTGTGTGTGTATGTGTGTGTGTGTGTGCGTCTGTATTATACAGAGGAAGAAGGATGTAGATACAGATTGTGTACACGGTATACTTTTATGCAGTCACTTCTTTTTTTCACATACTGTTGACATTTTTTTCTCTCAGGTGCTGCTGTTGATTGACATTGAGCTCTCCTACATCAACACTAACCATGAAGACTTCATTGGATTTGCCAAGTAAGGAAAAAACTCTATTTTAGGGTTTCGTGTAGAAGAGATAGGGGATACTTTTTTATTTGTGGAGCTGAAATGATATTGTTAGGATATTCTATTGGTCATTATTTACTTTTTGAGTAAAAAAGTGGTTGTTTTTATACTCCGAAATATAGATTTTATGCTCTTTCTGGTCACATGTACTAATAATTAAAAGCTCCTGAAGGGAATTTGATAAGTTATGAAATAGACTGAGATGAGCAGAGATGTGTCTCTGTGATGTACAGAAGAAAAGGAGACCATTGAGGAGAAGAGTGGCATTCTCTATAGTTTAAGTTTTAATGCCTATCATATAGTAGTGAGAGGGTAGGTTGAGATGAAACAGCCTTTGGTACTTTTTTCCACCAAACATACTCTCAGTGAATGACAAACTTCTTTGTGAAAAGAAAACAGATGCATATTTTTTGTCTACCACCCCTTCACAAGGACTAGACACAATTAGTAAGTTGTAAGGTTTCACACATTGTCTACAAGAGGTGCCTGAATCAACACGGACAAAAAATTTCTCACAGTAGCTGTGTTGGATGTAGTATGAAGTAGGTCATTACTGGATTTCATGTTTTTAAATTTTTGTGCTGCAGTGCCCAGCAGAGGTCAGCTGCTAATGCCACCAAAAAGAGAGTCATGCCCAACCAGGTAACTCACCTGTTTAAACAGGTTCACTCATTTCAGCAGCCTCTCTCTCTCTCTCTGGCTGTTGTTTGATTTCCTTCACTTTCTGTTATTGTCTCAGCACACCTCTCCTGTCTTTGCTGATTCATGTCTGTGTCCATCTTGTCTTCCCTCATTTCCTTTTCCTCTTTCTCCTGTTTATGACTCAGGGAGAGATTCTTGTCAATACCTCCTGTTACTTACCGATTGGGTGGGGGGAGGGAGTAGACAGTCATTCGGACCATGCTGGGAAACTGATATTTGTAATTCTTGATTAAGAAGAGGGAAGTGAAAGAAGTATTCATGCATATTCTGTGAAAACAAGAAACCATGAAGAGTGTTAAGATAGCGGGGATACACATTAAGTTTCCTTAAAATAGTCTGAAAAGGTTATTTTGAAACTATTTCTAATGTTGAGTCTGCCCAACACTCAGCAGTGTCTCTATTGACCTACACAAAAATCGTTATGGACTGTGAGAGAGTTTCACAAATAAATCAAAATAGTAAAAAGAATCACTGTACAAGAATAATTATGTTTTAATCCCATATAGTCTGTAGTTTCAGACACCTTTTGAAACATTTTACGTAACCTTTTCATATAAAGATCTGTAAGCTCTTGGTCAGAAATCTATGGAAATAATAATAGTTATGAGATTTTATACATCAAAATGAAGTTTAAACTCAGCCAGCTTCTTGTGGGACTAAAACCATCACTTCACTTACTGTATCCTTCTTATGAATACTACTTTTACAAGGGCTTTTAACCCTGTTATGTTCAGTATTTCCCCAGGTTCTTCTCCTGATAAGGACTCAATAAAGGACAATATTTCAAGTTTTTACCTCAATACAGCTGTGGAAAAAATGTACATAGGACTGCTCATGTATACACATGATTATTCTATTTAGACAGCTTACTTCCCACAGGTTTGATAACACAACAGCATGTTAGTGTTTAGTGGGGCTCAGGCGGGTGTTTTTGAGAGCTGTCACTCAGAAAGTAACATTTAGTTTTGAAGCTCACACCTTGACTATGATATTTAAAAGAACTTTATCGTATATATCTCAAGTTTTAGAGTGTTTTCAGGGTTTAAATCACAACAGATTTTGTGGATTAAAAGTGCGGTTCGTCTAAATAGGAATATGCTTGCAATCAGATTAAAATGCTCCTTAGTTTACCCTTTCTTCTGGTGAAGCAACAGGGACATGAAGCTCCTATGATGCATCCTCCATTCTCCAGTGATCCTCCACTAGCCTAATTTATACTATTAAAAGTGTCTATAGATACATACATTTTTTTAAACAACAAACTCACACTAAACACTAGTTCTCATATCATACTTCTAAAAATCATACTCTATTTCTATCAAGACTATTCTGCTACATTTACATGCTCTACCCTTAATTGTATGTTTAATATTGTATTTACTGAACGATGCAGGCTGATATCATGCAGGTTTACAGTTTTATTTGCAGATTTAACATGTTGGATGTGATGGAGCAGAAGTCATTTCTCTGATCTACTAGTGTAAATGTAGAATTAGCCTGCAGACAAGTCAGTTATGTCCAAAGCAACCTCCCAGCTGGACGATGACTTACAACAGCACTGGTGATAAGCACAGTTGTTGGGTGTAAGGTTTTTTGGGTGCTGAATCTTTTTCTTTCAGCCACACAGGTGACCTCTGACCTCTTGTACACAGGTGATCCGCCGTGGTTGGCTCACGATCAACATCAGTATCATGAAGGGAGGATCTAAGGACTACTGGTTTGTCCTGACTGCTGAGTCGCTCTCCTGGTTTAAAGATGAGGAGGTAAGGGTGCTTATGGAGCAGGAAATATGTAGTTAACTCTTCTTTGCTCTGTGGGTAATCAGGGAAGTGGACTTTCAAGTGTTAGAGTCCCAGCCCCTGTTCAAGTCATGAGTGAGTTAAATGTACCAGTATGGTAAAAATACTGCAGCGTGCCTTTTTGTACCTTTAAGCTAATCTGTTAGTCAGTGTATTGACAGATGATTGATGGCTCAAACAATCCTTTATTACAAACCTCTTTGTGATTCTATCAGGAGAAAGAAAAGAAGTTCATGCTGCCTCTTGATAACCTGAAGCTGAGAGATGTGGAAAAGGGCTTTATGTCCAGCAAACATGTCTTTGCCATCTTCAATACTGAACAGAGGTATGGATGCCACAATCGTCTGTAAAATCACTTATTTTAATCTTTGTCGTGTTAAACCTTTGGTCAATACCTGTGTGTGTCTCACAGGAATGTGTACAAAGACCTGCGTCAGATCGAGCTGGCATGCGACACTCAGGAGGATGTGGACAGCTGGAAGGCTTCCTTCCTCAGAGCTGGTGTTTACCCGGAGAAAGACCAGGTACTGGGAGTGTGTTTACATTTCAAACAATGTTTGCGGTTTAAAATAATATCTACCAAAGAGTTTCTGCATTTATCCTTACGACTGCAAGAAACAGCTCACATTGACCACTGGAGAGTTTTGTTACTATATCACGGTTATCTGGGTAACAGAAGGTTTTTTTTTACCAAGTTTAAAACTATAACTTCTATTATAAAACTTTTATTATTTTGGCAGTAAAGCGTGTGATCTTTCAGGGGAACATCATGAATCGTAACAGTCTAATAACATCATGAAGTACATTTTCAGACTTCAACAGATCATAGTCAGTCCATCTCTGTTCTGCTCCCTCTTCATTGTCCTTTCTGCCTGTCTCTCCTCCTCCAGCCAGACAATGAAGAGGCCTTGAGTTCCAGCGACACCGTGTCCATGGACCCTCAGCTGGAGAGACAGGTGGAGACCATCCGCAACCTCGTGGACTCATACATCGGCATTGTCAACAAGTCAATCAGAGACCTCATGCCCAAAACCATCATGCACCTCATGATCAACAGCGTATGTTTGCGGTTTTATTGTCCCCTTTTCCAGGAGTTAACTCAACTTGAAGCCTTCACTCAGTTGTTTTTGCATCTCTATCCTGCAGGCGAAGGACTTCATCCATGCTGAGCTGGTGGCCTACCTGTACTCTGCAGGGGACCAAAGCAGCATGATGGAGGAATCAGCAGAGCAGGCTCAGAGGAGGGATGAGATGCTAAGGATGTATCATGCTCTGAAAGAAGCCCTGGTCCTCATAGGAGACATCAGCACCTCCACTATCTCTACCCCAGTGCCTCCACCTGTGGACGACACCTGGATTGCAAAGGATCCGAGGTAGCTAACATGAACAAAAGCATTTACATTTGCTGATATTAGCTTTATGGTCATTATTTTAATTATCGTTTACATGTTTGCCTGGTGTACATGGACTGAAAATAACCAAAACATTAGGAGATTGGACTTGTGACAAAGTTTGACCACTAGATGGCACTTACACATTGATTTATTTAATGATTTATTTTTTTACTTTATAATGCACTGTGTGGGAGTGCACAATTTTAAATATCAAAAAATAAATAAAAGGATTTTTATCAAGTGGGAAAAAATTGAGGAATTACTGCAAACAAATATGATATAGATATCAATGTTTTTAATTAAGCTAACAATGAGCTGATTAAAAATGAATTATGTTTGTAACTTAACATCCTGTCTCCTTACCCCAGTCCACCTCCAGGACCCCGTGCTGCTGCAGCCACAGGACCCCCTGCAGGCCGACCCCCAGGGGTACGAGGCCCGACCCCGGGTCCTCCAGCTCCTCTCAACCCTTCACCTGCATTTGGGGTTCCACCGGTCCCGTCTCGACCCGGCCCGGGAGATCCAAACGCTGGTGCTGTTCCTCTTATCCCCTCCAGGCCAGCCCGAGTCCCTCCCGGTCTGCCCCCCGGAATCCCCAGGTAACATCGCACACACACAAACTCAAACAAAACATCTGCTCTTTATGGCTTTGGTATTGGTCTAAGTTTTGGGATGGGTCTGCTGGTGAAGGGGTGAACTTTTGGTGGTTTGGGATTCCTGTTGCATGTCTTTCTGATGATATTTTGCCTTGCATGTTTCTTCCTTCCCCGACCCCCCCTTCCTGCAACAGAAGACCTCCAGCTGCTCCCAACCGACCCACTGTCATTCGTCCTTCAGAGCCCTCCCTGCTTGACTAGAACAGAAAACGTTCTCTCAGTTTACACTTTTATATTTCTCCTGAGCTGAAAAGTTCCTTTATTTTCATGTGTATCGATTTAACTATAAAATTTTGTCCTACTGTAACTGGTAATCTGATGCTGTTTTAGTCTGTGCATTTCAGAAAGATTATGTATGTAATTTTGACTTTTATGCAGGTAGCTTTTTTTAACAAAATATACATAATGAAATATTCTGCATTCAGTATTACGATAAAGGGAAACTTACTTTTTATGATTTTATTGACTTTAAGGTTATAAACCAGCAAGTCATCTTGAATTTTTCTTGTTTCATTTCAAATGAAAGTGTCTTAAAACAAAATATGATTTTAACTTTTTTATATTACTAAGAAAACTTCTTAAATTTTTCTGAGCTGTACACTTGCTAACAATTTGTCAGTTATCTTACACACTAAGCACCTCATGAAGGAAGCAGCACTTTTTGTAATGAAGTCCTATACGATTGTCATTGTCCACAGACTTTCCACGATATTCCCCAGATGAGTTCATGAAAATTAGACTGACAGGTGGAATATTTCTGCCTCAATATTTAGATTTATCACCTTATTAAAAGGATATGGAGTTAAGTGCTGCCACCAAAGTGAAAAATGAATTTGTCATTTTATTGGCACTTTTTCTAACAAACTTTAATTATCTTTAAATAAAACAGTTTTCACAATATTTCAAGACATTTACAACAAACAAACTGCTGTTTTGACAAAATCTATTGATGTGTAAAGTGAAACGGATTTTAGTACCAAATCAAATGATATCATTGAGGTGTGGTATCTTTTCTGTGCACACAGATTCCTTATAAAAGTTTTAATTACATCATTCCCCATCTAACAGGAAGTATTATTTTAAAGGGCTTAGATTTCTTGTAAAGTCATCAAATTCAGTACACAGGAGCCCAGTGGAGAGTTACACATTAAATATCTAGTAATATAATCTTCTACTTATATCTGTTAATATAAGTAAGTGGGCGTGACTTAAAATGAGTGATTTGCCACATCCACAACTTCAAAAATGTCATTTGAAAACGTGCTTTGTTGCACAAAAGTCACTTGAACCCACATTGTAAAACCAAAAGTGAGTCCACACATTTTAATTTTTGGTAAAAATAGCCTAACTTTCCAGAGGTAACATTTTTGTAAGTTATGTTTCCTGATTTACCAAGTTATAAAATGATACTTTTAACACTGATTTAATAAGTTTATTCAGTAGAAATGTGAAAATATCTTGAAGTAGAATGAAATATAATATCTTATTGTGAAAAAAAGTCTTCGTTAGAGCAGCTTACTTTAACATTTTGACCATTGACTGCATGAAGAATTGATGTAATCTCAGTAAAGTCAAGTACTGTTTCTGAAGGGGCATATAGTAAATGACATCTCCAACAAACTTTCAGTCTGAATCCTAACCCATCCCTTATGGAGTCAGCGTCCAAGTGGACATGTGGAGAACTGCAGTTTTTGCATTTCTACACTGTTTTTTTCCACACAGGAGGTTTTTGCTTTATTATAAAATTAGGCTAATTCATTTTTCTGGGTGGCAGCAATAGGCTTCTATACAAGAGAGAATGCTGTAGGTAGAAATGGTCCTCTGATGTACTTCTGATTAGTAAACTCTGGTTAAGATAACTGTGACAGTTCGCTCCCACCACAGATCATCCTCAGTGGAATTCTGATCCATGTGCCTTTGGAAAATGATTTTGTTTCTATGTACAAAGCCATACTTAATCAAAGAAGAAGGGTTTCTTTCAGAGGGTGTTTGACTGAATAAAGAAGTAAAAAGTTGAAGGTGTGGTGGCTGCTGCTTTTTCTTTCTGTCCAACAATATTTGCTCCTTTCCTTTCCTCATACCCTAATGCAGGAGCAGCAGTAAGTCTTTCTTCGTGTTGGGTTGTTTCTGTTTTTGGTCTTCATCTGTCACATCTGTTGCGGGATCTGCTGCTCCATGCACTCAGAGTAAACATGTACAACATGTACGTGCTGTCACTTCGACACACCAGAGTCCAGACCTCTTGACTTTCATGAGTCAGACGAAGACAGCCGTGCAGAACAGAAATGTTTCATTTTTCACTGTGCAGCTCTGCATGACCTCCAATCCTTACTGTATGATGGAGCCGTGGGTAACCATAGTAACAGTGGTTGCCAGTGGCAACACAGAGTACAGATAGTATTTCTCATTGCCATGCTGGAATGAATAAAAGTATGCAATCAGACTGCTTTTCCACGTTTCCTCCTCTTCAGTGTCTGTCGGCTGTGTGTTACCTGGTCCGTAAGTTGATCAGACACTGCTCAGATATCTCATATATGTCTTCTTTTCATGGTGCTCTCACACAGGCGACCTCCACATGTCCCTTCACGCCCAAACCAGTGGTGAATCAAGTCGAGCTCTCCAACTTCCTCTTGATGCTCTGCCTGGTGCACCTGGCAGCAGACATTCAAGAGTTCAGCTATTTTCTGTGTACTGAAGCTGTCAGTGCTCTGTTTTTCCCCCAAATGTTTATTTTCAGGACTTCAAGGGAGTACAAGGTGTGGGATTAATTGGTAAATATCAAGTCAATGTACACATGGTCTCGTGTTTAGACATCCAACAGTATGTTTGTTTCACTTTTTTTTAACTCCAAAAAGAGGTGATCATGCTGCACAAAATGATTATCGGTCTTTTTCTTTGTATATGAGAACTACAGAAATATTTGCCTCGTTGAACTGCCATCAGACCTGGATGTGAGAGGAAGTGAAATCTGGTAACTTCGTGTGGAATCAAAGCTTGTCTGAGTTCACTCCGTAATACACCACAGCACTTTTTTTTTTTTTTTTTTTACATTTCATGTTAAGGCAGAAAAAAGAATGAAATACTGTAAAATGTGCATGTTTAGAACATTATTTTATATTTCAATTATCTCTTTTTTGGAGGCCCCATTTGTCAAATTGTACTGTATGATAAAGCAGAAATAATCATTGAACAAATTGTTCATTTCAGCCCCATCACGATTTTTAGAGAGAGGCTTACCAGTGGGTGCAGCCTTAACGGCGACTCGATCTTGTTTCTGCTGTAGTACCGAAAGGACAATCCAGCAGCTTACCTAGTATTTATGTATGGAGTGAGAGACCACACAAAATACAGGGGTTCGAAAACGGAGAGAGCGATTGTTGTGCAAAAAACAATTTGTAATGGTAGATGTTTTTGATGGTAAAAAAATTTGACAAATGGAGGCTCATACTTGCCTACTAAGCTTCTTAACCTTAAAGGCCACTGTTGCGTAACAAACGTGGGGGAGTAAGCAAGGGAGTGTTTCCATCCAAAATCTGGCTGCTGAATATCGCTCAATATTCCCATGTCTATGCACTGTACCTTTAACATCGGTTAATGTCAAGAGTGGTTTCTGGAGACGTTTCATAAGTCGTGTCAAACTTTAGGGGGAGCTGCATCACCATAAATAAAGTGTGTGCTCATGTTGGTCACAGACTCCTTTCTTTCTTGTCAGCAGCGCTGTAAAAAATACTGTGATTTGATAGACAGAGTTATGTAAGACTGATCTAAAGGTAAAAAAAGAAAAGCATCAATGCAGTTTCTTAGGAACTAAAGCTGCGCAGCATTACATCATTGCTCTTGTGAAAACGTCAATAAGTTTTATCAGGATTAACATGTATGGGCATATTCCAAAAGAGAAAGTATTAACTTTATATTCTTATTAGATACCGCTGGAAATATTTACAACAGGCTCAAACAAGAATTTCAATGAATTTGTGAGTCATCAGAAAACACATTTAAAAAGATCATGAAGTAGTCAGTTCTGTGTGTTGTAGGTTGTGCGTTTTCAAAGACAAGACGTGATCCAAAGGTCATTGTGTTGAAAAACTGCATTTATTAATATTAATGACACCCATGAAAACCTGCTATTATTCGTACAATAAAAAATGAAATGAAACTCCTTCTCATTATAAAAAAAAAAACAAACAAACAAAATGCTCAGTGGCTGTCTGAGCAAAAGCAAATCTCACATTCACTTGTGCACTTAAAAAGAAACACAGCAAGTTTGATCATCTAGAAGCTTCAAACAAACTGACTGACCCTGAAAACACATTTGTTACTGACAGACCTGTATGTACTACACAGGAATCAGAATAAGCTCTGATTCATGAGTTCATTATTGGCATAAATCAAACTTGAAATCCTCCCAGTTTGTTATTCTACATTCTTCTACGTCAGCAAATAATCTGTTGGCACATAAAAAGAAATCATCAGTAACTTTTCAAAAAACACCAACCACAATCGATTCAGAACCCCCTTGAAAAGGTAAACCCATAAATATAAAGGAGTGATCCTAAACTGTCAGAACTAATACGCCAACAACACTATTGCACACTGCAATGCCCTGGGAACTGGAAAACTATGATTTCTGCAGATCACCTCTCAGTTTTGTCAAACAGCAAGTCTGTAACCTTTAACAAGAAATGTTTCACCTTTAGCAAAAATTCTCAAAACTTCTCATCAGTTTCCAGGTGTCAGATGGCAGGTAAGTTATAACATTTGTAGTCAGCTGTGCCTTCAGGAGGATTTCCTTGTGGGTTTGCTGGGAGGTTTGACATTAAAGGCACCAAATGACATGACTCAACCAAACTTAACTTCCTTTAACTCATCTGTTCACCCTTCCTGTTGTGATAACGGTTCATTATTGCTCACAAACAGCTGGTGTGCGCGGTTGTTGACAGAATGAGAGGTGACAGACCTTGATTTGAGCGGGTTACCATTTTGTGATGGAGTGTGGTCATTTCTGGGTTGTCCCCCTGTGTGTGTGTGTGTGTGTGTGTGTGTGTGTGTGTGTGTGTGTGTGTGTGCGTGTTTATGAGCAAACCCTCCGCTTATCATCAAACAGCTTACGCACAGTGTAGACCTGAAAAGAGAGAGGAAACAGAAAGCTGCTGTTCATGGCATGACTCATGACTCAACCAAAAGACTCAAAAATGATGCAATTCCATCATTCATCATTAATGACCAAGAGGTGAGATTCTTAGTTTTGTGGTACCTGAGTGAGGGCAACACAAAGCATCACCAGCACACTGGCACAAGACCAGAACGAGACCCTCCACAGGTTGTCTTCCAGAAGGTTTCGGTCTCGTGCCTCAAAAGCCCGCAGCACAGTCTGCATCTGACGGCTGCGCTCCAAGCGTCTGTACAGGGAATCCATGGACTCCTGAGGAGAGAATGAGGAAATTTGAGGGTTTTTTAGACAAACTGGTGGCTCTATATATGTATATATATATATATATTTTTTTTTAGAGAAATAGGACTGAGAGGAAATACAAGATACAAGATAGTCTGAAAAGTATGCAAAAGTTAAAATCGGGATCCTGTTTTATTTTCTGACAGCAGCTGAGAGCTTCAACCTTCAGGCTGTTTCATCAAAATGAAGTTCTGATTTGAGTTTAGTGATATTGAATCAGAGACTTTTCAGCATGTAAAGGCATGTCTAAACGTTGAGGCTTACATTTTTCGACATTTTCCTTATTGTCAGCAAATCCTACAAAAATACCAAAACCATAAGTGCGTCACTGCGTCTTTCAATACTTTCCTACTTCCCCATCCTGTCCGTGGCACTCAACCTCAAGCTCAGTTTGTTCCTACTGACGTTACAAAAAAAAAAGGTCAGTGAGGAACCAAGTTCTTGAAGAAAAGAGAGAAAAAGGTGATCTGTAATTTTTGGTAAATTGGTGGGGACAGATGATTAATCGGATCAGCATGTTGACATAATCGGCACATGTCGGCCTTCCCTATCATGTTTTCTAAATGATAATACATCTTTCTCATCACCCGTTAACAGCATATCAAATCCAAAGCATTCATTGACTGGTGTTATAATACTGTAAAGTAATATTTAATTTTAAGAGCCATGTCAGTCATGTTTAGCAATCTGAAGCATAGTGCAATATCTGTGACTAAGACAACCATGTATATTAGATTTCAATGTATATAGAATAACTATTTTGTACATGTCTTTCATTTGTTAATTTCAACCCTTATTATTTTTGTTTCTTAAATTTCAGATGACTGAACAGAAATTTAAAAGTCCCTTGCGGTGATATTTTACTAAGCCAGATATTTGTCAAACTACATTTATACATTTACCCTAGTCCAGCATTTTTTTTTTCATTTGTCAGTACTATTAAATTTATTTAATTGCTGTATTTTGTCAAATGCGACAAATAAACAAACAAAGAAGAAAAAAACACTTTGTACTATCGGCATCAAATCTTGGCTATCAGCTGAACTGCTATCTTATAATTGGTATTAGCATCAGCCACTGGAAAACTGTTATTGCTGGCTAACCACAATTAAAAAGCATAACATAGTTTTTTTCAAATTACACCTTTTGTCACTTAAAGGGATATTTCGGCGTAAATTTAAGTTATAGTGAAACACACCGTAACACTGAGTAAGACACCCCCTCCAGAGATGAATGTTGCCGACCGCTTGCTTCTCTAGTTATACCAACTTTAGTAACGACCACATGATAGAAGTACACAGCAGTCTATGTCTCCACACGCAAACCTCAACCAAAAAGCCACTCTATAGCCACAAATAATGCTCAGAACAGCACCTAACTTCATCAACAGTACATATAGGGCCTCAACCACAGAACAAGCCATCAAACATCTTTTAAGCTTTGCCTGGTTTCTTCAGCAAAGAGACCAAACACAACTCACCCACTCTCCTCCAGCAACCGCTTTTTTGTGGGGGGAGCCCTGACGAGTCAATCACCGAGTGCAGCGGAGTTTCGCAGCTCAATTAAGAACATTTATGATTATTACTTCATGAAAATGCACTCAAACTGAGACGCTAAGGCAGAAGAACTACCACTTCTGCGATGCAAAATGATTATTATGACGATTATTACAACAAGGAAATGATCCGCTGCACTCGGTGATCGACTCGTCAGGGCTCCCCCCCACAAACAAGCAGCTGCTGGAGGAGAGTGAGAAAGTTGTGTTTGGTCTCTGCTAAAGAAACCAGGCAAAGCTTAAAGGATGTTTGGTGGCTAGTGCTATGGCTGGGACCCTACGTACATGTACTGTTGATGAAGTAAGGTGCTGTTCTGAGCATTATTTGTGGCTATAGAGTGGCTTTTTGGTTGAGGTTTACGTGTGGAGACATAGACCCCTGTGGATTGCTATCCTGCGGTCGTTACCAAAGTTGGTACAACTAGAGAAGCAAGCGGTCGGCAACATTCATCTCTTGAGGGGGTGTCTAATCAGTGTTATGGTGTGTTTGACTAACTTACATTAACGCTGGAATATCCTTGTAATGACTGAAGAAAGACCTAACAAGAACTGCTTGACGAGATCAACATCACAGTGATGAATGGTGCAACAGTGTTTTCAAGAACTGTGCATTACAAACTGGGAGAAGAAGGATGTGTTGGCTGTGGACTGATGAGTCAAAGTTTGAACCGTTTGGCATCAAGCAAAGAGTGTAAGTTTGAGGAAGGGAGGGGGAAAGATAAGAGTGTCTCTTGTCAACAGTTTTATTACATTTATTTATATATTTATTTATTACAGTAGTATTACTGTGTGGGATGGCATTTCAGCCTCAGGAATAGATGACTTAGTGAAAATTTATGGCATCATACAAAAGAAAATATATTGCAACATTCTGGTGAGGCTGCAGTAATATTTGGGAGTCGCCCTACTGGGGTTGGATCTTTTTCCATGAGGACAGTGACCCTAAACATCCCTCTGACTATTGCAAAAACTACCTGTGACAGAAAGAATCTGTTGGAACAATAAAAATGATGGACTGGTCCCCTCAAAGTCCAGACTTCAAACCCATTGAGCAGATTTTGGGCAAACTGGAAAAGAAACTGTATAGATCTTTTGAGCATTCAAGGGAAAGTCTTTGGCTTCAGTTGTAGAAGGCCTAGGATAACAGTAGTGGTGAAGTTCTCAAGGCATACACTGACACTATACCAGAGAAATGTGCTGCTGTAATTGCAGCAAAAGATGGACATACTAATTATCAAAATTAAAGTGGATAAAAACAGAAGTTTCACTTCATCTTATTTGCTGTTCTTAGCAACCATCTGCTTGTTTCATAAACACTGTGTAATTAAATCTTGTTGTGGAGGCAAAAAAAAGGTCAATATTTTCAGATCTGTTAAGTGTTTTCATAATTTGGCCACCACTGCAAATGTCATTAATGTTGTACCTTTCTTAACGCATATTACTGTAAAGGAAAAAACACAAAAGTAAGTAGAAGGAAACTCTCATCCCAGAAACAGTGGCCGAGTGCAGCAGTTTGGGTGTATGCCTATGTAACCTTGAAGCTTAAAGGTAAAGGCCAACCAAAAGTTACGTCCTTTTCTCCCTTTTAACCCGGGGATTCCACAGAATCCAGAATGTCTCCTCTCCGCTCCAGACCGGCGGGTGGATCAAATAAGCAAGCATACAGCGCCCACCTGATCCAATCAGCTGCAGCAAGTGGAGGAGAGGCGCTCATGATATTACCAATATTTATCGCGAGACTGGACGAGATCTCGCATGTTTCACCGTGAGACATTGAACAACCCTGGCCTCTCCTGTTATCAACTGTAGAACAGTTTAAGTATTGACTTATTTTATTTTGCAAATTAACAGGATTAATAGAAGCCTTACGTATCTGATCTGCAGCAGAGCCGGAGCGCAGACGTTCCAGATCCTTATGCCGTATGCCTGGGCCCTGTGTTTATTACACCTTAGGCCGAGGTCAGAGTAGATGTTTATTAAGAAAGTCAGACTGACTTACTAACAACAGACAAAGTAAAAGTCAAGACTAAACTAAAAAGGAGGTAATGGCAGGATGTCCTCTAACGGGTCAATGTTAGTAAGGCTGCAACAACGAATCGATTAAGTCGATTTGTCGTGACGAAAAAATTCGTTGCCAACTAATTCTGTAATCGATTCGTCAGGTCTTTATATATGTCCATGGACACTGGCGTGTAAACATCAGCAGGACGCACAAAAAAGAAACAGCCATGGTCAAGGCAGCGGCTGAGAAAAACATGGACACAACCCATGGTGCGGGAAAACTTTACCAAGACTGAAAAGGAAGGCGTTCAGTGCAACATTTGCAAAGCCCGTTTTGCATGGCACGGGAGTACATCGATGATGCGTGAGCACAGGACTCTCATTCAGCGTATGACACACGCATTCCCACTCGTTCACACGCTCACACACCACACATTGTGTTTCTCACGCATTTAAATGAACATGGTGATGTCCACCAAGTTGCACTTCTTTAACTATGGAACAGGTAGGAATCAACTGAGTTTCTCCGAGAGTTCAGAAGCTGCGTGCCACGCACAAGCCAATCAAATAAAGTATATCTACTGAACAGCCAATAAAAAAGCAGCATTGCTGTATCCGGGTAGATTTTGATATCTTGCGGTTTGACTACAGAAGAAGACAGACACTCAAATAGAGCAGGTTTTTATAAGGACGAGAAAGACCCGATGATTACAGTAAGTCAGTAACCTACACATGCAGAGACCTCAACACCTCATGGCATATAAACTCATATGATAAACTAAAGCCCTATGCTATTGCTATTAACAGCTGCATTGATGAATTTAGCCTGTTTATCCGATTAATCGATTAGTTATTAAAATAGTCGGCAGATTAATCGATTATCAAAATAATCGTTAGTTGCAGCCCTAAATGTTAGATTCAATGAGTCCCATATAAGAGACAAGAATGACAACCAGCTGGTGCAGCCCACTCCAAGAGTCTAACAGAGGGTCAGCTGTGGAGAACATTAGATCTGCTTTTTTCTCTAATCATCTCACCCGGATGTCATCCAGCTTGTACTCCAGAAGGCTTCCATCAGGCTCTTCTAGTCCTGTCCACTCATCATCTCCACCCACGTCTCCTCCTTGGCCCTCGATGATGATCTCAAAGAACACTGTTTTCTCTGAGAAGCGACTGAAGCCATTGTCAAAACAGATCTGATAGTCCCCCGCCTCTGTCGGCTCCACCCTTAAATAACATAAAAAAAGGGCCAAAGATACACAGTTATGTTAAACATTGGGAGGTCTGCATCAAGAAATATAATCAAAGAGTGAGGCTGGAGTGAGGGAGCACTTACACATGGACTCCGTCAGAGCGCCGTGACTCAATGACAACTGCTATATTTTCTGGAGTAAAAATGATGAAGTCAACATCCATACCTGCGCCTGCTATCACCTGGATGTCAACACACAAAAACAAACACATACACACTCAGGAAGAGGATCACACATTTTACTCAAGAGTCAGTCAACCATTTTCTTTCTTTCGCTTCGTCACTTTACAGGCAATTTCTCTTTATCAGTGGACCGTTGGCATTTGTACCAGGCAGGTTACAGTTATATGGACAACAGGACACCATATGCCAAACATTTTCTTAAGACAGCAAACTGTCGTGTCATAAAATGAGACTCTCCCACTTAACAAACACAGTGCTGGTGGTAATAGTCTACTTATTACACGAGTGTGGTGCTGCGTAGTTTTGATTCATCTGACAAAAAGGAGAGAGAGAGAAAGGGAATTAAAAGATGAGGCAAGAGGTGATGAGCAAAAACGGCCAGTGTTTCAGCTTTGGGTTATTATGGGATGTTGTTCTAAGTGAGCCCTTAAGGCACCCCATGCATGTGCTTGTACTTGTAAAGTAAATATTTCTTCTGGATTGCTTTTCTAGTCAATTGAATATCGCCAGAGTCTTAACTGTCCTTGTCAAAAAATATATGAAGACATGGCCTTGGGTTCCTGGACATGAACATGGTGTATCAGTGTGCATGTCTCTTGGCCTTTGAACAGCAAATGAATGGACTAGGACAAGTATGGAGTCCAAAGGAGGCTGGGGAGCATTGTAAACACAAGTTACATATTGTATACAAAAACTATTTAAATGATCACTAAAATTTTGTGTTTTTGCATTAACAAAGATTTTTTGCTTTTACAAAATTTTTCTGTGTTTACAAAACAGATGGCGGACTAGGGCAGTGGTGGTTCGAGGCCCAGTGCTTCAAGTGCAGGATCCCATGTTTGTACAGTTAATAAATTATCATTTGTCATCTCACCATGATGCACCCTAGTTGGCTACATTTGGTGACATTTTCCTCTCTTGACTCATCACTCATCTAACCCGCCCTCATGTTAAATAAAGGCCAGAATGTTTTGTAAATGCAAAAAGAAGTTTTTTAAAAGCCAAAAAGTTTTGTAAATGCAAAAAATACAACATTTTTAATAATTAAGTTATCATCCATGTGTTTTTATGTTGACAATACTTTACTTATAGTTACACCCCCCCCCCCCCCCCCTTTTTTTTTTTTTTGTTTTTGTTTTTGTTTATAGTACTTGCATTCACAATGCATCCTGTCCTCCTTTTGACTCCATAGACAAGGACTGGGACAAGGCCTGAGACATGGACATCACCTCAGCAAAATAAGTTCAAAACCTGTATCTAGTGCCAGGTATTCATGGTTAGTTTAAAATCAATGCAGGGCTTCACTCGCTTCATAATAACAATGATCCAGCCCTTAACCTTTACGCAGCATTTTGCTTTTTCCAATAAATCATAGGATACTGTACAATGTGTGGAGCTGGGCACATGTCTGTTGATTTATTGATCACATGCCGACTATTTTTATTAACTTTTGAGGACATTCATTTGAAAAAGCTATTATCAAAACCTGACCTCACCTCTGCCAACCAGCAATGACTTTACTTCACAGGAGAGAACTTGTAAAGATGCTAAAAATTCTTGCCACAACTTGGCACCAGTGAGTGTGCCACTAACTGACTTGCATTACAAAGTTCAGTTTAACAGTGAAGGTATGCAAGGTTCAAGGGGTCGTTTCATTGATCTGAGAATGAAGACGGATCCAAACCCTGGCCTTACATAATCGGTAATGTGGATGCTGACAGCATAAGAAAGAGCATGTGGCCTATGTAGATCTGAAGTAGTCTATGGATCTTTATGGGTATAATGTGTTTGGATTGAAATTTGGAAGTTTATGTCTTTGGTAAAGGATTAACTGTTGATGGAGTTTATTTTTTGATTAACTCAACATTGTCAATCATACCACCATCTGGCTCTTTCATACTCATGATAGATTTTGAGTATTGTGATCATTATCATGAGCACTGCTTTTCTTTGCATCATATATCGTGTTGTATCTTGGGTTACCCTGCAATTCCCATCCTGAGTCAGGCAATACTTCTTCTGAGGCAATACTTCGTCTTCAGAGAAAAACAAGAATGAAATTTAGTTAAGATTAAAGGTTATGGAGTTTTTACTGAATATATTGGGTTTTCTGATGAAGTACAACAACAGCAGGGGCTTTTAATATGAGATGTGCCCAGTTAACTTTAAAAATGGGAAGCTAGAGAGGATTTATGAGCTGCTATAATCTCACAGCTGCAGCTTCATGCAGGCAGATGAAAACCTGTGGAGAGGAGAGTCTGATGAAAATAACTCCACAGTTTCCTGTATGTCAGATAGCCAAGGGATAACGGTGAGCCATCCGGGTCGTGTTCCGTTTGTTAGTCAAAAGTCCCTTGAGCATCTAAATAAAGATTGATTTCTGTAGTTATTTTGACTGCTAATCACAGGCATAGTTACCTGATATTCGACCTCCATCGAGCCATTCTTTAACGCTGTTTGATAGAAACACTCGGATCTTCCAGCTGGTAGCAGAAACGTCAACTCGCTGTCCAGGCTCTGTCCAAAACATCTTACAGACCCTAAACACCAGCCGAATATTAATGTGAGGACAAGTAGACGCTCTCTGCACCTATCTTTTCTCTGGAGAAGATCCATGGTGAAGATATTCATAAACACAGGGCTATCTAAGTTCAGCCATCTCCTTTGCATCCCCTCTTCCGCAGCAGAACTTTGCAACGAAGCGATTGGACGGAGGCCCGAGAACGACTACGATGCAGCGGACCAATCAGAGAAGGAAGAGTAGCAGAGTTCAACCAATGACGGCAGGGCTGAGGTGGGAGCTGTTAAAGCTGTGTGTGTGTGTGTGTGTGTGTGTGTGTGTGTGTGTGTGTGTGTGTGTGTGTGTGTGTGTGTGTGTGTGTGTGTGTGTGTGTGTGTGTGTGTGTGTGTGTGACCAAGGCTGTGTTCGAAACTGCCTACAATATACTCCCATACTGTATGATGTATACTGTTTACTGCGTTAATGCAGTTTGGCTGCCAGTTATTGTGCAGCATGCTTGGCCTAGTTCAGCTGGTTTCCGGTGTACGGAGGTACATTGTACGCTGGTCGATTGCAAACGCCGCTACAGCGTTGTCCATTGCTACGTAAAACTTAATAAAATGTAAAAGTGTTATTATATACGTTAAAAACACCAAATATAACATGGAATTCATTGTAAGATTAATGATCTTACCTGGGAAATTTTATATCCATGTGTGACATGAAAAATGCACTCTCTTCCCTGGCTTTTTATTTGATCTTCAGTTAATTAACAGTCAAAAAGGGGAGAAAAGTAATGGAAGTGTTATATTTTCTGAGTGTATGTTGGAGATGAATAATATTTGAACATCTAAATGCATCCAATTTTGCAATGTCACAATTTCCCTATTTTTATGTATTTATCTGTCTATTTGTTTATTTATCTATATATTTAATCATATTTATTTTTTTACTTTTGCCTCTGAATTTTCTGTATGGAACTTTTGAGTGCATGCCTGTAACGTTTGTATATAACGTGTTTATTGTTCAATAAATAAGATTTTTTTTTGTGTCTGTATTTATTTTTTTTTCCCCCCAGTTTTAGTTTTATAACTTACAACAAAGCCTCAGGGATTTTCTTAAAATGCTGTGATGTAATTGGTATGTGGTAATTTTAGAAAATCAAACACTATGGAACGTGCCAAGTTGTAGTTATGAAATTACTGTTCTTGATTAAGACTTTTTTTTTTCAACCAGTATTTTTCCAAGAGTATTTACAGGGTGACTTAGGTCAGCTGGTTCGATGTCAGGCTTGCAGGTGTCATCAGTATGATGACATCTATGAGAAACCAAAGATCCCCCAGTGTATCTACGTCTATATTTGGGCTCACAAAGATGCAACTAGCTGTATCAGATCCCCCTTTTTTGTCCCCTTATTCTCTATTACATAATAGTGAACTCTAACCTGACCTTATCCAGCATAAGTGGTAAACTTGGTGTTACAAAATGACATGAATCTGACTGTTTTATTTATAAGTGAGCCAGGACAGTTTGACACTGAGCCTAATCACTGCAGATTCAGACCAGGCCAAAGCGCTGAGATCTATGACCCCTGACCTATTTACATACAGCACTTCCAGTTACATTTGCCAACCTTCTGAGAAACTCAGAGGATAAACATTGTTTTTCCTCAACACATATGAGTGTCACTACTTTTTGAATAACCAGACAGGAAATATGATGAAATTTAAAAAGTATTGTGACAGACCCATACGATTACAGTAAAGAGAATATTTCAAGCAAATGTGATGGGCAAGGGGGTTCAGTTTTTAAACTTACATTTCCATACATTTCATTTCTTTTAACCAATAATGAAGCTTCATTTATGAAATCAGTGTTAAAATTACAGCCTCCTCTAAAAACATGTCCTGGCTTGTCTCTTTTTCTCACCACACATTTTGCAAGAAAATTTTACACCAGCCACCACAAGTCCATATTTCCGCCTGTCCTCCCTGATACTTTATCTCAACTCTTCACAATATTTAAGTGTGTGCTTGTGTGTGTGTCTCTGTTTCTGTGTGGGGGTGGCTGCTAAATAAGTGTATTTAGCAGTTTCAACATAAAGAGTGTGTCATGCGAAACTACCCCCTTGGCTCAGAATTTCTCAGAGTTCCATAATGAACCAAGTGTGAATCATTTCTTTTCTTAACACATTTTCTTGGCCTTTCCTCATTGAGCACTGTACCTGAAAGGAAAGGAAGAAGAAAAGATTCAATATTCTTACACAAGGTATAATTTGGCCCCAATAAAGGGAGGAAAATGAAAGAGTTGCTTAGAAGACTCTACTCAGAGTAAAGACAACAATTAACAGAAAAACAAACAAAAAAATCTGCAACCAACATAGATAACCTCACATATGGTGAATTTACACTGTAAATATGTTGTAAACAAGACAAATGAAGCAAAAACACATTTTACCTAAAAGCAAAAAAAAAAAAAAAAAAAATACAGGCTGTGTGAGAGGAAAAAGGAAGAGGGCAAGTGCACATAAGGTGGTGCAACTCAACCAAGCAGAGACTGTAAACATGTGCAGAAAATGTTTCAGAAAAGGAAAGTGTCACCACATCAGGGCCTTGCCCTAAAGCTGACTCTTTTTTTTTTTTTTCATTTGCATATAGCCCACAACCTCAAAAACAGTTTTCTCTGAAAAGTTTGCAAAAACAGTGGGTTTACACCATACTCCTTATTAACAGAGACCTGATATCAATCCACCATGAGAAGGAATTGACAGCAAAGGTTGAAAGGACCAAGGCAGGTTGTTCCATAAAAGTATACGATTTATTCAATCTTTGAATTAATAAGAAATTCCACCGGTGAGTAAAAAGTGTAGAATATTGGAAATAAAGCTAGTTACAAAGCGCAATGTTTAACAAATAGGCTATGTACAAGCACAGAGAGTAAGATGTCATGTTGCCTATATCAAACCAGATAACAGCGTTGCAGCCGCCAAAGCCCACAGGCCTGGGGTGGCCACTGGCAAGGAGCCAACGCGGCCCACATGGGCTGAGGTAAAGAAAAGCTGGGGGCAAACGTTGGCGGGTTTTTCATTCAGTGTCTTTGGTTTTGAATACTTTTTTTTTCATGTATAAGACCATGATATGTTTTTGTTTTGGAGAAGAGGGTCATCTGATCCGGTCTTGTCAGAGAAAAAGCGGAGCACAACAGCAAGCTGAAGGATACTGCACAGAGTACAGTTTAACAGAGTGCAGTATAATAGAGTATTGCACAATGTAGCGTAATAAACAATGTATTATTAGTCTTGCACTCTTAAGATTCTTGAAGTTTGACCATTCTACAAACAGTTTGCAGAGTTAAATGTAATTATATGAAGCGAAGAAGTGTACAGCTTAAGAATAAGTCCAGAGACAGTTATCAGGTTTGACACTCAGATGGAGGAGTTATAAAGTTTGATGGCCACAGGAAAGAATGGCTTCCACTTACACTCTGTGGTGCATTTGAGGGAATTGAGTCTGGTACTGACCAGCACGTTATGGAGTAGGTGGGAGATGTTGTCCAAGATTACCTGTAACTTTATCCTTCTATCTTTCAACACCACCAGCCCTAGGCCAACAATGTCACTGGCCGTGCAAATGAGTTTGTCAAGTCTGTTGGCGTCTGCCACACTCAGTCTGCTGCCCCAGCACAGAACAGTGAACAGGATAACACTGGCCACCACAGACTCATAGAACATCTTCAGCGTTGTCCTGCAGATGTTGAAGGCATTCAGCCTCTTGAGGCGGCTGAGGCCTTTCTTGTAGACAACCTCAGACAGTCCACTTTGTTATCCAAGTACACCCCCAGGTACCTGTAGTTCTCCACAGTGTCCACACTGACCTCTTGGATGGAAACAGGGGTGAACCTAAGAGTAGAACCGGAGGCAGATACAGCATTAAAGTGAATTTATTGATTAGGGGAAGGAGGAGGAAAGGGATCCAGAGTCCGTGTAAGGAGGGAATCCAAAGAGTGGTAAGGGTTGGAGGCGGGAGGGCTTGTGGCTGCTGTGGGTGAGTGAATCCAAAAGAGTGTGGCAGGGTGGTAGAGATTGGTCAGATTGCACGGGGGTGGAGGCACTGGAAGAAGCACACAAAATTGGCAATGTTCAACAAAAAGGAAACTTAAAGGACTCCAGTCAGCTGATGTATCACATGAGATGTGGGGATAATCTGGCACAGAAGAGGTATCTAAACAGAGTTTAAGAGTGGGTGGTGATTGAAGTGATGAGACTTGAGTGTGGAAGTGCAGGGCGAGTCAGAGCCGTGGGGAAAGCCCAATCTCTGCGAAAAGAAAACTAAAACAACTAAAAAATAAAAATAAAAATAAAAAGTCCAGGCAGAAACTCAACTGTTTCTGGTGATTGTGGCATTTTAGTTTTCTTTTGTTAAGTCAACAGGTGTAAAAAAAAAATCACCATTACTAAGTATACTAATGATTATTCAATAGAGACAGTAGCAGTTACCGTCAAACAAGCCAAAGATGTACACTGACAAGTTATAATGATAACAATAAAATGAAGACTGATATTCATAGTCATCAAGCAGGTCCTCAGCAGCAGGTGGTCTACAATTGCACTTTTGACAACTTTAATCACTGCAGGTGATAATTTTATAGTTTTAAACAAGCTCCAAGCTCCAAAGTAGACTTGAAAGAGACTTTTGAAACACTCAGTGTTGATAGCAACAGTGTGCTACACACAAATGTGAGTCTGTGGGTGACAGTGCAAAGCCGCGAGTAGAGGTAAGTGAGAGTGAAAAAATAGCAGCTTGATCCTGAACTCAGTCTCAACCAAGACATCCACTCCATTTAATCTGTTTGACACCACACTGCAGGTTTCAGCAAGGCTAAAAACGTGTCAAATGCATGGCTCCACTTGCAGAAGTTTCTTAGAAAACAGTGAAAAAAAACAAATGCAAACACAAGTGACGAGAGATGGAAGAGAGAGAGAGAGAAAGAAAGAGAAAAGGAAGTGTCAGCTGAGAGACGATAACTGTGTTTAGTAGGGGTAGGGAGTGTCCAATACGCGCACCAACTCACATGCTACTCACTCACTCTACGATTCTGTCTCTTCTCTGTCTCTCCCCTGTGTCATCTTCATTTCCTCCTTACACGAGCTTGCTCAGTTTGTAAAGCAATATCAGTAAGAGTTGACAGTAGGCGAGTAGAGATGTGAGAGGTGAGGGTAAGGAAGGACAGAAATCAGAGGATTTTCTTCTTTTTTAAAGGTGAGATTTATACAAAGGACATTACTAAGAGAAAACATTTTATACTAATTTTCTTTTTATTATCGATAAAATTAAATTGAAGATATTTTTGCTTTCTGTAGCCCAAAGGAGCATCAAGGTTTTGTGAGAAGTTGCTGACTGACTTTTGGAAGAGCTTCAGACAAAGGTAATCTTTGTGAAATACAAGAAACACAATGTAAGACTTTGGCTTAAGTCTCTCTCTTTTTTTTTCTTTTTTTTTTTTGAACTGTTGAAATGTTCAAACCTTTTTTTGTGGTGTTCAGGGTATGTTGAAATTACTATTATTATTATTCTCAGAAGTTTTTTGTATGCATGTACCTGTTGCCACAAATCTACTGTTTCATATCTTGATGTCATATCTTGTCTCTTGTTTTTTTCTAATCTCCTCTCTGTCTCTTTCAGCACCTCTTCTTCACCCATTGATATTTGGCCCCTCCATCTCAGGTGGAGCGCAGTCAGGTGTGATGGCAGAGGCCTGCAATGGCCCACCCCCACAGGTATTTGTGGTAGACAGCCAAGCATGCCCTGTTTCTGTGCCTATGGGAAGGAAACAGAGGTGGGAGAGAGCAAGCAAAAACTTTCTCCTACTGACTTTGGTACTGGTCGTGTTTGGGCTTGTTGTGCAGGGATATCTAATCCACAGCCTCAACAAAAAGATGGAGGTAAGGCTGATATCCAAGTGAGAGTGTGTATGTGTGTGAATGTGTGTACAGAGAAACCTCAGGATTCTGAGCAAAATGGAAATTCCTGTAGCTGAGAATTCCCCACTCTTGCTCCACGTCATATGCAGACATGACAGGAGCAGAAACCTTTACATGTAAGGGCATGTGTTGTTTTTTGCCCTTTAAATTACGGGTCATTAATGCCGAATGTGTCAAATGGACTCGTCCACTCTAGTTTTACTTCCTTCTGTCCTCTCTTAAGCGAGAAACCGCAACACAGCTTCACTTTTTTGAGTTTCACAGCGCTATTTATTTACACACTTGATTCCTTTATGTTATACCCTGCACTATGTGTCAATATCTTGTCTTCCTCCCTAACTTACTCAATCAATAATGATTAATAACCCCTTGACCTCTCCTTTGAATGTTGTTCCTGTAAAATTTTCAAATAATCATTTTCATTACCTTATCCCCCTCCATTTTAAACTTTCAGTCAACTCTGAAGAATCTGTACTCTAACTGTCACAGATTAACAGTTAATTTCTCAGTTCAAATTTTAAACCTGGCTTGAAAAATAGAGTTATCTTAAAAAAGGGTTCATTTAGGAAACTATGAAAATACAATGACCCCTACTGCTTTTCTTGAGATCTGAAAAGATTTACCCCTGAAGGCTGATTCTAGCCTCTGGTTTGATTTTTTTTTTCAAATTGTCTTAAGGGGAATTTTGTTTTCAAATAACTAAAATGATAGAATATATGTGCTTTTTTCAACGATAGACTGTATATACTATGGACAACTTGGCTCCGCCTCCTGTCATTATACTAATTTGAAGCTTAATTGGATTTTCTCCACTTCTTGGTACCACCACTTGCGCAGTAGCATTGTACGCATTCAGTGGGAGAGTCACTATGATGACGCTTGGCTCAAACAGTGTATCCCCCTGGATGAGCTACTTGATCCTCATACGCCATAGGCTGTATCAAGTGCCAATCCTTAAACTAATGGGTCATACAAAAACCCGGCCCCTGTGCAGTGTGTACAAGTAGAGAAATGCTCTATTTAGACCAAAAATAGATTTTGAGTGCCAAGTTGTAAACATGTTTGCTTCTGCTGTAAATATAGGCTAGAAAAGGTGTGTATGTGGCTTCCGGGGCTTTTGTAGGCAGCCTCAAGTGGACACTTGAGGAACAGCACTGGCTACACTTTGCACTGGCTTCATTCCTCAAGATTCAAGGTTGCTGCCTGGTTTGAACTCTTGGTTTAATCTTACATGTCAAAATTGTATGGTTTTCTTGGTGGTGGTTATATGAGATTTACATGTAGTGCACTTCATAGCAGTAATTTAAGCATGCCATGTAAAAGCATATGGAGCATACAGCCTAACCCGATTGAGGTTTCCTCCAGCCTCAAGAGGCCTCTCACCCTGGCTCTGCCTTTCCTGTCTTTTTCATATCTCTACAGACTCTTCTTGTTTTCTCTCTCTTACACTCCTTGTGTATGGGTATGTAGGATAGTGAGAACTCAGCCTCCTTAAGGTGCCTAACACAGCCAAAACACTGGTGAAGGGGGTGCCCACTTGATTACATTGATGATGTACTGGCTCAAGCTACCTATCAATCCCTATCTCCATAAGTGTTGATGGATATTTAGGGCCATGTGGGATTTTATGAAACAGATCAGTAAATAATAAATGTAGGACTAAGGATATAATGGGATGGGTTCCCTTACTGAGCACGTATTCATTAGACCACAAATACCTTATTTATGCCAGCCAACAGGATTTTTGTTTCACTGATTATTCTTCAGCGATATCATCATTTTGGTTGGTTTTAGCTAAAATGTGCTTGTATGAATGTTGAATCGTGGATTTACATCACATTTGTTGTCCTCTTTCTGGAAATCTCAGTTTTTTTTGTTTTTCTTTAAAGAGGCATGACACTTCCCGTACTTACAAATTCTAACTTGTGATGTCTTACGCACAGAGATTTTGTTACTCAATCGTTTTCTATTTCCCTTTCTCCTTGTTCTTTTTCTCCTTGCAGACATTCTCCCACAGATTGTCTCACCTTACTAGCCAAAACCTATCTGGTCCCATATCATCCAGCCTACAAGTAAGAATGAGAGAACAAGAGTGTTGGGGTACCAAACTAAGACCTTTGTTGTTACATAGCGTGATGTTTAATGCAGTTTGAAGAATTTGCTCTTTTTGTGTGTGTCTGTTTCAGGGGGACAAAATGCAGAGTCAAGACAGACCCAAAGGTAGTAAGTAACTCTCTTCTCTTATAGATTATTTTGCTATTTGTTTTATAAAGGTGGAACTTGCGTGAGTTAATCCCGTATCTTGATCATGACCCCCCCCCCCCCCCCACAAAAAAAAAAAAAAAAAAAAAAAAATTTACAAGGCAAACACAATAAATTAAAATCACTAAGGGAGACAGGTTATTTTTGAGAACTTAAGAGCTCAAAAAACTTCAGCAATTTAAAATCTAACTCTCACTATGACCTCTTATATTCCTGTATTCACTTGTTTACTGATTTTCTTTTTGAGCAGCGACCAATGAGATTACCATGATAAGACCACAAACAGTGGATCAGGAGAGACCTTTTGCTCACCTGATGGGTAAGAACTTTGTTTGCCATTAAACCTGCATATTGTGCACAAACTTGACATGTAATCTGAGCTAATTTTCTGTCTCATTTTCTCCTATTCCTGCCAGGATCCAACCGAACTGTGGACAAGGACAATGTGGTGCAGTGGCTTAACAATAGTGGGGACAGCATCACTTACAACATGGGCTACAGAAATGGCCGACTGTTAGTGGAGAAGGAAGGTTACTATTACATCTACTCCAAAGTATCCTTAGATGCTGAAGAGGAGTGTTTGTATTTTCAGCATGAGGTCTGGAGAGACACCACAGCTTACGGGAAGCCTATACAACTTCTGAAATCAAAAAGGTTTGACAGAGTTCCTTTTGTTATACTGGTGCTTAAAGTCCTGTTTGTAGCTTTGCCTCTGTATTTCAATTGTTGGTAGGCTACTAACAAAGAGTGAGGCGATAACTATTTCGGTCATTTACATTCCTTTTTATTTTGATGTATATTCTGCAACTTGACCCTCATTAAGACAAAAATTAATGCTTATTTAACAGAATATAGTGTTTCTGAAACTTCTGACAGATCTTTTGAGCACGTTATTTTCATGTCAACATTTCCATTTTTTCTACCACACCCACGTGGGCTTTTATGTTTGACGTGTTTTTTTCTGTGTTCCAATGCGCCATCAAACCAAAGTGAAAAAAGTGTTTCAGATGGAGGCAGAAATCATGGTATTCTAATACACCAAAGCTATTCAACAGGTGTAAGAGAGGAAATATAGAATCTGAAAAAAAAAGGGAAAACACCCCCGCCTTAACCAAACTAAGCTAAGCTAAGGTAAACCAAACAAAAACAAACCAAACTTAACCAAAGTAAGCTAAACTGGATTTGATGCAATTAATGTCTACTAAACTTAACTTAACAAAGCTGATAATAAATAAATTAAAACCAAAGTCAACAAAATTGAAATAATCTTTAAAAATAGTTGCAGAGTAAACTCATCTAAAACTAAATAAGCTAAAGTAAAACTGATTCACCTTCACTTAAATACACTTAATTGAATCGAGGTAAACTAAACTGAACTTACTCCAGTCTGTTTTAAAGCTGCAGTAAGGTAGTTGGTATCCACCCGTTGTGGATATTGGCAATTTAGAGTACAAAGAAAAGCTGTTTTATCAGATTGTTTGTATATGATATCACAGTTTACACTTACTTCAGCCTGGATGGGAAGAGGGCCATATTACTCACTGTAATCTACCTATCAAATCATGATTATCATCTGTTGTGTGGTGGGATATTGTTTATACACTGGAGTTAGAGTCTATCTCTCAAGTGTGTCTAATGAACCTTTCGGCTAAAGTAGATAACAGCACATACCATCAGGTAAACACAACATCCATTTGACGATGGGAACCATTTAGTGTATGAACCAGCAGGCCCTTATAAGTAAGGTGAATAACAAAGGTTTTTTTCAAGTTTCTCTGCGTACATCTGTTTGTTCATGCCCTCAAGGTGAGTCACCTGATATGACAGTCACTGACACTTGTTTTAAGTATGCTTATTCTTTTACTTTTTTACTTTCATGGCCCCCAAATACTCATTGAATGCAATAATTCCTTAAAATTATTATTACAGTTATTCTTATTCTTATTCTTAAATGCATTGCTGCATAATATCAACATGCTACTTCAGCTGTCCTCTGTAGTGAGTGGTGTCATCGTAGACATGTACCTGAAAGTAGTCAATAGTGTGCTGTCAGTCTTCTGGTCTGGACCTTAGTGAACTTGTCTTTATCAAACTAAACTTCACTTAATTTAATTCATCTTAACTTTAACAGAGATAAGCGCTGTGTTTACTCAGTTTCCTGTTTTTTATGTTTTTTTCTAGACCACGCTGCTTGACTGACAGACCCGCAAACCGAAATCCTTCGGCTGTAGACGATTACTGGAACAGTTTTCTGGCAGGGATATTTGAGCTGAATAAAGGGGATGGGATTTATGTGAAACTGGACAGTAAAGAGAAGAGGCTACCAGATCCTGCTGACAACCTGCTTGGGGGCTTTATGATATCAGAGAAACACCCCCGCCCCACACAGTGAACAGATTCTGTCTCTGGTTATATACAGCATATGTGAATTTTAAACTTCTGTCAATAGATAACCTAAATTATTTTTTTGTCAATTAATGTATTTGAATCACTGAAAAGCAACAAATGTTGTGATGTAAATGTATCTGATATTCAGGTTATGTGATCCTTTTTGATGATAAGCTGTGTGGTTTCTTGTTTATATATATATATAAAAAAAAAAACATGTAAAGTGTTTGGAACTTGTTTCGTAACAAACCATAACCGAGCCCAACACATCACACAGCTGCTGATTTCAAGATTCTCAACACACACAAACACCTGCAAGACATTTTGTGTGTGAGTGTGTGAATGCAGGATGTGGCAGAGTGAAGATGCACCGAGAGGAGGATGCTGAGGTTGGTGCAGCTGACTCAGCCCTTCTCACAGAGCACAGGGGGAAAGTTTCACAGACGTTGATGCAGTTTCAAATGGAAAAGAAGACATCTGGGGGTACAGAGATGTGAGGAAAATGAACCAGTGAGAGAGCATTTTCATAGGAGGGTGAAATACAAAGCAAAGCAAACATTGAAGATCCAGAGGTATGTGTGGTAGCACAGGAAGCTATGCAGACAGGTAGACAGAAACCATGATACAGATAGATGAGTGAAACTGACCCCAGACGCGATTCGTGCATTTGTATCGTTTCCTTCTCTCAAACACAGATAGGAATCTGTGTGTCTAAGTGAAACTAAAACAACAAGATACTTCTCCTGCAGGCTCAGCATGAATGCTTTGCACAACACCACTTGTTAGTGTGTCTTGCTGCCTGCAGCTCAGATTTCTTCATTTTATTTGCTCAAGTGTTGCACCCAAGTTCAATTTTCTGTGTTTCCTGACTATATTTCTACTCCCTCACATCACTGAGCCAAACATTGTTCCTTCTTTAGGACCCTGTGTTGATTTTTCCATCTGTAGTTATCATTTAAATTGAGCTATGTGTTCATTAAAAAAGAAATTTTGCTTTGCTCTAGTTTTAGTTACCCTGTCGCACCAACGAACAAAAATAAACATCACTTATCAGGCTGTTACCAATGATGGTGAAGGGTTTATCCAACAAGACTGGGCTAGTGGGCTGTTTTGTTTGTCTTAAAATATCACTCTTTTGTTGGAGATTGTTGTCTCAAAGGCAGTGTCTAAAATGACAAAGAGGAAGATAAGGAAGTGGGTTTAAAAGTAAGTAAAGTGCTTTGGAACTGCACTTGTCCTAATGGTCCGTAGTGGATGACTATTGTTAGCAAGAATAGGTTTAAATGTAAAGAACATATACATCCATACTTTTCTATAATCATATGGGTAGGTGTAAAACAGAACCTGTTTCAGCCTGTCAAAATAAACAGTGGGCAAGTAAGTTTTATGCCAGCAACCCTGGACTGTATTCTGAGGGGTACAGATCTGAAATAGTTTTTCAAACCTCCAATTTCCACAGAATAAGTTATTTATTTAGTTATTTATAAGTTATTTTTCCTTTGGAAGGGGATCCAGAAAACACTTTTTTTAATGTTTTGTATTAGAAGGCATCCAGACGACCCCCCCATTTCTTCTGTAGTAGAAAGCAACTAGGGTACCTTTTACATTTGATAAAATGGAAGGGCATCCACATTGTATTTTGACGTTTCATTCAATGTAAGAGCTGCAACTACTGCAATTTTCTGTTTTTTGTTTTTGTTTTGTTTTTGTAGAAAGGGCACCATAGAAGGCCTTCATAGTATTTTATTTACTTAAGGATTGTGAAAGCACTTTCACAATCCTTTTTCAGTCTTGAGGGCACCTAATGTACCCCTCTATTGAGTACACCACTGCTGTGGCCATAGTGTGGTTACTTGAGGCACCAGAGTGCCTAACCTGAGGCTTAGTGACATGAATTAAAATATGAGATAAAATAACAAGAACTTTATTGATCCCCAATGGGAAATTTGATGAAAAATAAATAAATGAATAAAACTGCTGTTACAAACAAGTGAGTCCCCTATTTGTGTTTTAAGACAGTAAACAGAATCCTCTGCACTATATATACAGCTATAGAGAGAAGATGTTTTCAAAATTTTTACACACCTCAATCTTTGCAAGTCCATTTTTTAAATAGACATAGAACAGTCTTCATATATCTTTACATTGGTACTGCCAAGAAAACAGATTTTGTGATTATTATTCGCTTCATAGACTGAATTTTCCTGACTTTAAAGTGCTTTAACTTGGATCTGCAGTCAGTTTGTGATGCATTACTGTGCGTCATGTTGCCACAGCCTGTTGATCTGTAAAAAAGTGAGAATCTTGAACTGCTCTCTTATAGTTTATAACACTACTGTGTTCACCAGCTGAACACCAACTGTGTCAGTGCCCTACTTGGTGCTGAGCAGGTGGTGTAAAGAATTTTTTTTCCTATTTGACATTTATGTAAAGCTCATAATTACAGCTCCTTTAAATGACAGTGCAAAAAACCTTAAGAACTTAAATAATGTGCCACTGTAGTGTAGCTATGTAAGATAATTTTTTACTTGGATCAATATTTTTGAAGAGAGCTGTCACTGAAAGAAACTTAAAGGCAAAAACCAAACACAAAATTTCCTGGGCAAATACTAAAATACTTGTTTGGAAAAGCAAATCTATGTAGGATTTGATGATCCTTTTACCGTCAGCATTTTTTTTTTTTTTTACAAATCTTTGAACAGGCTTCCTGTTTCATGTGATTGCCTGCAAATTGTAAGAATTGTATAATCACAAAGTCTTTTTCACTTCAAGTTTATGCAACACTAGCACTGCAATGGTTTTTACTGATGACCCATAAAATTTTCTTTTCTAAACCAGTGTATGGTAAATAAACAGGATGTGGCGTTCATCCAGTTCCCGTTACAGACTGCGTAGCAGCAGGGAACTTTCCCCTGCCTTTACACCTTTTATACATTCCACTTCAGGGTTTATCAAACTACTACCGTAATCATTTTCTACATTTGACCTCATCATGATCCCACTATTCATTGTATCCATTTTTAATGTGGAAAACAAGTAAATACATTCAATAATGTAGAGTTTGTGCATAAGACTACATGTTTTCAGAAAAAAACAAAAAAAACAAAACATCTTCCAAGAGGCATGAGTCTACAAAATAATTTTTAGTTATTCTTGTTTTGGTTTAATCCACAAGTTTTCTTAAAGTAATTACTGACATATTTTCTTTACACATAAAATATAAATATGCAGAGCTTGTTTGGATTTTGTCCAGATCTACAGTCACAAAATATTTTTCATAAACCTCAATTTTATGTCCTAGCCATTTATAAAATGACAACAGAGAAAAAAGACTCAATTCATTCCACTAAAGGGTGGATAAAATGCAGTGTATTGCGCATCCACACTGATGTAGTGATATCTACATTCAAATAAATCTATTTTAAAAGAGCACTATCATAAATATAGGTACATAAATAGCTTCATAACGACAAAATAAATATATTGTATAAAAAATGATATGTACATATTTCCTTGGAGCAGTCTTTTCGTTTGCTGTTTGCATTATCAGTAATGCAACATTGTGTCCTCCATTACTTGGTTTGCAATACGGCTCTTCTTAGCTTCGAAAACAGCATAAGCACCTGCAACATTACACCTGCTTAGCTTCATGCAGGCACAAACAGATTTCTTCTTCTGTGAACAATCCAGTTAAAAAAAAAAAAAATCTGTGCTATGCAGACAAAACATGCACCACAGTGTCCTCTTCAGTCCACAAGGAACATCCCAAGTCCTGAGCCTTTTGGTTCCATTGTCCAGTTCTTCAATCCAGTGTCTGATACTGTCATCCGAGTGGACAGCTTATCATTGCTTAATTGCGTCACTGTCCAGCATCTCTTGCTCACAGGTGTGGGACCTTCTGTAAGCCTTTCTGGAAGCTCTACCTTACAGGTGAGCTTATCCCCCACACTCACGCTGAGGACACCTGCACTGCAGATGTGACTGCAGATGATGTTGAGCTCAATATATATGAAGTAGGTCCCTTGCTTGGACGCCAGTAAACTTCGCTCTCCGTCAAACACAAAGTTACTTCCAACAGATGTCCCTTCGCCGTACGGGACAGACTTAAAGAACATGGGTCCAGTCCGCAGTGAATCTGCAGGAGGAGACAAACACATAAAATTAGGAGGATGTTAACACTGTACACCAACAGGCTTATTACCAAAATCTGTTACATTCACTCCTTTTATTAAATTCATATTCAAACGACTGTCTTCATCCCTCCAGAGACAATTTGTATGGAGCAGCGAATATGCTACATAAATACAATAACAAATAAATACGTGAAGTAGGCTACAGACAATTAATGGCACACGTCTGGATGGATTAATGAGCACTGAAAGCTAAATGAATAGAAATGTCACTCTAAGATCTGAATAAGGCTTCTTTACATGTTTAAAACTTAATACAAACACTTTGTCACAACAGAGGGAATACCATTACATTGGGGCAGTTTACCGCCTGCCAACTCATATGGATCTACTTAAGTTTGGAGATACTTCTCCTAACATCAGAGATATTACAGCTTTTAGTAAATACAAGTGGATTTACCTGATCTGGTTTCCAGGTAGGCAAAGTTGTTCATCTGTAGAGAAAAGGATTAGGAGGATTAAAACGTGCAAAAGACATACATTAAATTAATAAGCTCATTTTAAATAATCTATAATAAATAATTAAATAAGACTTTTTGATTACCTTGTATGTTTGGTATAATGGGTCTCCTTTTGACTTTGATGGGTTGCCAAGGACAGGTGGACGGGATGTTTCTATTTTGGACCGCAGTTCTATCACACACATCACTCCGCCGGCGGCCACGGCTATCAGAGCCACGAACAGAAAAATGTTGGAAACTACGAGGAAAATGTCCAAGCAGCGTCCACGCCGACGGTCACTCGACTGAAGAGACTCGGTGTCCATATCTGTCTCCCGTTGTCCCGGTAATCGGCAGTTCGCTGTCTGAACCTCGGGGAGAGACTCTGCAACCTCAGGTTTTAAGTTCTGCGACTAAAACGCTCAGGGTGTAAATGTCACCTGTGGAAGTTGTATAGCTCCGGGTGTTTGTCAGTTTTTCTCCAAAAGAAAGTCCTTTTGTCGGGCCAAAGCTTAGTCCAGGTCTCGGGGTGAAAGTGGCGACTGTCTGCAGTGAGAACCATTGTGGCTTTTATAGTCTTAAGTCCCTGCACTTAGTATCAGAAACCGAGGAAAAACAAGGAAGTCATGGGTTTCCCTCTCGCCTCCTCACACGCGCCCCCCCTCCTTCGCTCCCCGAAGTGAGAAAAAAAAGAAGCGCAGACATTCCGCAGCTCTCTCCTCTCTGCTGTTGCGTAAGTCGACAGACTGTGAAAGTGGCGGTAACCGAAAGGGAGAGGAATACCCGCTGCTGTCAGCTACACATTCCGAGACAGTCAAACAAAGACTGAACTCTGCCTCAGACTGTCCTCTCGGTGCTGGCTAAAGGCAAGATTGAGATGTGTATCCGCACTCCACTGCCTTATTGGAAAGTTCTATTTAGCAAGTTTCTGTCGAGAAAAAGAAACAAATGTTTGTTTGCGCGCCATTCTACTGGGGGAGACAGGTGAAGGTGCGGTGGGGCTTTGTACTGAATTTCATCATCAGATATTATCAATAGAAACTTACCGCGTCAGCGCGTTAGGGTATATCTGATGCAATTCTGGCACAACAACGTGTTGACTGTCAAATCAGAAAGTGACTCGGCAGCTGTGCACGGAGAAACAAGCTACCTCCTGTGTGCGTTTGTGTATGTGAAAAGCAGTTTCGACTGTAAGGCCAGTCAGTATCCGATTTTAACCTGGCACAGTTTAAAGCATGAAGTAAGATGTATGGAAGTTTCCTTGTCTTGTGGGTGGAGGGGGTGAATGAGAAAGAAAGAAGGCGGGAGAATCTTATAAATACCATGATCCCAGTTGTACTTGTCATATTTGTATTTCCTCCATTGATTTTTGTTCAACTTTGTAAGGCCAGCCACACACAATGATTTAGGCCTTAAAGGTTTATTCTGGCATAAAATTGATTTAGGGTCAAACACAACGTAACACCGAGAACTTAAGTAACGACAGTAATTTGTGATCATTTCTTTATCATTTCCTTAAAGTAATAATCAACATATTAATACTTTTGCACAGCAGACGCGATAGTTCTTCTGCTTTGGCGTCTCAGTTTGACTGCATTTCCATGAAGAAATGATCATAAATGTTCTTTCTTGAGCTGCACCCCCCCACCTCAGCCAATGATGGACTGGTCGAGGTTGCTACAAACAAGCGGCTGCTGAAAGAGAGTAGATGAGTCGTGCTTGTTTCTCTTTGCTAAAGAAACCAGGCAAAGCTAAAAAGATGTCTGATGGCTAGTACTATGGCTGGGACCCTTTATGTTCCGTTGATAAAGTTAGGTGCTGTTCTGAGCATGATTTGTGGCTACAGAGTGGCTTGTTGGTTGAGGTTTGTTTATGGCTCTTCAGACCGCTGTGTATTGCTATCGAGCGGTTGTTTCTTAACTTGGTATAACAAGAGAAGCAAGTGGTCGGCAACATTCATCTCTCGAGGGGGTGTCTAACTCAGTGTTACGGTGTGTTTGACCCTGAATAAATTTTACCCCGGAATATCCTTTTAAATCAGCCCCTAGTTTGTAGGGACCATTCATTTGTACAAAGAATCCACTAGTATTTAATTTGATGGTACTACCACCCCAAACCAAGTCAGTGCCTTCCTGATGTGGGGCCCCATGTAAGATATAAGTGGTGCATTCAAGGAAAATGTGGTGTTTGTTTTGTTTCATGCACATGGCAGCATGTTTAGTAATCAACAATGTGTGGGCCATTCAGCAAACTGACATTTGGCAGTCACAAACTACAAAGTTCTGCAACTTACCAGTTATGCTAAATTTAATTTTGCACTCGACGTACAGGACTGAGAAGTGGGTTTTAAAATCAAGCAAAAGGCATGCCTGAACCACTCTTCTCATGTATCTCTTGAAAAGACAAAAGCAATATCTTGTAGAGTTCATCATGTATTTGACCAGCTTTGGCTCACCTTCACATTCCTTCAAAACACAAAAGAGAAAACCAGGCAGTTTCCATAAAGCGTTTAATACAAAGTATCATCCAGAGATGTTAAAATAGCTCAGCAAAGTGGCAGTAACTCTATCAATATCTTCAAACGATGTGCAGTGTCATCCAGTGTTGTATTAAGTTTTATTAAAGGTCACTGTGCACACAGACACTACAGTGTCTCATTATAGTCTTTGATCTGTGCCTCGTTTGCATTTTCATTCATAGAGTGCTTTGTATGGGCCATTTATGAACAAATAATGTAGTGTAACAGGCAGAATTCAAAGTATGATTTTAGGCCTGATTTCAAGGCCTGATCTGCAACCCTATACACTTACAGGATTGATTCTATCTAATACAGAAGAACCAAGGACAAAAGCTGTCTAGGAATTTGGAAGACTGGTATTCTCACCAACCGGCTGAAGCGTTTTTTTTTTATTTTTTTATAGCAAACATACTATAAGGTGTATAAACTGTAACTGTTCCCTCTTTTTCTTTTTTAGTTTTTTGCTGCAAAACAGATCACACTAGTTTCTGTGACATGTCCTGTCTGTGGAATCGCCACTGTGAAATTGGCAATACAAATATTAAATCTGTGGCCTACCAGTGTTTTGAAAAAAAAACATGGCTTGTAATGTTAAACACTGGGTAGATCCATCTCTGTGTGTTGTCTCCCATGTTTTTTAGAGTCTGTTAGGATCTACAAGTTGTCCAGGGTGTGTCAGCCAAAGCAGATTGTCTCCACAACCGGAAATTTGATATATGGGGAATACAAACCCTTTTACAGATATGGGTCAGCAACATGGAGGCATCTCCCACTTGGTATTAATGTGCGTCCATTAAACATCACCAAAAGTCTCGAAGTTTAAGCTATTATGCACAAGCTAAGCATTCAGGTGAAGCTAATCAGTGTGACAAGAGCATTTTGCAGTGTGAAAATCGTCTCAGACCTGTGGATGAAATTAAAGAAGCTAGCCACAGCACTTGCTAGATAGGAGGTAACTCACTACAGGTTGGTCAACATTGTGGATGACTTTGATTTAGGGGATGTCCTAGTGCAGCATTTGAATAACAAACCTCAAAGTCAAGATCATTAGATAGGAATTTCAAAGCTGTATATAATTTCTTTGGATTTGTCTCTCACAGCCTACATTGTTTTTTTTTTAACCTCTGCAGACTGCTCTTCCCTATGTTTATCTCATTTCTTTGTTTTTCCTGCAGGCAGAATATACAGTAGTTATGAAGACAGATGATAGGTTGAAGAAGTCAACACCAGATTAAAAAAATATAGTAAATATGAATATAGCTTGGTCTAAATTTTTGTTTGAGGTGAGTCTGGTTCCTGAGTACTTGTTCTTTTTTCTTTACAGAAAGCTAACACAAGATATGAATTAACCAGGGTTTGGTAAGTTGTGAATTGACCACTTCTTAGGGTATGATATTTCCTCCCTGTGGCTTCCTTCTCTATCAGTCAGTAATTTGTAAAGTCCTAAACTCTTACAGATAGGTTTAAATAAGGATTTCTAGTAACACACAATAGTGAAAAAGACAATCAGCTGATAAGATCCACAGGGTTTTAACTGAAATAAAAGTCAGGGGAATGTTTGTGGTTGTGAGAAGGGGAAGTTGATGTTTATTTAAAGAGAGGCACAAGGCAGGAAGTCACCTCTTTCAAATATTCACTGATGTATCAAAGCTGTCAATTCTCTGTGTCAAAGCAGGCACAGTAAAACATCAGCACCTTTCAGACAAGCACATCTGTAGCTCCCTGTGAAAATTCACAAAACACACTCGAAGCAGAAAATGCATTTACGTAGTTGAATCCATATATAAAGAGAAAGGTCAAAGCAGTGCTAAACTTTCAGTTTTGTTGGTTTTGGCTCCCCCTGAGGACGAAGTGGTGCTTATTTTTGCAGTTTGTTTTCTACATGTGTATAGAGGTTTTTCAGCTTCAAGAAGAAACCCATCTGGCTGAAGTCATATGTATTGTACCTGTCAGTGAGGATCTTTGCTGTTAAAACCTAAAAAAAAGTGTTTCTGCAGCATGCTATTGATCTAATTATGTTTTTCCTTTCTGAAAAAATAAATAAAAACAGTAAATAAATAAATTATGTTGCACTTTAAAGTTGGGCTTCACTGAGCAAGTAGTATTAAATGCAACACCCCATTAGTTTCCTTTCTTTGATTTAATGACAGACACTTGAAATCTTTAGTAAGCTCCACTGAAAGCTCCACACCAAGCCTCCAAGAATGTTCCAGCATCTTGTCTCCATCTTTTTAAACAGGACCATGCAAAACAAACACCTGGTAACCTAACTAAACCTTAAATAGGTCAGCTGTACCAAGCCGATACTTCGTTGATAAAGGACTGACACAACAACCCACACAACTACTGAAGTTTCCCCTTGTCCTTGGGCTAGTTTCATCTGCAAAGTTTATTCCTTTCTGTACTCTGGGTCATAAGGGTCTCCTGCAGTCTCTCTCCATCATGAGTGGCATATTTGTGTAGTAATTTGTGAATGTGATGTCTCTTCTGATAGCCAGTGAGTCAAACAGCTGCACTTATTGTGTGCTGTATACAAAAGTATACAGGGCTGTTGAGGGCAGTAACACATCATGCTGATGGAAAGGGCTGGCTCACATCAAGGTGAAACTTCCAACTCTGAATATGATGTAAGGAGAAAATGGTTGCTACATGGATATGGTCAACACTGCATGAACAAATTTAGTCTTTGAATTGGTGGTTCATATCTAAAGAAAAAGTAACTGTAAGTTTTTGTTGTTATGCAGAAATCTAAATCATGCATCTTATGGTTATTAGTCACAGCCTTCAAGCTAGTCAACCAGCACATCTCTCAATCAAGTGCGCAAAAATATTTTTAAGGTTATTTTGAATGACCTCTTCCAGTCTAGCTCATAGACTGTATATAGAATGGACGCCGTCTGCCTCCTCGCTGGGTGAAGCCACTCCGAGAACAGCACCCTCTGTTGATGGGCTGCAGTATAGGTCATAAATCCCTCCATAAAAGCTTATGGAGCTGTGGACAAACTTTAGAAATTTATTACACAGAACATAAATTTTTTTCCCCCCTTCTTGTGATGTTGACATGTAGTTACAGTAAGACTGTTTTGTGCTCAAGTCCTTTTTTTTCTGTACGGCTCCATTTTTAAAAGTTATTAGGGGGTTCATGTTTTTATGTTTGACACCTGATACAGCCTATGGGCGTTCAGGGACTGCGTAGCTCTCCCGTTTGAGCCGAGCGTTATCACAGCAACTATACAGTCTATGATCTAGCTACATAACCAACACGGCTGAGCTTAGTAATGCTTGTCTTATGGGCAAGCATACATGCAAATCAACAACA